GCTCACGGCTTCCAGAAATTTTGGAGGTTTGGTTTTAGGTCCAGGTTGGCCTAGTAATCAAATATAAAATGTTTTTATACGATTTTTAATAAATTTCAGCTAGATTTAAAGTAGAAAAACTTTCAAAAAGTCAGAATTTTTTATCATTTTTGGGTTGAAAAAACTTGGGTCCTTCCAGGTTAACGGGCGGCGGTTATTTTAGCGGGGGGAGGTTGCCAACTTTTCTTTGTAAAGCCTGTCATAATCTAGTCGGTTTTTCTATGAGGGACCGGAGCTAGATTATGATATTCCGGTTGAATATACCTATTATCTGCCTTATAAGTTGAGGCTCCTAATAACCCACTTATCTACCATTTGTGCCGAAGGCTGCGCTCTCTGAATTATACAATCACTAGCATGAACATGTGTGGCCTCGGTTTAATCTACTCGACGGGAAGCGAGGAGAAGGCTCCCATATTGAATGTATTTAGAAAACTGACTGTATCTAGTTTTCTTTTATTGAGGCAAAGGCAATTTAAAAGATTGAGAGACTACCAGGAAAGGAATAACTGGCCAGCACAAATAGGTAAACCCCAAGATGTAAAAATGAGTCCTCCACATAAGAATTCGCTACGGATCCCGGCGTACCGAAGGTGCCGCCGGGTCCTTGCGTAAATCCAAGCAACCGGATGGAAGGTTGCGGGAGGGGAAGACTAAAGACTTGGGGGTCCACTAAGGGTACGGGCAGTTAGGGGGCGTGGCAGGGAATGGTGCCGCAGGCACCATCCCTCCTGATACAGGACAAGCCTATACTTTAGCCTATCCCTGCCTAGTGACAAAGTGCAGGTTATTTTAACAATGTTTTTCATAGTTTCTGGTAGCCAAAAATTATGAAAACTTTTATCTGGCATCCGCAAAATCCTGGGTTTTAGCTCTCTTTTAACCAATTTCATACGCGTTAGACCGAAAATTCAAAATTTGCAACATATTTTATGATGTTTTTCTTAATTTCTCTTCCCCCGCTAACAGTCCAATACCACGTAAACAGCGCTTAAACGTATAAAAACGGCAAACTTTTGTTTAGTCGAACCGCACGAAATTATAGAAAAAAATTCGCCCCCCCGCTAAAATAACGGCCCCCCGATAACCTGGAAGCACCAAAACTTGTGCAATTTGTTTGTCGAAAAAACTATTTTTCCCCTCCCCTGCGAATACGCAGGTATCAAAATTCTGGAATGTAGAGAGTTTAATGTCGTAGATTTTTCACTATTTCACTATTTTTGGACACTACATCTAGACTTTGAAAACCCCCCGCAAACCCCCCGGGAGCAAAAAAAATGCCCCTAAAAAACCCCCCTGAAGAACCTCCCCCGCGGGGGTGTTTTGGAAAGCCCCTGGCCAGATTTTCGTTCGTGGGACCGAATTGGCACCGATGAGTGGACCAGGTACGCGTTTTTTGCAGAAAGGTGAAAGACGCGGACCTGGCCCACTGATCATAATTAACAGTTCGGCCGATTGAACCAACGGAACTTTCGAGAACCCGGATTTTGGTTCAATTACCCAAGTTTGCGGCGGGGGGTTTTCAAATACCCCCGGGGGTATTTCTCGGGGGGTTTTCCAACTCTAACTACATCATCACGACCCGGCAGAACATCAAAGATATACTAACAAGGGAACCTCTTAAAGTTTCGGTGGGATTTTCAAACGGGACCTAGCACAACTTGTGCAGAATTTTTTTGCTGATTGTGAATCTGTTTTCAAAAACTGCAAAATAGCTCGGATTTAAAAGTTATAACCTTTTTATGTCCTTTTTAAGCAAAAACTCCCAAACTTCATTCTTGATTGATTTTCTAAAAAAGAGTATTACGATCGTACTCAGAATTTTTTCTCTATGCAATGAGCTCCTTAACTCAAAAATGCCAAAAATTGAAAAATTTGGCGATGGTATGGCCTGCAATTTTTGTATGGGATTTGGCGAACAACTGCATATTTCGCACACTGGTAAACAGCGGCCCAGTAGCAGCCATTTTTCAATGAAATATACCATTCGAATTTTGCTGTTTGAAAAAGAAAAATTTTGCTGTCAAATAGGCTATTTGTCATAAATTATAACAGGAAAACAAAAAGGTAGGGGATCGTGCCCAATCACTTCCGGGGGGCCAAAAACCGCTCTTAAATGCGTCATAACCTTTGAATAGGAGTCGGTAAAATTGTCAGTTTTCAAAGTTTTGAATTTTTGTGAAAAACATTTCAAAAACATCTAAAGCAGCTTCTTTGATAGGGAATCTTTTTCTGATCAAGACACACGGACTATTTTCTTCGAAGGAATTTTTACGAAGAGTTTCACGGTCGTCTAAATTAGCCCCTTTGTTGGCGTTTTTCAGTTTTGGATCCTTCATCACTTTGGGGAAATGGCTATCGCGCAGCCTGGCGGTCAGTAAAGACACAGTTTCGAGGGGATCTCTACAATACCCTTTTTCCGACTTTCCGCATCCAAATTTTCCGTGTTCACGGCGCCGCTGTTTCGGAACATCCCTTTTCGGAATGCCACGGGTTCAAACTTCCGCTTTGCAGCTGCCAACAGGTCCACTGTGTACCGATTTTTTTACATGGGCATTACGTAATTTGGCATGAGAGGGGGCTTTGCGAATGTCTTTAGTCAATTTATAGATTTCTGAAGTCAAAATTTTCGGAATGAGTCTAGCTTACCGCTTACCCTGGACCATCTCAATTTTTCTAAATCGGCTCCGCTCTGTGGTACAGAGCTGGAAATTTACAGATACAAAATGTTCGCCGCACTCGAATTAGTGGCAGATTTTTTCTTACTACCAACCGAATTTTGCGATAAATAGTTTAAGTTTTTCTCAATGTTTTTTCCCATTTATAAACGCGAACACTATGAAAAAAAATCGGTTCTTTAGAATTTCCGGGGAAACCAAATTTTTTCCTGGTTTTCCCGGTTGACCTAGTAATCAAATATAAAGTGTTTTCACATCGTTTTTAGTAATTTTTAACTATATTTAAAGTAGAAAAACCTTTCAACAAAGTTCTAAAAATGTGAAAAGGTCGAAAATTTAGTCATTTTGGGTTCCCCCCCCCCCTCTAATCCTAAAGGTTCTATAGGATTTTTCGACCTAAAATTAAGTTTTTTAATTGAAATGTGGGTAGTTTTTATGCTCAGGAACAGTTAAAAACCATTTAGAAACGCATGCGCTATTTAGGCTTGGGCCGAAAAAATTTGGTTCCCCCCGGAAATCCTAAAGAACCAAAAATGACTGCTGTTGAGCAAAAATTTCCGCCTTTTCGAAATTGTTTAGACAGTTTTCTGGTTGAGACATAGTGATTTTTACCAGAAACACCACACACTTGCTATGACGTTACTAGACATTTCAAGATCTACAAAAAAGTTCTGCCGCTCCCCCCGATAATGTGAAAGAACCGTGCATCGCAAAAGTTGCAGAAAGTTAAGAAGCTGGCGTGGAAAAGTCGCAATCAGGAGTCCAGTGACCAACTTGTCATTTTGAAAATTCAAGGCCTTCTAAATTGGAGATTTAAAAGGCCGTCCGCGAGTCACTCGAACAGTTCCCATTATAGCTTGGCACAGTTTTTTTCGACCTCCATTTTTTGATGCCATCTGATAGAGCGTGTTCGAATTAGAGGAATCGCACTAATTTGGGATTTTTAAATTAGCATTTTCCTGGTTAAACAAGGCGTTAAAGTTGCCAACGTCCAAAATTTATCTCGGTGTCTACTTGACAGAACTGGCTGAAACTTTGCGATTAGGCCTAATTTGGGATGCGGATCATTTTTCTAATACATCGCGAAGCACGAAAATGAGCAGAACCTAGTTAAATTGCATACCCAAAACAGTTTTTGGCGAATTTGAAATTAACGGCGAGTCGGCCGCAAGCTGGAATTAGGCTAGAAAGATGCGCAAAATTTTTCTGCATCGATTGATGTATTATTTAGGTGGCGGCCAGGTCGCCGTTTTCTCACAGCGAGCTTTTTATAGCTGAAAAATGGTCAGAAAATCTGAATAAAATGAAAAATTTTGCGATTTTCTATGTTTTGACCCACGGGATCATATTTGCTGATCACGCCAAGCTAAACGCAAAAATTAGCAAAAAGAAATTCGACATTTGAAGGGGTGCTTGTTTTGGGCGGGAATCGAACCCGGACCCTCCGCCTGGGAGCCCTGTGGCGCAGTGAGTAGAGCGTCGGCGTGCCAATCCAGAGCCGCCGCCAGTTCAATCCCAGCTCCCTCTCAGAAGCCGAATTTCTTTTTGCTCTTTTTTGCAATCGACTTGGCATGCTTTGTTGATGCTTTTTGACTACTCCGATATGTAAATACCACAATATTTTCCATTTTATTCAGATTTTCTGACCATTTTTCAGCTATAAAAGCTCGCTGTGAGAAAACGGCGACCTGGCCGCCACCTAAATAATACATCAATCGATGCAGAAAAATTTTGCGCATCTTTCTAGCCTAATTCCAGCTTGCGGCCGACTCGCCGTTAATTTCAAATTCGCCAAAAACTGTTTTGGGTATGCAATTTAACTAGGTTCTGCTCATTTTCGTGCTTCGCGATGTATTAGAAAAATGATCCCCATCCCAAATTAGGCCTAGTCACAAAGTTTCAGCCAATTCTGTCAAGTAGACACCGAGATAAATTCTGGACGTTGGCAACTTTAACGCCTTGTTTAACCAGGAAAATGCTAATTTAAAAATCCCAAATTAGTGCGATTCCTCTAATTCGACCACGCTCTATCAGATGGCATCAAAAAATGGGGGTCGAAAAAAACTGTGCCAAGCCTTGTTCGGGTCTCTCGCAAACGGCCTTTTAACCAACTATTTGGAGGTCGTACCGGTCGTGGCACAAAGCATGCAACAAGAACAATCATTATATGGGAAACGAAAAATTGTGTTGATCAGTTTCCCCCCAATCGCCGAGCTGCCATTGCTATGAAATGACGGTGGGGCGGTGGCGGGTCGAGTAATTGGCTGCTTGGATCGTTGCCTAAAATTGCGAGTCGATGGTGGATACGGTAACCACAGTAGGTGGTGAGCGATTTCGGGGCTGGGCCAGATTGGTGACGTTCACGACGGATGTCGGCGCCGAGCCGGCCTGGCTGTGCTTATCGGTCGATCGCGACGCGTTGCGGCAGATCACCCGCTTGAAGGGCTGCCACGTCTGAAAAACGCGGTTTGCGTGCTTCCCTGTTAACGGGGGGGTGGGGTGACCAATTTTTAGTCGGTAGTTCCGCACCGTCCAATAACTAAATATCAACAATTTTTCTAGTATTTTTCGCAGTTTTTAGATAGAAAATAAGAAAAAGAACATTCTTATTTTGGAAAAACATGAAATTTTTTGACTTTTCGGTCAAAAACGTCTGAAAATATGGCCCAAAAACTCAAAATTTTCGATTTTTCTACATTTTTTAAAACTTTCTAGCAATCAGAGACTATTGAAAACATTGTAAAAATGCTCTAATGATTAGCAACCGGTGGGGATTGGCGTGAAAATAAAAATTAGCTCCCCCCGTTAAGAGGGAAGCACCTGAACGGGCTGCCAGCGAGGAGGCCGATATGCGATATACCGACTAAGCAAAAAAAAGAGTAAACTGCTGGCGGTGTCACTGCGGAATATGGAAACTGGTGATTGATTCAAACACAACGACCGAAAGCTAGAAAAAGCGTCCAGTAACGCTTCAAAACTTCAGGCTTCAAACTGGCGCTAACAGCTGGCACGTGACCATGACAGATGAGCAACGACATTTGAGCAACTGCAGGCAAGCGCCATTTGAGCAACAATCTTTTCTTAATAAACGCGTGAAAACGGTGCCGCTTAAACGTCGTTTTACACCGGCTGATCTGTCGTGGAACTGCTGGCACTTGTAGCCTACAGCCCACAAACTCTAGGCTAGAATTCAGCGACTACGATTTGCTATCATGATGTCGAAAATCATAATGTCCAAATTTCAGAATGTCGAAATTTAGAATGACGAATTTTTCTGCATAGCATTCGGGGGTTTCACTGGGAATATTAGCCTATGTTCATTTGCGACATTTTGAATCTTCGACCCTATGATTTTTGACATTTTTAAAATAAGCCGGCGACTACGAACAGCATCGGAATGACAATAACAATTGATGTCTACCCACCTGAGGGAACACGTAGAAAATGACGATGCTGGCGAGGATGCCGTAGCCAACGTTCCCGAGCTTGATGATCAAATAGTAGAACTCGAGGTCAAGCGGCACGAGGTTGAGCTCGGGAAAGAACGCCTCCAGGTTGGCGTAAATTGTGAAGCCGGAGAGGATCACCCTGGCTGAAAATTTGAAGACTGGCCAAGGGAAGCGTGCCCCTACGGATTACGATCAGCAGTTGGGAGATGATGATCCGTTTCGTATTCCGCCACAGCGTGCTGTTGGCCATCCTCGAGTAGCTGAAAAGTTGTAAAAAGATGGAAAGTTGCGGGGCCAAGATCTGCGCTGCAAATTGGAAGTTTTTGAGATGGAAACTAGGGGATCTAATCTTAGCTTCGACTATATATGGGTCGAAGCCCGGGGGCGCCGCCACAGGCGCCTCCCGTGGCACCCCCTGGGGGCGTGCCGAGCGACGCCTGGGGGCGCCGCCCCTATGATTTTTAACGGGGCGGGGGGCGTCACCAACGGCGCCTGTGAGATTATGCAAATCTTGGATTTAATGTTAATTGTTCCTTTCGAGCGCAAGAGCAACGGACAGTAGAAAGTATCAGGTTGGAACGAAAGTTCTGTCGCCGAGATTTTCGAAGGCTGGCTAAATTCGTAGATAGCTCCATTCTGCACATGCGATATGTCATTTTGTAGCTCTCGGTCTGAATGGTCCCGTGAGGAGAGTCCTGGGCCCTCAAAATCAAGAACTGCCGAGATCCAGGCCCAAGAAGATTTTCCAAAAATTACTAGAAAGTGTTTTTGCAAGTTATCTCTGCATAGAGACATTTGCATGCGATACCTTTAACGCCAATCGATAGCTCTCGACGAGTAGATATCGACAGATGTTGAGGTCATCAAATTTGGACACTGGATCGCCGAGATATGGCCTCTTGAAGTTTGGCCCATTTCTTAGAACTTTTCACGATTTCCCATACATTTCTTCAAAATCCGTTCCGCTAGTCCAAAAATAAAGCGGTAATTTTGGCACCTGTCCGTCAAATTTTTGGAAATGTATGGGAAATCGTGAAAAGTTCTAAGAAATGGGCCAAATTTCAAGAGGCCATATCTCGGCCATCCAGTGTCCAATTTTGATGATCTCAACATCTATTGATATCTACTCCACGAGAGCTATCGATTGGCGTTAAAGGTATCGCATGCAAATGTCTCTATGCAGAGATAACTTGCAAAAACACTTGCTCGTAATTTTTGAAAAATCTTCTTGGGCCTGTATCTCGGCAGTTCTTGATTTTGAGGGCCCAGGATCCTCCTCACGGAACCATTCAGATCAAGAGCGACAAAATGACATATCGAATGTCCAGAATGGAACTATCGACGAATTTAGCCAGCTTTCCAAAGTCTCGGCGACAGAACTTTCGTTCCAACCTGATAACTTGCAAAGAAATTTTTGCCTTGCACTTCAGAAATGCCTAGTAACGTAATCAGGGACGTAGCGTAATACCGGCCCCGGGGGCCCGGCCCCCCGAAATCGGCCGGGGCCCGAAAATTTCATAAGGGGGGACCCTTATGATTTTTATTTTCTCAAGAATTTTGCTGTCTGCGGCGCTATTTTTTTTCACGTTTTTACGGCTATTTGTAGAGCTATGTAACCTTTTTTTCAAAATTTTTTGCCTACTGCGCTGTTTTCTCGTTTATGTTTTGAGTTTTTTGGCAAAATTTTTTGCCCCCCCGAAATTTTTTTCTGGCTACGCCCCTGAACGTAATAGTCAGACTTTTAATAATGTTCTTAGCAAAATTTAACTATGTTTTAAGTGGAAAAACGATAAAAACCTTGAAAAAATTAAGGTGGAATTTCCGAATTTTTCCTATTTTATTCAAAGTTTGTAGAGTTTCTACGTTTAGGAATAGTAAAAACAGTTTAGAAACACTTCCACTATTTATTTTAGAAAAAAAAAGATCCTTGGGAAAAAGTTGGTTTCCCCAGAAACTCCCCTTACTCTATAATGCGAAAGAATCGGGATAAAAATTCTAGGCCAATCAACTAATCTTTTTGCCTTCTTTTAGATATCAGGGATCGGCAGTCAAATCTCATTTCCATAATAACTTTGCATGTTCGGCTTTACATCTCGGTTTCCCGGCGCCTCTTGTTCCGCCTAAAGCGCCGCCACAGGCGTCACTCGGCACACCCCCAGGGGGTGCCTCGGGAGGCGCCTTTGGCGGCGCCCCCGGGCTTCGACCCATACAGGGTGTCCCAAAAAAAGCGACCCATCTGGCATTTCGCCGTATTACATCCAATCGGCCCCAAATTTGGATGAGAGGTGTATCAGACCCTAAATAACAACAATCCTGACTTTTAGCCCCGTAGCTACAGTTGTTCTCGAGTTATAACGAAAATACTGTTTTTGACGCAATTCCGAACATTTTTTTCGGCTATCTTTCGGATCTTTTCGGATATCGGCTTTCGGCGAACATTTTCGGTTTTATCTTTTTGGACTTTGCATCGATTTGCATCGATTTCCGGCTCCGAATCCCTAATTTCGCTTAAGAACTTGGGTAATTTTGTGTTGTAAAAATCGCTTAATTCAACGATTATTTGATATGCCAGATGGGTCGTTTTTTTTGGGACACCCTGTATATAGCTTCGACCTATTTTTTTTGAAATTGTATCGATGGATCGTATCAAACATGCAAGACAGCGGTGCTACTGCACTTGGGGGGGAGGCAGTCCGGATTTTGACTACAAGACGCTCCAAATTTCGTTTTGTTAAGCTGGAAGCAGCTGGGAAAGCTCAGCTAATCCTAAGCCCAGGCTTAGCTTCATAAAAGCGAAGCCTGAGCTTGGCTTGAGCTAAGCTAATAGCCCGCTTTTGACCTCGTAAGGCAATTCCAAGCTGAAGATAAGCTTAACTTAGGGATAGTTAAAGCGAAGTTAAGCCAAGGCTTAAGCTGAAAACCAAGTAGCCTAAGCGGAGCGCCTAGTATCCCTTTGCTACCCATTTCGGACTGCCCCCCTAACTGCATTAGCACCTGCAACTGCACCTGCATATTACCTTATGTAAATTTTGACATTATGAATTTCGAAATTTCTGCATTTTGAAACATGCATGGTTCTTCGTCGTCCTACCTTCTCAAGTAGCCGCCGAGGATGATGTAGCAAAGGACTGTGAAAATCAAGACGATATTCCGCAGATAGGTCGACTGCAAGTTCAGCAAAATGTTCGGCGTCACCGTGTTGAACGTGTAGGAGATGTTGGTCTATAGAATCTCGCAATAAAAAACATCCCTCTAACTCGGGGCAGAAGTATCGAATCGGGATGTTAGTTCTACCATTCGAAAGCCATTGAAACGTCGAGTTTGCAACAATTTTCAAAACCATGTTGTTATTGAAATGCGCTACTTTACAAGGCAACATGCAGAATTTTGCGCGTATTCGGGCTTGCATACGGGGTAATTTGCTTCAATTTCTCGAAGCAAAATGACCGGAAGCAGCCGGTAATGAGAGGCAGAGGCCGACCCTGTTTATCTTTCTGTATGCGCCGAGTTAGAGGGTGTTTTTCTCGTGTCTAACCATGAATTAGTGTCGTTTCCCGCATATTACTCCGTATCTTTCGATTGTTTGGGCGTCAAATCGAGCCGGATGCTGGAATTTACCTTTGGATATGAGCGGCAGTCGACAAAGATCCATATATGCAAACTTTGCACCACCAAATACCCCCAGACGACGGCGTTCACGTAGCGTGCATTGCGCACCGACCATTTCTGGATTGTATTCCGTTTTATTATCTTTGTATTCACATTTGAATACGCGGTAAGTCAGTAAATGGACTACAAATGTTTTATAGCCCAAAAAAAGCATATTTAAAACTATCCTGCCTATATAATCTTGGGGTGTATCTCGGTGTGTGTTTCCGGCTGTCACTTTGGAGGCTCGATTTGAGGGCCTTCCCGTGTCAAAAACGCGTCAATTCAGCGTCAGCTAGGGTAATCGACTCTCCTCTTTCCGATGGCGTTTTTAGAATCTCAATAAAATACAAGTTTACAAAGTTAAAGACGGTTTTATTGATGTTTGGCGCCCTGGATGGCTAATTTGCATAATTTGAAAAATACAAATTTCTCATTCTTGCCAGTCGGACTCGCGTGTGTGTTGTCTGGGGCAGAGCTATCGGAAACTTAAATGTCTCATGCAAAGGTTGTGTTCCAGCGCCCAAGGCCCGCGAAGCCGGTTTTGAGCGCTAGTTTTTATTAAAAAAACTTTGAGTGCCCTGGGATGTTTTACCCCAGGCTCTCTCCCAAGCTCCTATTACCTTCTTGAACGACACGGGCCATACAATACACCACATGCGCGAGAAGGCGATCACCATGGAGAAGAGGAGCATCGAGTTGCCCCAGGCTACAAACGACCGACTGTGACGTCAAGCTTTTGAGGTTACCGTGCAGCGTGGAGACGACCAATTTGCCGACCACCTTCCCGCTCCACTGCCAAAACGGGATGAACCAGCCGAAGCTTGCCGGGTCCTTGAACAGCAACTCGATCAGGTACATGAAGATGTTGCAGAGGACTGCAAAAAGGATTGCTTAGGCTTTGACATAGGCTTAGGCATCAGCATAGGCTTAGGCTGAGGGCTTAGGCAGGCTTAAGCATGTGCTTAGACTTAAGCTTAGGCTTACTGTAACCCTCTTTTGGTCGAAGTGGAAATTCCGTACGTGCGATAGCACATCTTGTGCAGAATTTTTTGCTGATTCCGAATCCGTTTTCAAAAGTTGCGGAACCCCTCAGATTAAAAAGTTACAAGCGTTTTTAATACCCAAAATGCCACAAATCGCTTACTTTAAAACGTTCTAAAAATTCCGTAAGATACTTTTGGGAGGAAAGTGAGACATGTTCCGGGGTAAAAAAAAACGTGCTCTTTCGAATGGGCTATCTCACAAACCCGTAGCTCGAAATTTCGAAAATTTCGAAAATCGACCATCTTGGGCAAGGGTCCGCCCAAAAAAAGTTTTTTGCAAATTTCGAGCTACGGGTTTGTGAGATAGCCCATTCGAAACAGCACGTTTTTTTACCCCGGAAAATGTCTTACTTTCCTCCCAAAAGTGTCTTACGGAATTTTTAGAACGTTTTAAAGTAAGCGATTTGTGGCATTTTGGGTATTAAAAACGCTTGTAACTTTTTAATCTGAGGGGTTCCGCAACTTTTGAAAACGGATTCGGAATCAGCAAAAAATTCTGCACAAGATGTGCTATCGCACGTACGGAATTTCCACTTCGACCAAAAGAGGGTTACAGTTAGGCATAGGCTTGGGCTTACGCGTAGGCTTAACCCCCGGCGTTTCGTCGCATTATACCCAACCGGCCAGAATCTATATGGATTGTGCATCGATTTACATCGGCTTTTTTGGATTACATGCACCCACCGTCCACTCTTGGGGATTTCCGATTTTGCACGCGACAATCAGACTCCCGAAAAATCTGTGCCCCGAAAAGTAACAGCAAAGATTTGGGTTTTTATGGGAGCGGGAGGCTTAAACAACAAACAAAACAGGTCGCCAAATTTCCGGGATTGAAATTTTCGAGGTTCCGATTCCGATTTCGGGACACCATCTATAGCCCGAAATCCTCACTCACACATATTTTGCATCGACATCAGAAACACATGGCAGAGTGACGATTTTTGCCCAAAGGTACGGTAGATGGATACGTCGGCCAGAACGGCGAACGGCATGCATAGGTCGATGAATATTGATGCAGCCTGCGTCCACGTTGTCGTCAGTGACATCACAGCTGTGAAGCGCTAGAGGTGGATGAGACAATTTACCGCTTCCGATTTCCTGCAATAAATTTGATAATAACGAAACATGATAGTAATAAGCTAAGTTAAACTGATAAAGCCGGCTTTAAGGACGACTTATGTCAACGACCAAGTCTAAGCTAAGCTTCAAGCCCTAAGCCGCAGCATAGGCCTAAGCTTAACCCCCGTCCTCAGCCTAAGCCTAAGCCTAATCCTTGGCTTAAGCCGAAGCCTAGACTGAAGCCTAAGGCTACGCCTAGACCGAATTCTAAGCCTAAGCCTAAGCTTAATCCAAAGCCGACGCCGAAGCTAGACCGAAGGATAAGACTAAGCCTGAGGGTAAGCCTAGGCGCCGACCCTTGATCCGTCTAAGTATGTCTCAAGCTAATCCTCAACCTAAGCTTAAGCCCGAGCCTTAGCCCAGGGCAGGCTTATGATTTTGATGATTCTTGCCGTAAAGCGAAAACAGTATCTGAAGCCAAAAAAAGAAACAGCTGCAAGTCAAAAGCTCAGTGACGGCCGCGTTGCCGTGACTTTAGAAAACCTTCGTGAACGATACGGGTTTGCATACGTATGCTGCCAATATATTCGAGAAATCACATCCGCACTGGGCTAATCGAATCAAACATTTGGTGACTAAAGGGGAGTCCCCAAGGATTTTCTTATTGTCGGGAAAAAGGGCCGATGCGATTCATTTGTATGCAGGACCTGGGCCCCGGGGGACCGGAATGTTCGCCGCCAGTCTTCTGATTCGAATGATTTTCTGGCCGACAAGCACCCCTGGTACATTTTGGCGGACACAAGGTGTAGTCTTTCCCATCCTTCTTTTTCTCCAAGTGGAAAATTTAAAATCAATTCGTTACGGAGTCGAATCAGCGGCCATAGTGAGAAATTGCAAAAGCGGTATGCATCATAGGAGCTGAAAAGTGCTTTGTGGAAGTTGGATTCGTAAGGGTGCTTCAGGCGGGGGGGGGGAATATTTATGTACTTTGACCCAAGCCTAGACCGACGGCAAGCCTAAGCCTAAGACTAAGCCTGCATCTTCGTGTAAGCCAAGGCTAAGCCTAAGCCTAAGCACCGAAGCCTAAGCCGAAGCCTAAGCTTGAACCGAAATATAAGCCTCATCCTCGACCGAAGCCTAAGCCGAAGCCGAATTATAAGCCTAAGCCGAAGCCTAAACCTCAGCCGAAGCCTAGGATAATGGTTGCATATGTCAACGGACAAGCTGTTTATGCGCTGAATCACCAATCATCTTTATCGGCCGATGCGCACCCGTTGTTCGTGAATTTGACAGAATTCTACATCTCACAACAGCTTGTGCAGGTGCTCGCTGGTCGGCAGCTGCACATCGATCTGACAGCGCGGGATCATCACGCCAAAATAGTGCAGTCCGTTCGCGTCGACGGCATCAACGAGTACGTTGGCCGCACCGCTGTCGATCGCCTCTTTCATCTGTAAAAGATGCAGGTTAGCAGGTTTTCGGCGTTCACCGTATGTTCCCTAGGTGGGAGTGCGTGCACTTTAACCCCCCTCTAACAAGTGGTCCTTGTTGTATCTCGGCTCCGGGTTTATCTATCGGGGTGTGAAGTAGACGAAAATATTTGCCTTGGTCTAGCGAGTATTTTGGTATACTTTATGGTCCTGTAGCACACGGCGCACCAAAGATACGATCAGTGAGGTCGGGAGGGGGAGCGGATAAATCGCACCTTATTGCTTGCTGGCCCTTCCCTACTCGCAGCAGGGGTTTTACAAGTGTATAATTCGAGTTTTTCATCGAACACTATCCGGCGGATTCTACAGGGTGTCTCAAAAAACGAACCATCTGGCATTTCGCCGTATAGTAGGATAGTACGATACACTTCCGGTCGAATTTTGGGGCCGATTGGATGTAACACGGCAAAATGCCAGATGGTTCGCTTGGTTTCGGACAGCCTGTATACAAAAATTATTGTTTCGTCAACGTTTTTCTTAGGGTATAAGGTTTCTATTAAAACGGATTCCAAATTTTTGGGCAAATACCGTGGATGACCCAAATCTCTCAACCTTAGCCTTCAGCTCCTCTGCCCGCCGCTTCGTTTCGTCTGCCGCGCGGGTTTTGGTTGTGTACTCGAGCAGCGTCGTTGCCACTTCATCCGCGTCGAATTTTTGACCACTAAATTTTTTCCTTTGATATGTTTTGTCTTTAGTGCCGTGACCGCGTCAAGTGCAGGGATTTTGGCTGTCGGGATGATAAAAACCGGCGTTTTAGCGCCCTGTCTTAAAAAAACCCCGTTTGCACCTGGTGATGACCACGATCTCGCCAAGAAGCTTCCGGAAATGGGGGCACGCCAGTGATGAGGAGGGCTGCGCGGTCGCCGCGTCGTACTCGTCCACAACGTCTAAAATTCGGGCCGGATCCCATTCCGGGCCCGCCTGCTTTGGGGGCGGCGTGTCTGGGAGAAGCGGTCGAGGGTTGTAATTCTGAACATACCCAGCTGCTCACTGTGAGGGCGTTTCCTCGATTGCTGCTGGCGGCACAGTTTTCGGTGACGTCTGAAGAAGGTTCGGAATAACAAGTAAATCACTCAGACTCAGACTTCAAGAAGGGCCACTTCTAGGCACACCGAAAATTAGTGGCGATAAGGCCCTAAGGTGCTATAATGCATTTGGGCGGGGGAGCCGTCCGGATTTTCACTACAAGACTCTCTTCTCTCTATCTCTCTCTCTCTCTCTCTCTCTCTCTCTCTCTCTCCGTCTCTGTCCCTCTTTTTCTCTCTGACTTTCTCTCACTCACAACCCCTAAATGACCCGATTTTGACCTCGTAAGACAATTTGAAGCTGAAGATAAGCCTGGCTGGGGCTTAAGCTTAAGCGGAAGCCTAAGCTAGGCATAGTTAAAGCTTGTTCTGCCAAGGCTTAACCGGGGAACCAAATAACTTAAGCGGAGCGCCTCGTAGGCCCTTACTACCCACTTCCGACTGCCCCCCCTCCTAACTGCATTAGCACCGGCATTAAGCAGCGCGGCACCCCTATCGACTCAAAAATGTATCGCCAATACTACTAAACCTTAAAACTCTATGGCATTAAAACTACATAAGCGATCTTTCTTGGCGACCTTGTGGAAAGTGGTGTTTCGGAGAGCTAAAGTGCTGTCTTTGGTACCATTAGAACCGTGAAATTCTACTCTACAATAATTGATATAGGTTTTTTAATATTAAGTCGGTTTGAAAAAGCTAAAAGAGCTTAAACTTTTTGTCGCGCGCTGCGCCCGGCTCCTATGTACGCTGTTGCCCCTCCCGGAAAATCGTCGTTTTCGGCCTGTTCGCACCCAGCTGCATGTTCAACATGTTCCTCACCCCTTATTCCCGCCATCATTATCCTTGATGATCGTCCCGCAATCGATACATTTCACATATTCCAGCGGCACCTCTTCCCCATCGATCAACAGTCCAATATGTTTCAGCGTTGCCCATTTCGTGTCATGCTGCCAGAAAGGCTTTTGTTTGTCGGGATTAGGCTTGTTGAAATGCAGGTTTAAGCTTGCAATCGGGGTTGGACTTAGCTTAGGCTTCGTAGGCTTATGCGTGGGCTTATAGTTATGTAGCTCTAGCTTAGGCATAAGCTTGGGCTTGGTTTAGAAGCAGGCTTAGACGTAGGCTTATACTTAAGTTAACTTAGGCTGGGGACTAGACTTGGGTATAGACTTTAGCAAGGGCTTAGGTCAAGGCATGCATGCGCTTGGCCTTAGGCTTCGGCTTAAGCTCATGCGTTCATTAAAGAAATGCAACATTTAAGGCCTAGGCGAAAATTTGGCAGATCTAACTAGGTCCTAAGCCTAAGCCCATGTATGCGCTTCTTTAGCCGAGGCCTCGGCCTACGGCTAAATCTAAGCCTAAACCTTTGCTCAAAACTGTAACACTGCAAAGCTGAGTAAAATATACTTTAAAACTTACCAAAATTACCGCCTCTGGGTGGTCGTGCATAAAATCAGAGACCCTTTTCTTCGGCCAACCGTGCACGTCACTGCCCGGGTAATAGAGTGGGTCGAGCGCGTCGAGTTGGGAATATTCGGCCGCATCCTCAGACTTGACTTCCGCGAACATCTTTTAGAGGTCCCCTAAGGAAGCACCATATTAAAAGCCACAAAAATTCCAAAAACCTGAAAGCTTTGCTTAATCTAATGACTACCACATTAAACGGATAATCGTCAACTACAATAAACGGGCTGTGTTGTCTATCTGTCGGTGGGAAGCCGAATTCAACTTGAAGGGGAAAGGAGCTAGAGCTTAGGTCACTGCGGATTCGGGGGGAGCGCCGTCAAAAACCCCCAAACTACTAAACAAAATTATGAAAAAATTTTTCGTTTAAATGATTAAATTTAACTTTGAAAGTAGCGCCTTAGAAAAACAAGTGGTAAACGGCCTTTTGCACGATTTTGGACATAGTGAGCCAGCGCTGAAAAACGTCACTGAGCCATTTCATTGGCTTAGGGAGGTATCTGAAGCCATCAGGAAAGTCTCTTTGTCGTTTTGAAGGGAATTTCGGCTATGGGAGGAGCAGTCACGGAGCAAGCAGCTGGTAGAGAAAAAAACTCGAAGCGGGAAGCCGGGGCAAATTTTGCCGGAAACGGGCAAGTGCCATATTGAAAACTAAAAAGCGTTACGCGATGAAACTAGTCACAGATGGGGACAAAGGCGGGACAGGGGGTTGTTGGTGTGTTTGGAAGCGCGGGGATCGTGTCGACGGATCCCCCCGAACGGCCGCCGATCGATACCGGGCGGTTGGGCATGTGTTGGGCGATCCGATAGGCTGCTTCTCGGAGACGCCCCCAAGATCCCCGCAATCGATCCAGCTGGCTATTTCGGGCAACGATTATGAATTTCGTGTATTTATGCTAAAAATCATCTTCCTTAATTATCTTTTTTGAAATCAGGCTCATCTGGAAATTCCACCGCAGCTATCTGGGTTCCAAAAACCGCAAGGAAGCGTTAAAGATAAAATAATTTATCAAAATAATGAAAATCGGGTTGAGCAACGACGATTCCTCGAAATGCAATAAGGTCGATTCGAATCAGGACTAGAATCACGATGGGTTAATGTTTCTGCAATAAATATAATAAATGACAAAAAACACATACTGGGTGTCCCAAAAAAAAGCACCCCCCTCTAGCGGTCCGTGGGAAGCTCAGATCAGGATGATTTTGATACCATTCGAAAGCCCGCGAAAAGGCGAGAAAACAAGCGGGCTTCATTTCCTAAGATGTCTCCGATTCGTCCGATATTCAGCGTTTTTCTAAAAAACAGGTATCTTTTCAATAGGAATTTCGCAATTAGCATGCGGATCTCGCGTAAATCTGCCGTTTGCATGGATTTTGGAGGTATAATTCGCCAATAAAAATACATAATAAAGAAAATGAACCCTCCATGTTTTCTCGCCTTTTCGAGAGCTTTCGATAGATACCTAAACGGCGTGATTCGGAAACGTCTGCGCGCGGCTGGAGGGGGGTGCTTTTTTTGGGATACCCTGTAGTAATGATACAGGAAAGGCATAAATATATATTCTGATCTGGTAATTAAAGTATAGATGTCAGCATATTTTAAGTCAGCGCATTTGCGGCTGGCTCTCAATCTCCATATCTCTCACTCTCTTTCTCCATCCCTCTCTCATTCTCTCTCTCTCTCTCTCTCTCTCTCTCTCTCTCTCTCTCTCTTTCTCTCTCTCCCTCTCTCTCGCCAATGATTAGTCTCTCTGCGTAAATAGGCGCTGAAGTAACGATATATTGACAATGCCTGAAGATGCACGTCGACAGCCCAAAGCGGGCCAACCTTGGGAATTTTGGGAAATTATAAAAATATGGGACAAATCCCAGAACACAACAAAAATAACTCGTAGGTGACGGATTCGGGGAGATGGGGGCGCGTTATTGTTAAAGGAGGAAAAGGAAGGCGGAGCTTTGAAAATCATTTGCTGATATGAGATGAAAAACTGGTAGCGGAATGGCAACGCGGAAAACAGAGCTAAACCCAGAAACGGTAGATGGACACCATCCCGAAAAGACACCATCCCGAAAGACACCATCCCGAAAAATTTGCATGCGAAAAGTCAGCTCTACTATAGAAACAGGAGCTATTTTTCTATGCTAATGAAGTTTTCGCATGCAAATTTTTTCGGGATGGTGTCTTTCGGGATGGTGTCTTTTTCGGGATGGTGTCCATAATTCCCCAGAAACGGCCGTGTGGGACGCGACGCCGCTGGGCATGTTCCTTGAAACGATCCAGCCTCAGAGTTCAGTGGACTGAAGCGGTGGAGGCGGGGGAATATGCGAGATCCGGGAGGGACACCGTATCACATTCGCGGCTGCTGAAATATGGTTGAATCTGGGATTTAGGGTTGATGAGATTTATTCATGGGTGTCACTGTATAGAAAGGCTCTGCAGCGAGGGAAGCTCTCTCTCTCTCTCTCTCTCTCTCTCTCTCTCTCTCTCTCTCTCTCTTGCATTCTCTCTGTCCTCCACTCACGCGCCCACTCTCAACTGTATTTCTTTCCATCCTCTTTAGTAGAATCTCCTCAAACTCCTCGCAACTCGGATTCTTTTTTTGCATAATAGAAGTGAAAGACCATTAGCCAACCCATTAGTGTGCGTGTGTGCACGACGACAAACCTGGCATGCTGTGCCTATTCAGGGCGGGCTGCGGCTCGCCCAGCATCCGGGAGGTGAAGCTGTGGTGAAGGGGGTTGACGACGGAGGATTCCAATGGACCACCCATCAGCAGCTCGCCCGACAGGTAGCCCACGCTCTTTCTACAACATTCAGAATCACAGGGGACACCTAAGCCCAAGCCTAAGTGAAGTCTAAACCTAAGCATAAGCCTAAAGCCAAGCTTAAGCCCAAGCCTAAGACGAAGCTTGACCTAGGCCCATTCCTACCCATGCCTCCCAAGCCGAAGCCTAACCTAAGCCTAAGCCGGAAGCTTTATCCTCAGCCTCCTGGAAAGCCTTGCTTGAACTGCAGTCTCGGTCTTTCTTAAATAAAGAAAAAACCACAAGACTACAATGAGCTTACAGTGAATACGTGGAACGCAATCCTGCGACAGAAAGTAAAGGCTTTGTGGAAGAAATAAATAGTGCCGCATCCAGAACTTTATTTAAATGCCGAGGAAAACCGGCTAGGAAAACGAAAGCGGCCCACTTTGGTGGTGTTGAATGGCTGGAGGGGGAAGCGAGGTGCTTCGCTTGAGTGGAGATCTGCCGCAGCTTTCGTGCGTACTCGTTGCGCTGTCGGCACCAAATGAGGAGCAGCACGAATGAAACGAGCAGCAGTAGCAGCACAGAACCGATCACCAGAATCTCGACGGTTCGCGTACGTGGCAGCACTGAAATTGGTTTTTTTATTATTGATGCCATGTCATGATGCGTGCTTCCTGAGGCCAAGCTGAGCCTAACAAGTCAAGCTTCAGCTAAGCCAAGGACTTAGGAATGCGGAAGCCCAAACCTAAATCCAATCAAAGCCCTAGTCCTCGCCAAGCCTAGGCCCAAGCCTAAGCCCAAGCTTAAGCCTAAGTACACGATACTTACATGAAGCTGAAGCTTCCCGCAGCCCATACGCATTCTTCAGTTCACTTCGGGCTGACGACGTCGATTTCATCAGCGTACTAAAACTGATGTTAAGTTTTGTAAAAATGAACACTGCATTGAATCTAGCCACTCGGGTACGCAATTCGCTTGGTAGACGGCAGCACTGCTCGTGGGAATTGCATCCAAATACGCTTCTCACAGCACTTACTGTATCGCCTGATTGACATCGACAAATTTGCCATTTTGGTCTAAAAAGTGCGCGAGGACCACGGTCGAATTGGAGTTCTGACGGCACCGATCAATCACAGCGGTGAGAGTGGTGGCCGCGGAGAGGAGCCTGAGAATGGAGTCGGTTGCGCAAAACGATCCCGTAGAGCTACCGTATGATGTTTTTCTCGTTGCGCTTGATGTAGTCGAATGGGGCGTCGAAAACGAGCTCCGTTTGTTGGTCGTAGCCGATGACAGAGATCTGAGGATTTCATAATGGAATTAGGTGGATGTCATAGTAAACCTAAGCCTAGGTCTAGGTCTAAGCCTAAGCTTAAGCCTAAGCCTAAGCCACAGCCTAAGCCTGCTTAACCTAAGCCAAAGCCTAAGCCTAATCTGCCCTCTCCAACATCTGGGAACTACGTACCACGATTGTGGCCGTATCCTCGTGGCCGGCCGAGTCGATGACTGCGAGCGTGAGGGTGTACGTGGGCTCGCGCAGCAGCTCGGTCGCCGTCAGCTCGCCGCTTTTCTCGTCCACTCGAATCGGCGACTCGCCGATGCCGAAAGTCTGAAAAACAGTGCTCATGCGCAGGGCATTTTGACATTATACCAAAATTCTGCGTCAATTTAGCTTGCCTGTTTTTCTGTCCTGACCACCCCTTTAATCGCGTAACGAAGCCCATCCCGTTCAAGGTCCGGGTCAACGGCGACAATCTCGGCAATGTGGCTGCCCGGTCCGTTTTGGCCCTAGAAAAGATGTGGTCTCTTCCAAACTTTCCACGCTACCTGTATCACCGTTTTGTAGTAGATGCGCTCGGGGAATTTTGGGAAGTTGTCGTTGACGTCGTCGATGAACACGGTGCCCTTTATGGTTGCATTCGCCGGGCGCAACGGATCAGCGCACGCCATTGCGCAGTCGAAGGCAATAACCTTGAAACGATGTGTTAAGCTGCTGGAAAAGGGCTACCGTAATTTTAAAAGACTCCTGTTGCTCCCGGTCAAACGAGCGATTCGTGTAGAGGAACGGGTCGGTGATCGGGTCGAAGAAGAAGGCCGCATTGTCCACCGAATAGCAGATCTAGGCAGTCGGTCGGATTACGTGGGAATGATGCGCTTTTGAAAGATCAAAGCTCAAAGCGTTTCTTCAAAGGCATCTAGGCTTAGACTTAGGAACAGGCTTAGGTTTACGCTCATGCTTAGAATTAGGTTTAGGCTTTGGATCGGGTTAGGACTAGACTTGGGGCTAGGCTTAGGCTAGTCTTATGCTAGGCTTATGCTTAGGCTTAGGCTTAGGCTTAGGCTTAAGATGCAGCTACAATTAGACTTGGAGGTCTTCGGTGAGACTTGAATCTAAGCTTCGGCTTATCTCCGGTTTAAGGCAAGCCATAGGGTTAGGCATAACCACAGCTCAAAGTTAAGGTTGCGCTGAGGCTTAAGCTTAGGTTTAGGCTTCGAACCTCAACAGACAACTCACCTTCTTATTTTCGGCATGATAGTCGTCGTCGCTGGCGGTCGGTACCCGGCCGACCCTCCTCGGGATGGCGCCACGCCCGTTTTCCACAATCGTCAGCTGGAATGTCTACAAAAATAGGCGTCATTCGCCCTCCAATGCAATCCCTTTTACCGTATCCCGAAACACGGGGCAGTTGTCATTTTTGTCGTTGACGGAGATGAACAAGGTCACCGACGAGCAGTTGCTAAAAGTTAATTAACTCTTAATTTATTTTTGAAAACGAACCGCTTGACATTACACGCGGACACGCGCAGCTCGTGAATCGCCTTCTTCTCAAAGTCAAACGGCGCCTTCGCGGTGAGCACGCCAAGCGGGGAAATGTTGAAGAACTCCCAGTCCTGCAAATTTGCATAATAATAAAAATATCCCTGGCATGTACCGCACCTTCTTGAAATTTTGGTCAAACTTGTAAGAGAACTCCTCCTTGCCGGCCTCGCTGCTCTTGGCCATTTTTATCTTCAGCAGCTCGTCGTAGACGTGATTTTCGTCGAAGTAGTGGATGCTGAAAGAGGGAGGAATCGACTTTTGGCTGTGCTTAACGTTTTTCACCAAAAAAAAAACATCTACAGAACAACAGAATAACGCCTTACTTGCGATGCTGGCGGCTGAGGTATTGACTGTAAAATTAAAGGCTGTATTTTTACGGAATTCATCTGCTTAGCCCTTCCCTTGAAACCACATACAAAGTCTGACAAAAAAATCCTCAAACAGTCCGCATTCGTGCCAGATTCTGACGATTCAGGTGCCTAAGCCCAAGCCTAAGCCTAAGCCTAAGCCTAAGCCTAAGCCTAATCCTACGCCTCAGCCTACGCCTACGCCTTGGCCTTGGCTCTCGACGAGCTGAGGAGATATGTCCATTCCTATTTAGAAGATTCCCGAAGTTTCTCACATTTACTAAGATGTTTGGGGAAAGATCGCATTTCGATTCAATTGATTATTTGAAGAAAGGAAAATCGGGTTAAAAATCGGGGATTTCGAAAATCGGAAAAAGCATATCTTGTCAGCCCGTCGAGAGCTTTCGATAAATATCTGAATCGTCCAAAACCCGATATGACGGCGAGACGCCAGAGGGGTCCTTTTTGCGATACCCTGTAAAGTGCCACATCTCGCAACAGCCGCGTGTAATTCCCCCCCTGAGCTCTCCAGTTACCTATTCGGCTTCGGGTAGACGATCAGGGGCAAATCGGCCTGTCGTATGCCCTGCACGGAGACGCAGAACGGGACGGTCGTGTTTCGCCTCGGCACGCCCAAGTCCGAGGCGGTCAAGTGGCCACAGATCTGCGTTCGTGGATAAGATGGCTTTGTCCGCTTACCTTTTCCCCGGCGTACCCGCTCAATGGAGCGGCGACGACCAGCTTCCCGGTCTCGTCCACCCGGAATTGCGTGTGGTTGGACGTGATCTGGACGGGGTCCGCGCCGGAAGCGTCGGCATCTGAAGAGGGTGATAGGACATGAAGCTGGGGGATCGTGATAGCAAAAACGTTCATTCGAGATCGTGGAATGAGTTGGAAAAGCAAGCTAAGCTCAAGCCAAAAGCCGGATCATAGGTAGAGGCCAACGCCTAAGCCCAGACCCAAGCCTGAATTTAGCTAAGCCTAAGCCTAATTCCAAGGGTAAGCCTAAACCTCAGTCAGCTAAAACTTGAAGTCATTCTAAGCTGAAGCCTAGGCTAAGCCTAAGCTAAACCTTAACATAATCCAAAGCCGAAAACCATAAGCCTATGGCTGAGAGAGGAACGTCCTAAGAGCTAGAAGAAAGTGAAGGATTCCGACGCGCCTTTAACTGCTGGTTGTTCCAGTATTTACACCATTCACCATTCAACATCATTGCCTGAGCGCCAAAAAATTCCGCAAAATTTAGCAATTAGAACTTGGAAACAATTCTAATTTTTTGAGTTACGTCGTTAACTAATAATTCCATACCCGAAGCCGAGATTACGGCCACGATATCCCCATTCTTCGCGTCTTCCCCAACGCTCAAATGGGTCAGCTCGGCGTTGTGGATGATCGGCGAGTGGTCGTTGGCGTCTTCCACGTAGACAGTAACCTAAAGCCTCCCACTTGGCTGGATGTTCCGTTCCACTAACCGATGCGAACACCTCGTGGAACGGCTTCTTCCCGCCGTTGTCAACGGCCCGCACCGTGAACGAGTGGCTTCGTTGCGTCTCAAAATCTAGGGCCCGCTTGAGCACGACGACCGAGGTCTTCTCGTTGATGGCAAAGTGGTTTTCACCCCCTGCAAATTGGACTTGTGGATTTCAGTTGAGTTCCGGATGCGGTACGAGTTAATAAGCCACGCCAAGCAGAATATCAGCTTCTGGGCCTACGCTCAACCTCTACGCGATTGCCGAGGCCTAAGTCTAGGCCGAAGCCTAAGCCTAAGCCTAAGCATGCTTAAGCCTAAACCTAAGCGCACCCACCAATAATCGAGTAGACAATCTTCCCGAATCTGCCGCCATCCCGATCCGTAGCCAATGGATACTCCAACGCGAGGCTCGCCCCAACTGGCAACGATTCGGTGGCATTGACCGAGAACACCGAGCCGTTCCGGAATTCCGGCCTGCAAGAAGCTTTAAAAACAGGGATTCACGGCGTACCGATGGTCATTGACGTCATCAATATAGATCGTCAAATTCGCTGATGCGAGATGGCCAAGCGAATCTTTGACCGAGACGATACCGTCGATTTGGGAAAACTGGATCAAGGTAAATAATTGCTTCCTTTGCTCTCGTTATTCTTACTTGCTCATAATCCAGGGGCTCACGCGTCCGTATCGTGCCGTACTGATCGATCTCGAGTGGGGTTGACGTCTCGGGAAAGATGGTGGTCAAAGAGTAGCTGAAACGGGAGTTTACTTACGCGGTTCGCCGAGTGCGTGGGTAGAATTGGGCCCAAGCATAGTTTAGGCTTATGTTTAGGATTTATGCTTAGGCTTGGGATTTATGCTTCGGCTTAGGCTTGCGCTGGAGTTCAAACTAAGGCTTATGCTTAGGTCGGATAAGGGCTACAATTAGCTTAAACCTAGGCTTAGGCTTAAGCTTAGCTTAAATTTAGGCCTGGGCTTAGGCTCAGGCTTTGGCCGGCGTTTGGCTTTGAACTCAGTTTTTGATATAGATCCAGAACGTGGCGCATTAGCCTCAACCTTTCTTTTGAGAGGTTGCGATACGTTTCAAGGAACACTGAAAAAAATACCGCAATAAATTCTCCACATCCGTCCCCTCGGCCTTGATTTGCAAGATGGGCATCCCGATGGCCGCCTCCTCGGAGACGTTCGCCTTGTAGGCGATGCGCTTGAAGAACGGGCTATTGTCGTTGGCGTCGACGATTTTGATGATCAGCTCCACTAAATGGACGAGATTGATAGGGAACTTTAACAATCCTACTATATATAAAAAAGTAGTGTCTGTGTGTGCGTGTGTGTCGATTTGCATGCAACTTCCGTCTCTATGTCCGGAGGATAAGTCAATAGGAGATGAATATTAGGGTAAGTATGATACATCATTCGGTGCGTAATGGCTCTGCGATGACTGCACGCATAACAAAATTATCGAAATACGCTATTTTCGATATTAAAAATAAGTTTTTCTAAAATTTTCGAGAGCCCTCTTTGGTAGGAAACAATTAGCGGATACCGGAAGTAGAAGAAGCCTATAAAAAGGGATGGAAGAAAATCTTTTCATTTTTGTAAGCTTGATTGAGGCTGAATTATGCAAATTTTACAGTTTCATTTGTCCAAACGGGGCCAGGGTTGAAAAGTCGCGAAGCGGCTTTTCAACCCTGGTTAAAGCTTAAAATACAAAGTGACTTACCGGGAATCTCTTTTTTCTTCTTCTTCATGCTGATATGAAGTTTGATCTCCTTTACGTCGCTGGCCTCGAGCCGCCGTATCGTGTGGATAACGCCGGTTTTTCGATCGATCGATACCCACTTCAGCACCTCATCGTCTGGAAGTAGACAATGGAATCATGAGCACAAGGTTCAAATAAAAAAAAGGATAAGGTAACGCTTAGGACCATGCTCAGGTTTAGGCGTAGTCGGGTCTTCTTCTTACTAGGGAAGTCCAAGATACCCGCAACACGAATCGGGCTGAAAATTTGCACAGTTATAGAACCGACCATGCTGATCATCGCCTCGTTTTCCGAATTTGCTACCGAGCTTCAATAATTAAGATATTAAACTTTTAACATGGGCCAAAAACCCGCTACCCTGATCCTGGCTCACGAGAACGGGTGGGGTTCAAGTGGCCTTTGGGAAGCCCCCTTGCCAGAGCTCCGGTAGTCGACTGGTAAGCTTCCCAGGTGAAGAGTCCGGGTTCGGATCCGGTCCGTGCATTTTTCTTTTGCTTTTTGCTAATTTTGCGCCGCACATGTGGCGCGTGTCCAGATTGTGTTTTTTACTACACGCAGATGAGCCGGTTGCTGCCGTCGAATTACGGAATACCGGTTTTTAACAATTTTTTTACTAGTGTTGTTTTTATGAACTTTTTTCATAAATTTATGGTTTCGTTGAATTTCATTTCTAGGATGTACGTAAATGCGTGTGCATAACACAATCTGGCGACGCGCCACATGTGCGGCGCAAAATTAGCAAAAAGCAAAAGAAAAATGCACGAACCGGGTCCGAACCCGGACTCTTCACCTGGGAAGCGAGGCGCTTACCAGTCGACTACCGAAGCTCTGGAAAGGGGGCTTCCCAAAGGCCAGTTGAACCCCACCCGCCCTAGCGAGCCAGGATCAGGGTAGCGGGTTTTTGGCCCATGTTAAAAGTTTAATATCTTAATTGTTTAAGCTCGGTAGCAAATTCGGAAAACGAGGCGATGATCAGCATGGTCGGTTCTATAACTGTGCAAATTTTCAGCCCGATTCGTGTTGCGGGTATCTTGGACCTCCCTAGTTAGGGTTCGGCTTGCACCTAGGCGTAGGCTTATGCTTACAAGGGAACCTCAAGTTGGCACGGTGGAATTTCGAAAAACGCTCGCGGCTACCCTTAGGTTTTCGACTATGGCGATTCCAACGCTGTAGTCAGAATTTCCTTAATGGGCCTCTGGACAGAGATACAGCACTTCCGGAAAATGATAATTTACATCCAAAAAATTAGCATTAGCGATAGATTTATGAGGCCCTCCCATCACTATGGAATCACCAGTTGGGAACACACAGATGGGAACACCCAGCTGTTCACATAATTTCTGCGAATTTTTGAGGCTTCTTTGGAGTAATCAGCCTCGGCTATAACCAAAATTTTTTCTTATAGTAAAAATCAAAACTGGGAGTTGGGCAGAAAGTTCCCGTCAAAAAGCAAAATAAAAAATCGTGAGCGGGTTCGAACCCTGATCAGCATCCTATCAAGCGAGTCGCCGACCACTCGGCCATTCAACTGGTGATTCCATAGTGATGGGAGAGCCTCATAAACCTATCGCTAATGCTAATTTTTTGGATGTAAATTATCATTTTCCGGAAGTGCTGTATCTCTGTCCAGAGGCCCATTAAGGAAATTCTGACTAGAGCGTTGGAATCGCCATAGTCGAAAACCTAGGGGTAGCCGCGAGCGTTTTTCGAAATTCCACCGTGCCAACTTGAGGTTCCCTTGTTAGATCTCTCAAAACCTGCGCCATTCGATCTCATGCCACACCCTGCTCTACCTGGCATTCCGTCAGCCGTGGCCCGCAAAATCTCATACGTGTAGCCGGGCATCTTGGAGTTGGCCCACCTCACCTCGGTGCGCTCGTCATTAGTTCTAAAACGCAATAGAGTAGTTTATCGATTTTGGAAACTCAAGAATATTCTACTACCCATTTCAAACGCTACCGGTTCAGCTTTGTCGTCAGCGCGCCTCCGATCGTGTTTTTGTGCTCGTTGATGGCGACCAGAGTCGACGAGTTCAATGACGGTTCCCCGTTGTCGTGAGCCCACACCTAAAATTCACGTACTAGCTTATGCAAAAGAGCTCCCGCCTTAAATTCCAGCCACTGCTCCCTGGAAAACGGCTCAGACCCGTTGTACACGATGCTCCCGTTGACGTCAATGTAGAAGCGGTCGTCGTCGGTGGTGAAGTAGATTTTGTTGTTTGGTGGGGTGGCGTCCTCGTCGGTGGCGTCGAGCTGGAAATCGCAAAATTTTGAGGCTCGCAAAAGCGAGAATTCTGCCAGCTACGTGGCACCAGCTCCGCTGAACCCCTAATGTCAATGCCAATGAGTGGTTTCTGGTGGTTGCTCGCTCATTTAAGGCATACTAAATTATGTAAAACACGCATAGATATTTCGACATTATGATAGCAAATCGCGCAAACCTTTCCCAACGTCTCTCCCGGGTTGAGGTTCCGGTCCAAGTTGAACGCGTGGTGCGGGGCGCCGAATTGCGGGCGGCTGTCGTTGGTGTCCTCGACGCGGATCGTAATATTTGTGCTGCCCGTCAACGGAGGTTTCCCGGAATCGGTGGCGGTGAGCACGAGCTCGATAGGGTATACAGACAAGGAGTCACGGTCAATTCGTCCCACGAACAGGATCCCTGCAAAGTATAGATTCGGATTGGATTAGGCTTAGGCTTCCGCTTAAGCTTAGGCTTTGACTTAGGCTTAGGTTTAGATTAGGCATACTTAGGCCTCAGCTGTGGCCTCATTCACCAACCGTTATTCATATCTATTGGCAGCCCCCCTGGCAAATTGCTGATTGTGTAGGTGAGCTGAGCGTTCTCTCCAAGATCGTTGTCCCGCGCCTAAATCCTCACCAGCCAATCGATAGGAAAGTACCGTAATTCTGTGCTTGCTGGCCACCTCCTCGACGACGTCAATCACAATGTGGTCACTTTCAAATGTTGGCGCGTTGTCGTTCGTATCGCGCACCACCACTTTTACGGGGACATCCGTGAATTTTCCTGAAAATGTGAGATTTCAACATTCTGGTCGTCTCACCGCCTCGATCCGTTGCCCGCACCGAGAACGTAAAATTCGTATTCCGCTCCCTGTCGACCGCTTTTGTCGTCGACAGTCGCCCGTCGCCGTCAATGGTGAAAATGTTGTTTGACGAGCCGACGATCTGGTACTCGATTGGCCCGTAGTCGGCCGAATCCTCATCTGCCGCCTGGAATGGCGCGCCATGATTTTGAGGATCACAAGAAATTCCGACCTTGACCTGCCCGATCTCGCCGGCGGCCTCGTTTTCGCGCACGTAGAACGTGTAGCCGTCGGAGGCAAAATGCGGTGGGTTATCGTTGACGTCGACGACTAGCACCTCAATGTCGCAGCTTCCCAAAGGGGAGGAGAGCTGAAAAAATGTTGAAAAAAAGGAAAATTTGGATTTTTATTTTGGATTTTGGATTTGTGAGCCATGGCAGAATTTTTCTAGCTTGCTCCCTCTCTCTCCCTCTCACTCTCGCTCTCTATCTCCCTCCTCTCTCTCGCTCTCTTTCTATATCCCTGTGAGCAGATATCTCTCTCCCTCGCGTTTTTCTTCATCGATCTCTATCATTATCTCTTTCTCTTCCTACCTGCCCCTCTCTCTCTGTGTCTCTCACGCCGGCTCTCTCTCTCTTTCTCTTTCTCTCGCTCTCTCTATCTCTCCTTCCTCACCTTCAGACTGTAGTTTGACGTCTGCTCAAAATCGAGCTTTTGCTGATTCTTCACGACGATCTCAATCTGGTCGGGCGTGACCTGCTTGAAGGCAAAGATGTCGGCACCGCCGATCAAGCGCAGAGCGGATTTGTCCTAGAAAGCCCGTTTTTACAGCGTTTCGAATGTTTAAAAAAACCTATCCCAATACACGTTTTTTTTTTAATCGCTAGCGGGGAGTTTTTTTTTTTGGTCTCCTGTAGTACAAATCCTTCCTACATTCCGAATTTAACGCGTATACCTGTTTCTCCGTCAACCGGATCACTTCCGGCAACTCGAATTGCTCCGCGTTTTCCCGAATCCGCATCGCATACGCCTCTTTTTCACACAGCTTGCCGAGGCTCTGGCTCAGTTTCGGAGCAGGATGAGAGGAGAGGGCCTGGAAAACTACTGAACGGTTCCGAGTGCGCCCTGCCTTCTCCAAAATTCTCGACTTGACGAACTGGATCTTCAGCTTGGCCTCGCTCCTCATCTGGCCCTCGCCCTCCTCGGCTGCCTGGAATTGAGTCCATCGACGGCTGCGCGACGCCCTACCGTCACGCCGAGCCGCAGAAGCAGGGCCTCGTCGGCATGTTTGAGCAAGTTCACGTTGCCGCTCCGCTCGTCAATTCCTAAAATCATGAAGTTGAACTTTCTTGTCAAATCATTAAAATTTAAACATCAAAATGATGTTATGTTTTTTTCAATATCAACACTTTTTGTATTGGTCGAACAATGCCTAGGGTCTTAATAGGAAGTATTCTAACAATATTTTTAGCAAAATAAAAATATTTTGAAGGGAAATCTCCCCCCCCCCCGATAATGCGAAAGAACCAGATATTTAAATTGTGTGATACGCATTTTAGGGATTCCGATTCTGAAGACAAATGCCGATGTCTCACCAAAGAATTCATTCTTCTGCAGGGTGTACCGTATCGGGTTCGACCGTTCGGCCGCCTCGTCCCCGTCCCGGGCGCGGATTTCGAAGACCTAGAAAGCAAAAATGGATCGTGAAGTGCTAATGACGGCACTTTCCCGGCAGTTACGCGCTACACTAAATGACGCGCGCCAAGTTTAATGGCGTACTCCTAGGGCAGTCTCAAAGCCCTTTTTGTGAGGTGTAGCTGCAAGACTCGAGCGGGCAAGCCGGCTTTCGAAAACCTACCACATCTCCAACTTTTGCGCTCTCCTGCACCAGAAAGGTTTGCGAGACGTCGGTGATGAACAGTGGAGGCTGGCTAAAATACACCATTGCAGATGAAGACCGAAACAGACTCTTGGGCATCGAGCACATGAACAGTCAGCAGGACGCTCGTCTCTTGCGATCGATTCTTTGTTGGGTCCCCGTCGCGGGCCGTGATTTTTAGCTAGGTATTTCTCCTAAACAGCCAATGAAGTATAATACCAGGTGTTTCCTCTGCTTCTCGAAATCGAGCTTGTCCTTCACGCGCAGCGTTGTCCAACACTCGCCATTGCCGCATTTTCGCTTGTCAATCGTGAAGCGGTCATCCTTGAAAAAATAGGTTACGAAGAAAGCTGGCATTAAGCCCAAACCTAAGCCTAAACCCGAACGTGCCTAAGCCTAAGCCTAAACCTGGCTTAAGACTGAACCTAAGCCTAAACCTAAGCCTATGCCTAAGCCTCAGCACTTACATCGATTGTGTATACAGCCATGCCAGCAATACCAGTGTCCGGGTCGTGGGTGCGCAGTTTCAGAATCGCCGACCCCTCGGGCGCGTCCTAGAACGTGTGATAAAGCCTATCAATGCGCCAATGATTTTTATCTCAATGAGTCAACACCCAGAAAAAATCAGGACTGCACCCACCTCGAACACGCTGATGCTGCTGGGCACATTGAGGAATTCGGGGGCGTTGTCGTTGACGTCCACCACCTAAATTTTGACGCATCATACCCCCGGAAACGTAACGTCTAGACGCCGTTTTTCGACAATACCTGAATCTCGAGGGTGGCCCGCGATTTCTGAGCGCCGGACAGCACTAACGAGAACGATTCCCAGCGCAACCCGTCGGCATTTTCCTTCTGAAATGTGTGTAAAAGTTCGTATATGTGATCACATTCGTTCGTGCAGCATTTGGGTTGTGCGAGGCCGATGCCTATGTCTAGGCTTCAGCCTATGTCTAACAAGGGAACCTCACGGAGACATGGTGGAATTTCGGAAAACGCTCGCGGCTACCCCTATGTAATCGACCATTGCGATCACGATGCGCTTGTCAGATTTTTCTAAATAGACCTGTGGACAGAGATACAGCACTTCCGGAAAATGATGATTTACATGCAAAAAATTTGCATTCAAGGATGGTTTATGAGGCTCTCCCATCACTATGGAATCACAAGTTGAATGGCCGAGTGGCAAGCGACTCGCTTGGTAGGATTCTCACGAGGGTTCGAATCCGCTCACGATTTTTTGTTTTTTGTTTTTGGCCAGAGATTTTTGTACAAGTCCAGAATGTTACTAGTAATAAACCGAAATCCCTGTTGGCGTTCTTCCATCTTTAACCATTAAAGGCCAAAAAAATTCGAAAAATTAAAATCAGATCTGCCGGCTGGAGTCACCCACACCTGACCTGACCATCTGCAAAAAAATCAAAAATCAATTTACAAGAATAATTTTCTGTCCACGTAACGTCGACAACTGTCTTAAAATTAAGAAGTACTTTAGCACGTACCAGCACAAAAACCTCTGGCCAAAAACCAAAAACAAAAAAAATCGTGAGCGGATTCGAACCCTCGTTAGAATCCTACCCAGCGAGTCGCTTGCCACTCGGCCATTCAACTTGTGATTCCATAGTGATGGGAGAGCCTCATAAACCATCCTTGAATGCAAATTTTTTGCATGTAAATCATCATTTTCCGGAAGTGCTGTATCTCTGTCCACAGGTCTATTTAGAAAAATCTGACAAGCGCATCGTGATCGCAATGGTCGATTACATAGGGGTAGCCGCGAGCGTTTTCCGAAATTCCACCATGTCTCCGTGAGGTCTGCCTAAGCTTAGCCTAAGCTAAGCCTAAGCCTAAGCCCAAGCCCAAGCGTAAGCCTATGCCTAGGCGTAAGCATAAGCCTAAGCCTAACAAGGGAAGGGCACATGCACAGGTTGGAATTTCGAAAAACGCTCGCGGCTACCCCGGGGTAATCGACTACGGAGAACACGATGCTGTCGTCCGATTTTCCTGCCGAGGCTTGTGGACAGAGATACGGCACTTCCGGAAAATCATGATTTGCATGCAAAAAATTAGAATCCGGGGAAGCTTTATTAGGCTCTCCCATCAGTATGCAATCACCGGTCGAGTGGCCGATTGGTAAGCAACTCGCTTGGTAGGATACTGACGAGGGTACGGATCCGCTCGTGATTTTTTCGTTTTGCTTTTTGACAAAATTTTTTGCACAAGTCCAGAACCTTTCCTAAATGTGTAAAAAGACGCCTTTGTGGCCTGTAATACGTCTAGCAATCAAAGAAAAACTTCCACCCCATCCATCCACCGGCTTTCAAATTCAAAAAATCTGGAAAAATTTTATAAAAGCGCTGTCTAACCAACTTGCCAGGGCCGTGCAACAGGATAAGGTGCTACAAAACCAAACGAGAGCGTGACGCTTGGCTTCTGCAAAAATTTTCCCGCAGAATTTTTGATCGTTCGGCAGCCGATGATAGGTGGAGGGTCGGAAAATAGAATTTTCGAAAAAGTTTTTCTTTGATTGCTAGACGTATTACAGGCCACAAAGGCGTTTTTTTACACATTTAGGAAAGGTTCTGGACTTGTGCAAAAAATTTTGTCAAAAAGCAAAACGAAAAAATCACGAGCGGATCCGTACCCTCGTCAGTATCCTACCAAGCGAGTTGCTTACCAATCGGCCACTCGACCGGTGATTGCATACTGATGGGAGAGCCTAATAAAGCTTCCCCGGATTCTAATTTTTTGCATGCAAATCATGATTTTCCGGAAGTGCCGTATCTCTGTCCACAAGCCTCGGCAGGAAAATCGGACGACAGCATCGTGTTCTCCGTAGTCGATTACCCCGGGGTAGCCGCGAGCGTTTTTCGAAATTCCAACCTGTGCATGTGCCCTTCCCTTGTAAGATTAAGACTTCGGTATGCCAGTCTTCTTCAGACAAATCCCTTCCCCGGGCCGGTATCACCGCAAAAGACAGACGAACCCCCTAGCTATTCATGGACGTTAGCCAACTTCTTGACGTCCCTTTCAAGGTGTGGGAACGTTCTACCCCTCCTTCGCGAAGTCGCAATCCGCGCATCATGGGCGCAGTGCTGTTCAAAATCCCCTTCGACCCACATCCGGCCGTTCGGATTTCGAATTGAATCGGAATCCTCCGCGGCAAATTAAGACCAAGACGGGACTCCTAAGATGAGGCTTAGTGTGGCGTGGCGATACCGTTGTATGGTTTCCTAAATGGTGCCCCGAGTGTAGCACTACTGCCAGGAGTGGCGGAGGTATATGCTAATTAATAGAGGGTTTGGCTTCTGAAAGTGCTTGCCATGCTTCAAGGCCAAAGAACTGCAAAGGTCTCTGCCACGTACCCGGGGTTTTTAGCTCTCTTTCCACAATGATCTACATTAGAGCCCCCCCCCCCCTTGAATAGTTGGGTATTTTAGCTATCTCGTTTTTGCGATTCCCCACTTGGTCTCCCCCCTCGTAGCCCCGGGCACATTTTGGGGACTTAATTGCACCATGGGCCCCGCCAGGGGTCCCAGTGTCCAAAATGGTACGACTTCAGCGTTCTCTCTCTCTCTCTCTCTCTCTCTCTCTCTCTCTCTTTCGCTATCCCTGCCAATCTCTCGCTCTCTGCCACTCTCTCCTCGCTTCGGAACCAGGGTCATTGAAACCTTGCCGTCATCTGCTATCATCGTTGCCCTCTGCTCGGGCCGACATTAATAATACATGCTAATTACCCTCCAATCGGTCACTCTAGGCCCAGAGGGCGGTTGGGCACAATTTGGGGCAGATTTGGGGGTAAGTTGTGTGTAAAAACGCATCAAACCTTGGGCTTAACCTGGAAACAGGGCTCCTAGGATCTTCATTTAGTTTGGTAGATAGTTTACAAAAGAATCAGCCGACGACTATGACAAGCCTGAATCCTAAGCCTAAAGTGTAAAGTGTTTTTACTCAAGCTGGCGTTTTGGGATGGGACCAAGTCTACTTTGTGCAGGATTTTTTGCTGATTCCAAATATGGCTTCCAAATCTGCTGCCGACCCTTATTTAAGAGGTTATTCGACATTTATACTAAGCCTACGCAAAAGTCTTAGCCTGAGCCTAAGACTAAAGCTAACTAGGGAAGTATCTGAACTTGCCATCGAACTTTGAGAACTCAGATATACCATTCGATACGCCGTGACAAGAGGATTCCAAATATGTAATAAAATCAACGGGAGCGCATAACGGTAAAAAGTTATGAGCATTTTAAGTTTTACATTGAAATCCGCCGCCGCGAGAAGAGCCCCTCCCAGCGCACCCTGTTCATCGGTCTCGTGGCCTAGTGGTGTGCGCATGGGTCTCTGGTCTGTATGACCAGGGTTCGGATCCCCTCACGATTTTTATTTTTTGCTTTTTGACCAGTTCCTAGTTTTTGGCATGTCCAAACTCGGGAATAAGTTTTTCTTGACTGTGTGGCCCCTGAAAAGCACTATTGATGATAAAATAACCTCCGGCAACAAAACCAGGATTGGACGCTCTCTATATCAAAGTTGGCAAAATCGTCGGAAACCGCCCTTTTAAGGCTCGGTGCGAATTCGAAGAATTTAATTTTTCAAAAACGGAACAGTACATCTTGATCAGCAGAAAATTCCCTTTTGAATGAGCTATCTTACCTGCGCTTTACGCCAAATTCTCGAAAAGTCTTTGGCTAGCTGGCCATACCCTACCCTTACACTGCATTCCAAAAATATTTTTGGCGGAAATTTTTGGCAGCCGTATGTAATATAGCTCATTTGAAAGAGCTTTCTTTGTTGAACAAGGAGCACTAATTAGTTTAGACTAAATTCCATTCCGCGGGATGATACAGGGTCTCAAAGATGCTGTTTTTCGTCATCTTGCCGACTTTGAAGCCTCATAACTTTTTACCGTTATGCGCTCCCGTTGATTTTATTACATATTTGGAATTCTCTTGCCACGGTGCGTCGAATCGTGTATCTGACTTCTCAAAGTTCGATGGCAAGTTCAGATACTTCCCTAGTAAGCCTGCGTCTATGCCTAATCCCAAGCTCTAAGCATAGTCCTAAGCTTATGCCTAAGTCTAAGCTTAAGTTTAACCTATGCCTAAATCTAAGTCTAAGCCTAAGCCTAAGCCCAAGGCTATGCCTAATCCTAAGTCTAAGCCTAGGCTTGTGCCTGGCTCTAGCCCGCCGCCTCGACCCCGATTCGCGTAAAAAAGCGATGAGTTGTGTTCGACGTTGAGGCGGCCCCTTAAAGTCTGAACTCCCCTGGGGGACACCATCCCGGTCCGCTCCGGGCACTAATATTTGGTGACAGAGTCCCCGGGGCCAATCGGGGATTAGGTTAGCCCCTCCCTCTCTCTGCCTCTGCGCTGTGACCACTTAAAAGATGGCCCAGCCCCGAATTGACAGAAATGAAATGAATGAAACCCCGACAGAGCCGGGTGTCAATTGGGGGTGACTGGAATCGAATCTCAACCCGACTCACATCCGCGTCGAGCTCGTTGTTCAACTTCAGCGTGGCACACGATTCGTTGAGCCGGGCGACGGAGAACGTCTTCTGCGCGTCGCCTAGGGGTGAATGAGATAAAATCTGGAATGATGTTTACCTTGTAAAATTCGCACATTGCCCGGGCAAATGGTGACCGGTAGCGGTTTCTCGAGCGGCCAGTCCTCCTCCACCAACAGAAATGACGGGTCGACGAGGAGCTGCGCGGAATCCACTATAAAAATTTGTGATTTTGATGGTACTGCGGTCGTGGCGAGCCAACACTATCCTCAGGGTTTTTCAAAATGTCGTAATTTATAATACCAAAATTTCTTAACGTCGAAATATTATAAATTGGAAATTCAAAATGAGAAAATGTGCATAAACTGATATTCCCGGAGAAAACCTCAAAAGACACGCAAAAAATATCGATATTCTGAATTTCGACGTTATGATATTCTGAAATTCTGAATTTCGACAGTATAATTTTCGGCATTATGAGTTTCGACAGTATGATTTTCGACATTTTGAATTTTAACATTTTCACATTCTGAATTCGACAGTATGCTTTTCTTCGTGAAAAAACCTTTGTTGCGAACGTTTTTTACAAAGACGAGACTCTCTCTTTCTATCACTGGTCGCCCTTTCCGATTGGCGGTAGGCTATACAAATTCTAGCAAAATGACTGTAAAAATATGAATTTCCACTAACTTTTGCCCCCGCTGACCACGATTTCTTGCATAACCATCGTCGTGCGACTCATAGCGAGCTGCCAATCGAGGGGGGTAGAGTTGGTTCTGAAGTGCGTGTTTGCACCCTCTAACAAGGGAACCTCACGGAGACATGGTGGAATTTCGGAAAACGCTCGCGGCTACCCCTATGTAATCGACCATTGCGATCACGATGCGCTTGTCAGATTTTTCTAAATAGACCTGTGGACAGAGATACAGCACTTCCGGAAAATGATGATTTACATGCAAAAAATTTGCATTCAAGGATGGTTTATGAGGCTCTCCCATCACTATGGAATCACAAGTTGAATGGCCGAGTGGCAAGCGACTCGCTGGGTAGGATTCTAACGAGGGTTCGAATCCGCTCACGATTTTTTTGTTTTTGGTTTTTGGCCAGAGGTTTTTGTGCTGGTACGTGCTAAAGTACTTCTTAATTTTAAGACAGTTGTCGACGTTACGTGGACAGAAAATTATTCTTGTAAATTGATTTTTGATTTTTTTGCAGATGGTCAGGTCAGGTGTGGGTGACTCCAGCCGGCAGATCTGATTTTAATTTTTCGAATTTTTTTGGCCTTTAATGGTTAAAGATGGAAGAACGCCAACAGGGATTTCGGTTTATTACTAGTAACATTCTGGACTTGTACAAAAATCTCTGGCCAAAAACAAAAACAAAAAATCGTGAGCGGATTCGAACCCTCGTGAGAATCCTACCAAGCGAGTCGCTTGCCACTCGGCCATTCAACTTGTGATTCCATAGTGATGGGAGAGCCTCATAAACCATCCTTGAATGCAAATTTTTTGCATGTAAATCATCATTTTCCGGAAGTGCTGTATCTCTGTCCACAGGTCTATTTAGAAAAATCTGACAAGCGCATCGTGATCGCAATGGTCGATTACATAGGGGTAGCCGCGAGCGTTTTCCGAAATTCCACCATGTCTCCGTGAGGTTCCCTTGTAGGCCGCATTACCCCTTTTCTTGTGCTCACCCCCGCCAGTCGTAGCCCCAGGGCATATAATCCATATAGACACATCGACTGCACCCTTAAGCAGGCCGTTGTCAAGCTTAAACGGAAAAGGTCCTTATGAATTTGCGTCGCCCGCTACACGCAATGCGGCAATGCGGTCAAATCGGATAGAATTCCCAAAGAATTCGTAGCAGATTGATCCGAGCATTTCACGAATCGTTTTTGAATCACGAAGTCCTGCTTACGATTTTGCAAACTATAACAAAATTCCAAACCAGAGAAGGGGAACCCTAGCGAGAAATAGAGAGTGATGGAGCGAGAGAGACAGCGCTTGCGGGAGATAGAGAGCGAGAGAGCGAGAGAGAGAAGGAGAGAGAGAGAGCGAGGAAGAGTCAGTGGGAGATAGAGAGCGATCGAGCGAGAGACAACGCTTGCGAGAGATATAGAGCGAGAGAGACAACGCTTGAGAGACAGAGAGCGAGAGAGACAGAGAGAACTAGTGAGAGAAGAGAGAGGCTAAAAAAGAATGAACGAGAGCGCGCGAGTGACAAATAGAGAGAGGGAGAGGGAGACAGAGACAGATAGACAGAGAGATGCGGACAAAAGAGATGCCTAAAGGCAGAAAATGCCACTTCACTCCCGGGAATTGGGGTTAAGGACCTAATAGTCTTTTATGTTTCCAATTGATCACAACCCAATGCGGTAAATACTTGAAAAATAATAGAGTGCTTAACTCGAGAAAATTACAGCTGAGACGAGCAAGCTAGCAGAGAGCATTGGAGACGCAACTTGCATCCGTGTGGCTTTCTAATGCCCAAAAAATATTCAAAGGCAGAGCGCAACGGTGTTTGCGCGGGATTTTTGGAACGATTTCTAACCCGGATCGGCCAAGACCAAATTGCAACAATCAGCCTTTTTGTAAAAATTCACCTAAAAAGTGCTGAAAAATCCACTTGATGCCAAGCCTTTTTACTTCATTTTTTCAAAATTTTTTGATTTTTGGTTATTACAAATGATTTTAAAAACCCACCAGGCAACACGATCGCCGCGGCAGCGAATAACAGCAAAAAAATGTCCATAGGGCATAAATGTAGCGGAATCGGCCGGCAGTCGCGTCACGGATGTAATTGGCTAGCGGGGGCTATCGAAACGTCAACCCGGATTGTCTCGGCCTTGGGTAGGCAGAGGCTTTTTGTGGCGTGTACAGTGGTGGTGGAGGGGTAACAGATGGTTGAATAGTTAGGGGGGGGCGATCGGGTGGAATGGGGCAAAATCTATCCCGTTCGGTGGATTGATGCCTGAAATGGATTGGGGTTGTGGGCATTTATAGGGATATCGGTTCGAGGACGATGAGAACAGGAACAACGACGCGACGGATAAAGAAGGATTTTAAAACGACGACTTTTTTGGATGAAGGATGGTAATGAAGAACTTTAACCACAAAACTTTTAAAAAAATTTTTCACTTTAACTATCATATTTAATGTCCATTTTATCCCTTTCAGAGGTTAAATCCTTGACATTTTAGGGTGTATACAAATGAGCGAGACTATAAGAAGGCGGCAAAACAAGAATGAACCGAATGCAGCAGCAGCAGCAGAAGCATAACCCCAAGTTAAATCCTGAGCCTAAGCCTAGATCTAAGCACAAGCCTAAGCCTAAAGCGAAGCCTCATCCTAGGCGTAAGCCTAGGCCCAAGCCAAGCCTCTACCAACGCCCAAGCCAAGCCAAAGCTTAAGCCAAACCAAAGCTTAAGCTAAACCAAAGCCGAAGGTAAGCCTAAGTCAAATCCTAAGCCTAAGCCTGGCCAAATCATAAGCCTAGGCGGAAATTTAGGCCGATGCCCAAGCCTAAGCTTAATCCTAAGCCCTAGCCTAAACTGAAACCTACGCTCAAGCCTACGCCGAAGTCTAAGCCTAAACTTCAGCCCAGGGGAAGTCGAGTACCTAAATGAATTGAACCGCTTAAAATCTTTTGTGACTTCGTTTCAGTAGAAGCCAATTCCTTCAAACTTTACAGAGCCAGGCTGGCCGAAAGAACGCACCCGACGCTCCATCAAATTTGCATCAAAATGCCGGGTCGGGCGGAGGGCGCCCGTTCCCGGTCGGATGGGTGATGTTAGAGATTTTTTAGGGCCTAGCGGAGCCATGGGGGAAAAAGCCTGGGTGCCTAATTTCTTATGGATGAGTGATGGAGCGTTCTTATTGGCTGGGGAAAGGCCCGGTCCGGACTCAGGAAAATGGCTGCTTAGAAGTAGCAATAAAAATAAAAGGGTTGGAAAGCTGCGGAATCGTTTGACTTTGTGTCGACAGCGGATTCCAAAGCGGGCTTATCTTCAAAAGCAAATCGTGGATAAAAATTCGTCTGGAAGCTCCGCCAGGCCAAGACCACTACGTAAAGCTCCAAAAAACGCGCTAACCGGCCGGGTCGTGAAACGACGCCTTGGGATGCAAAAGTGTGGACAATGGGGATGGGGGAAAGGCGGTAGGGGGTGTAATCCGTTGTGCTTTCAATGTTCCGGGCGCACAGTGTCAAACGGTTTGGAGGGAGAGAAAGAAAAACGAGAGAGCGAGAGAGACAGAGACAGAGAGAGAGAGAGAGAGAGAGAGAGAGGGACAGAGACAGATGGAGAGCGATAGAGAGTCAGACACATACAAATCAAGGCAGGGACAGATAAAGCTATTTCTGGTAGGAGAGAGGAGAGAGAGAGATAGATAGTGAGAGAAAGCGAACCCTAGCAAATGCCCAGAAACTGAGTAAATTCCAAGACCAACCAAAAAAGCTCACGCTACAGAACTTTGTCCGAAAAACGGGAAAGGGTGAAGAAAGAGAAAAGAAGAAGCTCTCCCTCCCGTAACCCCTACAGGTCGTCCCCAGAGATGGCCCCAGGGCCCGAAGATTGTTTGAGGGTAGGATCAGCCGCTGGCGTCGGGACGTCGCCCCCAAATGGGGCTTACCATAGGAGCTGGCCGTAGCCCCAGCCAAGCAGCCCTGCTTTCTCTGGACCTACACAACGCGACACAGGTTTTTCGAAGGGGGGGGGGGGATTCGAAAGAAGTTTGAGATCTAGTATTTTTTGGATTTTTCTCCCTCTCTCACTCTCTCTTTCTCTCTTGCTCGTTCTCGCTCTCGCTTTCTCTCTCACTAAATCTTTCTCTAATCTTTCGCTCGGTCTCTCTGATCTGACTCTCTTGGCTCTCTCTCCATCGCTTTCGCTCTCTCTCTCTCTCTCTCTCTCTCTCTCTCTCTCTCTCTCTCCCTTTCCCACTCATTGGCTCATTCTCTCACTCTCTATCTCGCTCCCTCAAATTCGACCCAAATTGAAGTCTTGAGGCTCGGATTGCTTGCCTCGACAGCAGCGATTACAAGAGGAAATTTCAGTCAAAGCGAAGACAAACAGAATTTTTACAGAAATTGCATCGTCAGAAACCCCAAGCGGTCTTATACAAAAATCAAAAGAAATGTGTCCGGCGACCGATGGCAGCACGACTCAATTGAAATTCGTCGCGGGGCGGTTCCCCCCAGGGGCTGCTCCAAGTCCCGCCCCTTCCCAAGCGAGCCGCCAGCTGGGTGGTGGCAGCAGCCAATTTTGAATAAACAACGCACTAGGGGGTTTCCAGGACTTCTGGGACAGTTTAAGGTATCTGGAGGTAGTCAGAATAACGGGATATTTTGATTGTCGCAGTGGTAAGTGTGGGATTACGATTGTACATGGCAAAATTCGCATGTTGAAGTTTGCAGCGACATGAAATTTCTGCTAGGAAATGTGTTGAAAATTATCGGTTTCGATATCCTGGTAGGAAATCCCCATGTCATGTTATCACATGAGCCTCTAAACCTATACCTCAGCCTCAAAACAAGCCTAAGCCTAAGCGTAAACTTAAGCCTGAGCCAATTCCTAAACCTAAGCCTAAGCCGATCCCAAAGCCTAAGCATATGCCTAAGCCTAAGCCTATTCCTAAGCCTATGCCTAAGCCCAAGCCAAGCCTTGTCTTAAGCCAATTTTAAGGCAAGTTTAGCCTAAGCCGAAGCCAATCTTAAGCCAAGTGCAGGCCAAAACAAAAGCCCATAGAGAAACCAAGAAATTGACGACCCTCTTCCAACAACCACAACCACGCCGAGGACTTTTCCCCTGCTGGGACACGGGTTTGTGATATGCACCTGTTGGATGGGAGCTAGGTGGGATGAGATACTCACCCCTCAAAACCACACTCAATGACAACTGACCCGTTTCTTTTTTTTGAGGCCACCTGCAAGGCCACCAAAATGTCGACGGAAAAACACGACAAATTCGTCTGCGGACACCGCGGATTTTGATCGATCACCGGGAACTCGGGGGGGCGTCTGGAGCGGGGTAGACTAGAAAGTGATCGGGGATCAAAGATGAGATGCGTTAGAGTTAGGTTTAGACATGGCTGAAGCTTGGCACCGGATTAGCCTGGGATTAGGCTTAGGTTGAGCTTAGGCTTAAGCTTAGGATTAGGCTTGAGCCTGGACTTAGGCATAGGCTAAGGCTTAGGCAGGCTTGGCTTCGGCTTAGGCTTAGGCTTCGTTTAGGTTTAGGTATAGGTTAATCTTAGGCTTAGGTTTAGGATTAATTTGAGTTTTTTTCTTTTTGAAATGGATTTACCGAATTTATTGACCCTGGGTTTCTTACAAAAAACGCAATTTCAGGATTTTTACGCTTTTCCTCGCAGCCCAACGAAGGCCTATGCACCTTCCTGAAAACCGTTTGCAAAAACCGTTCGGATAGCGCTTAAATAGGTTACATGGAGTTTTGGGAAATAGCGCGTCCTTTTGCATGAAAAATGTCAAAAATCGAGCAAAAATTTCGAAATTTCGGAAGTCGGAATGACGGTGCTGACCTCGCCTATTTGAGAGCTTTCGATAAATACCTAAATTGTAAAAATCAGACACGTCTACTTCAGCTACAAGGGGGGTTGGGACGGCCTGTACGTTAAGTAACAAACAACCCCCCTCCGGGCCGGATGGCATGCAAGAGAAAAGATTGTTATTCCAGCACCGTCACCCGTCCACCTCGATCAGTTCCACCGTCTGCTCGATTTTGTGGTTGCACCGGCAGGGAAATTCGGTTCTTTGCGGTGTGGGCATAAACGCATTACGGCGCCCTTCTTTCACTTACCGGTTTTATTTTGAAGCCGTCGGTTGCCTGAACACTCAATGTGGACAGTTTAACCGAAAAAAAGCGTTTGAATTAGAAAAACCACGGTAAAAACAGTTCTAGAAATTACCATCACACCGGGTGTCGGAAAAAAAATTACCCCCTCTTCTAACTAGCCGGCTGCAGTCGCGTCCGATTTTTACCATTTAGGTATCGTAAAGGCTCTCGGAAACGCGTGCGCTGATTCGATTCCCAGATACTTGAAATTGTTCTAACGTTTACTAACAATTAGTGTTGGACAGCACCCCGAAGAGAGCACCCCGGGGTGCTTTTTTCCCACCCCGGGGTGCTTTTATTTTCACCCCGGGGTGCTCTAAAAAAGCACCCCGGGGTGCTTCAAAACCACCCCGGGGTGCCCCCAAAAGCACCCCGGGGTGGAAATAAAAAGCACCCCGGCCGAGAGAGGGGGTGCTCTGGAAAGCACCCCGTCCCCCAGTGGGGTGCTCCAAAAAGCACCCCAGCCTCCCTTGGGGTGCTCCAAAAAGCACCCCGGGGTGCTTTCGGAGGCACCCCAGGGGTGCCTTTTGGGGTGCTCTGTGGGGTGCTGTCTGGGGTGCTTTTTGCCAATGACCGCAATATATCAACCAGGCTATTTTGATCGAATCAGGAGATGAACATCATTTTCGAGCAGTTCACGCAACTCGGCGCCAATTCGATTGCAACTCATTTGGGGGTCGTTTGGGAGCATTTCTTCGAGGTTGTTGAACACGGCGGACGATTTCGAGACGTTTTTTCTAACCGCGCTAGCAGGCTGGGCAAAGCTGGTAAAGAGCTGAAACTCGTTGGGCAGATAGAACTTTTCGCGCTCTTTCGAATGGTGCCCTTCGCGATCCAGGATTCGCAGGGCAAATTGAGATATGATGGTTTTAGTGCGGCAACAACTTCGACAGGTACACCTTTCGGCACTAAAACGCTCCCCTCTCTGTCCCCCGACGATTGTGGAGAACGGCAAGTATACCGTTGGAAAGAGCGCTCAAAATGCAACCTTCTCAACCGCTTAAAGCAATTCTATCAAGCTTCTTTAGGCCGCTAGCGCGGTTAGAAAAAAACGTCTCGAAATCGTCCGCCGTGTTCAACAACCTCGAAGAAATGCTCCCAAACGACCCCCAAATGAGTTGCAATCGAATTGGCGCCGAGTTGCGTGAACTGCTCGAAAATGATGTTCATCTCCTGATTCGAACAAAATAGCCTGGTTGATATATTGCGGTCATTGGCAAAAGCACCCCAGACAGCACCCCAAAAGGCACCCCTGGGGTGCTTCCGAAAGCACCCCGGGGTGCTTTTTGGAGCACCCCAAGGGAGGCTGGGGTGCTTTTTGGAGCACCCCACTGGGGGACGGGGTGCTTTCCAGAGCACCCCTCTCTCGGCCGGGGTGCTTTTATTTCCACCCCGGGGTGCTTTTTGGGGGCACCCCGGGGTGGTTTTGAAAGCACCCCGGGGTGCTTTTTTAGAGCACCCCGGGGTGAAAATAAAAGCACCCCGGGGTGGGAAAAAAAGCACCCCGGGGTGCTCTCTTCGGGGTGCTGTCCAACACTACTAACAATGGCTACACTTTACTTTACCCCCTCCCCCCCGGCCGGAATGTTTTGGCTATTACCATTTTATTTTACATTATTGTAGGCTCAAATTAAAACGCCTAATATATTTTTTGACGCTCTATCGAATGCCGTTGCAAAAAAACCCGACAAAAATAGCGATAATACCGAAAACTTTGAGACCCTTCGGCTGTGGGGGGTAAAGTAAACTCTTACCGATGTTTATTTGAAGCTACAATTTTTCAATGCAGGAGGCCACAAATGTCGTGCCCCTTATTGGCCTCGTGCTAAAAGTTGCCCAAGGCCACCGTTAATTGTCGGCACTTTCGCCGGAGGCCGGCCGTTTTTCACGCCCTCCACTTCGGCGGCGACTTTCTACAGAGCTGCGCGGGGCCGGTTATTCCATTGTCCATTCCATAAGACACCCCCATAACGGCCGCCTCCTCCTCACCACCGTTTTTCGGGTATCGTTGAGTAGGTGTCGGGACGCATGGAAATTGCATAGAGTGGTGGCATGGCAGGCCAAAAGAGATTTAAGGGGATCGTAAACACATAAATACACGTGATACCTCGATCCTTGACATTCCCCGGAATCGTTGAACCACCACCCAACCTCGCTTAAGTCCCGTTGCCTAAAGCCCATTTCGCCTAAAGCGTATATGGCATTTTCATTTTTCTCGCATTGAACTTTTTGATTTTTTGATTCAGAAAATTGATAATTTTTTTAATCCTGCATTTTCGCCAAAAAAAATCACGATTTTTCGAAATGCATATGAATGTTTTATTATTTTATAAAAAATAATTGTAAAAACTCCTTGTAAATCACGTTTTGAAAGTAGTTGCATGGCTTTTATTGAAGAAATTCAAGAACGATCTTTAAAAATTTACGAAGCAAGTATAAAAATTTCGAGAATTGCCGACTTTTTGGTCAAAAACTCAGTTAAGAAATTGGCCAAAAATTTAGGCGAAATGGGTTTAGGCGATATGGGCTTTATGCGAAACGGATTTCGGGGAAGTGACCGGAATTCGAACTTCCGAGAAGTAACTTTCGGGATATTGAACATCAGCAAATCTAGTCAAATACCGATGTCGTTTTAGGCACTTGCTGGCCCGGTAAAGTACGGCCGCGTATTGTGCATCTATTGGACCTGGCCTAAAACAACACTTGCAAACGGACGAAAATTGAGCAGACAATTTATGGCTTGCAGTGATGCTTGAGGAATAACAAACAGGGATCGTTGAAAACAAGGCGCTTGAGCTTGGGCATAGGCTTAGGTTTTGGCTTGGGCTTAGGCTTAGGCTTAGGCTTAGGCTTAGGCTTAGGCTTAGGCTTAGGCTTAGGCTTAGGCTTAGCTTAGGTAAAGATTTGGGCGTAGAGCTAGGCTTCGGTTGGGTTCCGCTTCGTTTAGGCTTAGGCTTGGGCTGGGCTTTGGCTTGGACCCAGGCGTGGGCTTAGCCATAGTTTTTGGTTTGGGCTCAGGTTTACTCTTAGCGTAGCGATATCAGCGATGTGAGCAAAAACATAGGACGCAATAGGCGAATAAAACGGGTGGTGGACAACGGCAGAGAGTTTACGTCCGGACGGGAACGCGGTCATAAAATCAGAGGACGGGGGCCCACCCGGCTTTGAGCAAATTTTTAGGGCATTTTTTGAGACGCCGGGTGGGCCCGGGGGCGAATTTTAGGGGCCAAGAAGACGGGATGGGGACATTGATATCGAAAGCACATCGATAGAGCCAAGAAATCTTGAAAATATGGATTATTAGTGGGATCCGACGTCTCGGAGCCGGGAACTGAACGATACTTAGGATTCTCATAGGTTTGCTGCTCATGGCGTTGTGTAGTTCGGGGCTCTAGCGATTGTAAAATGTGCTCAAGTTCTTCTTCTAAGCGCTCGGCATCCGGACCGAGTTCCTGAAAAGGTGTCATACGCACTTTAAACGTACAAGCTGAATGGGGAAAGTTGATAAATCATAAATCAAATGTTGAAGCTAAATATCGCCAAAGATTCAATTGGAAATACCTGTTTTTTTCGTTGCCGATACTGCTGCTTTGAAACTGACCTAGACGTGCTTATACTTGGTGAAGAGCAGGTGGAGAAGGCGAAGCGTCGACTTCACGTCACCGTTAGCAATGTCAGCCACCTGAATGACACGGTATAATCTTCATACCTTTGCGTGCTCGAAGCCTAAGCTTAAGTCGAAGCCTAAGCCTAAGCCTAAACCCAAGCCAAGCATAAGCCTAGCCTAAGCCTAAGCTTATGCCTAAGCCTAAGCCTAAACCTAAGCCTAAAGAGAGGCGGGAAAATCTGAATATCTGAGATTGTTCTTTACCCTGGATTTCGGCTTGATGCCGACCTGGTCCATCAGCTGGTATGCAAATTGGACGTTTTTCATCTTTTCCTCGTGCGTGGACACCTGAAAAGCGGAATACAGCTTTCAGTTGAATTTCCTTTTTCTACCGAATGTTGTGAAAAGTATCAATCTTATCACTTTGCTCTAGCCGAATATAAGACAAACCTGGAGGTGGAAATGGTGCAGAGGCACAAAATAGCCCTCCAGCAGCCCCATGAGCAGCACCAGGAAGACGCCGTCTTGGAACTGGGTCTCGATGTTGTTCACCTAGACGATGGGATGTTATAGTAGCCGTCGATATTGCCGACAACCTCCAGGTTGATCTTGTTGAGATGCTTGTTGCAGAAGGCCAGCAGCGACCCCTTCACGTGCGCCAACTTGTCGGGTCCGTAGTCGAACAGCGTGTCGAAGGCGTCACGTTCACCCTAGATAACAGCCATTAGAAACGTTGCAAATTCGGAGACTCCTTTGATTCGGAGTAGGAAATTTCACTTTTCCGTTTTTTTTGGGAGCTCCCACTTACCTTCGGACACAGCTCATCCTGCTTATCTGTCAGCTGTTCGGTGGTGTACCGCGTTTTCACTTGGCCATTCTCTTTTCGCGCGACAATCACCTGAAATCGGGTTAAAATTTCCTTTATCTGTCGTAAGGATAAAGTACAATTCGAAGCCTAAATCTTATGCCGAAGCCAGACAGTACATAAACCTAAGCCTAAGCGTAAGCCTAAACTTTAATTTAAGTCAAAGTCTAAGGCTGGACCTAAGCCTAAAACTAAGCCTTAGCCAAAGCCTAAGCTTAAAACTAAGCCTAATTCAAAGTCTAAGCCTAAGTCTGAGCATAAAACTAAGCCTAAGTCTAAGATCAAGCCTAGGTCTAAGCCTAAACCTAATCCAAAGCCTAAGCCTAAAACTAAACCTTAACCAAAGTCTAAGCTTAAAACTAAGCCTAATTCAAAGTTCAAGCCGAAGTCTAAGCCTAAACCTAATCCTAAAACTAGACGTCTAAGCCTAAGCGTAAAACTAAGCTTAAGCCAAAGACAAAGCCAAAACCTAAGCCCAAGCCTCCCCTTGCCATACCTGGGCGCTGACGTGCTCGGGGAATCGTACTGGCGCTCGAAAGAAGACGGCCAACGACACGAGCAGCTGGATGATGGCGACGATATCCTAAGCCCACAATTTAGACTTGGTGCATGCGACGTACCTTCTGGTGGATCATCTGATGCGTCCATTTTGGGTTCTCGTATTGCCCGGGGGTGAGCAGCCGGTTGGCCGTCGAGACGACAATCTCAAGCTTCTGGATTTGGCCCTCCTCGGATTGCGAGAACTCGGGCACTTCGATCTGAAAGCTTTGTTTTGTTTTTTTCAATTTTGTCAATTTCTTTTACTCCCAAACCCACCCTAATATCCGCCAGCTTCTCGATGAGCTTCTGAAGAACCTGGCCGTCGTAGATGTCATCCTGGATGTTTTTGACGACGATGCGCTCCCCGGCCACTTCATCGTTGATCCAGCTGCAAAAGAATTCAAGTGGCTCAGTTCAGGGGCGAGCTTAGGCTTACAAGGAAACCTCCCCAGCTCGAAGTTGGACTTCGATTAGCCATATAGCCTATCTGATGCAGTTTTTCACGCTGATAACGATACCGATATTTATTTTTGCCGAGCGCCACAGGAACATTGTTAAAAATCGATTTAAAGTTTTGTCATCTTTGGCAGCCCCGCCCGAAAGCCCCTCCCCACGGGGAAGGATCCATCGGCGGCGTGGTGTAGTCGGCAAGTACTTGGCCTACCAATCTAGAGGTCGCTAGTTCGAGTCTTGCCTCTGACGACTTTTTTGCTTTTTGCTTTAAAAGTGCTGTGAAGGTCCTACAAGTCATCAAGAAAAATATTTTTAAGTTTTTTTGCACATTTGGTCGCTAATTCAGGTAGTTATGGCTACAACGAACCACAGGTCCCGATACAATCCTCATGAATTTTATGACCTCAAAACGCTTACCTTGGTGCAGAAATGAAGCTTGAGATAAGATGTAAAAAAACTTAAAGACATAACCTAGTATTTCCTTCTCCTTTTTTTCAAAAAGTTTTCAAAAGAGTGGCTGGTGCATTAACTAGTTGGTGATCCACCGATAATTCCAAATGTCTTCGGCTGAAAAACAGTCTTTCCGAGAAATCGAATCGAGCAACTTGAATTGGTGACCAAAAGTTCAAAAAAACTTAAAAACATATTTCTTGATGACTGATAGGACCTTCACAGCACTTTTGAAGCAAAAAGCAAAAAGTCGTCAGCGGCAAGACTCGAACTAGCGACCTCTAGATTGGTAGGCCAAGTACTTGCCGACTACACCACGCCGCCGATGGATCCTTCCCCGTGGGGAGGGGCTTTGAGGCGGGGCTGCGAAAAGGGCAAAACTTTAAATCGATTTTTAACAATGTTCCTGTGGCGCTCGGCAAAACTAAATATCGGTATCGTTATCAGCGTGAAAAACTGCATCAGATAGGCTATATAGCTAATCGAAGTCCAACTTCGAGCTGGGGAGGTTTCCTTGTTAGACCTGGCTTAGCTTAGGCTTAGGCTTAGCTTAAGCTTAGCTTAGGGTCAGTTTAAGCTTAGCTTAGGCTTAGACTAGGCTTAGGTTGATTCTTATGCCAGGCTTCGGCTTTGGCTTAAGCTTACATCGGAAAATCTTGGCCTGATTTTTTACGCGCTTCGAAACTCCTTAAAAAAAACCTGAAACCAAGCAGTTTTAGTTTCCTTAAATATAATAATCAATTCTATTTTCGATATTGCGCGCATTTTGCAATACTGCGTTTTTTCATGCAAAAACCAACATCCTAGGTAGATAAAAACAAATTCAACGCTCACCCCAGGAGGAGCCGGATCACCTCGTGAATCCGCGAGTCTTCGCTCGATTCGCGGGTCAAGAAACGTCGCTCTGCCCCTAAATTACGGAATTGTTAATGGTGCACTGCATATGTGACCATGGATTTCAAATTTCTGTCAAAGCTGACCTTCCTCAATCTCGATTTTCTTGGAAATTGCCGGGATAAGGGCGTAGTCGAGCGCCTCGCGGCCCTCGTGCTCGTACTGTAAAAAGAGTCATTCTATTTTTTTCGTATAGAGCAATCTTGTAAATAGATTCAGAAGCAGTAGGAAAACGCGCAAAACTTAGAAAATGTAAAAATAAAAATCCTGAAAGCTGACAACCACGATCCCGTCCAATTTCGGTTTTATTGGGAACGCGTCGTCAGGGCGATTCTGGAATCGAATGGGGGAAAGGCATTCGTTGTATTGACCTGTTTTGTGTGTATTCTTTAAAATCCGCTAAACTCCGAATCTTAAAAACAAATTGATACTTCTAGGCACAGTTTTTCATACCTGGATCATTTCCTGGTGCTCGTTCTCGCGGTGGTCGCCCTCGTGGTGTGGCGCCCCGCCCTCCGTCGGCTCCGGCTTCTTCTTACGGCCGAGCGTGCCGGATAGCTTGTCCATGAACGATTCGCTCTGAAAGGCTACCATCAATACTAGCCGCTTACAGCGGCTTTGCCGCTTCCTCCCTCCCCTCGCCGAAACGCGCGCGACCTGGCTCGCTATGCTCAAAATCATGCAAATAGTCGTTTTTGCTGCCAAATTACAAGGACCGATGTTTTGAAATATGAAACTGAATTTATTAAATTCTGTGCTTGATCAGTTTGGGGGTTTCTGGCCGCGCCTTATTCTAATCCGAAGACACCTAAACTCTAGCTCCTTTCCCGTACGGGTTAAATTCGGCCTCAGACACGATGAGACCACAGCAAAATTATTATGGTTGAAAGCGTCTAAAGCCAATTCAGAAGCCAGCAAAATACAGTTAAGTCGATTTCCTCGATGACGAATGTTGGAAATGCCGGGACGTAGCGGTGAATCAGATTGTGAGGCGGGCGTTTTTCTGCTACCAGTTTTGGATCATAGTTTCGCCTTTAGGCTATTTTGCAGCTCATTAAACATGTTTTGTCAACAATATTTTATGTCTTACGTTTAATCAGGATAAAACTAATTATTACTGTTACCTTCTTGGAGCGCATCGTGTCAGTTTGGCGGACCTCGCGCGTCTCCTGGCGCCGAATCTCCTGAGCGGCCATTCCGCTCTGGATCATTTTTACCTAAAGCCCTTCATAAAGTTAACTTTTTTCATATAAGCTCAATAGAAAAAAGGCAAATTCCAAGCGGATATTACAAAAAGGTGAGTAAGCCTACTATAGGGTAAGTAATCATATTAAACAACATCTCCTCTAGCTCGACGCAGCATGATGGTTACCCCATTCAAAAGCCCTTCAAACGGTGAATTTGTTAAGACCCTCAAACCCAAGTTTTTATTAAACGCGCTATTTTAGCAGCCGTTCAAAATTTTCCGGGTTTTTTGGGGCTTGCATACGAGCCACTTTTCCTCAATTTCTCCAAGCAAATGAAAGGAAGTAGCCGTTAATTAGATACATTAGACGCGTTCAAATAAAAACATGGTTTTGAAAATTGAACAAACTGGCCGTTTCAAAGGCGTTCGAATGGTGTAACTATCATTCCGATTCGATACTGCTGTTTCGATTTGGAGGGTTTTTTGGGACAGCAGAAGTGATTTTCCTTTTTTTGCCATCGGTAATCTTGGCTAGAATTATGCAGAGTGGAGAACATAATGGGATCAGATGGTTGAAAATTCAGGCAGCGGCTTTTCAACGCTGGTTTAAGGTAAAAAAATTTAAATTTGAAGTAAGAATGTCTGCGGTATCTTCAAGTCGTTAATGGAAATAATAATGGAGAATGTGCCTTGAGCATGAGCGTGACCGGAAAGCTGTAGCTTTTCCCCTAGCCAGGCGCCCGAGAATTTTACAGCGGCCCACAGCCCCCGGGGGGGTTGATGTGAGAGGAGAGATTGGGGAAATGGTGAAGAGGCAGACAGGCGAGTGAGGGCGACAATCGAGGGGAGGCCCGAGACGAGGACCGGAGGGGGCGGAGAATCAATAACACTGCATAACGCGATGAGTCAACGAGTCCTACAAATACTAGTATCGTGGGGGAAGTGGGGAAAGATTTTTGAAAGTCGTTTCTGATATTTTAGATCGGAACATTTTGAGGTAGTTTCTGATAAATTAAGCCCAAGCCTAAGGCGAAGCTGAAGCTTAACCATAAGCCTAAGCTCCAGCTAAGCTAAGCTTAAGCCTAAGATTAAGCTTAAGCCTAGGTCTAAGCCTAAGCCCCCAACCGAAGCCTAAGCCCCCAACCGAAGCCTAAGCCCCCAACCGAAGCCTAAGCCCCCAACCGAAGCCTAAGCCTAAGCCTAAGCCTAAGCGCATGCCTAAACCGAAGCTAGTTATTACAACCGAAACCTAGTTATTACTACCTATTTCTTGCTCCTAATATCTCGAAATCTATATGTAATTTTATACAAAACACAGTGATAAATACAAAGTGATCATAATAAAAATCGAATCCACTCGAGTTGTCGTTAGCTTCGACGTCGTTGGCGTTAAACCTGATGTCGTCGAGGGCGCATCAGAAGTGGCTTCATTCAACAACGGTGCAAACGTGGGCATCAACTTCAGGCCCTAGAGCGAATCTTTTATTTTTATATTTCTAGTTTTAACAATGTAACAAAATTCAACATACCGCTGTAGAGTTATAATCAGGGCCCGTGGGCACGGGGCCCCAGATGAAGTTTGTGATCAATTGCCGGGCTGGCCCCGGGCGATCGGCTGCCGGGAAGTGGCCGGCTCCCTAAAGCAAAAAAAATCCAAAAAATGAACATTTCGGGCCTTAAAATTCAAAATACCGACAAGGGGAAAAAGCGACAGCCAAAATACCGACTTTCTAAATAACCAGAGCGAAAAAACCGACTGGGCCATCTCCCGACATGTGAAATACCGGGCAAAGCAAAGAGCCAGGCTCGCACATCCAAAATACCGACAGCGGCAAGATCCCGACATACGAAATGCCGACATTCGAATCCCTATATCCCAATATCCCGACCTTTACCGTCATCAAGTCAAAAATAACGCCGCTGCCGTGCGTGAATCGCTGCACGAAGCCGGCTGTCTGATCCGAGAAGAACCATTGCCTGCGGGGTGAAGCCTGAATCCGACATGCACCATTTGCTTTACTTTCTTTATTCACCAAACTAAGCGCAAGTCTAAGCCTAAAAACCTAAGCCAAAGCCTAAGCCCAAGCTACCTCCATCGCATTCCGCTCAGCCAGCCGCCGCATAAACCACGCTTCGCCCAAATAGTTGCAGATCGTGTCCACATCCCCATTATGGATTAAGAAGCGGAAATTCGGGTTGCGGTTCTCTTTTAGGAAATCTTCAAAGATGGTCGTTAGGTCGGTGTATGTCACGTTGTATGCGTCGTACATTGGATCGCTAAAAACGTGGCAAATTGGGGAATGGAATAAAAGAACTAGAAATAGGCTAAAAATGAGGGTTTTTATTGGTTGAGTTCAATGCCAAGTTGAAGCCTAAGTCGCGTAAGCCTAAGCCTAAGCTTAAGCTTTAGCCAAAGCCTAACCCTAATCTTAAGCCTAAGGCTAAGCCCAAGCCTAATTTAAGCCGGAGCCCGAGCCCAAGCCACAGCCCAAACCTAAGCCTATACATGGGCCTGAGCTGAAGCTCAGCTGAAGCCAAGCCCAAGCTTAGCCCAAGTTTATGCCTGAGCCTAAGTCTAACCCCGAGCCCAACCCTGGGAATTTTCCGGGCCGAGAAAAATCGGCATTTTTCGGGCCGGCCCGGGCCGGCCCGGGGGTTTTTACATAGTCTAAAAGCACCTTTTTTGGGGGGAAATTCTGACCTATTTTGCATATTTTTGCTCACGAATAGTCGATTTGGCGTTATTATACAGCCTCAATAAAAATTTGGTCCTTTTCTTGACTAAGTCCCTACCAGGAAATCGGTCCAGGTTCGACCCCGCCCGGCGTCTTTTTTTGCTTTTTGAATTTTTATGTCAGCGCGACCGGATTTTTTCTTAGATGTATCAGTATGTATCGTAGTACTAAACTAAGACCCAAAATATATATTAATAAGGCGAATTTAAACTCGAAATGGCTCAATTGAACATTATCACCCTGATATTGGTCGATATTTAGCTCTTAAAAATTGTTATAACTTTGAAATTTAATTTTTTTTAACAGAAGTGCTGCAAAAATGGTTTTAAAGTTTTGTCCCTTTTGGCAGCCCCGCCTCAAAGCCCCTCCCCACGGGGAAGGATCCATCGGCGGCTTGGTGTAGTCGGCAAGTACTTGGCCTACCAATCTAGAGGTCGCTGGTTCGATTCTTGCCGCTGACGACTTTTTTGCTTTTTGCTTCAAAAGTGCTGTGAAGGTCCTATCAGTCATCAAGAAATATGGTTTTAAGTTGTTTTGAACTTTTGGTCACCAATTCAAGTTGCTCGATTCGATTTCTCGGAAAGACTGTTTTTCAGCCGAAGACATTTGGAATTATCGGTGGATCACCAACTATTTAATGCACCAGCCACTCTTTTGAAAACTTTTTGAAAAAAGGAGAAGGAAATACTACGTTCTGTCTTTAAGTTTTTTTTACATCTTATGTCAAGCTTCATTTCTGCACCAAGGTAAGCGTTTTGAGGTCATAAAATTCATGAGGATCGTATCGAGACCTGTGGTTCTTTGTAGCCATAACTACCTGAATTAACTACCAAATGTGCAAAAAACTTAAAAATATCTTTCTTGATGACTTGTAGGACCTTCACAGCACTTTTGAAGCAAAAAGCAAAAAAGTCGTCAACGGCAAGACTCGAACTAGCGACCTCTAGATTGGTAGGCCAAGTACTTGCCGACTACACCACGCCGCCGATGGATCCTTCCCCGTGGGGAGGGGCTTTGAGGCGGGGCTGCGAAAAGGGACAAAACTTTAAATCGATTTTTAACAATGTTCCTGTGGCGCTCGGCAAAAATAAATATCGGTATCGTTATCAGCATGAAAAACTGCATCAGATAGGCTATATGGCTAATCGAAGTCCAACTTCGAGCTGGGGAGGTTTCCTTGTAAGCCCAGCCCTACCTAACAAGGAGACGTTTTTAGGGCGTCCGGTCACTACCCCGAAAAGTCACTACCCCGAAAGTCACTACCCCGAAAGTCACTACCCCGAAAAGTCATTACCCCGAAAAGTCACTACCACGAAAAGTCACTACCCCGAAATCGTTTACCCCGAAAAAATGATAGCATTGTTTTCCCGGAAAAATCTAGTTTTCATGCGGTTTTCCTATGAAAATCATGCAAATTATTTCGGGGTAGTGACTTTTCGGGGTAGTGACTTTTCGGGGTAGTGACTTTTCGGGGTAATGACTTTTCGGGGTAGTGACTTTTCGGGGTAGTGACTTTCGGGGTAGTGACTTTTCGGGGTAGTGAATGTACCCCCGTTTTTAGGTGGCACGGAGTTTCGTAACGAGACTTATCTCATTCGAAAGCGCTTGAAAAACTGAGCAAGATCCCGTTTTCCATTTCTGCGAAACGATAGCGATTGATTTTTAATAATTAAATTAAAGAATTAGCAGAAATTGGCATGATTCCCCTCACGCGGAGCGATTTCCTTCCAAAGGTCCCCTCTGTCGGAAAGCCAGGCCCCGTCTTCCCTTCCCCATAGCGATTTGGCGCAGTCGGTACGGCATTTGTCTCCCACGAAATTTTTTTGAACTTTTTGTCAGTTCGACCCCTGCCCAGAATTCGTTTTGCTTTTTAATTCCGTAACACTTTCTAAACGTGGAATCTAGTCCGAAATTAATTTTTTTTGTGGTATGCCCGAAACCGGTAGCGCTGCGCTCGCGTCTCAGGGATTGAAATCAACTGGCCCGCTTGCGCCTACACCGATGCTGTTCAGAACATCTATGTAATGCATTGCGATAATTAGATTAAAAAAATAATAAATCAGCCTCCTAAAATAAAAAGCAAAACGACTTCTGGGCCGAGGGGTCGAACTGGCAAAAAGTTCAAAAAAATTTCGTGAGAGGCAAACGCCGCACCGACTGCGCCAAATCGCTATGGAGAAGGGAAGACGGGGCCTGGCTTTCCGAGAGAGGGGTCTCGGCAGGAAATCGCTCCGCGTGAGGGGAATCATGCCAATTTCTGCTAATTCTTTAATTTAATTATTAAAAATCAATCGCTACCGTTTCGCAGAAATGGAAAACGGGATCTTGCTCAGTTTTTCAAACTCTTTCGAATGAGCTAGGGCTCGTTACGAAACTCCGTGCCCACCTAAAAACGTCTCCTTGTAAGCCTAAACCAGCCTAAACCTAACTAGGGAGGTATCTGAACTCGGCATCGAACTTTGAGAAGTCATATACACCATTCGACGCGCCTTGTCGAGGGGATTCCAAACATGTAATCAAATCAACCAGAGCGTATAACCGTAAAAAGTTATGAGCATTTTAAGTTTTGCAGCCAAAGAGGCCGAAGCCTCAGCCTAGACCCAAGCCTAAGCCTAATCCGAATCTAAGCTAAGCGTGCGAAGAATCCTGAAACCCCACTTGCAATCTTGCCACGTCAAGTTCGTGGCCCGCCACGCCACGTCGATGTGGAGCGCCTAGAAAATTACGAGGTGTCCACAAAAAAAATTGCTACAACTTCCTGCACGTCTTTCCGATTGGCCCACACGGTCAGCAGCACATCATTCCAGCACGGGTACCCCCATTCCCCGTCCGTCGAGATGTAGTTGAATTTTGCCTAGAAGATCCAAAAACTTTTTGCTTGGAACAGGTTAAAAACCGCTTCGCGGCTCTGAAAAATCTCACGGCTGGATTTCCGCTAGAATCCGCATTCTTGTCAACAATTCCGTTGAGCGTCTGCTTGCGGGCTCGATTTTTCCTGCGCTGCATCCGCTTCGCTAGAATTTTCCAGTCTTGGGTTTTAAATAGAGCGCAACGTCTTTGAGGAAGAGCTGCTAAAAGGGGAGGGTCGACATAGCAATCCTGGTAGTAGTTGTACTCGTCTTCCCTGAAAGGCAGCTGCTTATGCGTTTCTCGTAGTTCGAAAATTTCGAAAGAAGTTAATGAATGAAGGAAAAAAAGTAATTTTACTTAGGTGAGTAAGTGATTTAAGTTAAGTCCCAAAACGATAACGTAAATTTTTAATTTGAATTGAGAAACATTGTTCGGAAATGGAGGTGAGTATGGCCGCCTGGGCACAATTTTACGACATTTTCGATATGTTGGGTCTGCCAGGGAATGACGAACAATATTCGGCGAATATTAATTTCAACCAAAAACTTATTTACATTTTTATATACATATATATACACAAATTTTCATCAAAAACGAGAAGCATCCAATCTTTTCGCTGTTTTCAAAAACTTCAAAATTGCCATTAGAAATAGCGTTGAAAAATGTATCAAAACTTTTTTGCCGTCAAATCAAAAACCAGCTCGAAAACCATTGTGCTACAAAGAAACTTCTCAAAAAACACACATATCCGGCATGTTGACGAGGCGCTCAATCTGACGATTATGTGGTGTTTTTTAACTTTCTAAGGAAACGTACCAAGTCCCCGCACGCCGACCCGTCCGATTCGTACTCCAAATGACCCTCGGTCGTCATGTATTCGACAAAACTGTACGTTTCGAGGTCGCCGATGACGGTAGCGCGCAAGGTACAGTTGGCTTTCAGAAATCTCAGCTCGCTGAAATTTTCAAGAATGTATCTGTCGATCAGAAAATGGCAGGGCATGTATCGGGTTACCCGCGCTGCTACACGCAACGTGCAACCTAACAGCAAGAACGTACTCCATCGACACCATCCCATGGTAGGCCGACCAAACCACCTGCGAATTGTAGAGGTACTCCACGTGCATGTAGCCGTTCCCAATATTTGAGCCCTAAAAGTGGTGTATTAAATTTGCATTATATACCCTTTTAAAGCCAACCTGAAAATTCGAATTCGGAAAATCGCCATTATTGATGCCCCGAGCCAAGGCTAGCGTCAACGTCGGCACGTAGACACCGGCGTAAGATTCGCCGGATAGGAAGAATTTTCGGTTCTTGTAGTCGGTGAAGCTAAAGGCTGCGCAAAACTAAAGGTTTGGCTTAGGCTTAGGCTTAGGAGTTTAGGCTCATTAGGCTTAGGGTTGGGCTTAGGTACCTTGCGAAAAAATCCTTGAGCGCCATATAGTTCTGGGCGGTCGTCTGATCGTCGCTGGCCTCGGCGTAGTAGAAATCGTCGGTGCTATAGGAGAAGCCGACACCGACAGGCGATTCGATGAAGAGCAGGTTGGCTCGCTTAAAAAGCGTTGTCTCTCACGCTTTCTCTTTCTCGCTCCCTTTCTCTCCCTTTCTCTCTTTCTCTCTGCCTTTCTCTCTCTCTCGCTCTATCTCTCTCTAGCTCTCTTTCGCTTTCTCTCTTTCTCTCGCTGTATCTCGTCCTCTATGTCTCTGTCGCTCTCTCCCTTCCCGCTCTCTCTCTCTCTCTCTCTCGCTCGCTCGCTCTCTCCGTTCTCTTTCTCTCTCTATCGAAAAACCCACCGCATTCCATGCGTACTTATTCTCATACAACCGAAATCCGTCGTTATCCACGTAAAAAGGACCCATTTCCTCGAATGCGCCGCCAAACGAGGAGCACCCGGGGCCTGGAAAAGATCCTTTCTTTTAACTCGTTATTTTGCAAGCCATTTTGTAACATTTTGCTGTTTTTCGCGGGTTGTATATGAGCTAAAGCTAATTTGCCTCAGTTTCTCCAGCCAAATGACCGGGAGTAGGCGTTAAATGGATGCGGAGATCGTCCTTTAACGTTTTTAAATGCGTTGTACAATGATGAGTTTAAATAAAAACATGGTTTTGAAGATTGGAGAAAATTTGCCGTTTCATGGGCTTTCAAATGGGGTAGATATCATTCCGCTCCGATACTTCTGCGTCGAGTTAGCGGGAGCTGTTTTTTTTGGGGACACCCGGTAATTTGAACCTTTGCCCACCTCCGTTAAACCAGATGAGCAACGGATCGCTGTTCGGCTTGCCCTTCGACTCTATCAGCCTTAATAAAATTCCTGAAATACCAAAAACCAAAACCAATAGTGCAGCTTCCACGTGCCGTTCACGTTCCCCTTCAAATATCCGGAGTACACATCGTAGTCAATTTGAAAGGAGAGCCCGGGCAGCGTCCGAACCCGATCGGTAATCGGGGCAGCCCCAAAAATCGCTGGGACAGCGATGGAAGATATAAATAGTATTTGGATCATCTGGAGAAAAGGCTCGCCAGTCTTAGTAGTTTGCATCTTTGGAGGCAGGAAAAGAAGGCAATTGGGGATTGATAAGAAGTTGACAACCCTGAAAACTGACCAGGGGACCCGGAATAAACCCAGACTCAGAATTGGCTAAAGATCTGCACAGAATCGACCACGCTGATCATCACCTCGTTCTCCAAATTTATTACTGATCTTTAAAACTTGAGATATTGAAGTTTTAGTGTCAATTTTCGCTCCGGAGAAGTGTTTTGCCATGATGCCGTTCTTTTTTTTATTTTGAAGTTCTAATCTATTTTAAGTAGCCTATCTGATAAAGAATTTTATTTTGGTTCGAATGGTATATTTCATTAAGTTAGGCTTCGTCTAGACGTGTCTTACAGCCCCTTGAAGTAGGCTGTATTTCACTTAGGCCCATACAAAAATCGAAGTCCATTTATTTAAATGTTTTCTCGGATCATAGGGGCAGAAACTTCTTTCGGCATTGCGTCTCGCGGTGGTTGTAGAAGAACAATCTAAGTATATGGGTCGTCAAAAAATTTAGGCCTAGGCTTCGGCTTAGGTTTAGGTTTAGGCTTAAGCCTCGATTTAGAGTTAGGCTTAGACTGAGGATTAGCCTCAGACTTAGGCATGCGCTTAGGCTTAGACTTGGGATTAGACTTATGATCAGACTTAAGCTTCGGTTTACGCTTAGAATATCATCAAAGAAAATTCCGTTGAAATCTTGCATCGAAGCAATCTAGTGCTCCGACCTGTGATAAAATCCCGGTTCCGCCACCTGGTCATCAAACACCAATGTGTAGCCGCTTTCCCTGATGAGACGGACCACAAAATCATAGAATTTCTTTTGCTTCTTGATGTCGACCGTGTTGTGGAGCTTGAGCCCGATCTAAAAAAGTGATAATCCGTTACATGACGTAACGACGCGGGCTTCTGAATCGTAGATTTCGTAAAATTAACAAGGGAAGGTTGTTTGGGTCAGGTGTCAAATCGACTTGAAACTTTGCCAGTGGATAGAAAATCAAAAATAAAGTGGAGTTTCTTAATCTCATTTTTTGCATAATACCCCAAATTAAAAAGCCTTTGAAGTTACATAAAAAAGCACGATACGACCCGACAATTCTGATCTGGTCCTCATTGTGGCCTGCCCCCTTTTCAAGCTCTTGCATCGCCCGGACTGGCAAGCTGTTTGGCGCAGAGTGCAAAACTTTTAAAGGGATGCCGACGGCATAGACAATCGGTTACGCGCGGAAAATAAAATGTCTCTGCGCCTCTCCCCTATGCGCGCTCTCTCCCCTGTTGGCTACTTGCCAATTTGTTGATGGGGGGGATCGACACATGCCGTCGGCAGCCCTTTAAATTTTTGCAATCGAGTTCATGTTTTTGATGCGTCCAACTTTTTGCTTTTTGGATTTTACGCCAACTAACCCTAATTTGCAAGAGCAAAAAGCAAAAAGCAAAAAGATAGAAAAGTTTTAGTCTCGAACTTTTGCCAAAAATTTTTCAAAAGATTGTGAGTCAAGCGCACTACCGACTGCGCCAGAAGAGACGTAGGGAGCGGAGACGAGAGAGGGTCAAGAAATCACGCATGAACAAAAGGTGGAAACGGTGCGGTATTGGTGCAAAAGCCTGCGCAGAACTCATTTTTTTAGATCACAAACTTAAAATGCTTATAACGTTTTAATTAGGGGTATTGTGCAGAAAACGACTGAGCGTACCTTGTTCCGTTTTCAATTTTCTATCCACTGGCCAATTTTCAGAAAGATTTGACACCTGACCCAAACAACCTTCATTGTGAGAGAAGTTTTATAGCCATTGTCGTCCATTTAAATCAAATCACGGCTACACACCGACCTGGCAAAACGCAAACCCGTTAGAGTGTGCCATATTCGCCTGCAGCATCTCTAAAAGGTCATACTCCGTCTCGTCGATGTCCACAAACATGTAGTCGATTAGGGCTCTTAAAGGCCCTACGATTTTTAAGAGATACTCACTCCTTAACATCCAACCGCAAAAAGTCGTAGAGGGGTTTCCGCTTGATTTGCTTAACCTCGGAAAATCCGCCTAAATCCGACTGGTTATAACAGTTTGATGCATGCCATTAACCGTGTGAAAACATGAGGGGCTTGATCAGATATGTTGATGAGACGGCGTAGTTGAAGAATTTGCCGACCTGAACGCTTGAGAGCCTTGGGCAGAAGCCTGGGCCTAAACCTAAGCCTAACCATCGGCCTAATCCTAAGCCTAAGCCTACGGCTAATCATAAGCGGCGTCGAGTGGGGTCAAGCGTCCAAGCGGCGCCAGACCTTTTTATACCGCTTCTTATTCCCCTCAGCAACCGGATCGGCGCCGAAAAATTTGCAATTTGGTTGGGTGGCCTGGAAAATTACGTTTCATCCCTAACTTCCAAATAACTACCTTGACGGCCTCCTCGAGCCGGATATCCTGGTTGATTCCCAGCGTCACGAATATGCAGTCATCACGCTGAAAGGATATTCTCTCTCAGGATTCGCTAGCGGTTGTGACATACCCGTTAAGACTACAAGGCAACTCAAGCCCTCTTCCGGCCAAACTGAACACCTACTTTGCTCTTCAACGGCAGCGCCTTCCGGATCTCGACTTTATTCGCCACGCTGACCGGGATTGCGCCAAACATGTAGCACTCCTTGATTGCGGTTTGAAGCCCGTGGTTAAAGGTCTGCAAACTGATTGTTGCTGAGCTAAGCTTGAAACTAAGCCTAGGCTAAGCCTAAGACTAAGTCTACGCGTAAACCTAAGCGAATCTAAGCCGAAGCCTAAGCCTAAGCCTAACCTCCGCCTATACCTAAGCCTACGCCTAAGCCTAAGCTCAAGCTTGAACGAAGCCTAAGCCTGAATCTAAGCATATCGCGAAACCTAAGCCTATGTCTAACTAAGCCTAAGGCTCAATCACCGACCGTCGAGTAGTTTCTGAGTCCCTTATGCGCCAATAGACACCTCCGGTGCTCGGCGACGCTTTGGCAGAGCGGGTCGGCGTACGCGTTGGAGAGATAATAGGCTCGACACACCTAAAGCAGATGACGTTCTATTTCGACATTAGGAAAATTCGGGAGATTCTATCCTATTTCGTCAAATTGCGAGTTTCGGCAATTTCGATAAGCAAGAGAATGTGAGGTATATGTATCTCCCTTATGCTTTAAATCTAGCCGCAAATCTTATACTAACACTACCAGTATTATAAACACGATCGTCATCGTCCCGAGCACCAGATCTCGGATGTCAACGCGCATTTTGATGCCGTTTTCCTGAAATGGTGGGGCCATCAAATAAACGATCAAGCAAGCCAGAAACGACCCAAAATAGCAACATTAAGATTGGAGACTTGGCGGGAGCGGGACGTCGAATCTCGAGACAACCAGTTCATATCGGATCGTCATGGAGCTGGCCGGATATCGCGACAATCTTGGGCAAGACTTGTTGCCGGGCTCGAGCCTCATTGCTAGGCATGATTGCAAACAACATAGGCTTCGGATTAGGCATCGTATGAGCTTAAGCCAGCGTTAGGCTTGGCTGAGCTTGGTCCTAGACTTAGGACTATGCTTGGGTTCTGATTCGGCGTTGCCTTCGACTTCGGATTAGGGTATAGCTTAGGTTTAGGCTTATGCTTAGCCCTAGGCTTTGCTTTGGCTTTGCTTTAGGCCCCTAGCAAGGTAAGGCTTAGGCTTAGGCTTAGGCTTCGGCTTAAGCGTACGCTTAGACCAAGGCTTTGGCTCAGCTTAGGCCAAGTCATAGGCTTAGGATTATGCATAGGTTTGGGCTTCGCTTAGGCTTAAGCCTTAGACTAGGCTTAGGCTGTTGCTTGGCTTCTTGCTTGAACCAAAACAAGCCGGCACATGTTTAGCGTAGCAAGCGTGGGAACTTTTTCCTGGTCTGGCAACAGCGTCCTGAGATACTTTATACGTACAAAGAAAACGACCCGAAACGTTCAAGAAAATGGCAAATATTTTCTGCGGCACTCCTCGGCCTTCTGGTTGAAGAAGAACAGCCTGAAAAACAAAAAAAAATTAAACTTTGGGAAGTCTACCCTCGGCGAAACAGACGGAAACAACTACCGATGGTGCCCGGCGGCCATCTCGTCGTGCGCCAGCGCATAATGGTTTTCCCGAAGCAGTTGCTGCACAAACTGCCTGAACTGTGTCTTATGGGTATTGCCCTGCGCCGCGTGCACCTCCAGGTTCACCTCAATTTTTCATAATTATCGGGGCGACCATGCCGGCAAACCTGGCAAAAGGTAAGGCCGCTCCCGGCTGCCTTCTCGGCTTGCAGGAACTTGAACAGATCATACTCGGCCCATTCCACGTCGATGAAGAGGTAGTCAATGAGTTTGCTAACAAGGGAATTTTTGTGGCTTTGACAAGGCGTTGTTGGATTTTGCTTGTTCAGGTTTTAAGCTCTAAAGGGATGAGGAAGTCCCACGCTGATCAGGCACGTTGATAGCTCATCTACAATTGACAAGGGAGAGCGTAGGGAAAGATAGAGAAAGAGAGAGAGAGAGAGAGAGAGAGCGAGTGAGAGCAAGAGAGAGAGAAAGGGGAAACAACGAGTGCGAGACAGTGCTATCCTGCGCGAGATTGAGCAAGCGAGTGGGAGAGAGTAAACAATTAAGAGCGAACGAGAGCGACTGAATACTTCCCGTAACTGCCATTTTTTGAAATCTCCACTTTTTGTCGAATTCCTTTCCTCAATTCTACCTTTTAACAATCTCGTCAAAAAATCGATACAGCGGCATTGCGGGCATCTTTTGCCGCGCTTGATATCCGGCTGAAACGAATTTAGATGATCATTTTTCAAGGATCCATCACCTTTTGTCAAAATGCTCGACTCTGCCATGTCGCCACCGGAAATCGCGAGCTTGTGGAAGGAACCCACCTGAAAACATGAAGATGAACAAAATAGGCAAAAACCTTCTCATATTCAGCTTTGTTCCCATCTTCCACTGGGTCCGCCCCGTAGAATTCGCAGTTCGGCAGCATTTTCTGAAGCATTAGGCTTAGGCTTAGGCAACTACTCTTAGGTTGGCTTAAACGGTGCTATTTCAAAATAGGCTTAGGTTTAGGCTTAGACTTAGGCTTAGTCGTTGGTTTATGCTTAGGCTTAAGCCTAGGTTTAAGCTTAAATTTCCTAGTCCCTTATGAAAGGTCGCATACCTTAATTTTCTCCTCAGCTGTCGCGTCCTTCCCAATGCCGAACGTAGCGAATTTGCAAGTTGCCAGCTGCAACACGCATTTCCGCAGAGCCGCAAAAGACGCACCATATCGTTTGGCAGCATCACCTGTTTCAGCTCGTCCTTATTGGCAACGGCGATAACGCGTGGCCCGAATTTGTAGCAGTCGCGGATGGCGAGCTCGGGTCCCCGGTCCCACGTCTCAAATTATTAGTTTGGAACCCCGCAAAAAAACCGACCAATTCCGGGGTCGTCAAGTTTGGGTGTGTCTGCATGCAACGTCTATATTTTTCGAATATCGCCTCCCATGTCGTGCCGCCGAATGGCCCATCACTTGTGCAAATCCTTGAAAAGGTGCTGTAGGTGGTGGCCGGGGCCTAAACGGTCGTTTTTAAAGCTTAAAAGGATCAGGAAGGTTCAGGAAAAATTAGCATAAAACGGGCTTTAGCCCTAGAATTAGCTAAAATCTTCTCTGCCCCTCCGGCCTCGCCCCACTCTCTGCTCATTTTTGCATACGCAGTTCGGTTGGCTCGTTTCGCTTAGGCGTATAGACCCGGATCTACTGGACCTTCCTTATTCCTTTATAGCTAAAAAATTTTCGGTAGCATTCCGAGGGGCGTTACGGCCACTGCAACACGCGACGCGCGGGAATCTGTCAAAATCTCGAATTTTCAGAACCTTGAAAACTGGAATCTCAAATTTTAGAATTCCGCAATTCGCATAGGCTGGAAACAGGGCGTAGACATGCAATTGCTGAAGCTTTTAATGGTGATTCAGATTATGAAAATTTCGAGATAAAATTCGAGATTCTGAAAATTCGGGATTCTAAAAATTCGTGATCTAATTTTCGAGAATCCGGAAATCTGGATCTATTTTCGAAATTCTGAAAATTCGATATTTTGATTTTTGAAATTCTGGTAGGTAACCCCCCTGATACTGCGTAAGCAATTACGACTTTTCCCAAGTTTGCTCGCGAGCGCATTAGAACCCGTTAAAACCATCCTCGGCCACTTACCAGATACAACACAGCCGTGACGAATATAGCAACGACGAGGGCTGCAATGAAATATTGGCGCATGCGGCTGAAAGATCGATATAAGGACGCATTTATCAGATGGTAGCGCATCATTTTATGACCGAAGCAATATTTTAAGGAAGTGCAACGTCGCGAACGTCTTCCCATAAGTTTAAGAGATAATTTCTACGTGAAAACGTGCATTAAAGGGATTGATTTATTGGTAGTGAATACGGTAGAACAACTAATTTGAAACTATCTTCAAAAACAGATTTTTCGTGTAACGCTCAATTTTACAACGGGTTTTAAAACCTTGAGGAACGGTATTTGCATGTTAACGGTTACTGCCGGCCATTTTCCTTGGAGAAATTGGGGAAAATTGGCCTGTCTGCAACCCCGAAAACCCGAAAGATCTTACAAAACGGCATTTCAACAAAAACAAACAAGCTATAGCTCGTATTCACCCAAAAACAGCCAAAGATACAAACTTGCTTTTAAGCCAGCGGATTTAAATAAAACTACGATATTGAAGGTTGTTGCAAACTCGTCGTTTAAACGGCTTTTAAATGGGGTAACTATCGTTCCGTTCCGATAATTCTGAGTCGAGTTGTAAGGCTTTTTATTGGAAGACCGTGTATAGAAATAGCTAAAAAGATGCAAGGAAAAGGGGAAAGTTTGGAGGCGCATTTGGTGTGAACCGACGCGCACTCCTGTCCGACCACCCCAGGACCTAGAATGTAATTACCCTGACCTATAAAGGCAAACAAGTCGCAAAGAGAGCGCGCCAACTTTCCTTACTTTGGAGCTCGAACACGGAATTTGCGTAACCGGGGAAACGTTTGAAACGCATCCCTCCAATCTTCTTCTTTAGCCGGACTTCTTGAGGTAATTCTGCAGCGCGTCGGGGCGAATCTCGTCGTCCGGGGCTACGACAACGAACTATGAACAAACGGAAAGAAACGCGTTTCTCTTGGCTTCCCGGTATACTTTATGCGGCTCGCACGAAACGGCGTGGCAAAGTAGCATAATTTTGAGCCAAGCACCATCCGATCCCAGGCATCCGATCATTAAATTTTGATGAGCGCCCATCGGCAACCTTGGCTGTTAGGCAAACGGAATTTCGGCTTGCATTACCGGTAAAGTCTGGGCTTATGAAGCTTAGGTTTGCGGTTGGATTACGCTTAGGCTTACTGTAACCCTCTTTTGGTCGAAGTGGAAATTCCGTACGTGCGATAGCACATCTTGTGCAGAATTTTTTTGCTGATTCCGAATCCGTTTTCAAAAGTTGCGGAACCCCTCAGATTAAAAAGTTACAAGCGTTTTTAATACCCAAAATGCCACAAATCGCTTACTTTAAAACGTTCTAAAAATTCCGTAAAACACTTTTGGGAGGAAAGTAAGACATTTTCCGGGGTAAAAAAACGTGCTGTTTCGAATGGGCTATCTCACAAACCCGTAGCTCGATGGGCGGACCCTTGCCCAAGATGGTCGATTTTCGAAATTTTCGAAATTTCGAGCTACGGGTTTGTGAGATAGCCCATTCGAAAGAGCACGTTTTTTTTTACCCCGGAACATGTCTCACTTTCCTCCCAAAAGTATCTTACGGAATTTTTAGAACGTTTTAAAGTAAGCGATTTGTGGCATTTTGGGTATTAAAAACGCTTGTAACTTTTTAATCTGAGGGGTTCCGCAACTTTTGAAAACGGATTCGGAATCAGCAAAAAATTCTGCACAAGATGTGCTATCGCACGTACGGAATTTCCACTTCGACCAAAAGAGGGTTACAGTTAGATTTTTGTCTATGCCTAGGATTAGATTTAGGCTTAGGCATAGGATAGGTACAGCCCCAGGCTTACGCTTACGCTTACGCTTAGGCTTAGGTTTAGGCTGAAACTTGGGCTTCACCTTGGGCTTATGTTAGCCTTAGGCTTGCTTTCATTTATGTTGCGAGTGGCTTCGCTGAAGCTTCAAAGCTTAACATAACTACGCTTGGTTTCATCCCCAGGTACATTCCCGGAATCTTTGCGTCTTCATGCCTCTTTTTGTATGCGTCCGCTATGACCCATCGGCACTTAAAAAGCTTGCAACAAGAACGGTGTGTGCATTGGTATCTTCCTGCCTTTTCCCCTTTATCTTTTATCGTTTCGGGCAGTTGGGGCGGGCAAATAAAATCGAAACGTTGGCACATATTCCGAATGTCTCGCGGAGTGCCCCGAAATTCCGATGGGTGTTACGTACTCAAATTACTCGACCATTTTATTCGCCGTGCTAATAGCTATTGGAAAAACAGAAGATGTGACTTTCGTTGAGCCCCTCGAATCGAGCGGGGAAATTTTTGCTCTTCCCGTTGCAGAGAATAATCGAATCGGGGCTCCTGCAGAGGATCTAGGTAAGCCGAAGTGCAGGCGGGGGAGTAAGCCTAAGCCTAAGCTTAAGCCCAAGCCTAAGCCGAAGCCTTTTTTACACACTTTTTCATAGGAACACTTTTTCATAGGAACAATTATCAAGTCTTATACTCAATTAGCTAACTCCAAATAATTTTATTCGTATTCAGGGCTCCCCGACACTTGCGGCGCGGACACGGCGCGACACTTGCGGCGCGACATTTGCGGCGCGACACTTGCGGCGCGACACTTGCGCCCGACACTTGCGGCGCAGGATTCATTAATTTTAAATGTTGTAAATTTAGCATTTCTTCACGGATTTTGTTCGTAATTGTTGGATTTGTGTTCAAAATTAGCAATTTAACCGACCCGCAGTCGGAACGTCCCTGAGGGCGTCAGGCAAGGTGGGCCGTCGCTTCGGATGGGCTGCCGCTCCACTCTTTCTAAATCGGGGCGCCTGGGCGCTTCGCGCTCCTCGGGCGCCCCGATTTAGAAACCCTGTACGAGCTCGCACCCATCCGAAGCGACTAGGCCCCGGGTGGCACGAAGCCTTTTTCTAGTCGCAGAGCGGAGAAGTAGCGGCCACTTTCCCTCGAAATTGAGTGACTTCGGTCGCAAACCCGACTTTTTATAATTTTTTAATGCCAAATTCGGATGCAGCTTATTAAATAACACCTTAAACTATTTTTATATAGCTCATACTAAATAACCGCAAGGTCGCGCCGCAAGTGTCGGGCGCAAGTGTCGCGCCGCAAATGTCGCGCCGCAAGTGTCGCGCCGCAAATGTCGCGCCGCAAGTGTCGCAGCCGCAAGTGTCGCGCCGCAAGTGTCGCGCCGCAAGTGTCGCGCCGCAAGTGTCCGCGCCGCAAGTGTCGCGGTACCGTATTCAGTTCTCCTCGCAAACATCACCTACCACTTGTGTCTCACTAAATTCGTCGACGTCTATGGGGATCTGGCGCAAGAGTTGGGGCAGCAAGTCATCTTCAATTTGGAACAGCCGGGAAATTGCGCCAAGTAGGGGATCCAAAGCCTAAGCAAATCCTAAGCCTAATTATAAGCCTAAGCCTAAGCCTATGCCTAAGCCTAAGCAAAAACCTTAAAAACTTATCGAAATCCCTTTAGAACAATCACCTCGGCATTTTTTGCGCAGCCGGAAGGCTTTCGTGTGCAGGCGTATCTCGATGGAGCCGCGATTGACATCTTGCAAAAGTCGGTTGACAAATTTTACGGAAAAACACGAAATTTTTAGCTTCACCACCGCCACCACGTTTTCGATGGCCACCGGCGCGCTTCGCATCGAGATTACGAATATTCAAGACGGGACCCCGCCAAAGCCCTGGCATCAGCTGTTTACCGTTTGTGAGCGTTTTTTAAAAGAAACGTTCTAGAAACAGTTTCTGACAGACAGGTTATGACAGCTTGTGAAAATTCATAAAAAGACAATAATAAACTTTGAAAAATTCCGTCATTTATCGACATTTTAAAGGCTGCCTGCGCGAAATAGCATCCAAAAATACACCAAGAGTCTGCTCCAGAGCCCAGAATAATGTAAAATAACCTAGATATGGCAAAAACGGCCAGTAACAGGATAATTCAAACTCTTCCTCTGCATAACAGAACATTGCAGACGGAGACGAGTACCGCATCGTTGCCAACACCCGCGATATTCCCAACTACGGGGTGAATATGATGATCGCCGCCGGGCCTGCCAAGAAATACATTTTCTACCAGGTATCAAGTGCCAAACTGTCATAGTAGAAAGACTACGCAAACTACAAAATTTTAGCCTTCGGCGGAGATCGACCTCGCCTCGGTCGCCATACAGCTCAAGCTGGACGGCGATTGTCCGGCCAATGTTTGGCAGGGGCTGACACGCAACGAACAAACACACTTTTATGGTTACGTAAGTTCGGACCTGGTCTTAGGCTTAGGCTTAATTAGACCTAGGCCTAAGCAAACTTAGCTGAGTTATAGGCTTAGCCTCTCGGGCCCGTGCGTGGCTGGTTTGAGGCTTGTGTAGGCCGGCTTAGAGCGCAGGTCAGGCAAAGGCTTTGGCTAGCGTGACCTTAGGCTTAGGCTTGCCCAAGCCCCATATTCAATTTTTAGAGATGCCGGCCAGGTATGCGGGGAGAAAGTCTACCGTACCCTGATACCGGATCCGATCTATGGACGGTACCTGACGTTTGAGATCGACGAACACAGCGGCCAATGTAATGCCACAATGTTCACGAAAAGGCCAGGCATGATACCTTTCAGGCGGTTGCCGGCTTAGGCTTGGGCTTAGGAATAGGCTTACCCTTCGGCTTAGGCTTGGGCTTATGCGTCAGCTTAGCTTCTGCTTTCAGCCCGAATACCCTCGCACGCGGTGGTGTCGGCAGGTGTGCTGACCTCCTACCAATATGTGGACGCGAAAGCCAAGACCCAAACGATGCGCTACTATCTCAGAAATGTGTGTTTTTGCTGGATGTTTCCGGAAATTTATGTTATAATGCGAAAACTATAGGCCCGTTTACAGACCGGAAATGGCAGCTATCTGGCTTTCGAATTACTTGGCACGCTACCCGCCGGGGCAAGCTTGACAGTGGATGAACAGCAGGAGACGAAGTGATATTCTGAAAATTTTTAAATAGCAGAAAATCTGAAAAGCGGCGAAAAGTTAGGAGTACACATAACCGGCGACAACGGGCGGGGAATCAAAGTTTTTTGCGAACATTTTAGGAATCGTTTTTGGGCTATAAAAAACTTTCTGTATATTTTTGCGCTCTTTGCTATTTCTGTGAAATTTTCCGTCTATACTGTGACTCATTGCACGTGCAATGGCGCCCCGTTGCGCAGATCGATTAAATTGAAATGAATTATATCAGTATTTTTTGGACGCTCTATCGAATGGCTCTGGCGTAATCGCACATTAATTTTAAATACCGAGTTAAGAAGCTAAAAAAGCAGTAAAAAAAGAAAAACCCTATGACAGTTTCGCATAGGTACCTCTCGAACACGGCCTGTTCGACGCAAACGTACAGTCACGAAGTTTGGGTGAACTACAATTGGACGTGTTCGCCTCTCGTTTCGCTCAGCAACTGCCAGAGCGGGTTGCTGTTAAGGTAAGGCTTGCATGGTTTTCATGAAGGAAATCAGAAAATTGAACTATTTTAAGCAATTCCATCCAAAAATTTTAACTTTATCCTGAATTTGCTAACAGTTTGTCGAAAACCATTTTGTCGATATTTTATTTTTTCGGTATGAATGCGCTGTTTCAGTTTTGAGAGGAATAATTACAGTCAAAGAGGCATTGAAATTTAATTTCGATAAAATTAAACTTCGGCAACATAAAATTTCGAAACTGAAAAATCGACCTCTCAAATTTCGGCAAGATGATATTTTAACAAAATCTTATTTTGATAAAAATAAAATTCGACCACATAAAATTTTGGCAACATAAAATTTGTACAGAATAAAATTTCAACAAAATGAGATTTCGGCAGAAGGATATCTTGAAAAATTATATTTTGACAAACCAAAATAAGCCATTAATCTTTCCATTCAGTTTACAGATCAAACTTTTTTAGATACACTGCAGTCCAGGGTGAGGTTTCGACAACAACAACAAAAGCCGCCATTTCCGGTGGGTCATCCCGACTTTAGCAGAATATAACCGCCCCGTTTCAGGATCTTCGCTCGGCACACTCGCTGTTCTAATTTATTGCCTTGCGCTCGGGTTGTAATGATGAAGCAAAATCGGTTTAATAAAGGCGTTTGAAACATGTGTTGATTTTTTGAAAATTGACTACAAAACTCTATAAACTACGTCTATTAAACTCTTACCCTTTGGAAAAGCTAAGTTAAGCCTAAACGCAGGCTTAACTTCATACAAACGAAGCCTAAGCATTTTTAGCCTACGCCGAGCCAAGCCTAGCTCTACTTACTATATCTCTATAGGACCCCGGTTTTGACCTCCTAACCGGCGGCTAATTAGCATAAGTGCCCTGGGGTCATTTTGACAAGTTGTCACCTATTGATGGGGCGGGCGCGGTCAAATGAGATGTAGACTAGATATGATCCCCCCATGGTATTGGGTGCTAAATGATTGGCCCCGATTGGCCACTGTTTCCTTGGCGTTGGGCCGATTCTTGATAGTTAATTTGCATACGGCAATTTGGGTAGGATTTCCTTCATTTTCCCCAATTTTCAAGGGGGAGTAAAAAAGCACTTTACGTTTTTTAAGATAGGCATTTTTATCCACTAGCTGAGACCCAAAATCCATAAAAACCGCAGATTTTATGCAAAATACACATGTGAATTGCTTGCTCATGTTTTCTCGCCGTTACAAGGGATTTAGAATGGGGTAAAAATCATCCCAATCCGAGCTTTTTCTGGACCGCTCTAGGCGCCGATTTTTCTTGGGACGCTCTGTATTAAACCCAGAAAAGTATCGATTATTTGTAACATTATTTATTGGGTGCCTTAGTCTCGGGTTTCCCTCCTCGGCGGGTGTCCACATACAAAACCTCTCCTGAGAACCGGGTTTTGCTAGGCGGACAACCCCGCCCTGGATTTGGAAACGTGGACGGGGAAATGGACTTTACCAAATCGGGATGCAAGCTTAAGCTTAAAGCTAAGCCCAAACCGAAGCTTAGGCTTAAGCCTAAATATAAGCTTAAACATAAGCACAGATCAAGCCAAGGCTTAGAGATGGCTTAACGAACTTCAGCTTAGGATTCAGCTTAGGCTTAGGCTTAGGCTTAGGCGTGGGTTTATGCTTGGGCTTCGGCTTAGGCCTATGCTAGGTTTGCGTACGCTAATGCTTAGGCTCTGGCCTAGGAATGGGCTTAGACCTTTGCTTGGGCTTTGGCGTAGACCTTCGTCGCGACGCCATCTTGCGCCAACGAATGATCAATCGATACGACGTCCAAACCTGAACGGATGAATCCAAGAGCCCCGGGTTACGGTAGGAATATCGCAGGAGGGACCGGGGGAAGAGAGGGGACGAATAGACTGCCCAGATCTCATTATCTCGATCCGCCTACGGGCTGGTGGGGGGACGGATTAGAAGCACCGAAGCGAATAATCCCATCATGGACCCCTCAGACGGCAGATACGGTAGCCATCAAAGAATACGTCCGCCAGGTGGCCCCCGGAGGGGTTGGGCCCACGATGAGGTTACGGTAGCTCACCGATTGGCTTGTCGGGGGGAGCTGTATCGATTTTTTTTCGCTTGATCGAAAGGATCGTTTTCGACCTATGGCATTTGCATATCGTGGCTTTTGCACAGCTCTTTGCTGAGCTATCAATTTCTTTCATTTTCACAGCGGAAATTCGATGTTACTCCTATTTTTTTTTATTTGGCCATAAGTGAGAAAAAGAGAGAGGGTGAGAGCGAGGGAGAGAGAGGGAGAGAGCGCGTCGAATTCCAGCTCCACTCGATCAATTAACGACTTTAAAGGCAATTTTTCTATCCTTTGATTCGCACCGCTCCTCATGGGAGTTATCGAGAGCGAGTCAAAGCGAGATTGAGAGAGAAAGAGATAGAGAGTCAGAGGGAGGGAGCCCGAGAGAGAGCGAGGTGATGGGAACTTTATTAACAGTCCGCTACGTCCTAAATTAGTTTTTCATCTTCCAGACTACTCGAGATATTCTGCACACCGATAATGCCATTTTTATTTCTTTGTACTTATTTAATTTCTGCATAGAAAACCATTTAAAAGCTACATCGTACATTTTAGGTAACTTCAGGAAATGCGGTCTCTAGTAAACGAAAAGCATCCATACATGGCACATGAGGCAAGCAGGTTAGTATAAAGCAATTCAAGCAGTTTTTAAGCGTTTTAATTCTTTAAATATGCTAATCTTTGCAGTAGTTGTTTTATTTCCCAATAATTGTATTAAAAAATTTTTATTATAGTCTCGTTGCTGTAGCGGAAACCAAAGAATTGTATTTACTTTGAAAGTGCCGATTTGTATCCGCTTCCACCGAATCCTGCCCGTGTCCTTTCAAGTGTACGTCGTATTTTTTGAAACTTCGGAACTTTGTGCCATTTTATCGGCATTTTTACTGTCAAATTAGATTTTAAGAATTAGGCCTTATTTTGAAGGTTCCGCGAAGTTTGCTTCGCCTGACACGGCGTAAATTTCGAATTTGTTCGTCAAAATCTCCGTAAACTTCGTCACCTTTTTTTAAAGAGGCCGTTTTACAAGGACTAAAACATTAAGGAAGAACTCGGCATCTAATTAACGGCAACTTCCGGTCTTTTTGTTTGAAAAAAATTGAGGTATGCAATCCCCGAACCTCAAATGTCACAAAATGGTTTTTAAATAGCGTGTTTAAATAAAAATATGATTTTGAAAATTGTTGCGAACTCGCCGTAAGAAGGGCTTTGGAATGGTGCAACTATCGTCCCGATCCGGTACTTATAGGGGGTTAGAGCTGGGTTTTTATTGGGACACCGGTCATTTTACGAACCAATTTTCATCAGAAAATGGTCTCTCCTGCTATGTCGTGGTATTAAAAAATATAACACTAAAAAAGTCCCCCTTGTTGCTTCCCGGATCAGGTACAAATCCGGGAGGGACGCGTGAGAAGCGCGCTGATCCATAAAACACGCCGGTGCTACCGTACCCCGAAGAATGGTCATTTCCCGGTCGTGAATAGGGCAGCCGAATCAAAATAATCCGGCTCTCATGTGATGTACAGGGAGGGAATACAGGGATTAGGCTGATTTCTGGCTTGGGTGATTGGTATAAATTGCGATCGGGGCATGAAATGGGCACGGATGGCTGGGATAGATTCCACGACATAATGTGTATTTGTCTATATGCCCCTTTCTTCTCACTCTCTACTGCTTTCACTCTCGCTCTTTATCTCTCTCGCGCTCCATATCTCTCTCACTATCGTTGCAAGCTATGGGCAGCACACCCGGGGCATACCTATTTCTGGCATTTTTAATATTTTCGGTATTTTGGAAATACTACGCATCCGGCAGAGGGCCAAAAAATATACTAAGGACTTTTTTTGTAACCCAAAAAAAAACAATATTTTAAAATTGCTTTGATTATAAAAAAAACGTAGTAAAGTGTCCCCCGTTATTATACGGCTTCGTCATTATGCAATTTCGGCATTATCAGTTGCGACAATATGATAGCAAATCCCGCTTTTTAAAACTTCTAAGAATAAGTGACTTCTCCCCGTTTCAGGAGATGGACAGCCACCTGGAGAGCACCATCATGAACGTCAACTGCACGTTCGGAATCGGATGCAACTGTCTGCTGCTCTATTTCCTCATCAGCGATGGCAGGGTTGGCTTTATTAACCTATGCTAATTTATCTGCTTTTAAAATGCTTGCGCGCCAAGCTTGCCTTTTGATAATACCAGACAAAAATTCCTTCAGAAAGGCGAGGACAACTACAAAAAGATGCTGGCCATCATCCTGCTCTACAACGTGTACACCAGCGCCGTCCATATGGTCCTCGACATGGTGGGCAACTTTTTCTAAATGAAACCAAAACGCCGGCCGCCAAATCCGGAACTTTTTACAGGGCTTCATCGTCGACGAGTATGGCTTTGTACTTTTCAGCAAAAATTTTGCGACTGCCGGCTTTTGGACTTCCTATATTGCAATTATGGTAGGTGGGGCGTCGGTTAGCTTAAGCCTAGGCTTCGGCTTAGGCTTAAGCTTAAGCTTAGGTTTAGGGTTGGGCTTCGACGTAAGCTTCGGCTTTGGATTAGGCTTAGACTTAGACTTAGGCTGGGGCTCAGGCTTAGGCTTAGATTCAGGCGTAGACATAAACTTTATCCTTAGGTTTGGGTTTAGCATAGGGTTAGGTTTAGCTACGGGCTTAGGTGAGGCTAGGCTCGGGCTTGCATTAGGCTTAGGCTTCGGCGCCACCTCTAAAAACAATTTATTTTAGGTCTATATGGACGCATTCACCGTCACTCTGACTCTCCTCGCCACTCATTGCGTCTACCGCTACGCCACCATTTCCGGGTAAGCCCCCTCGTTTTTGCTGACCATTTCAAGCCGTAGCCATTTGGCTTGGCTGTTCAATACGAAACTCGGCCTCTCCGCTCTCGCCTTCTTCAACCTCATCTTCGGGCTGCTGTGGTGCCTCTTTTCGCATATCTTCCTCTGCGTGGGTGATCTTACGAAAATCGTCGAGATAAAAATTTCCAGCCAACGGCAGGCCGAACGGCCATGGGTCGCCGGGCGATGGCCGAGCAATTCGGGATCGAGATCGAGCAGATCGGGTACATTGGCGCCATGTTTCTGGTGAGACCGATTCTGGAAAATATATCGGTTTAGACGCCTGACGATGCGGGGCCGGGGAAGGTGCGAATCCAGTGGTTTAACATGGCCGGCGCCGGGCTGGTCATCACCATCTTGATAACCGTGTACACGGCAATATGCTTTGGGGCGTTGAAGTTGTAAGTTAATCCAATATTTTCTCTCTTTCTCTCTCGCTCTCTCTCACTCTCTCCATCTCTATCTTTGTTGTTCTCTCTCTCTATCTCGTTCTCACGCTGTCCCTCTCGCTCTCTGTGTCTCTCTCGTTCTCTCTTCCGTACCCTCTTCCTATTTGTAGCCCCTCTCTCTCCCTATCTCTTGCTCTCATTCTTTCTCTCCTTATCCCCCCTTAGTAAATACCGAAACCCAGGTACTTATTCGTCCGCGGCTCGACCCTCAGCGCCAAAACCAAGCGTCTTAACTTCCAGCTGCTTCGGCTGCTGCTGATTCAGGTGCGAACCAGAGCCTGTTTTTGATGGCTTGCGTACTGCTTATGTTCATTTTTCTAGGCGATAGCTCCCGTCGTCTTCGAGTACATCCCCTGCGTGATCGGCATGTTCGGCGGGGTGTTGGGTGGGCTTTTGGTGACTTTGGCTTGTTAAATTTTGCACCCTTGACGCTCATTTGCCCTAGCACCGCGCTTTTTTCAGGGTTGCCCATCCAAGACTACGGTCTCGCCGTACCGTTAATGACCTCGTGCTTCCCGACTGCTGATGCTCTGTTTGTCCTCATCTTTTTCAAGGTGCGTTTGATCACAAAATGTAGCAAACCAAGGACTAAACCTAAACTAAGCCAAAGCCTACGACCAGGCCCAAGCCTAAGCCTGACCTAAGCCTAAGCCTAAGCCTAAGCCTAAGCCTAAGCTTATGCCTACTACCATAGAACCCGAATTCAGACCTTCCGGCACCGTCTGCTGGCTCTGCCCATCTTCCGACTGGCCCGCATCAACCACTCCAGCACCTCCGACCTGTCACATACCAAAAAGCCGACGCACAGTTTCGCGCATTAATAGATATCATTTATCTATTATTCTCTTTTCTTAATCCGTTTTTGCTTCCTCACAATCAGAACCTCATCATCAATTCGAGCTCACTTCGCCTAAAATTTCCAGAACAATAAATTTCGAATTTTTTCGAGTGGTTATACTTGCATTTGCAAACTATGAAACTTACAGAATCCTCAAGACATTAATGTTCGGAGCTTCTAAAAATTGCTAGGGTGAAATTTTGGTCGAATTTCGACCATCTTTGTTCGAAAAATCAATTATTAGTGTGAAAAACCCGCCGGTTTTTCGCAAGGAAAAAGGTCCAGACGTTCATTCTTATCAGGAACAGTAGATTCTGCGAAAAAGACACCTACTCCCCCGCCCCCCCCCCCCGATCAATTACAGACGCTAAGCCTAAGCCTAAGCCTAAGCCTAACCTGAACTTAAGCCTAAGCCTCAAAGCCTAAGCCTAAGCCGACATAAGTTTTTATGGTCGACAGCCAAGAAAGTTCTTCAAGCGTCGTTTCCCCCTGTATTGCTATACAGTTGTTGCGCATTTTGTAATTGTGCCCCAGATTCGCCCGGCTTGGTGACGTCGCACCGAGCATCGAGTATACACACCCAGTACGTTCAGCTACCAACGGCGCGGCCGCCAAGTGCAACCGACCAGAAACGCACTCCGACCACCACCACCACCGTAACGCCCATTGTTCGCCGGGCAGACCGTGCATTTTTTTGGGGTGTCGGAAGATAATCCTCGAGACGCTGCCACAAAAACAATAATGAGACCAGCTGGGATGTGAACCAGAAAATGAGCGATACCTGGTATAAAAGCTGAGCATCATATCACGCCTCGAAATACTGATGATTTAGCTCTTGTTGCTTGTTTTTAGGCTGGTTCGGTGGCGTTTTTGATGTTACATAGCTCATTTAATAGAACTTGAAATTCTGAACAAATCCGATCTTCCAAAAAACGCTCAACAAATGCGGTATCTGGATAAACTTTGCTTGGACAGGGCCAATTTTGCCCGTATTTGGCGCGTGCCCCACAAAATAGAAATTCGGTTAGAGTGCAGTAAAGTATACCAAAATGTTCGCCTTCGTAATTATATTTTCGTAGAATTTACTGCCCGGTAGGATAACGCGGAGCCGAGATACAAAAGTCAGGCGGCGGCTGGGGGGTAAACTGCACTTATGCCATAAGGTCTGAGAATTTTTACTGAAATAACGCCGTTGTTCAGCCGTTTGGAAATCTGGGATTCCTTCAGCAACAATTCAAGCTCTATTGAATTAGCTGTTGCTCACAACGGTCATTTTTGGTCGAAAAGTCGATATTTTTTTGAATTTTTGGATGAAAATTTGTGCAGTTTTTACCTTTGGGGATAGTAACAAACATTGTAGAAAACTTCCGCTATTTCCATTTGAAAAATTGGGGCCTAAGAAAAAATTTTGTCCCCCCGCTCGATAATGTGAAATAACCGTCGTGGGTACAGACGCGATTAAAATATTTGGCCCCAGTTCACTCGCTTTAGCCATTCTGCAGCAAGTTAATTGACGGCACTCGGTAAAAACAGGCTACTAAAACACGCCCAGGCGTTTGCAAGCATTCCCCAGGCGCGAATTCCTCATCTGCGGGAACCTTCCTTTTTTTTCGTCTGGATTTTTGCTCCGGTTATCGCGTTTTACGAATATTGACTCCATTTACCTTTTTTGCAGCTATGGAAAGCGAGCTACAGAGCATCTACGTCTACTCGAACTGCACGCTGGGTATTTGCTTCAACGCCCTGCTCATCTACTTCATCGCTACCGATAATTCGGTGAGTTTTGCCAAGAAGCCCCCGTGAATTGTATGAAACGCACTCCCGTATCGGATGCCTTCTCAAAAAAATCAGATTTTACGAAAATGCCATAAAGTGGCATTTTCCCGTACGTTTACATAAAAAAGAGAGTTTAATTTTAGAAGAACGGAAAAAAACAGCAGTTTAGGAAGAGCTTGAACTGGTTGCGAAAAGCTAAATCTTCCAAAAAGCCAATGCCATGGTTTTCAGAAACATTCGGATGGGTACAAACGGATGCTGGGGATCGTCTTGGCCTATAACATCTATTACGCGCTCGTTCACATGACACTCGATATGGTAAAATCTAAAAAAGCGCTTAGAACAGGTTATACCCGGTAATTGTCAGGGCTGGCTGATCGACGACTACGGCTTCTTCATGTTCAGCAAGAATCTGGCGGGCTATGGAAAGTGGATCTCGTACATGGGGATATTTGTGAGTTTATAGAGGCTCCTTGATTTACGGTTAGCGAATGCGATTAGCTGTTGCTCTAAATGGTACGGATCTGTTAACGACGGGAGGGTACTGGAGGATACCAATTTTTGTCCAGTTTCCCGTCAGGTCCTGAAACGACATCTAAAAACGAACATGTTTGGAGCCTAGACACAGTTTTTAAGTCTAAAAAGCACAAAAAATCCACACATTTTCCAAATTTTCTGACCTTTAAGACAAAAATGTGAGAATGAAAATAGTTTCAAAAAACTAACGCGTCCAATTCCCCTTTTTCAACAGATTTTTTACATGGTTTATAGCAACAAAAACTACTAAAGCACTACGAAAATTGACATTAAAATTAGCGCCAACATTTAGTAGCACTCTGAAATTCAGTCGGAACTTCAGGTGTACATGGCGGCCTTTCACATGACCCTGACGCTGTTGGCCATCCACTGCATCTATCGCTTGTGAAAATCTCGGGGTAGGTGGCCGGCGCTTCAGAAGAAGGAAGGCGTACTTCAGGAAGTGGAAGTTTCTGTTCGACACGCCGCTCGGCATCTTTGTGCTGACCGTCTTCAACTTCACGTTTGGGCCACTGTGGTGTATCCTGTGCCATTTAACGTTCGGGGTAAGATAGAATTTGGATTTTGTATAACGGGTCAGCCTAGGCTTATGCTTAGCCAAGCCTAAAATTCGAATTACCAGAATTATGCCTTACCCGTCATTTAGATGAACCCGCAGCGTACAGCGTTGAGTCGAGACGAACTCTGGCGCCGCTTCAACGTCAGCATCGATGATGTTGGATATATCGGGCCGGTTTATAAGGTCGACTCTTCCGCTTTATCGTGGGGGGGGGGGCGAATTTCTTCTATAAACGCGGAATTCCTAGTAGTGTGATAGCAGGTATTTCTTACATGGCTTCGAAAAGCGTTAAAAACTAGAAATTTTCAACGAATTGGACCATTTTCCGGCAACAAGGAAATTTTCTTTTTGTATTAGCCCGTGTTTTAGTTGTTTTTTTTCAGTCAAATATAACTTTATGAAAGCGGAAACTATCGAAAGAACCTAGAAAACTTCTAAATTTGATTGTGTCGGAAAATCGGCCATTTATCCACGAAAAACCTACGTCCTGTAGTTTCCAAAAAAACCTGTTTTACGCTTATAGAAAGTTGCAAAAAAAACGGTTTAAAACGCTTTCTCCATTTATAACAGACAATTAGCTTACGCGGCAAACGTAGTCGCCCCGCCGCAATGCGGAAACACCCAGTAAGGTCAAGCGTAAAAAAGAATCGATACGAATAAAAATCCGCGCCACAAGCATCGCGAAGCTGATATCGGCCTATCTCGACTTAACCTAAAAACTTAAAAATACTTCAGTGGCCCGACCCGGTCACGCACGAGATGAAAATCCGGTGGTCAAACCTGCTGGGCGCTTTTGGCTGCCTATCCATCCTCGTCATCATCCACATCTCCATCTGTTTCGGCGGCATCAAGCTGTAGGCGCGACGAAAATGCTCTTCCCAGACGATGCCCATATCTATAGATACTTCTTCGTCCGCGCCTCCTCGGTAAGCGCCAAAACGAAGCGACTGAACATGCAGCTGCTCCGCCTGCTCTTTATCCAGGTCAGTAGGGAAAAGCTGATGTTCTTTAGCAAGTGAAGATCTTTCTAAAATCATCACATTCGGTTCAGGCGGCAGCGCCGGTGATCTTCGAGTACACGCCCTGCCTGATGGTGATATTTGGCGGATTTTTTGGCGAGTTATACTCAGCGTTTTTCTAAAAGCGACATTAGCGCACTGATAAACACCTAGAAATAACTGCATCCTCCAGGCTTACCGCTCTCCGAGGCCGCTCTCTATATCCCAGTCTTCATATCGCTCTATGCAACCGCCGATCCGATCTTCATGCTGTTCACTTTCAAAGTAAGAAGAGTCGCGGGCCACATGTCTCTTCAACGCTTTAGGCTTTCCGTATCCGCTTCCTAGCGATGCTGCCGTGCAGTTATTTCGGAAAACAAGTCGCCCCATCTTCAGCAGAGCTTTCCCATCAGAAAACGGAGAAGCCGGGAAGTTCCGACGCCGACTCGTCACGCCACTAATGCACCACACGAGCGCGAAACGTGACTGCAAAACCCAGCATTATCATATCCGCAATAGCAAACCACACAGCTTCACCCGGAAATAAAATGAAATTTATCCGGCGCAAAAATAGCGGATCCAACAACAATCTAAGAACGGAACAAACACACAAATCTAAGCAGACGCAAAATAGAGACTAACAATTCAAGGGGCACGTAGGTTTAACACAGTTCAGCTGTAACAATGAAAAGCCGAGAAAATGTAACAACAATATCGAAGGGGGTAACCTTTCAACTAGTTGTCGCCCTTGCGTCCTTCGGTCTTGAAGAGCTTGTTGTGCCAGACGGACGTGCGCAGCGCGAATCGGCGGCGGGCCCGCTCCATCATCTTGATGTCCTTGGCCGCTTGCACCAATTGACCTGGAAAAACGGGATAAATTAATCCGAAACGCAAGTCAAGAAAAGCCGAAAATTTCTGAACTAAACATACCACGAGAAACGCCGACGTTCACCATCTTTCCACTGCCGCCGCCGCCGATCCAGCTGAGGGCCTTCACGTTGCAGTTTGTCTAAAAAATGGGAAATTCGAATAAAAATTAGGCGACGCACCTTCTCGACGGCCAATTGTTGCACGGCTACCTGGTTGTCGACGCCGCGGATGTTCTGCTTGTAGTATCGCATCAGGGCGCGGTGCCCGATCTTGGCCCCTAAAAAGAGGATATACTGGTGTCTCAATAACAACAACCGACAATCTCGCTAGCGAAGGGTCTATCGGGGCGGGATTTAAATTTGGAAAGCCCTCGAAACGACGAATTTCAGTCAGCAACATAACCATGTTTTGATCTAGCGCAAAATTTTGTAACGGCATGGCCTAAATAATGGTAACCGCAAATCGCCGTTTCCGCGTACCACTGGAGCGGCGTAACGCACCCTTTGGTTCGGACAGATTGTTGGTTTACCCGCCGCATAATCTCAGCAATTTCGAAGAAGTGCCTCACCACTCGGCAGCGTCAACGTCCAGCCATCATCAAACGGCGCCTTGGCATCGACCAGCTCATCGTACAGCGCGCTGTAGTCGTACCAGTCGACGAACTCCAACATGGACTGCGGCTCACGGGAAACACGGCAGTGCTCCTAAATTTGGGTTTCGCACCAAAGCCATGCTGTACCTTGTCCATCATGTGCTTTTGAACAGCTTGAATCGACTGATATCGCCCCTTCGACTCCGGGCAGTACAGGCACACGCGTCCAGCGCCAACTTTCAACCCTAAAAACTGGTATTAGTGCAAACGCAACGATGAGTACCTAAATATCCAATCATGCCCTGTTCATCCGAGCAGTACTGCTTGTCCGGGATGGCGAAATCGTGACGGGTCTAAATTCCATGAATAAATTCTCTGAGACATTTTTACCTTCATGTGCTCCAAATTCTTGTCAAACGTGGAGCTGGTCTGCGGGCAAAAAAGGCACGCCGTCACGGGGAGCGCCTGGTTTTCGTCATAATCCCAGGTGTCGGCTTCTTCCTCGTCTTCTGAACCATGGTCGGTGTGCCAGCCGGAGGAGTCGGTGTCTACGTCCTCGTCATCACTCTCCATCTCCACATCCTTCTGCACCTTGTCAGCCTCGGCCATCGAATGCGCAGCCGTAGATGTAGTTTTCTAAATCAGATCTGGTGGAAAAGCGCTCTTGCCGTTTACCTTTCGTGGCTGCCTCGGCCCGCGGCGCCCATACTTCTCAACCTCGAGATGCTTCTTTGAGCGCAAGTGATCGGCATATCTAAATAACATAAGTGAAGTCGGCAGGGGAAACCTTACGCATTTTTGGAACTGAAGCGCTTGTTGCAGATCTCACATAGAAGATTGGCCTCCTTGACAGCATCTTCCTTGGCTTGCTAAGATTTGGTTTCGCCTCAAAAAACTTTCCGTACCTCTTTATCCTTCTTGAAGTTGACAACCTTGGCCCGGAATTGCTCATCGGTCACCGGGGGCAGTTCGGAGACCTGACGCTTCAGGTTATAGCGATGCCAATCCGTCCGGTAATGTTCACGCTATAACGACATTTGATACGATGAAAAGGGATGGTTACCTGAACATCCGGATTCCGGAAGACCAATTGGCAAGTGACGCACGTGTACCCGGTTGCCGGGTCGAGCGTCGTCATCTGAAAAGGTAAATGTAATTTAAGGCCCTGGAGGGTACGACCCAGTGCTACCCCGAGTCCGGGGTAGCAAGAGGTCGTACTCTCCAGGTTGCCCTTATTCAAGGATTATGGAAAACAAAAAAGAAGTAAAAATCGCAGGAAAAGAGAGAAAAATAATTGGGTGGCGAGCGGCCTCGTTGCACAAATGAATATGGGTGCGCCTCGTAGCCCTGAGCCAGAATTTCACAACCAGGGGCAATTCCAAGTCACATGCTACGAGACATCGAAAATGTGAAAAAAGCAGATAGAAAGAAATCCGGGGGCGTTGTATCTGTTTAGCAAACAATTTATTCGCCCCTAGTTGCAGCATTGGTTAAAGATTTCTTAATCTTCTTCTCCGCGTATCTTCGCCGTTTCTCGTCAAGCGTGAAGCAATCTTCTAATTGGAAGATCGGCTTGTACTGGTGTCGGTAGCCTTCCTAAACAAGAGAATAAGGAGGCACAAAGATTTAATAACCTGTATACCATCCAGCAACCCGCTACAGGAGGCTTTCTTCTCAGATGGCAGGCTACTCTTGACTTCACCGATGAGATTTTCGATCACTTGGCTTCTACAACCGGAGTACAGCAATAAGCAAGAAATAATACCGCATTCTCAGCTGTACCCAATCTTTTTGCAGTCTTGTCAGTTGTCTGCTCAAATCATCATCGTCTTGGCGCCAGTCCAATTTCGTTTCATATTTCGGTCCCATGTAAAGCAACGGATCCGACTTTGTGATGCTATAGTTCGGCCGCGCCCGGACCTTGTTGATATCGAGGAGCTGGGATGTTATCTAAATTGCATTTTTAGACGCACAGCTATTTTACCTCTGGTTCTTCCGACCCTCTTCCGACAAACTGAAGAACCGAGGCCATATAGCGCACCATGTGGTAATGAAACCCGTTCGCCGTGATCGAAAGCACGAGAAGAGAATAGGGATCGGCAGCGTCCCTAAAGGCAAATAAAAGTTTTATACTGATTCAAACGTACCCCTGGATTTGTAAATCAATACTTTTGACGTGACGAACGTATGAAGCATCCGTGCGGCTTGCATCAATCTAACGATCGGTAATTTCCATGACGAGGAGCGAACCTTGCAGAAGTGACGAAAATCGTGCTCCCCAATCAACGAGTCGGCAGCCATCCGCATTTTCTAAACATGAAGGGTAAGGATTCCAAATGGATGTCGTACTCCAATATCCAAATCGGCTCTGGGCATCGCATATTTGTACGAGCGAGAGAGGGCATGTGTTGGATGAAAATCAACGTCAGCAGGTGCCCAACTAAAAAAAACTTGAAACGTTAGCAAAAAAATCGAACCTGAGGACCCGGATGGAAGGGGGCAGGTTTCTGTTGAGCATCTTCACATACGGAAGCTCGCCATATCTGTGTGGATAATCCTCGACGCTTGAGGCGGAGGAACCTTCGGGCCAGAAGACGCCCTCGCCCTGCGGGTCGCCAGACCTAACACGCAAATTTTAAAATAAACACATTTTCCATACCTTACGATGCAAGAAGCAACCTGGCGCATGGCTGAGACTCCGGCATCAGTACGGCCGGAAAAGCGGAGCAGCGCCAAAGCCGGCTCTTCGACGAGATTCGCGCGCTTCAGCGCCGAGATCAAATGCTGAAAAGAATAGTTTCAAGACCTGTAAGATGCTCATACGTCAGCTACAGCATTTGTAGCGCCATTCTTCTGGCTTTGGAGCCCATCGTGAGCCCATCCGTAGTAGTAGAAGGAGATGGCTATTCTTCTCTTGGGATGCTCGCGAAAGTCGATCTCCTTGTGGCGCTCCTAAAAAATCGGTCAAATTGGAAGCTTGTAACCAACCTGTCGCCGGAAACCCGAGCTGGAAAATCGGCAGACGATGAAGAGATTGCGCGTCCGAAGCATTGAGGCACGACCTGGAACCTGATATAATTTTTGGAACATAGAAAGAAGTGAAAATAGTGAAAAGCGGCTGGGAGAGGCGCGCGAAACAACCAATTAGGGGAGGTAAATGTCCCCGGGTCGTCGGTGCGCTTTTGCAAAGAGAAAGCAATCAAAACAAAAACTAGCAGTTAAAGTTATCGAAACGTAAGCATCATGACTAATGCAAAAGGGTTCAGCAAGGCAAATGACGGGACTTTCGGTTTTTCACGATTCTAGGCATAAAAGCAACGCTTAAAAAATAAGTTAGAAAAATACTTCATAAACAATACTAACTTTTAGTATGCAATTTTCCAAATATCCCGATCTTCGTAAAAAAACGCAATTCGAAGCGATTCCGTTGTTTCCGCCGTACGCTTGAACGGATTTTGATGTGCTAGGTACTACTGCGGGGTTTTTTTGTTTGTTTTAGATTTTCACGCTTTTAAACCCCTTTCGCAGCAAGAGGACGGGCGATAAATTATTTTTGAAAAGTTTCGACAATAAAAAGGCACCGCAACATTCTGAAGAATTTAACGTATAAGGCTCCGAATTTCGTTTAGCCACCGGATATTAAAATAGTCGGGGGGGAAGCAATTTTTGTCGCATTGGTCTAGAAATGTCTAGTAGCTTAATAGGAAATGTTTTCCAAACGTTTCCAGAAAAATAAGATCATATTTTAATTAGAAAATTTTTTTTAATTATTGAAAAATAATTCAAAGAGTCGACATTTTGGTCGACGAATCGATTTTTTTACAATGTTTTTAATAAAAATTGGTGAGGTTTTTACGTTTAGGAATAATAAAAAAACGTTTGGAAACACTTCCGCTATTGATTTTTAGCAAAGTGGTTCCGAAGAAAAATCCCCCCCCGTCGATAATCGAAAGGACCTGTTTTTTGTTAGGATCTAATTTTTCGATTCTAAATTGTGGAGGTGCATGAGACATTATACAATTTTCCATTTTCAAAATTTTAGATGCCGCGTGGCAGGTATGCACTCCGGAACAAGGAGATAACGTAAGGCATTGCGCAATACCTTTGAAAAGTTTTTCAGCAGCCCCCTCGCCGAGCTCGACCCTGAAATCGGCAAGAGGCGGAAGCGAGTATGGAAGGACCAACCTCGAAACGCCGCTGGAACAAGATGGGCGAAGAGAGAAGAGGTACATGTGATTATTTAATAAGATTATTATATAATTATAAAAAAATAAGTGCATAAATAAAATCATTTTGAACTTGTTGTTTTCTCCTGAAATTCACACTTAGAACCTCAAAATCAAGATACGACTTGAATCTAGGCGCCAGACTGTTATTTATTGTTTTATGTAGCTTCATTCTATCATAAAAGTTACAGATAATGTAAAATTGGTTTAGTATTTACTGTAAATAGTAAAGAGTGAAGTATCTAGCTTGATTATCACTTGTAATAAATATACTTGTTATGCTTTGTATAACCGCCAAAAGTTTTTCACTAATATGCTTAAAACTACAGCACCGCAGGCAACCTTTTTGAAAACATGGGGTTTATAACACTAAAACTAATGTTAAAAAAGCTTAAATAGGCGCCGCCACGCAATTCCAGTCCTTAGCGGGGAGGCACGGATAGCTTTTAGGCTACGGAGGGCGCCCCTGCACAATGGATCAGTGCGCTCATTACGTGTTTGTGGCGCCCCCAAAGCAAAATCTTCAAACTTTTAGACAAAATCGTATTTTTATCGAAAGTTTCATAGAAGTTTTGGAAAACGAATTAGATTTAAATAATCTTGACGCCAAGGCGCAGCTTTTGAGACCTAAATGTTGGAAATCTATTCTGGTACTTTTTTTTGATCATCGTTTGAAGTTTCGTTCAGGAAAATTGTGCGGTTTTCGATAACGCGAAAATGAAATATTTTCTGGGAAACCTGAGCTTTTATTTGGAAGAATTAGGGTTGTTTACCCCCAGACCAGGGAAATTTGTGCAAAAAACGCTTAGGAATGGCTATTTGGCACAAAATTCGGCAATGTAGCACCTCAATGACTTGCAACAATCGCAGTTTCTCGCTTCATTACTAAGTTTCTGTACAAATCTTTCTTATCCGATGAAATACAAAAGCGTTTCCCTGCTTTGGGCGAAAAAGCAAAAAAAAATGTTGTCGGCGGGATTCGAACCGGGGTCGTGTGCGTGGGACCGTGGCATCGGCGCTACCCGGTTGCGCCACGGCCCCAGAGGGGCCTATCCGTGCCTCTATGGAATGCCGTGCCGCAGGCAAATAACTTTTTGAAAAAAGATCATAAGGGTCCTCCCTCGTTCATTTTCGGCCTTCGGCCGATTTCGGTTGCGGGGACCCACGACCCCCCCACTGTTACGGGCTGTTTGGACGTGAGAATACCGGAATTTAGAAATTCTGATTATAACAAATAAAATAAGACCATATCCTACTATATATAAAAAAATAGTGTCTGTGTGTGTGTAGACACTTTGCATAAAATCCCGGGTTCCAGCCATAACTCGAAGGGGAAAGCATTTTTTAGTCCAGAAATAAGGTAGTTAGGGGTATTCGAGGGCGTAGATTACTGCACGCTTATCAGATTTTTACTAAAATGACGTTTTATATCTTATTTTAACGTTTTTAAAACATATGGAAATAGACTAATTTGCATACGAGAATTAATTTGGTTCATTCTGGACTATGCGGGGCTTGAAGACGGTTGCTTACGTAATTCCTGTGGTGTACAGATCCCTAACGTAAATCGTAACATTTTTGCAAAATATTATATGCAAAGTGCCTTTGTAGAGGTCCCCGCGGAGAGGCCAGGGGTGAAAAGCCGCGTAGCGGCTTTTCAACCCTGGTTTTAACTAAAAAAATTCTTGAAATTATTGAGAAACGATTCAAAGAGTCGAAATTTTGGTCGAAGAACATTTCGACATTGTTAAAGGGCTGCCGACGGCATAGTCAATCGGTTACGCGCTGAAAAGAAAATGGTTCTGCGCATCTCCCCAGGGCGCCCTCTCTGCCCTGTTGGCCACTTGCCAATTTGTTGATGAGGGGGATCGACACATGCCGTCGGCAGCCCTTTAAATGTTCCATTTTCAAAATTTTAGATCCCGCGCGGGAGGTATGCTCTCCGAAGTAACACACCCAGGTAAGGCAGTGCGTAATACTTTTGCAAAGTTTTTAGTGCCGAGCTGATGCCGATCAACCACGAGTTAGGGAGGCGCAAGCCGCGACCCGGGAAGCCGCAGCCCCGCAACGCTGCGGGGACCAGGTGGATCAGAAGAGAAGAGGTATAATATATATTTCATTGCCTCAAAGAACGGATGAATTTGATGTGACATCTGAATTCTCAAACTAAAAACTAGCTGTAAGCAAAATTATTTACCGACCCATATCGTTTATTGATCCCTGATTAACCCACTTTTCAGGCCGTCGACGAGGAGGAGAAGATCGTCCACGCCGAGAACAACGAGCCGCAGCGGCCGCAGCCTCCGGAGGAAGAGGACGACGAGCAGCAGCAACCACCAGTACGTTTTTTGATTTAGACTAGAAGGTTTTTTTAGTTTTGGGGGCTAGAAAAAACGTGCAGATCGCGTGAGTGGGAGCTTATTTTAGGGGTTTTTTAAAATAAGAAATAGGTAGGATAGGTAAAAAATAGGGAAATCTCCTTATTTGCATATGAGACGTTGGGAGGCTGATTTAGATTTTGTCATGTTTGCTATCATTAGGTTTAGAAGGTATTGTGCTAGATCGAATTCGCTCCATTTCGGCAAAGTGCCAAGCTTTTAGTGCAACTAAACCAGGGCATGTATTGATTGATTGATTGGGTCAAAGTATTGATTTTGAGAAAAAAATAGATGCACACTAAAAACTAGCTGTAAACAAAATTATTTACCAACCCATATCATTTATTGATCCCTTTATAACCCACTTTTCAGGCCGTCGACGAGGAGGAGAAGATCGTCGTCGTCGTGCACAACGACCCGCAGCGGCCGCAGCGGCCGGAGGAGGAGCAGCACCCAGCAGTACGTTTTTTGATTTAGACTAGAAGGTTTTTTTAGTTTTGGGGTAGAAAACACATGCAGATTGCGTGGGTGGGAGCTTATTTTCGGGTTTTTAAAAAAATAAGAAATAGGTAGGATAGGTAAAAAATAGGGAAATCTGCTTATTTGCATACGGGACGTTAGGAGGCTGATTTTAGATTTTGTCATGTTTGCTATCATTAGGTTTAGAAGGTATTGTGCTTGGGCGAATTCGCTCCATTTATGCAAAGTGCCAAGCTTTTAGTGCAACTAAACCAGGGCATGTATTGATTGATTGATTGGGTCAAAGTATTGATTTTGAGAAAAAAATAGATGCACACTAAAAACCAGCTGTAAACAAAATTATTTACCAACCCATATCATTTATTAATCCCTTTATAACCCACTTTTCAGGCCGACGATGAGGAGGAGAATATCGTCCTCGTCGAGCACAACGAGATGCAGCGGCCGCAGCGACAAGAGGCCGAGGACGAGCAGCAGCAGCCACCAGTACGTTTTTTGATTTAGACTAGAAGGTTTTTTCAGTTTTGGGGGCTAGAAAAAACGTGCAGATTGTGTGTGTGGGCACTTTGCATCTAGCTTGATTATATCGTAAAGGTTACAGATAAAGTGTAATTATGCTAAAAGTATTGACTTTGAGTAAAAAAAATAAATGCACACTAAAAACTAGCTGTAAACAAAATTATTTACCAACCCATATCGTTTATTAACTCCTCATTAATCCATTTTTCAGGCAGAGAGCGACGAGTCAGAGGAAGAGCCGGTGGCGGCGCCGCCGCAGCAGCAGCCCGAGGAGCAACAGCAGGTTGTTCGTCTTCATGAGGTTTTTACTTATTTTGAACTTTTAACTTTCGATACTTTAGGGCGAAATCAGCGTGGAAGATGTCCACGACCCGGGCGACCTCCCAGCCGGCGAGGGCTCGCCGGTCATCGTCAAGAAGGTACGTACCCTAGTTATTTTGAATAAACTTTGTGGTTTTAGGACCCCGGATATGCTCAGGAGACGCTCGCCTCCCGGGCAAAGAGACGCCGAAAAAAGCCTAAAGTTGAAGAGCCCATCGAGAGATGGCGCTCCGCGCACGAGTAAGGAATATTTAGACATTTTTGAGCGAAAAGAATGAGTTTTCCAGGCTTTGTGTACTTTTTGCTTAATATATATTATTAAAGTAGTTTGTAGCGGTTTGATATGGTGGTTCCCTAGTTTTTATTTGAGATAAGTAGTGTAGTTTATAGCTGAAAAGGAGATTTTTACGGCTTTTTATAACCAGTTTTTGCGTTTTTGATTTTCCCTAGCTTGGGCTTCGTTAGAAACCATGTCTTTTGGCTTTAAAAGTGTCTTTTGACGGCTATAATTATTCTTTTTCAGTTCGATTGGCCAGGAAGCGATGGCGGCCGTAGTCCTTGATGTGAAAGAGACCGCTCGCCGAGACGACGGGATGTCGGACACGGATGGCAAGACGGTCCGCCTCCGCAAAAATGTAGACGAGGTATGGAATATTTTGTTCTTTTATTCTATATCTTGTAGAACGGTGGTTCCTCGCGCAACGACACTGAAGATGATGCCCGCGACAGCAACGAAAGCGCTCAAGAAGATGATGATAAGGTAATAAGAAAGTTGTGTGAAGGGACAACCTGAGTTTAGTCGACACGGCTCACATTGATGGAACAGATCCTGCTGCTCGGGTTAAAGGACCGCGAGGTTTGTTAACTTTGTGGTTTTTCGACTCGAGAGAATCTACATAATGCTCAGTTTCAAAATTAGTGTCTATTTGCAGAGATACACGTCGAAATTTATATATAGTAGATTAGGGTCCATTTTTCCTTCCTAACCGATTCAAATTAGTTTTTCAATCCACTTTTTCAGGGCCGTGTTGGACGCCTGTGCGGCGGACTCCGCGTCCTCAGCAGCTACTGGATCGGCCAAGACTCCACCTACAAGTTCTTCGAGGTTATCCTCGTCGACCCGTCACACAAGGCCATCCGTCGTTGCCCCGATCTTCAGTGGATCACCAAGCCCGTCCACATGCACCGTGAGCGACGCGGTCTCACCGCCGCCGGACGCAAGTCTCGCGGTCTCGGCAAGGGAGATCGTTACTCGCAGACCCGAGGAGGCTCGCAAGCGAAGAACTGGCTCCGCAAGAACACCAAGGTCCTTCGCAGAAAACGTTAAAAATGTATATGATATTCCGTCTTGTTACGGCATCTTTTCGTTGTTGTTGCTAATAACAAGATTGTTACCCTTGTTTCTTTTTTTGAAATACAATTCATTATGCCAGTCGAGCAGCACATTGTATCAACTATAATAATTTTCTTGACGCGTCCGTCTGTCCGTCTGTCCGTGTGAAGCCGAATTCAACTCGAAGGGGAAAGGAGCTAGAGCTTAGCTCTCTTCGGATTCGGATAGAGCGTGCTCGGAAACCCCCAAACTGATAAAAAAATTATGAAAAAGTTTTAGATTAAATTAATAAAATTAACTTTGAAAGTGGCGCCTTAATAAAACGAGTGGGGGCCCTCTCCCCGGGAGGCCACGCCCCCTTTCTCTTCGCCCCTCTTCCCCAAGGCCCTTCCCGCGCCCAAATAACTTTTTAAGTTACTTTAATACTTTTAATACTTTTTAATACCTTTTAAATATGTTAATTAATTATTTAAATCATCTAAAGCCATCGGGAAGGTATTTAGGTAGTTTTTGAAGGGGATTTCAGCCATGGGGGGTATCTGAAGCCATCAGGAAGGTATTGGGGGGGGGGTGGTATTGATTGAGGTAGGGAAGGATGTGATGGAGTAGGACATGTAGGGTAGCCCGAAGGCCAGATGGTTGCAGTCGCGAAGCGACTGTAACCATCTGGTATCTATACAGAAAACCAGGAGAGTGGAGACGTTGATTCTAGAATACATGCTCATAAAGCTCGCACGAGCAACAACAGCGGCTGAGGGTCCGGTGCAGAAGTTGATTGCCGAGAAGCTGCGGGCACGCTTTTCTGTAATCTTTTTACTTTGGTGACTATCTTCTTGTCAGCCGGTCCACTTGTCGATCGCGTGCGAGAGCTACATGCACAACGTGCCGAAGGGAACGGAAAAGCACTTCAACGTGCAGATCGTCAGCGAGGAGTTCGAGGGCAAGACGACGCTGCAGGTTTTTGGTTTAGTTGGTCATTGTTTGCTTGGCTTGACTTGGCTCCGTTCAGCGACATCGTCTAGTCAATCAGTGCTTGGCTGATGAGCTAGCCGGACTAGCTAGCCGAATCGACGCCGTTCCGCCTTCAAAATGGGCCGGACAAAGTCCAGCGCCAAGCCCGGCGTGCCGTGGTGGAGGCCATTTGTAATCACCAGTGTATAGGTTTGCGTATTTTTGCTAAATTTTCGCAGTCAACCCTCGTTCTGCGCGATTTCGTGCAAATTTGAGACATGAGCCTTGAAACTTCGGTACCGGTCGGTGTTTAGATGTTTGTATTTCCAAATTCGCTTGCACGCTGTCTTTTTGTATCATTTTCGTTGTCATGTATAAATCAGGGTTCCACATTTATTCGTTATACACGTTTAAAAATTACAATTCGTCCTTACCGGCATTTGACAAGTCGAAACGGAGCGTTAGGCACAGAGTGGTTGAACTGAGAAACGATGCATTTGCTTATATAACTGCGGTTCGGCGATAGGGTCCCGAAGAGGTGGGATGAGGCGCAAAGTTTTGTTGCCCCCGGTTGGGGCGGTAGAAGCATTGAGTAGGGGGAAATACATAACATAAGGCCTAAATGCATAGAGACGACAGGGTGTTGCTGTTTTTGATTAGTTGACTATGCGGTGCCCGTGAAGATGTTGTGCGCGTTCTGGAACTGCATCATCTCGCCGAAGATGAGGGCTAAAAGTGGTTGTTGATTTTTGATGAATTTTTTACATTTCCATTCAGTGAGCGACTTGTCTTGGAAGTCGATGGTCTCATCGTAGCGATTTGCCGAGGGCGGGGCATTCACTTCTTCCGTCTTGAACCACAGCTTGACGTAGGGGGTGGTTGAGGGATTGCTCGACGGAGTATCGGTCTTTCGGATCGATGGCGAGCATGTGGACGAGTAGGTCTCGGGCGGCCGCAGCTAAATGGTCGTTTGTTTTAATAGTTTAGAGGCTACGACGTTTTAGTATTTTAGCATCCTACTTTAAATTGCTTAAGCTAGATTAAGCTTATATTTTTATATTTTCTAGATTTCATTAACTTACCAGTCAGGTTAACGTTCGGTTGCTCGGTATTTGACAGGAAATCCGCGTCGCCAACGATCTGGTCGATACTTCGGCCGGGGTACATAGGCAAACTTCGGACGTACCTGAAATTTTTGCGTTAACTTGAAGTTATATTTTTTTGAGCTGATTTTAAGTTTATAGAACTTTACTGACATCGCTGCCGAGGTTCCAAGCCTTTCGATAAAGTCATCGGACGGCGTGCGGAGCTCGCGAATGATGGACGTCCAATGGTCGATCCGATCACGGCCGGGGAAGAGCCGTGAAGTACGGTTTAAGGTTCTATACCGGTAACCGGGACTTTGTATGAAATCGGGGATTTTGTATGAAATCGGGGATTTTAGTTTGGAATCTTCGAAATCGGGGATTTTGACCGAAATCGGGGATTTTTGCCGAAATCGAGGATTTTTAAAAAAAGGAAAATTGGCTCGATTTTGGAGCCGCCGAAATCGGGGATTTTAAAAAAGGCGGATCGGACGGGCTAAAATCCTCCGATTTCCAGACGGCGAGAAACGGCAATTCATAAAAGTAATCCGGTAGTCCATTAGTCCGGTAGCCCGGTAGTCCGTTTCGGCTGAATTACATTTAATTTTTACTTAGTAAAACATTATAAATTAAACTTTTTATGACTATAATATACTGTGATTAGTATTACAACATGCCAGAGGATGCTTTATCGTGAAGCCTGGCTTCTAGGGGGCCCAGATGCTCAAGTAGCGTTGGCATTTTAGTAAAAATCTGATAAGCGTGCAGTAATCTGCACGCTTATAACTGCAAGAAGTGGTTTGACAGCGCTCTATGTTCATGTGAAAGCTGAGCGACGTCGAAGCAAGCCTAGTTGTAAGCTTAACCTAAGCTCGGGTTCAGCCGAAACGAACTACCGGACAACTTTTATGAATGCCATTTCTCGCCGTCGGCCCTTTTTAAAATCCCCGATTTCGGCGGCTCCAAAATCGAGGCGATTTTCCGTTTTTTTTAAAATCCTCCATTTCGGGAAAAATCCCCGATTTCGAAGATTCCAAACTAAAATCCCCGATTTCATACAAAATCCCCGATTTCATACAAAGTAGGTCCCGGTTACCGGTATAGAGCCCGGTTTAATAGTTTTTTTTTTTAACTTTTGAGATGGAATTAATATCATCTAGCTGCGCTTACCGGGTGCCGAATCATTTCCGCAAAAATGCAGCCGACCGACCAAATGTCGACCTTGTCCGAGTAGCCTATGCCGAGGATCACTTCCGGGGCTCGGAGTATCTGAAAGTTTTTTTTTAGAAACGTTTAGCCAAAATTTACCTCGTGACGACGTAATCACCATCCGCATCGCCGTGTCGAGGAGTTCTTGCGGGCGAGGCCAAAATCAAGCACTTCAAGCCGCACTGGTCGTTGACGACGATGTTGGAGGGTTTCAGATCCTGAAAAAGAAAGTTGTGACTGCGTTTTTGATACTTTTAATCGCATATAATCTACCTAAAGCATATATTACTTTATATAGTTTATAATAAACTATATAATTGAATTTTACAACTGTTTAAAGTCCTTTTTAACCTACTCGATGGATGATTCCAGACATGTGTAGGTACCGAATTGCTCACAACATTTGGTAGACAAAAAAGGACAACGTCTTGTGGTCGAGCCGCAACTTGGTGATGACCTTGAATAGCGAGGTTTCAGTCGTTTCCCACTTTTTTATATTTTTTTAAGTTTGGAAAAAGCAACTCAGTAATTATTAACTTTTGAGAGGTAGTTTTGCAAGACGCTCGTTACCTCGTGCAAGTTGTGCTTCATCAGCTCCATGACGAGGTACACCTCCCGGAAGCTGGTCGCGTCAGTTTGAGGGGTGAACACGTTTAAACGGAGCGCTCCGTTTTCGTTTAGCCACCGGATATTAAAATAGTCCCCTGGGTTTTTCCGAAATTCCTATATTCATTCCAAGCATTTTCCTACTTTTTCAGGAGGCCTTTATGAAGATTACAGGGAAACTTAGACCCATTCCCATCTACGTTTCCGCGAACGGGGCGCCCGGACCCGCGCGCTAACTTCTTGGAACTGACATCATTTTTTGGGAGGGGTGCGACTGTGTAAAAATCGGTTGGCGGACGGCAGGCGGGCGATGAATCATCCGTTCCCGGTAGAGCAGCGCGGCCATGATGGCCAAACCTGGCAGGATTTCCCGAAATTGAAATTGAAAGTGGGCAAGAAAATCGGCCTGCTTGCCTAGCGTGAAGGCGGGCCCGGGGTGTATTAAAAGATGGCCGACAATCGTGAAGTTGTGACTGAGATTTTGGCCCGTACATTTTTCTTGGGCAAAATTTCGTGATTTCAGCGCTTGGCGACACTTTTGCGGGTTTTTTATGGTAAAAGCCAGTAGTTTTTAGCGTTTTTTAATTTTGCGCTGGCTGCCCCTGCTATTCCATGCAAAAACCATTAACGTTATTTTTTGGTTCTGTGTCGTTATCGGGGGGACCAGAGGTTTTTGATCCCTATGTTGAACTGCAGCAGCCCGATAATGAACTCTAAACGATTATCCTGCTTTTCGTGGATGTTTTTGAGCATAAAACATCGTAACTCTTTGGACAACCTGTTAGAAACAATCAGAATTTTTATCATAATTAATGATTGCTGAATTTGTCCCAATTTTTCACAGGTAAATTATTATTATCTGTCTTGCGTAGACAATCCCCCCCCCCCCCCCCGATAACGATCAAGAACAGGGTTTTTCATGACTAAAAGCTGAGATTGAGAACATTTCGCACTTTTCACGTTCCGTGCCTTTTCATGGCGCAAAGTGAAATAAATCTTTTTACACTCCCGTGACTATTAACGTTAATTCGGTTAATTTCTACCGTACCCCCACGCCCACTCACCCTGTTGACCCATCCGTTTTTGCCAAATTTCTTCTCGCGGGCGTCGAGTCGGGGGGGGTGAGAACCGGATTTCCTCTTTGCTTTTTTTTCGAGTGGAAGTTGGTGGGTTTTCAAAAAGAAGATTTCTTGTTGTGAGACCTTGGCAACCATGCGAAATAGTTTTTACCACCTAGAATTCTGTTTTTCCAGATTTTAATTCCAGCTTGTGGGTTCTTTGACATTATCGCGGGACCAGCATTTGTCAAAAGATCCGTTTTTCCTTCGGTAAATAGCGGAAGCGTTTCTAAACTGTTTTTTTTTTTTCGATTCTCCACGTAAAACTGCAAATTTCTATCGATCAATCAATACCAAAAGGTATCTTTTTCCCACCAAAAATGGCCGGTTTTCGATGCAGATTTTGAGTAAAAAATTTTCTAAGTTTTCAAAAAACTTTTTCTACTAGAAGTATACTAGTTCAATTTTCCTAAAATGCTGTTAAAAACTTGCTATTAGATTAGTAGGAATTTCTGGACTTTTAGGTTGTAGATGAGTCCCCCCGATAATGCAAAAGAAGCATAGTAGTAACGATCTAATTTTGGGTCAAACTTGCAGATGTTTCTAAATCTTGCCTTCCCGTTTCTACTTGCTACCGTAGCCAGCGGACGTGTGGTATTTGGTGGTGAGGACTCGCACCATTTCTACTGGAGCGCATCCGGGAGCAGCCGCGTCTCGATCGTCAACGGGGAGTGTAGGGTACAGGTGAGTACATCCTAAAAAAACACTAGCGGCCAGGAGCAGGAGGAAATCGTCGGGTTTTCCGTGTTCCAAATAGGATATAATGTCTTTAGGACGGTTTCGTCCACGACGGTTCCACGAAGCGCCCATTGACGCTGGAGGACAAGGCAGCGCTCAACGAGTACTTCTTGGCGATGGTGAAGTGGCAGCAGAGTTCTAGTGTGAGTTGAGCGTCAAAAGTTTTTTGCCTTACAAGGAAACCTCCCCAGCTCGAAGTTGGACTTCGATTAGCCATATAGCCTATCTGATGCAGTTTTTCACGCTGATAACGATACCGATATTTATTTTTGCCGAGCGCCACAGGAACATTGTTAAAAATCGATTTAGAGTTTTGTCATGTTTGGCAGCCCCACCTCAAAGCCCCTCCCCACGGGGAAGGATCCATCGGCGGCGTGGTGTAGTCGGCAAGTACTTGGTCTACCAATCTAGAGGTCGCTAGTTCGAGTCTTGCCGCTGACGACCTTTTTGCTTTTTGCTTCAAAAGTGCTGTGAAGGTTCTATCAGTCATCAAGAAATATGGTTTTAAGTTTTTTTTGAACTTTTGGTCACCAATTCAAGTTGCTCGATTCGATTTCTCGTAAAGACTGTTTTTCAGCCGAAGACATTTGGAATTATCGGTGGATCACCAACTATTTAATGCACCAGCCACTCTTTTGAAAACTTTTTGAAAAAAGGAGAAGGAAATACTAGGTTCTGTCTTTAAGTTTTTTTTTACATCTTATGTCAAGCTTCATTTCAGCACCAAGGTAAGCGTTTTGAGGTCATAAAATTCATGAGGACCGTATCGAGACCTGTGGTTCGTTGTAGCCATAACTACCTGAATTAACTACCAAATGTGCAAAAAAAAACTGAAAAATATCTTTCTTGATGACTTGTAGGACCTTCACAGCACTTTTGAAGTAAAAAGCAAAAAAGTCGTCAGCGGCAAGACTCGAACTAGCGACCTCTAGATTGGTAGACCAAGTACTTGCCGACTACACCACGCCGCCGATGGATCCTTCCCCGTTGGGAGGGGCTTTGAGGCGGGGCTGCCAAACATGACGAAACTTTAAATCGATTTTTAACAATGTTCCTGTGGCGCTCGGCAAAAATAAATATCGGTATCGTTATCAGCGTGAAAAACTGCATCAGATAGGCTATATGGCTAATCGAAGTCCAACTTCGAGCTGGGGAGGTTTCCTTGTTAGCCTAGGCCTGAGCATGAGCTTAAGCCTAGGTCTAACGGTGAATTAACCCTCATCCTAAACCTTAGCCTAGGCCTAGGCTGACGCCGAAGCCTAAGCTTAACCCTGAGCACACCTTCGTATTCAGGGAATGTTCGGACAGATGCAGAGGATGTTCTCCCATCAGCAGAAGCTGTTCGCCCGGATGATGACCGGGTTTTACGGGGGTGAGGTCGAGGAGCCGGAGCTTGAGCTTGATGAGTTATAACACGTTCGGCGAGAGAGCGAGGGAGAGAGAGTGAGAGAGAAAATCCCATTCTTTTTAAAGCGATCAATGACAAGGTCATTTTCAAGAAAGTATGCCAACGATGCGCATGAAGGCGATGCCGGAAATGCCCTGTCTCTGCCGGAATTCAGGATGCTCGAGGTTGGACGGCAGTATGCGCGGTGTTTTTGTCCCCTTCCCGGAAGCTCTTCCCTCGGCGCAACGTAGCATCGGAAAGCACTCCATGCGCGCGAAGCGCTACACGATTTTCCAGTATGTTTAGAGCGGAAAATATAGAAAGGCCGAGGTTATGCTTAGGCTTAAGCTAGCCCATCATAGCAAAAACAGCCATTTTCTAGCAGCAACTCGAATGCGGCTGCATTCAGCGGAAGCGGTACGGTAACGATGGGCGAGCGCCACGCTGGCACACGTACGTTTTTTTTTTGAGAATTCGCCGCGTTTCCATCACTTCAAACTACTAACGGTTTTCTGTAGGGCTTGTCGGCTTCTGAGTTTGCATGTTGCATGAATGAGTCATCTTTTTCGTTCAATCCTGTCCCAACCCAAAGCTAGGATGTGAGGATCTGGGCTGTTAGTGCGGCGGGAGGCCTCAGATTATCTTGGGCTTAGTTTCATGCGAACAAAGCCTGAGCTGGGCTTGGCGCTAAGCTAAGTTCCCGCTAACGGGCCGGAACCGAATTTTCAAGGGCGCCCTCCCTCCACAACTCGCATGTACTCCTCGACCCGGTCGGGCAGCTACGGCCCAGTTGGCACTGGGGGCTCGTTCAGCAGTCATAATTCCTACGTATACCGGCCGAGTGCTACCAAGAAATACGGTAATTGAATCATGGGATAGGAAATTAGGACGGGAGCTCAGGACGGGGCTTAGGAAGCGAGTAGACATAGCGTCTGTAAGTCTGTCTGTCGGTCTGTCTGGTTTAAAGCAATGGACAAGGCGCTCACTGGGATTTTGCCGGAGCTTTTGCATTATCGGGGGTGGGACGGGCAAATGATCCCTGAAAAACCAGAATGAGTAAAAATCGGTCCTAAACAAAAAGACTCATGATTCCCTCGCAGCTTGGTATAAGCTTACTTAGGCTTTGGCTTAAGCGTAGGTTTAGGCTTAGGCTTAGGCTTAGGCGTAGGCTCCAAGCCCTAAAATAAACAAAAATCCAGCATTTCGCTCTCATTTTCTAGCCATCACTCCGTATTACGGCGCGTCAGCCGCCACCGTTCCCGTTGCCACCTACAGAAGCCCAGTCGCTACCGTACCCGTTGACCCCTACCGTAGCCCGATTGCCACCGGGGTTGTCGTGCCAGCCGCCAGCTACCCTACAACTTCTGGTCTGGCCTATCCAACGGGTACCGTCGCCTATAGGGATCCGCTCACTGGTGCGTTTTGAGTCGGAGACTTTTGGGTGGCAATTTTTTGACGATTCCTGAACTCCTTTCCATTTCCTAGGAGAATTTCCCGGGCACAGAGGCGTGAAACGGAACGTATTTAGGCGGACTCCATCAACAGACGAGCTACAGCGGGCCTGGATACAGCGGAGCATCCCACACGTACTCCTATGGGAACCCGGCGGTGGGTTGAAATTCCATTTGCAACTCAAAACGTTGCCTTGGTAGATTTGGCTTTTGTCGAAACCAATCTCCAGGCACCTTGTGCAGAATTTTGCGCTGATTTCGAATTTGTTTTCAGAAGTTTCGCTCTTGTATTATGGGCCATTTGCAAGAAAAAGAAGCCTAAATCTAAGCCCTAAGTCGAAGCCAAACAACCAAAATTTTCGAAATTGAAATTTTCAGGTTGCCCAGAGCGAAATGATGAAGACGAACTCGATGATTTCCCAGATGCAAGACGAGATGGGGTCCGGCGGTTTTTTTGATGACTAGAAAAAATGATTTGCTTATTGTACATTTCACTACTTACTGTACATAGTCAACAATAATAAAAATATGATTAGGATCTCAACCCTACACAAATTTGCCGATTTTTCGCAACAAGGGGCACACGCGGCATGGTAAATAAAGCCTAAAATTGGGCACATTGTTCCCAATGCCGGGCGGACGGTCGAGAAGACAATAAATGAAAAATATTTGGTCCTAAAGAGTGCCCATTCCTCAATATGATTGATCAGGTGAAAGTCGAGCGAAAAATTTGGGGCCTGAACCGGGAAGCTTTGCAGTTGACGTTCGGAAAATTTGCTCGAAGACCGGTTGCTCTCGGCTTCAACTTAGGAATAGGCTTTTCAGGCTTAGGCTTAGGCGCGGCTGAGCCTAAGCCTAAGCCTGTACCTAAGCCCAAGCCTAAGCATAAGCCTAAGCCTAGAGCTGCCTCGAAACTACGTCCACTCTAGAACATGTTTCCTTGTAAGTACACCTGGATACTAACGACTTATCCCCTGACGACTACCAACGCTCCAACACCAACCTGTCCATATCAGCGCCAGCTCAGCCCTATTCTTCCAATCTTCCGCCCCATGCCCCCGGACAACGCGACTACGGTATTTACCCGTGTCACCAATTATTGGGGCGTCTCGCCTGAGTGGAGATGTCATGCACCCTGGCATATAAAGAAATTAATAAAAATGGCCGAATAATGGAAAGGGGAGAGTATTTTAGACGGACCGCCGCGGGATCTTATTCATTCCAATGAACGGCGAACTGCAGGGCGACCTCGTTTGGCTGAACGGATTCTTTGGGATATTCCTGAATTTATTCTTGCTCTATTTGATCGCGACGGACCAGGCGGTAAGTGATGGAGAGAGAGCGAGAAAGAGAGGGCGAGAGAGAGAGGGAGAGCGAGAGAGAGAGATGGGGTTTTCGAGAAGCTACGTTCAGCGATCAGATGTTCCCAGGTTATCTGTCGGTTCTTTGGCATTATCGGGGGGGTGGTCTATAAGCCGAGATACTTTGCAACGTTAGAGTAAGTGTTTTGATCATGTCTTAATAGCAGTATCAGTTTTCAAGTCAGAAATCTAAAAATCCAAATTTCAATCCCCAAATTGGCAAAATTTCATTGAAACTTCGAAACTTTTGTTTTTGTAATTTTTCATAAATATTGAGACAGCTTGACGTTAAGGAGTAGTAGAAACAGTTTAGAGCGCTTCCGCTATTTGCATAGAAAAGATGGAATCCTCACATTGTAAGGGAAAAACATTGGTTTTGTTTCCGGTTTCCTTTCCCACCTAATGGAATCTAAAAAGGCCATACTACAGAGTTTTCAAGACTCCAAAATTATGTAGGCCGATCATCGCCCCCCCCCCCCGTTACGAAACATTTACCCGTTTGCCGAACTTTGAAAACAAACCCCATCAACTTTTGCAGCGCGGCGCCAACCACTACCGGCGGTGGGTTGAAATTCCATTTGCAACTCAAAACGTTGCCTTGGTAGATTTGGCTTTTGTCGAAACCAATCTCCAGGCACCTTGTGCAGAATTTTGCGCTGATTTCGAATTTGTTTTCAGAAGTTTCGCTCTTGTATTATGGGCCATTTGCAAGAAAAAAGAAGCCTAAATCTAAGCCCTAAGTCGAAGCCAAACAACCAAAATTTTCGAAATTGAAATTTTCAGGTTGCCCAGAGCGAAATGATGAAGACGAACTCGATGATTTCCCAGATGCAAGACGAGATGGGGTCCGGCGGTTTTTTTGATGACTAGAAAAAATGATTTGCTTATTGTACATTTCACTACTTACTGTACATAGTCAACAATAATAAAAATATGATTAGGATCTCAACCCTACACAAATTTGCCGATTTTTCGCAACAAGGGGCACACGCGGCATGGTAAATAAAGCCTAAAATTGGGCACATTGTTCCCAATGCCGGGCGGACGGTCGAGAAGACAATAAATGAAAAATATTTGGTCCTAAAGAGTGCCCATTCCTCAATATGATTGATCAGGTGAAAGTCGAGCGAAAAATTTGGGGCCTGAACCGGGAAGCTTTGCAGTTGACGTTCGGAAAATTTGCTCGAAGACCGGTTGCTCTCGGCTTCAACTTAGGAATAGGCTTTTCAGGCTTAGGCTTAGGCGCGGCTGAGCCTAAGCCTAAGCCTGTACCTAAGCCCAAGCCTAAGCATAAGCCTAAGCCTAGAGCTGCCTCGAAACTACGTCCACTCTAGAACATGTTTCCTTGTAAGTACACCTGGATACTAACGACTTATCCCCTGACGACTACCAACGCTCCAACACCAACCTGTCCATATCAGCGCCAGCTCAGCCCTATTCTTCCAATCTTCCGCCCCATGCCCCCGGACAACGCGACTACGGTATTTACCCGTGTCACCAATTATTGGGGCGTCTCGCCTGAGTGGAGATGTCATGCACCCTGGCATATAAAGAAATTAATAAAAATGGCCGAATAATGGAAAGGGGAGAGTATTTTAGACGGACCGCCGCGGGATCTTATTCATTCCAATGAACGGCGAACTGCAGGGCGACCTCGTTTGGCTGAACGGATTCTTTGGGATATTCCTGAATTTATTCTTGCTCTATTTGATCGCGACGGACCAGGCGGTAAGTGATGGAGAGAGAGCGAGAAAGAGAGGGCGAGAGAGAGAGGGAGAGCGAGAGAGAGAGATGGGGTTTTCGAGAAGCTACGTTCAGCGATCAGATGTTCCCAGGTTATCTGTCGGTTCTTTGGCATTATCGGGGGGGGGTCTATAAGCCGAGATACTTTGCAACGTTAGAGTAAGTGTTTTGATCATGTCTTAATAGCAGTATCAGTTTTCAAGTCAGAAATCTAAAAATCCAAATTTCAATCCCCAAATTGGCAAAATTTCATTGAAACTTCGAAACTTTTGTTTTTGTAATCCTACTATATATAAAAAAGTAGTGTCTGTGTGTGTGTCTGTGGACACTTTGCATAAATGACTCGAAAAAAACCGGGTTACCAAGATATCGCGAAGGGGGAAGGGTTTTCGGGCCCATTCGAAAGGTATTTAGGGGTATTCGAGGGCGTAGATTACTGCACACTTCTCAGATTTTTAAGAAAATGACGATTTATACCTTATTTTAGTGTTTTTAAAACATATGGAAATGCACTCATTTGCATACGAGGCGCTAGGAGGCTCATTTTGGATTTTGTCACGCTCTCAGCCGGTCGCTTTTGTGATTGTTAAGGTTGAGAGGTTGTCACTAATTCGCTAGGATTATGGAAAGTGCCCAGCGTCTTAAGATCCCCGCGCAAAGGCCAGGGGGGTGAAAAGCCGCATAGCGGCTTTTCAACCCTGGTTTTTCATAAATATTGAGACAGCTTGACGTTAAGGAGTAGTAGAAACAGTTTAGAGCGCTTCCGCTATTTGCATAGAAAAGATGGAATCCTCACATTGTAAGGGAAAAACATTGGTTTTGTTTCCGGTTTCCTTTCCCACCTAATGGAATCTAAAAAGGCCATACTACAGAGTTTTCAAGACTCCAAAATTATGTAGGCCGATCATCGCCCCCCCCCCCCGTTACGAAACATTTACCCGTTTGCCGAACTTTGAAAACAAACCCCATCAACTTTTGCAGCGCGGCGCCAACCACTACCGGCGGTGGGTTGAAATTCCATTTGCAACTCAAAACGTTGCCTTGGTAGATTTGGCTTTTGTCGAAACCAATCTCCAGGCACCTTGTGCAGAATTTTGCGCTGATTTCGAATTTGTTTTCAGAAGTTTCGCTCTTGTATTATGGGCCATTTGCAAGAAAAAGAAGCCTAAATCTAAGCCCTAAGTCGAAGCCAAACAACCAAAATTTTCGAAATTGAAATTTTCAGGTTGCCCAGAGCGAAATGATGAAGACCGTACCGACCAACCACTACCGCCGTATCCTGGGCCTGGTCGGCCTGTATAACATCTACTACAGCATCGTCCACTGCATTGCCGATATCGTAGTCACGCCATTGTATTTATAAGCCAAAATTTAGGGAGTCGCCATCGATGGCAGCGGTTTCCTACTATTCAGCAAGATATTTCTCAAGTGGGGCTGGAGCTGGGCGTATTTTGGGGCTATTGTAAATGCATATGATCACTTGACCGTCTATATTCAATCTCTCTTTCTATCTCTCTCTTTCTCGTCCTCTCTATCGGTCTCTCCCTCACTTGTCTCTCTCGCTCTCTCGGTCCACCTCTCCATCTCGCTCTGTGTCTCTCTCCCTCTCTCCCTCTCTCTCCATCTCTCGCTATCCATCTCGCGCTCTCGCTCCATCCCTCGCTCTCTCCATCTCTTTCTCGCCCCATCTCTCTGTGTCTCTCTCCATATCTCTCTCCCTCCATCTTCGGTTTGGACTTTTACAAAGTTTGGCCATTTTGGAATTTTTGAGATAGGGCCAACATTTCTTGCAATCGTGATGTGTTTCGAAATCGTAAATTTGGTACTGGACTGTTAGCGGGGGGGGGGGGGTAGCGGGATTTTAGGGGTAGGAACTGATGTTAGTTGATTGATTGCTAGAAAGATTTTGAGAGTTTTGTAGCTTTTGGCACCTTTTTGTAGTCATCTTCAGCCATTTTTGGAGGCAAAAGCGTGCAAAGTTTTTTTTATCTGTTAAGTCGTCTAAGATCAATGTTAAGCGCTACAAAAACGGGTTAAAATTCGGGACAAGATGGCGGTATTTTATGGGAATAAGTTCGATCCCCCAACATATGTTTATGCCTTAAAAATTTAGCTATACGTCGATTCGTTTGCGATGTCGTTGGCGCTGCTGACCATTCATTGCATCTATCGCTACGTCAAGATCACCGGGTAGTTTTCTCACTGGGGAAAAACACCTGACACCATTCAGAAAATGGTCATTCCTGTTTGCGAGTCCTTGGTGCATCGTGGGGCTTACGGTGGCCCAGTTTGCTTTTGGTATCGCTTGGGTGCTATTTTGCGCGTATTCGATGAGCGTGAGTTTTTGAGATTAGACCCAGATTAATGAAATTTAGCCAACGCAGCAACGGAACGATTTGAGTCGCGAATTTCTTCACAATGTCTATGGAGTGGACCCGGATACGTTTGGGTATATTGGGCCGGTGTATATCGTAAGTTAGCAATTTTGATCTAGGTTAGGAGTAAGCGTCGAATACGCTTAGGCTTAAGCTTAGGCACAGGCTTGGGATTGGTGTTGGTGTTACCTTGAGGCCTCGGTTTGAGCATAGGCTTAGGCTTAAGCCTGAATTACCGAATGCGTAATTCGGCAGCATATTCATTTTATCCATTTCTTAAGTGGCCGGACAGCACTGGAACTCCGCGGTATCTATGGAAAAACATCTTTGGCGCGGGCGGATTGCTTTTAATTCTTATCGTACTATATTCTGGTGTCTGCTGCTTTGGTTTTCGACTTTATGTCGTGCTTTGAAGCCGAGTATCAAAAAAAAAAAATCAGGTACCTTTGTGGTGAAATCTCTGGTGAGCAAGTCGACGAAGCGGATGCACTTTCAGATGTTGCGGCTGCTGTTGATTCAGGTAGTGCTTAGGCTTAGCCTTGGGCTTAGCTCGGCTGGCTGAGTAAGGCTTTTTTATGTCACTAAAGTTACAAATTCTCCGTGACAAAAGAAGAGCTACTTGATGCCAAGCTTTAGGCAATCGTCCCGCTAATTTTTGAGTATATGCCATGTATGATGACGGTGTACGGCGGCTTCCTAGGTACGTTTACTGCAACCAAAAACGCTTCGAAAAATTTCAACAAAATGTTTTGAGGCCTGCCGCCTGCCCTCTGCGATCTCTACTCTCTATTTTCGCCCGTCTTCATCTCGGCCTATGCGCCGATGGAGGCCTTTGTGACTATTATTGGGTTTCCGGTACGGTAGTTACGAAATCATCGAAGCACTCCCGGAAGCTTCCATTGCTTTAAAGATTCAACTTCTCAGCTCTCTCTATCTCTCCCCTCTCTCACGCTCTCTCTAGCTTTCTGTTTCTCTCTCTCTCCCTCTCTCTCTCTTTCTCGGATCTGGAAGGAATCAAATAATGCGAGTTCCAGGTGTATCGCCGCCGAATATCGAGAGGAATCCGCCCGAAGGCCGTAACCCCTCAAACGACCCAAATGACATCGACAGTTGGAGTCAAACGTAGCCGAGAAATTTAGCGAGATTTCAACCGATTTTCAGCGAAATCTACCGCCGAGTCTGACTCACACTCTCACCATCATTAATTGCTTACGACGCATGGAAAACCGGGGCGCTACTTTCGTGCTTTGGCTTTTTGAACCGAATAAATATTGCTTCGAAATAGTAAATGAAAATGGCTTGTTGGAGCCTGAGCCTAAGCCTAAGCCAAGCCAAGCCAAGCCAGCCAAGCATGCCGAAACTAGGTTACAAGAAATGTCCAGACAAAGCCTGGCCCAAGTTAAACCCAATGACGTTGCCTGATTCAAAGCCTAAGCCTAAGCCTAACAAGGATACCTCCCCAGCTCGAAGGTCGACTTCGACTAGCTATATAGCCTATCAGACGAGTTGCAGAACTTCCGTGAACTTTGTGTGCTGTGTTAGTCATTGAGTCGAGCGTTAGTAGAATCGAGCCGTATCAATGGTCCATCATCCCAGGGTACTCAACCCAATTTTCAATAATTTCTTGAGAACCGTCCCCGGCAGAGAAGGGGGTTTTGCAACGGAAGCACAAGAATTCAGAGTAAACTAGAAAGGGCCAATGAACTTAGAATGGCGGTTCGGATCAACTTTTCAGTTTTGTCTTTGTGTCAACGATTTTCGGACTTAATATTCGACTATTCGGCAACGCACCGCAGGGCCGTTTCGTCCTGCGTGCCCTCCCCTGCCCCCTAATTCGCGATCTTCTACCGGAAAGTGCACGGCGTATTTGTTCAGCTTCATTATTCTTTGGCATCAGTCTTTACAAAACCATCCAGGGGGTTGGCCGCACGAATTCTTTTGTTGTTTTTTTGTTACTTTCTTAGAAAGCGTGCGGACGCATTTTTTTAACGAGGGCCTTCATCTGCTCTGTATGCTTAGGCCTAGGCTTAGGCTTAGACTTAGACTTAGACATAGGCTTAGGCTTACGCAAACACTTTCGGACCTGTGCTTAGTCGCATCTTCGGTTGAAGCTGCAGCCTGGGCATTGGCATTGACTCAGTTTTAGGCCTGGACTTCTCGGGCCTAGGCTTAGGCTTACGCTTCAGCCTGGACGGAGGTTTTGCCTAGATAATTTTATCATTTGCTTTATTTATTTAACCTCTCTAAATCTTGTTGCTAATTTAATTTTCCAGCCGAATGATGATGGACGGCGAATTGCAAGGGCGGCTCGTTTGCCTAAATGGTGCCCTCGGGGTGGTGCTGAACTGTTTTTTGTTGTACTTCATCAAGAAGGATCATGAAGCACGTCTAAGCTTCAACTTAAGCTCAGGCTTACTCCGAGACCAGCCAGCTTTTCAGTTAGTAAATCAAGCCCTTTTCAGAACAAAAACACCAACTATCGACGGATGCTGGGCTTTGTGGCTCTTTACAATATCTATTACAGCCTTGTGCACTGTGTTGTGGATACGGTAGGTGGAGCCTCATTCGGAACTTATTGATTCAAGGGCTTCTACATCGATGGTGATGGTTTTATCATGTTCAGCAAGCAGTTGCACCAATTCGGGTGGTGGGCTTCGTATTTGGGAACGATGGTGAGGAGTTTATTTGCTTAGGCTTAGGCTTAGTTTCGGCTTGAGCTTAGGCTTAGGCTTAGGCTTCGACTTAATTTTTATCTGAGTGCCTTCAGGTCTACGTCGACTCGTTTGCCATGTCACTTGCCCTTCTGACCATTCATTGCATCTATCGATACGTGAAGATTACAGGGTATAGATACGAGATACGGTATCGAAGGTTTCCAGGCGTTGGCGAATCCTGTTCTCTAATTGGCTCTGCGTGGCTGGGATCACACTTGCCCAATTCGCGTTCGGCATCGCGTGGGTGCTGTGCTGCGCGTATTCAATGAATGTGGGTTTTCAGACCCTTAGACAAACGCGTGGCGGTCGGGTCTCGAATGCTTAATGACCTAGATACAGAGTGTCCGGGTTCTCAAAAAATGAGTTCTTTCGCATTACCGGGGGGGGTGGGATTTTATTGTACAAATCTAGAAATGCCTAACAACTTAAATGAACGTGTTTCAATAGTGCTTTTCGTAACATATCATTATATTTCAAGATCTATTTAAAAACTTTTATAAAGTTTAGATTTTGGTCAAAAATCGCCATTTCAGGTCGAAAAATCGATATTTTTATCTTTTTTAATACAAATTTGTAAAGCATTCACGTTTAGGAATAGTAGTAAAAAAACTACTTAGAAACACCTCCACTATTTATATTTGAAAAATTGGATCCTAGGAAAAAAGTTGGTTCCCCCTAACGCGAAAGAACCAAACCTCGAACCAATTTAGCCGTCCTGGGAACGTGACACGCTCAGCCGGGAGCAGCTCCGCACAATGTACAACATCGAGGTGGACGGCCTCGGCTACATTGGTCCCGTGTATACGGTAGGGCTAGTATGCGCGACTCCTGAATACGATTGATTAAGTGGCCCGACAAGCAGGGCATTCGGCGCGTCATCTGGAAGAACGTCGCCGGTTCCGCGGGCTGTATGTTGATCCTGGTCATACTGTACTCGGGCGTGTGCTGTTTTGGGTTGAGACTGTAGGTCGAGTAGAATCGATAAAGAGGCTCTCCAGGTTCGGCTACATCAAGAATTCTATGGCCAGCCACAACACAAAGAAGATGAACCTGCAACTGTTACAGCTACTGCTGATACAGGTCCTAATCATACCTAACTACTTACTTTGAAAAGTCGCACCTTGCATCGGCTTGGGCTTGGGCTTGGGCTTAGGCTTTTGATTAGGCTTAGGCTTAGAGTGGCTTAAGATCGTGCTTAGACCTAGGCTTCAGCTTGGGCCTAGGCTTGGCTTTAAACTTCAGACTAGGCTTTGCGTCAGACAGTGGCTGAAGAACCTACTTAGGCTAAACCTTTCGCCGAAAACTCCACCAACTTAGTTTTCAGGCAGTCGTGCCGCTATTCTTCGAGTACATCCCGTGCATAATGACGGTGTTTGGGGGCTACCTGGGTAAGTTCTAATCTACAAAATGAACTATTGAGTGTACAGGACTGCCCCTATCCAACAGCTATTCCCTGGTGGCACCCGTGTTCATCTCTGGTTACGCCCCGATGGAGGCGTTTGTGACGATCCTCGGATTTCCGGTAAGGTTTCGCGTCTAATTTTTATCGCTAAGAAAATTGGCTGTTCAAGCTATGCTTTAGGTTTATCGTCGAAGGCTTTTCCGCTGCGCTCCGGTCCGACGGATTGGAGTGAAATACACAAAATCTCAGCAGACGATGACCCGAACGGAAACGGTCAAGTCTTGAATAAATTTTGTGCAAACAGAAAAAGTCTAATTCTTAGCCTAAGGGCAAGGAATGTAGGAATGAAACTGCATAGTGACGGATAATCATAGACCTTTATACATACAAGTAGAAATCAACAATAATATTTTTTTCCAATTTTCGATATCATACCGGGGTCAACATCTTCTGCAACAACGTCCTTTCGCTGGCGTCGGACAGATCGACCTCGTCGGAGCGTTTTGCCTGTGTTGGAATTTAATGATTAGGATACCTAACCTTAAGCCAAGCCTAAGCCTAAGCCTAAATCTAATGCTAAGCCTAAGCATAAGCCAAGCTTAAACCTAAGTCCCGGCTCAAGCCTTAGCCTAAGCCTAAGCCTAATCATAATATTGAGTCAGTTCTAAGCATACGGCTTACCACAAAATAATTCTTCAACGTCCAAAAAACTGTGAAGCGCCAGTAGAGGATGAGCAGAGCAATGATCATGTTGATTTTGATAAATGCCGATAAGAGCAGCCGCAAAAACGTACTCTCGATCGTGCCTGAAACATATTTATGTAATTTGAATCGTGATGTAATCCCTCGATTTTTTAAGGCGTGATAGGAAAAATAGCAGTGATTTTTGGGTCTAACAAGGCGCTTTTTACCAAATCCACACTAGTTGAACTTACCAACTCCAAATATTCCCAAAAAACTTTGCGAGCTGAAGCCGGAGATGACGAAGCTCAGAATCAGAAGCGACACAAAAAGCCCGATATAGAGAAGCTGAAAAATAAGTGAAAACGACTTGAAAATAGCGAACCATAAAACCGAGCTTGACCCAAAGCACCGTCGGGTTCTCCTTTTTGATGGCGTAAATGGAGGCGAGAAGAACTGGAATTCTCGTACTTTTCATTAATTAATTTTCTTATATATTTTTTATGATTTAGAATAATAATTCTGATCGGTAATAAAATTGCCGATAGCTATTAAATCCTAAAAAATAATATCGAAAAAATGCTGACACTTACTCGGCAAGTGAAAGAAAATCCACAGGAACCACCACGGAAATGTGACAATCATGTAGAGGAACGTGACAACAATTTCGATAAGGATCAACACTTTCGAGGCATTCTAAATTCGCATTTTTCCAAAGCCTAAGCCTAAGGCCAAGCCCAAGCCCAAGCCAAAGCCTACGCCCAAACCCAAGACGAAGTCAAAGCGTAAGCCCACTTTGCTGAAAAATGACAAACCAAAACGTGCGCCCTCTGGAAGAGACATCGGAAATTTGGGTTTTCCGGCTCAAATTCCACCTCGTAGTCGACGAGATTTTGAAAATATTCGGCAAGCTCGACCCCATCAAATTCCAGGGGTTTTCTGGCGTGTGTATCTTCGGTCATTTCTGAAAACAACTCATAGCCATCTTACGCTTACTTAAGTTAGTCCCAACGACAGAAAAACAAATAAAGATGAAATACGGGCATAATAAAATAAAATGACGCTGAAAACGATTTTCTAGAGAATTTAAGGTCCAAGAAATCCGCGAGGAAAGCCCCGAAAGCCATAATCCAGGCGCCATGGCACGCCTGATCGATTTGTTGTGGCTCACGTTGGCCGATGCAAGGTGTGCACCGACCTGTTTCCTCTTTTTGATTGCTCTCTCTCTCTCTCTCTCTCTCGTGCTCCCCATTCCAATTATCAGAAAGGTCATCCGCTACCCCGATTTGATCGGCCCCGCTGAGAGCGCTAACAACTGGCAGAGATCATTTAGGAGGCGGAATCCCCTTGGAGAAGCGGTGGCTCTCTCTTTCCTCTGTCTCTCTCTCTCCCCCCCTCTCTCTCTCTATCGTCTAGGAAAGACGGGTTCGCCGGGCGTCTTTTGTAATGAGTAGGCTAACAGTGATCCATTAAGAAAGGCCGGTTAGCAGAGATTCTTTCGGATTTCCGAGGCCATCTGGCTAGCTAGAAATGATTCTTGGGCAAAGACGGGTGCGTAGAGATCCTTTGGAAATACGAAAAAGAAGAGCAGATTGTTCACAGCAGAAAGGCAGGCTAGCAAAATCTTACTCAAAAGGCTTAAAATTCAGAGAACGGAAGCGAGAGAGATAGCGCGATAGAGAGAGAGAGAGAGAGAGAGAGAGAGAGAGAGAGAGAGAGAGAGAGAGCTAGGGAGGGTAAAAGGAGTGGCTTTACTAGGCATTTCATATGATCTTTTAATGCGAAAATACCGGCACCTGATTTGGTCAATGAACAAGAAACTCTCCGATAATTTGGCTGAAAAAGTGTACAAAGATTTATTCAAAAAACGTCGTTTGATTAGAATTGGATATCGGGATTGTTCTTCCGGACTGCCGCCCGATCCTCCGGGGATAGGGCGGCGAATTTGTCGCGGATTTGCTTGGCCTTGGCGGCGTCGACGTCTTTGCCGTGAAGCAGGTTGCCCTTCACCTCACACACGTAGTGCATTGCCTGAAACGGCTTCGTCTTAATCTTCGAAACTGATCTTGACTGGACACATTTTTTTCTGGGATTTCTAACTTAAGCCGATCTAGTAGGAAGAGATAGTGAGAGGGACCGAGTGAGTGACAGAATGAGAGAGAAAGAAAGAGAGAGCGTGAGAGAGAGAGAGAGAGAGAATTTGAATGTGTATGTAAATTCGATATTTCCACGTTATGAAATTTCGAAATTATGAATTTCGACATTATGATTTACGACATTTTTAAAGAAAACCCAGCTCTAACAATATTTCAAAACTCCCCCACCTCCTTTGAAAAAGCAGCAGCCGAGTCGGAAAGGCCAGCGAGCCTCACCTTGTTTCGTGCCAGCATTGAGCTAAAATAGCATATTTCTATTCCAAGAACTCAAACTTCTAAAAAATCACCCTTTCCCTAATAATCGCCTCCACGATACCGTACCCAAACTTCTGGTGCAGCGTATCACATTTGCCGTGGCATTCCTCCATCATCGCGTCGACGTTGTCGAACGATTTGTGCTGGTCGAGCAGGCACTGAAGACAGCAAATTGGAAAAACCTGCTTTTTTGGGACTAGGCATTTGCATATTCTCATCCTGGGGGTGATTTGGAAAATACTCGAGACGGGGCGGGTGCTGTTTTCTATATTTCCCCCCAGCCACCGTACCTTCAAGTGCTTGGCCTCGTCCTCGGTCAACGAGCTGCAGAAGTCCGTGTTCTCCTTCGGGATCAGGGCTGGAAAGATCGTAGAACGTTTTAACCTATTTGTTTTTTACTATTTTTATAAAATTTTCGAGCTAAATCGTCTTTTATAGCAAAATTGAGGGATTTTCACGCTTAGAGAGTACGAATTACACCGCTCGTGGACAGTTCAGCGTGTATTGGAGCGCCGCGTAACGACTTTCCTATCCGTGGGTTTCTGGCTAGGGAATGGAATTGCGTGAGCCATTACCTTTCAAAGTACCCCCCCCCCCCCCGGAATTGGCGAATCGCACTTGAAAACTTACTTTTCACCTCCTGCGGTAGTTTGTCGAGCGGCGAGGACATCTTCGAGTTTTCCTGCCCGGGAAACGTTTGATAGAACGGCTAGCGCGGCTGACTGACAACGATCGACACTCGGAAAACATATTTATTCTTCGCCTTTTGATACCGGCCCAACCGTTGCCCGGTTGGGGGCGGAGGGGGCGCCCGGAAAAGAGAAGAAATAGAAAACATCATATTTTTACCATTTCGCCCGCCTTCTTTTGCCCCGGACTCGCGAAATTGCGCGATCGCGTTAGGGGGGCAGCGGATTTGAAATTTGGGCCGGCCAGGAATTCGGTGGAAATCGGGTCGCTGCAAAAGGAATTGGTTCTTCTCGTTCAGCGGGGGGGTCAATTGTCCTTTTTAAGATAAAAATCCTGCTAGAACTTATCGACTACAACTTTTTTAGACCTTGTTGATAATTTCCTAGCAATCAAAGCCTGCTAAAAATATTATCAAAACTACTGAATCTTTAGGTAGAAGGCAAAAGGGAAAATGCAATGAATGGCCTCAGGCAGACCCTCATAAATATTCATTCTATCTTTTCAGGTGTTATCGAAGGTAGAAACCAGCCAGCCGCACCTCCTTGAAACCGAGAACTATGCCAGTGATTTTCATACAGGGGTGGTACCAAAGCTCCAAAACCACCGTGGTTAAAATTTAACCACCCATGGTTAAATTTCAACCACCCATAGTTAAAATTTTACCACCGATGGTTAAATTATAACCGCCCAAAATCAATGGTAAAAAGCTAACTTTTGGAGGATGGTTTCTACGACAATTAAGAGGTCTAGAAAGATCGCAAAATTCACGGATAGGTTTCTTAAAACGCTTGATCGAACGCCGCTAACCTTTTCTTGGTGCAATACTTGGAAAGGGGCTAGAAAGGAGCTTGGAAATTTAACCACGATGGTTAAATCATAACCACCGATAGTTAAATTTTAACCATCCATGGTTAAGTATTAACCACCCATGGTTTAATTTTAACCATAGGTGGTTAAACATTAACCATCGAGGGCCAAAACCAAAAAAGTTAACCACCCAAAAAGTAATACTTTTTATAAACCATGTTAAAAATTCCTCGAAAATCCAAACTCGCCAATAAGATGAATATGGTTTCTTTAGACGATATTCTAACATGTGTTAAAGATATTAGGGCCGTAGATGGTGGTTTATGGGCATAAAAGTCGCCTCAAAAATTTAACCACCCACGGTTAAATATTTCGTGAAAACGTTTTCACGAAACATATAACCACCCTAGTTAAATTTTTTTAGGATAAAGTTAGCCACCTCCCGGCTTCCGATGGCAAAAAATTTCATCAAAGATCAAAATGGAAGCACTCCGCCTCCCCTTTTTTGATATTCTCTCTTTGGACATCACTCTCCAATCATCGTTTCGACAAATCCGCATCTTTTGGATACTTTGTTACCACGAGAATTGGCATTAATTGGACACCGATCGCTCACAACAAGTAATCCGTTTTCCTAAGGGCCCTAGCTCAGCAGGCTTTTTGGCCAAGTCTACCTAGTCCTTTCGTATAGTGTAACTTATCCTATTCGAAATTAGGAAATCATAAATTTTTTCGAAAAATCTCTCCGTTTCGCCGGCGGTTCGCGCATTGATTTGGGACGCTCTAAAACTTATAACATTGTTCGAGAGAATTTGGACTCGTTGGTCAAAGTTGTATGAAAAATGGCCAAAAAAGCTCAAAATGTTCAAGGTTTTCAAAATATCTAAAAATGTTTTTTTTATCTATAACTTCCTGGCAACCAAAATCTACTAAATACATTATAAAAATGGTCTACATTTTCGGAACGCACCCAACAGACCGAATACACTGAGGAGTCCCTTTTAATTCCGGAGGGCCCTGGAAAGGCAGTCGCTTTCTACATAGGCTCACGGATCGTTTAGAAAGCGATAAATTGGGTTCACGTTGCTTTCTTCCAAAGAATTTCTATCGATAAATGAGATAAATTGATTTTGGATGGGTGGTTAAATTTTTTCGCGGTAGGTGGTTAAATTTTAACCATGGGTAGTTACAATTTAACCATGGATGGTTAAAATTTAACCATGGGTGGTTAAATTTTAACCAGGGTAGTTAAATCAGGGTGGTTAAATCTACTTTGGTACCACCCCAGGACCGGCCATGGAGCAAACCGCGTCAAGAAATATGTATAATCTTCCGTGTTGTACCAAAACTGTTTCCAACCTTTTTTATGCTAAAAATTTGCCCCATGTAAACAAACTAAAAACGTCGTCCAAAAAATACGAAAAACCCGAAAATACGCTCCGCAAATCGCTTTAGACTTTCTGTTTTTGTTGTTTTTCGCGCAACCTCCAAAGCCAATTTGATGATTTTCTAACGATAAAAACTACCAAGATTTACCAGAAGGCACTACAAAAACTTTGCACGCGCTAATTCCACTAACTAGGAGTCGTCTTGGGGTGATATTTGAGTTTTGCGATGTGGCGCAGCCGATTCGGTAGAGGCTGAAATTTGGTACAAATCCCATTTTCCAAAGATTGTTAAACTACCTATATAATTACAACGGGCTCCCGGAAAGGTTTCCAACGTCTGGTTTTTGTTCAGCGGGGGGTCAACATTTGCAGAATTGACCCTTGCAGAGCAAAATTTCTCGACTACAGTCACCGTCGAGCAATTTTGAAGGCATGGAATTGCTCAGAATTTCAGGCTCGATCGCAGGATCTATGATAAAGTCGAAAAATTACCCTCTAAAAATGACTTCGTTCCATTTGCGTACTCATCTTGATGCTTCGGATCGTGTTTTTTAGCCGAGGACGAACGTAATAAACATCTATCTCTATCAATTTCAATGAAATCTTGGCCACCGCTCTAGTGTACTCATTGTTTATCTTGCTCACGGTCACTCCATTCTTATCCGCCCGTGTCCAGTTTGACCAAAAATTGATGGTGCCGGCTCCGTTTCGGCGATCCGGCACCCGCAAAAACAACCTTTCGGCCGCGCGCCCGCATTTTAAAAGAGTTGATCGGAGACCGCCCCGGTGAGCAACTGATCCAAATTAGTCGACCGAGCCTCGCCAAAAAAAAACGCGAAGGCCAAGCGGGGAATTCCAAAATGAACACGCTGAAAGTCCAGAGTACAATTCACGCGCAGGGAAAATCGGTTCAGCCAAGTGGAATGTCAAAATTTATTGGGCACCAAACGCACAACAACCAAACAAAAATTCAACAACTTTGCACAAGCTTGAAAACGAAACAAAAACTTTTGGCGATTTTGCAAAAGTTGGAAACGAAAAAGAAAAGTGCTTAACCCTTATTCAAGCTGCTTCAGTGAGTGGACGGCCTCGGTGTCGATGCCCAGGTCCTCCTCGTAGCGGATCAGGATGCCGATCAGCGCGTGCAACGTGTGTTCTTCCTAAACAAAGTTTTTGCTAGAAATTGCATGACCTTACCTGAGCTAGTAGCGTTGGCGGCCTCATCTTTGGCGGCGGGGCATTCGGGTCAGGCTGAAAAACAACATTTTATGAGCGCATGGATGCCACACACCCTCTAATAAGATTTCCTTTACGGCCTGATTTAAAAACAGAAGCGCTCCATCGACTATAAGCTCCTCCCCGAGTAAATCTATCTAAATGGCATTGATTCAACACAAAAAATGCGAACAGTTTCGTTTATGCGTTCCCCTGATATCACCATGAGTTTTGGGCAGTTTAAAGTGGTCAAAACCGGTTGGAATTTGTCAAATTTGCTCAATCTTACTTCCTGTTTTTGGTTAGATCGAAAACTTAAGAGCTCACGCCCCTCCATGATAAAATCTATTAGAAAAAAATGAGGTGCGCGCCTGTATAGGATCAAATAAGGCACGATTATTACCTTTTCACTTGTAGCCTTGTCCAACTCGCGCAACAACGCATAGGCGCCCTTCTTCCGCAAAGAACACCGTCCATGTTTCGTGGAGCACAACTGAACTGGGGGTAACTCTTTTTACGCAACAACAAAATACCTGGTAAAGCGCCTCCACCAACTTTTGCCGTATTTCCGGCACCGACTCGCGTGACCCCTCGTAGTATTGAAGGGCCAGCGGCAATTTCTAAAACAGAAAAAGTTCAGCATTCGACGCTTCGCAACCTCAATTTCCTCATCATCCAGCGCATCCTGCTCGTCTGCCAACGGGGTTAGCAGCGCCACCAGAAAATGGTCCTTGTCGTCGAGCAATTTGTCGTGCAGCGCTGAAAATTACATTTGCCGATCTAGCAGTAGCGACCCAACCTTCGTCAAAGCACAGATTCCGCAGAACATCAACGCCAGATTCCTTGATACGTTTATTGGCATCCTGCCGCGCGATCGCATAGATCGAGTCGAGGAGTTCTGCTTTCTAAAAACCGAATATACGGCGTGTCCCAAAAAAGACGCTCCAGCCGTCCGTGGGGGCGCTTGATCTTTTACGATTTAGGATATCAATTTGAAAAAAAACTCTTAGAAGGCTAGAGGCAACGCTGTCACCGATTTTCAAAATTCTAGAGGCTTTGGCACGATTCATCGCAAAAGAAACAGAAATTCTTCCCGTTACCACAAAATCCCAGTGAAATGCGTGCCAAAATGATTGGGCAACGGAGTTTTTAGCGGTTCTCGCGATCGTCTTGCCCTTACGTGTAAAAACGAATAAAATGCCTTGCAGCCCGAAGAAAGAAGCGTGTTTTGGTCTACTTGAAGCACTTCCAAGTTGCATGACCAGGTTTTTGTAACCGATTGCATAAAAACAGGCTTTCGAAATCGGAAACAACTTCCAATGTCTTTCCAAAGGCTTTTCAGAGCGACCTAACTTGTAAGACGCACATTCCACGCACCGCTAGAGCTCTCCCTAGACCCGGGGTCAAATTTTGGGCATCATAAACACAAAGCATAGACAAACATACATCCGCTAACGATCTTCGAACCCCATGCAGCGTCGTCAGGTTGACCAACGTCCACGCCAACGATTCGAGGTATGGCTGCGGCGAGTCGGCCGCAATTTTGTGTAGATTCTCTAAAAAAGGATGAATTGGCGACGCGCACAACCATACCGACAATGTTTTGCAGAAAATTTGGGTCGACTCGTTCGAGGAATGTGTGCACGCGGCTGGGGAAATGCCGAGCGAGGTTGGCGAGAAGACGGGAGGCACCGACGACTGATGGTTGCTTCTCAACGCACGCTTTCCACGCCTAAAAAAGCTATTGATATGCGGTAGTCAAAGACGCGCGAAAAAGCCCGATTTACCCGAAAAACAAGTCTGTAAGGACAGTTTTGTGCGTTGACTTTGTATTTCATACTTTCAGACTAATAAAAATGGATCTTGGACGACAAAAATTTAACCTAAATCCCACTTCAAAAGGTAGAACCTCATAAATTAAATAAATACTTATTAGAAGCACCATTCCGGACATTTTGCTCGTTTTGGTGGCGGGACGGAGCATGAGCATCAGCATGAGCATCCGCCTCACTTCCGTCCATTACGACATCAAAATCTAAATTTAATTTAATTATGAAATTCTGAAAAACCCACCAAATGAATAATTTTCGACATCTAGTAGCTCTTGCTTAACTTCGCGTTGAGTATCGGCCATCGTTGGATGAGTCGATTTCTCTTTGGATCGTGGTGGAACAGCGTCCGGCACCACTTCTTGCTTCACCCTATCTAAATATTAAAATCGGGAGATTAATGAGGATTTTAGGTTCTTGCGCATTATCGGGGGGACAAAAAATTTTGCAGCAACCTAAAATAGCTAGTAACTTAGTCGAAAGTATTTTCATCATATTTTCAGTAAAAAACTATATTTTAACTAGAAAAACTATCTAAAAACAAAATTTTTTCAAAAAGTCGAAATTTTGGTAAAACGGCCAATTTGGACGGAAAATCGAGACTTTTCGTATTTCTGAAAACAATTTGTAAACGGATTACATTTAGGAATAGAGGAAACAGTTTAGAAACACTTCCGCTATTTATATTTAAAATAATTCGTTCCGAACAAAAAAAATGAAAAGCGCAAACTTTCGAGAACGCAACATACCAGCACCTGAGGATGCAGCTTCTGTACTTTTCTGCACGTTTTGCCGAACGTCGAGACTTTTGTCGTCAGCAGCTCGGAGATGAACAATCGGTCGGTTGTCTTCTGGAGTGTCATCCTCTAAAAAATCGCATCAAAAAGTCAAGAAAATATTCGTACCGTCATCGGAACCGCCCTGAATTACCAATCCGTACTTTTGGCCTCCAATGTGCTTGGCGATGGCCCTTGCGCGATCAGGAAAGTTGGTCTGCGTCTTTGCTTTGAGGGCATCGTAGTATTCGGCAGTGCTAAAACACATGCTCGAAGCCAATCCGAGCACGTACCGATTATCGATGACCCGGCCGTTTCCTTGATGTTGCTCGTTCAGATGCTTTTGCAGGTGGTTTTTCAGTTTCGCAGTATGGGAGCAGACTAAAACCAGGTTTATTCGGAAGATTGGAAATACCAGAACACTTCCACGGTCGGATGGCGAGGTGTGCCGCCGAGTGCTTAGCGAGGTGACTAGGATAATTGATGGAGATAGCATTGCTGCACTCCTGAAAAAAAATCATGAAATAACGAAGCCTGGCTGGCCATTTTCCAATTTCCAACGAACCGTGGTCCATAAACCACATTAGTCGAAAAATAAATGATGCATCCCCTACCATGCAGACGGCGACTTTTCGACCGTCTTGCGGATTGTCATCTTCTGAAAAAAATGGAGGTCAAGGAGGAATTAAAAGGTTTATACCATGATCGGAGGCATCCTGAAATCCCAATGCCTCTTTTTGTCCTCCAATGTATTTAGCGATGGCACTTGATTGAACTGGAAAGTTGGCTTTCGTCTTCGCCTCGAGCGCATCGTAGTATTCAGTCGTACTAAAACTCATCCCCAATGACAATCCGAGCACGTACCGGTTATCGATGATCCGACCGTATCCTTGATGTTGCTCGTTCAGATGCTGTTGCAGACTGCCTTTCTGAGTCATAGTACATGCGCAAACTGGAAATAGATGTATTCTAAACATTGGAAATACCAGAACACTCCCAGGGTCGGAAGGAAAGGTGCGATGCCGAGTGTTGAGCAAGATGAAAAGGGACATCGCGATAGATGGCATTGCTGCACTGCTAGAAAACCATTAACTAGCAGGGTTTCGCTGATAAATTTGTGGCGAACCTTGGCCAGAATTAGAAACTACCATAATAGCCCACATAAAAACGATGTGATGACGTACCTTATAAACGGGTCTTGTTTGACGGTGTTCTTCCTCTTCCGAATCCGTCGGATTGTCGTCAGTAGGCCGGCGGCGCTTCACGGCACGGCCTTTTTCAGGTGTCACCGGGGTCATGCCTGCAAAAGCAACAAGCGTCATGTCACAGCACCGCAGACCGCAGCACCACCGCTTTGCGTTTTGTAAAGTCAGAATGAGAAATTAGAATTTCAATAGAATCACTTTTATATAAATTTCTAACGTCCGTGCGCTTTTTGTGTTTTATTGGCCGTTTTTTTACGAAAATTTCGACTTTTGAAGTTTTTCAGGTTTTTTGAACAAAATGTCAGCATTCTGGAAATTCAGCAGAATAGTTTATCTAGTTAAAATATAGTTTTATTTTACCAAAAACATCATGAAAATACTTCCTGCTAAGTTCCTAGACATTTCATTAATAAAAAAACATTCCCCCCCCCGATAATGCGAAAGAGCCAGTAAAAAACATTCAAACCGTGCCAATTTCAAAAAAATAATTCGAAAAATAGCGGCAGCAATAGAACACTTAGATTAGAGGGCCAAAACCGGTGTTAAAACTGTCAATTCTCAACCTCGATATTCAAACGGATCAACCACAGAACATTCGCTGATGAACAACGGTTTTCGAAAACAACAATTTATTTGGTTCAACAACGTATTAAAAGCAAAGTGCAAGCAAAGTGCAAAATAACAAATGAGTTCAACAAATCGCATTAGAAATATCGAGATAATAGGTGTTTTCTCTTTTCGTGCGTCATTCTCGGCGTGGGCTCTGCCATCAGCCATTGCGGATGCGCTCCTTCAGCGCCGTAATTTCTTCCCTGAGCATCTTCAGCTGGGCGGCTTGCTAAAAAGAAAAATTAGAGAAAAATTAAATATAAAAATGTGGGTTACCTGGTCGTGCTGCTGCTTCAGACGGCGATTTTCGGCATTCCGCGTTTCCGAGAGAGTTTCCTGTAACAGAACGTGTTTCTCGCTGTCTCGAGCAAATTTTCGTTTTATTTTTTGGTTCTTAGGCATTATCGAGGGGGGGATAAAGGTTATGCGAAATAAGCGTCATACGAAATTACCGTTATGCGGAATACAAATTATGCGAAATGGCGGTATGCGAAATGAAAATGATGCGAAATGACTGGAAATCAAATAAGCCTACCTATAGCTAGGAAAAACTTTCAGAAAGCCGCAATTTTGCCGAGTTTTCAGCGATATTTTTTGTAGTTTTCGATAAAAATTTGTACGGTTTTTACGTTTGTAAATAGTAAAAATAGTAAAAACCGTCTAGTTTAGTAAATCACTCCCGCAATTTAGATTTGAAAAACTCGATCCTCAGAAAAAATTTTGATCCCCCGCCCCCGATAATGCTAAATAACCATTTCATCTTCATGTTGAAGAACTAGCGTTTTTAGGTGACTGCGCGAAATCTGTATGCATTTCTGAAGAAGGAAATTGAGATAATCTGAAATTTAGAGCTTTTGACATTTAGAAATTCTGACTTAGAGATTCTGAAAACTCCCCTGCAAATACCAGTCATAAAAGTGTGCCAGTTCTACGCATAAAAAGACAAGAAAACAAGCATAAAGCCCCATACCAGGAGTGCCATGTTGGTTTGCATGCGAGCCACGTCAGATTTCGTCTCCCTCATGGCAGCCCGCATTCTCGCCAAGTCCGAGGAAATCTTCGCACCGCCCAGCCTCATTGTCATCTAAAAAGAAGAGAACTCAATTGGCATAAATATCTTACAATGGTCTCTTCGACGCGCTTGTCGATGCTGTGGTCAGTGTCGATTTGGGGCACGGGCTCGATGCGTGGTTGTACGACAGCTACTCTTGACGGAGGGGAGAAGGCCGAATTCGCCTGGAATGGCGGTGATTCTGATGGAATTGTCAGAACGACCACCTCGGCTGCCCAGTCCTCCTGGCCTCTGTTCACCTTCTTCTTCTTCTTATCGATTCGTCTCGGCTCTTCGGTTGGATTTCCATCTAAGAGGAGATTAATAGGTTCTTTCGTATTATCGGGGGACATATGTTTTTTATTAATCTAGAAATGCCTATAAACTTAATAGGAAGTATTTTAATCACGCTTTTAGTAAACTAAAAGTATATTTCTACTAGAAAAACTATCTAAAAACGTAGAAAAGTTGTTCCAAAAGTCTAAATTCTGGTCAAAAACGGCCATTTTTGGTCGAAAAAAAAATCGATATTTTTTTAATTTTTTTAGTAAAATTTGTCTTTTTATTAAACCTTTTACGTTTAGAAATAGTGAAAAACAGTTTAGAGACACGTACACACATATTCAAAAAGTTTTTGGGAAAAAATTTCTTTCTTTTTTTTACGGAAAACCGGTACCTAGAAGTTCTTCTTTGGCAACGATTGGATGAAGGGTAGGCGAGAATGGTTGGTCTTTGTCACCTAAACCTCAGAAATTAAATAAATACTTATTAGAAGCACCATTCCGGACATTTTGCTCGTTTTGGTGGCGGGACGGAGCATGAGCATCAGCATGAGCATCCGCCTCACTTCCGTCCATTACGACATCAAAATCTAAATTTAATTAAATCATGAAAATCTAGAAAAATTACTATAAGTTAATCACTTAACAACCAACCAAATGAATAATTTTCGACATCTAGTAGCTCTTGCTTAACTTCGCGTTGAGTATCGGCCATCGTTCGGTGAGTCGGTTTCTCTTTGGATCGTCGTGGAACAGCATCCGGCACCACTTCTTGCTTCACCATACCTAAATATCAAAATCTGGATATTAATGAAGATTTTTAGGCAAAATACAGGGGACTCAAAATGGATACTACATATCTCAATCAAAAATACTATATATCTCAAAAAAAATTTCCTTCTAAGCGGCCGCCAACTGTCACTTTTCAAGTATCTACCAGGGTTGAAAACCGTGATATCCTCTATCTTACATTACCCGAATTCTTACGACAAAAAAACCACCCCCTCTAAAGCTGAAAATTCAGAAATTCGGACCTTTTTGATCATGTCTATAAATATGCGCAATACAAACCATTTTTCTTTCTAGTCAACAAAAACTACAAAAACACCATAAAAATACATCATATGTCACCAACAGGTCGTAGGCAAAAATGGTTTACCCCTATTAAATATCCCCCCCGCTAACAGCCCCGAGCCAAAGGAACATACCAGCATTTGACGATGTGGCTACTGGACCTTTCTGCACGTTTCCCTGAATGTCGAGACTTTTGTCGCCAGGAGCTGAGAGATGAACAATTGGTGGGTTGTCTTGTGGAGTGTCATCCTCTGAAAAAATTGTAGTCAAAAATCAGGGAAGCATTCTTACCGCCATCGGATACCTCCTGAATTCTCGATACGTGCCTTTGTCCTCCAATGTACTTGGCGATAGTCCTTGCGCGATCAGGAAAGTTGGCTTGCATCTTTGCTTTGAGGGCATCATAGTACTCAGCAGTGCTAAAACTCATGCTCAAAATCAATTGGAGCACGTACCGATTATCGAGGATCCGGCCATTTCCTTGATGCTGCTCGTTCAGATGCTTTTGCAGGTGTTCTTCCCGAGTCATCGTACAAGCGCAAACTGAAACTAGGGGTGTTCAGAAGCTTGGAAATACCAGAACACTTCCAGGGCCGGAAGGCGAGGTGTTTCCACGAGTGCTGCGCCAGATTCCTAGTTCCAGTCGAGACAATCGAATGACTGCATTCCTGGGAAAAATAGTATTCAATATCAGACTCGCCGGCAAAATTTCCCGCAAACCGCGGACAGAAATCACAGTAATAAAAATGAATGATCCTTTCACCTACCCTGCAGCTGAAGATTTTTCGGCGGGTTTGCGCATTGTCATCATCTCAAAAAAGGCAGTCACGAAAGAATTAAAATAATCATACCATGATCAGATGCATCTTGAAATCCCAATGCCTCCTTTTGTCCTCCAATATATTGAGCGATACCACTTGAGTGAGCTGGAAAGTTGGCTTTCGTCTGCGCCTCGAGCGCATCGTAGTATTCGGCAGTGCTAAATTTCCAGTCAAATTCAAACAGCGCAGGTACCGGTTATCGATGACCCGGCCGGTTCCTTGATGTTGCTCGTTCAGATGCTTTTGCAGACTGCCTTTCTGAGTCATAGTACATGCGCAAACTGGAAATAGATGTATTCTAAACATTGGAAATACCAGAACACTCCCAGGGTCGAAAGGCGAGGTGTGTCGACGAGTGCAAAGCGAGACGGAGAGGTTGAGCGCGGTAGACAGCATTATTGCATTGCTAAAATAGCATGAATTAGCAGGGTTTTGCCGATAAGTTTTCCGTTGGCCGCGGTCATTATTTTATCTTGGCCAGCATAAAAACGATGTAATTACGCACCTTGCAAACGGGTCTTGTTTGACGGTGTTCTTCCTCTTCCGAATCCGACGGATTGTCGTCAGTAGGGCAGGGGCGCTTCAAGGCACGGCCTTTTCCAGGTGTCACCGGGGTCATGCCTGGAAAAGTCAAAAGCGTCAAGTTAGAGCACCGCAGACATGCAACAGCTTTTCGTTTTGTAAAGGCAGAATGAGAAGTTAGAATTGAATAGAATCACATTTATATAAATTTCTAACGTCCGTGCGCTTTTTGTGTTTTATTGGCCGTTTTTCACGAAAATTTAAATTTTTGAAAAGTATTTGAAAGTCTTTAGATAGTTTTTCTATTTCACAAAAAACAATATCAGAAACCACTTCCTATTAAGCTCCTAGGCATTTTTAAATTAATACAAAACATCTACCCCCCCCGATAATGCGAAAAAACCACTAAAAAATTCAAAGCGTTTCAATTTCAAAAAGTAATTCAACAAAATGGCCGCACGAATAGAAAACTTCAATTAGAGCGCCAAAACCGGTGTTAAAACTGTCAATTCTCAACGTCGATATTCAAGCGGATCAAGAACAGAACATTCGCTGATGAGCAACGGTTTTCGAAATCAACAATTTATTTGCCTCAACAACGTTTTAAAAGCAAACTGCAAGCAAAGTGCAACATAACAAATCAGTTCAACATTTCAAAAGTAGGAAAACGAAAAAGAAAAGTGCTTAGCCCTTATTCGAGCTGCTTCAGTGAGTGGACGGCCTCGGTGTCGATGCCCAGGTCCTCCTCGTAGCGGATCAGGATGCCGATCAGCGCGTGCAACGTGTGTTCTTCCTAAACAAAGTTTTTGCTAGAAATTGCATGACCTTACCTGAGCTAGTAGCGTTGGCGGCCTCATCTTTGGGGGCGGGGCATTCGGGTCAGGCTGAAAAACAACATTTTATGAGCGCATGGATGCCACACACCCTCTAATAAGATTTCCTTTACGGCCTGATTTAAAAACAGAAGCGCTCCATCGACTATAAGCTCCTCCCCGAGTAAATCTATCTAAATGGCATTGATTCAACACAAAAAATGCGAACAGTTTCGTTTATGCGTTCCCCTGATATCACCATGAGTTTTGGGCAGTTTAAAGTGGTCAAAACCGGTTGGAATTTGTCAAATTTGCTCAATCTTACTTCCTGTTTTTGGTTAGATCGAAAACTTAAGAGCTCACGCCCCTCCATGATAAAATCTATTAGAAAAAATGAGGTGCGCGCCTGTATAGGATCAAATAAGGCACGATTATTACCTTTTCACTTGTAGCCTTGTCCAACTCGCGCAACAACGCATAGGCGCCCTTCTTCCGCAAAGAACACCGTCCATGTTTCGTGGAGCACAACTGAACTGGGGGTAACTCTTTTTTACGCAACAACAAAATACCTGGTAAAGCGCCTCCACCAACTTTTGCCGTATTTCCGGCACCGACTCGCGTGACCCCTCGTAGTATTGAAGGGCCAGCGGCAATTTCTAAAACAGAAAAAGTTCAGCATTCGACGCTTCGCAACCTCAATTTCCTCATCATCCAGCGCATCCTGCTCGTCTGCCAACGGGGTTAGCAGCGCCACCAGAAAATGGTCCTTGTCGTCGAGCAATTTGTCGTGCAGCGCTGAAAATTACATTTGCCGATCTAGCAGTAGCGACCCAACCTTCGTCAAAGCACAGATTCCGCAGAACATCAACGCCAGATTCCTTGATACGTTTATTGGCATCCTGCCGCGCGATCGCATAGATCGAGTCGAGGAGTTCTGCTTTCTAAAAACCGAATATACGGCGTGTCCCAAAAAAGACGCTCCAGCCGTCCGTGGGGGCGCTTGATCTTTTACGATTTAGGATATCAATTTGAAAAAAAACTCTTAGAAGGCTAGAGGCAACGCTGTCACCGATTTTCAAAATTCTAGAGGCTTTGGCACGATTCATCGCAAAAGAAACAGAAATTCTTCCCGTTACCACAAAATCCCAGTGAAATGCGTGCCAAAATGATTGGGCAACGGAGTTTTTAGCGGTTCTCGCGATCGTCTTGCCCTTACGTGTAAAAACGAATAAAATGCCTTGCAGCCCGAAGAAAGAAGCGTGTTTTGGTCTACTTGAAGCACTTCCAAGTTGCATGACCAGGTTTTTGTAACCGATTGCATAAAAACAGGCTTTCGAAATCGGAAACAACTTCCAATGTCTTTCCAAAGGCTTTTCAGAGCGACCTAACTTGTAAGACGCACATTCCACGCACCGCTAGAGCTCTCCCTAGACCCGGGGTCAAATTTTGGGCATCATAAACACAAAGCATAGACAAACATACATCCGCTAACGATCTTCGAACCCCATGCAGCGTCGTCAGGTTGACCAACGTCCACGCCAACGATTCGAGGTATGGCTGCGGCGAGTCGGCCGCAATTTTGTGTAGATTCTCTAAAAAAGGATGAATTGGCGACGCGCACAACCATACCGACAATGTTTTGCAGAAAATTTGGGTCGACTCGTTCGAGGAATGTGTGCACGCGGCTGGGGAAATGCCGAGCGAGGTTGGCGAGAAGACGGGAGGCACCGACGACTGATGGTTGCTTCTCAACGCACGCTTTCCACGCCTAAAAAAGCTATTGATATGCGGTAGTCAAAGACGCGCGAAAAAGCCCGATTTACCCGAAAAACAAGTCTGTAAGGACAGTTTTGTGCGTTGACTTTGTATTTCATACTTTCAGACTAATAAAAATGGATCTTGGACGACAAAAATTTAACCTAAATCCAAACTTCAAAAGGTCGAACGTTGCCGAAATGCGCAAATGCGCCTGCCAGGCATTTTGAATGCATTTTTTGTGGTCCAAGCTCCGTTTTTCCAGTCAAATTCGAAATCAGGGCCCAAAACCAAGCAAACAGGCTTGCTTTTCGGATGACCGGTGCCGAAGAGCCTTTTTGCAGCTAAATAGCTCCGAAAAGCATATGCGAAGAATGAGAAATTCCTCACATGGTCCATAACCTCGTCGTCCTTCAGCACATGGTCCGCTATTTCCGAGGAGATCGACGCGAAATTACATAGCGCCGCGAAACAGGGCTTCCGGTCGGCCGAGGTGTGCTTGATCAAGTTCAGCAAAGCCTAAAACTCCTGATAAAATTCAAGTGAAAAGTCTCACGTTTCCCAACGCCGCATCGTCCCTCAGGTAGAATTTTGTTGAAGCATTGTCGATCATCTTGGAACTGGCCTCGAGCACGTACTGCAGCGCCGTCCGACGTATGTCCAATCTAAAATAGTTTCTTTAGCGAAAATTGACTTGAAAACCTCGTTTCGGGCGCCAATAAGCCGATCAAGTCGTGGAAATCGCTGTCGCTGGCGTCCATACCTGAAAGGCAACGGTTTTTCAAAAGCAAATCATTTTTGTTAAACGTAATGAGAGAATTCGGTCTTCTGCTCGCTAAAAAAGTTTTGAACTCCTTATTTTGATTCAGATTTGCTCCGAGCTCTTTTGGAAAAGGTGCCTTAGGGTCTGTTTTATCATATGCGAAAAGTCGCCTCGACAGTTTTTTCTAGAAAAAAAGTTATCGCATTTTGAAAGCGCGAAAATTTGTCACTTTTTCCGGGAGGATGACAAAAGCGCCAAAGCAAAAGCGCCAACGACAAAAGCGCCCATGCAGAAGCGCCAAACGAAAAGCGCCCAATGCCAGAAAGCGCCCAATGCCAAAAAGCGCCCAATGCCAGAAAGCGCCCAATGCCAGAAAGCGCTCTATGGGGAAAGCCAACGTATAGAGAGAGGAAACAATTACATAAAATGGCTTTTTTCAAGCTTTGTATGCCTTTTAAACGTTGTTTAGCGATAGGTCGGCTTTGTAGACGGCAAATTATCACCCCGAGCGGGTTGTTTTGGCCTTATTGGGTCTTTTTGGCTTGAATTGCCGTGTTTCAGTCTCTAGTTTTACCGGGTTTGCCTCATGTTCTCACGAATTCTGATGTTTTCAGTCATAATACTGTTGCAAGCACGAAATACTTGTTATAAAACAGTGTTTGGAGGCCAGAACGACGAGAAAAACGCCGTATTTCCGGGTAATGGATCCGAAAATGGCACTAAACAACCTTTCCACGGCGAGTTTATACCTTTCTCACATTAGAAATGCATTTTCGGACCAGTTCCAGCATGTAGAGTCTTCAAAAATAGTGGAAAAGCTGCTTTAGAAGAGAACTAGCTATTCGAGTGAAAGAATGCCCTAGGAGGCCAAAATAACTTGACCCAGTCGGTAATTTATGGCCTAGTAGGTCGAACTACCGCTAAACTACCATAACAACACCAGAAAACCTATTAAAACAACTATTTTATCTCTACCTTATGTAATTGTTTCCTCTCTCTATACGTTGGCTTTCCCCATAGAGCGCTTTCTGGCATTGGGCGCTTTCTGGCATTGGGCGCTTTTTGGCATTGGGCGCTTTCTGGCATTGGGCGCTTTTCGTTTGGCGCTTCTGCATGGGCGCTTTTGTCGTTGGCGCTTTTGCTTTGGCGCTTTTGTCATCCTCCCCTTTTTCCCCCTTTTGTTAAGGCCTTTTGCGGGTCTCAGGGTTCGCTGTGCGCGCAGCCGGCCCACCCGTCCCGTGGAGTGCCCCGTCCCTCGTGCGCGCCCTCCTGAATAGTCGGGACCCCGTGTTCGCGAGATTTTTATATATATTTTTTTTTTCAAAAGCCTTTCGAGAAAAATTGCCGCGATACGGGGGTTACTATTGACGGGGCGAAGCGCGCGACGATGACTCATTTCAGGCACCGCACGAAAGATTAGCAAAATTGCCGTATTCTCGAGCAGTTTTAAAGAATGAATTAGAAATGAAGGATGAAATAGAAACGAATTTCTATAGAATTAATTAGGGCAGATGCTTGCCTCTGGAAATGACGACACTGGCGGCTTTGGCCGAACAGAAACGATACGAAAAAAGAATTCGGTTCATTTCACCTAAATTTTGTTGTTGTTTCGAAAATAAGATGTCTCTGGCAATCCTATCGCAGCCACCCATGATTCAAAAAGCTTAACGAAGAGAACGATGGAAAACTTTAACGCGGAGAAAAACAAAAAAGCTTCTCGAAAAATTCGCTCGCTTCCGATCGGCAAAAATGAATTTAGGTAAAATGAACTTAATTAAAAATCTAGCTGCCATGCTAACGCTTTTACAAACGGATTTGAAAACAGCGACGCGCAACTTCAAGCGCAGTTTCGCGCGAAGAGCTTCACAAATGTATAATCGCTTTCTGGTGCGTTTTTTGTCGGGATGTATGATATTCTGATTTGCAGCGTTTGTTTGCCGCTGAGAGGTTTCGTAATGCTCATTTCGGAGCAGACAATCATCATCTCAGACCACCCCCGAAATACTTCTTTATCTCTACGGCATGATTCATCCGAAAACGAGCCGACATCAGAGATTAGCGGAACAGCACCGGCCGTTTATTCGCCACTTCCCGCCCCCGGGGCCTACTTTGGCACACTGCTGATATAGAGCAGGGCTAGGAATGGAGAAGCCCGAGAAAGGGATCGAGTCTGCACCGGCGCGGTTGGTCTTATCAATATTTGCTGAGAATTGCCGTCTATAAAGATGACTCGGCAACGCGGATCATCGACTTGTGAAAGCTGGGCACCTCTGGAGACGCTGGCTTTTTCTTGAAAGTCCCGAAGTCATTAAAAATTCCCAGATGACGTCCGATTTTACGCGGCGTGTTTTGACCCCGCCGGGCTATTTGAGCGGTATCGCTGTGGTGGGTTTTCCGAAAAAGTTGACCAGTTTTTGGGGGAGCTTTTGAGGTTTTGCAGAAGTTTTAGATTTCTTTTTCAAAATGTGGCCTACTGATGTTAATTCGACTTTTTTTATTTCAGGTTTGCACGCTGATCATCAACCTCTTGCTCATATGGCGCTGGAATCTTTCTGTAAGCCGAACTAGCTGGGGCTTCTACAGCTTTTTTTTGTTTCCGAAAAAGTTTCACGATTTTTTTAAGCTGGAAGCCTTTTCAGTCTGTTTTTCTAGCACGGAGGGGCCAATTTCAGATAACTTTCGACGGAAATTGGGCGAGTGCTGTTTTCAGGGAAAAAAACATTTTCCAAGCCGTTTTCAGCGTTTATGGTATTTTTTTTAGTCGTACGGCCTTCAGCTTCTGTTCTGGCCGATTTTCGGGGCCGTTTTTGTCGTGTCGTTGTTCTATTTCTTTGCCGTAACCAATCGCCAGGAGTTGCTCGAGCGGTTCGGGAAAGTAAAGGTTGGTTTTTTTCTCGGGCAGTCGCACCCGAGTTTCGCAAATCTAATCTCGGATTGGCTCAAATCAAACCATTTCAATCGGTAAGAAACGCGTAGACCAAAGAAAACGCGATCAAAGCCTTGATGCCAAAAAGTGCCAGAATAGATTGTGAACCTTTATAGATCAAAATATTCGCATTTTTTATAAAACAGTTCAACCTGCTTTTTACTTTTTTCGATGAAACCCCGAAAAATTTACGTTCTTGAACAAACGTGAAGGATTTCCGTTTGATACGAACATATGCCGGCCGTGGTCAGTTGAGCGTCAGGAGCGTGTCGTACCGGTTTTTCGAGCCGGGCCATTTTGACTAAAAATTTGTCGTGCTTTACAAAAAACGTAGCTTTCATCGACGCACAACTTTACCAAAAGCAAAAAAATCAAGGTTTTCCAGTTGTTGATCATCATCGCAGTCGTGCTCGGGCTGCTGGTAATTTCTGGGTGTTTACTGATCGACTACGCTTCAAAAGCGTATCGCTGGGGTGACGGGCTGTACAAAGTTCGATACATGTTGGCATGCGTGAGTTAAAGAAAGTTGAAAAAAATGTCGGAATCTCGGAGCTTGCGCGACATGGGGGGCGGGGGGTTGGGCAAGGTTATTTTTTTAGAATCCAATTTTCTAGATGCCATCCCCCACCCCCGATATTGCATAAGGACCAAATTATCAAAAACACGTCGTTTGTTATATTGCAGTAGAACACGCGTTCCAAGCCTTAATTCCCGGGTTTAGCTGCTCAACTGGGTCACCTTCGTCGTCTACATCATCTTGGGCGTGCTCACCTTCCTCGACAAATGACTGATCTCATGTTTTCAAGCCGTATAAAAGCCTCTAAAAGCCAAGTCGAGCCAAATTGGGGCTTTGGCATTATCGGGGGGGGGGAAGAGGTATTTCGCTGAAGCTTTGTTGCCCCCCCTCCCCCGATAATCCAAAAGAACCCCCAAACGAAGGTATTAAAAAATCAAAGGGGGGGATGAAGTCGAGATTCGGACCCTAAAGTACACGATGTGCGGATAAATGCCCGCGGACTGGTTTCACAGTTGGACGAAAATTCCGGGGGCCCGGGCTTTTCCACACGGCTCTTCCGAAGCTGTACAAACACCGTCCGGCCACCATTGGACGTTTTGAGGCGGATTTTCCGCGACCGAAAGGTCGCACGATCGGTGATCATCGACGAATCTCGCGAAGTCTGGCGGTGGATGGCTACACGATTTCGAAAAGTCACAATTTCGAAAAGTCACGACTTGGAAAACCTAAACTATCATTTTGCGCTCACAAGCGGAGCCCAAGCCTTAACCCAAGCTTAACCCTAAACCTAAGACAAGGCCCACAGCTGCGCCTGGGTAAGCATAAGCTCAAATTAACCTACGCCTAAGCCTAAGCCTAAACATAAGTCTGAGCCTAAGCCTAGCCTAACCTGACTTAGGCCTAAGCCTAATCCTAAGCCCAATTCAGACCAACTACTATCAAAGCTTGCGAACTTCTGCGTACTTCCTGAAGGTTCTGATTGCATCCCCCGAATCAGAATCTAGCACCAAAGTGCAGACTCGACTACCCCCCCCCGCCGAAAATTGTCTGTCTAAATATGGGGGGGAGAAAGCGTGGGCTGGCCGCTAGCGAGAGCGAGAAGTTGCTGCCACCTGGGCTTCCAAAAATTCCGCTCGGCAACTGTGGACGTCAGAGCGCTATACAGGGAGTGGAATGGACTTCCGGATGAACTGCTGCAACCTGCAAAAGCATCTGGCCTCCCGGAATTTTAGAGGTGGGCGGACAAACACGATCTGCGAACGCCGCGGGTGGAAAACAAACTTTTTCGGGTGGGGTCTATATTAATGGAAATGGGAGACTGCTGGGTACAGAATCGGCCTCTTGGTGCCGAAACGGTTCTTTTGCCATTTGTTTCTCAGCATGAAAAGTTATCTAGAGTAGGCAGCGCCTTGCGATACTGAAAGATACTTATCAGTTGGTTTGCGATGTGGCGTAGGCTTAGGTTCGGCTTAGGTATGCCTCATCTACCAAACCTAAGCCTAAGCCTAAGCCTAAGCCTAAGCCATGCCTGAGCCTAAGGATAAGCCTAAGCCTAAGCCTAAGCCTAACCCTAAGCCCAAGTCTAAGCCTAATCCCCGAAACTCCTGAAGTTCGAATGCCCATGCCCTCCCCCCACAGCTTGCACTTTTCGAGGCCGTTGTGTAGCGCCAGCTTTGCCCATCGGCCGGTCCATAATTATTCTCGGGATTCCCCCGTACTTATGAGCAAACCAGAGGCGAGTGTCGGGCGGGAGAGGGAGAGATGGTCGTGGCCGGGGCTGGGGCCCAGGCAAATGCAAATAGCTTTTCCAACCGAATCCTCGTTCGTTTTGCGGCCGTTTTTAGGGGCCGGGGGATGTGGCCGGGCCCATACAAAAACCGGGCGTCCCCCGATCTCATTGGACGCGCCGACCAGCCTTCCCCGGGGGCTAATTTTTTGCTCTACGGTACTTTTGCCGGGGTGTGGCGTACTGTAGCCGGAAAGCCCCACGAATCTTATGATCCTGTGATATAAACACTGTTTTTATTTGTGTGTGCATTTGCATGCACAGCTCCATGACGTGGTTCCGCAGCTAGAGCCCATTTCCGCTGCCAAACGGTGTCTAAAACAAAATCTTTTTAGAGCAATGTACCCTTGTCATTTCCGGGAGCCCACGCTCACCTATGTGAGCCCGACGTGCGACGGGGAGCTCGACAAAATCCTGGACTCCCTGATCAAGCCAGACTACGCCGAGGCGCTGTGGCCGCCTGCGTATTGCCCCAGTTACGAGCCGGCTGCCAATTGGTGAATATAAGCTTCCCGCTTTAACGGCCAGAACGCCTCCGATCTTTTTGCGGAATTTTCAGCGAAGACTGACATTTTCAATTCTATTTTTTTGCCGTTAATTTAGTGTTTGTTTTGCAGCTACACCTTTCAACCTGGCTGCTACGTGTATCAAAAGAACTTGGCCAACGTCCGGGAAAGGAGGGAAGACGCTAGGACGAAGCGCGACAGTCGAAAGGTAAGTAGACTTAGTCTTAGGCTTAAGCTTGCATAGTTCTAGGCCGAGGCTTAGGCTTAGGCATGGCTTCGGCCCGAGGCGCAGACCTTCTTCTCAACAACCAATCTAATTCCAGACCTTGACATGCGCCGTTTGCGGCGATCGAGCTGCCTACGCGCATTACGGTGTCGTGAGCTGCGAGGGGTGCAAGGGATTTTTTAAGGTATGCATAGGATAAAGCGCTCTAAAAAGGCTGAAATTCATGGAAAAATCTGCATATCATTTTCAGAGGACCGTCCAGAACGGCAAGACTAATTTGATGTGCGCGAAGGAGGGGGACTGTGAGGTCAACATCAAGTGAGTCATCAGAAGATCAGACAATGCTTACGTGTAAGCTTACGCCTAAGCCTAAGCTTAAGCCAACGTTTAAGCCTAAGCCGAATCCCGAGCCCAGGCCTAAGCCTATGCCTAAGAAAAGCCTAGCACTAAGACTAAATGTAGGCCTCAGTCGATGCCTAAGTCGAAGCCTAATCCTAAGCTACGTTTAGGCCTAAGCCGAAGCCTGAGCCGAAGCCTGAGCCGAAAACTAACCTAAGCCTAAGCCTAAGCTAAGCCTAAGCTAAGCCTAAGCTAAGCTAAGCCTAAGCCTAATCCTAAGATTAAACCTAATCTAAGCCCAAGCCAGAGCCGGTACCACATATCCATATTTCAGGACGCGCTCTTGGTGTCGCGCCTGTCGATGGCAAAAGTGCCTGGCAGTTGGAATGGTCCGCGAAGGTAAGAGCCTTAAAATCAGCTAATCTACGGTATCCCTAGTTGTGCGACGTGGCGCGCTGGCTGGGCGTCGCGGCAAGTTGCCGAGAACTGCCGTTTTTGCTTGAGTTCAAGATTTTTTTGCTCTTTCGTGTTGACTTTTCTGGAAATTTGGTATCTTTGATCCCTCACACTACCTCCGCCCGGGTTTTGTTTTGTGATTTTTTTACTGGATGCTGATCTTTGTGTTTTGTTGTGATTTTGTAGAACTTAATAGGCTTTCAGAACTTTTTTAGAGCATTAGAATAAAGGAGAGGAACGATTTATCGTAATTATGCAAAACGCAAATAAACGCTACAGGATTTCCTGCGCCCTCAGATCTATGATTCGGGCCGCCTCGTCCAGCATTTTGAAGAATTTTCCGTGGTACAAACGTTTCAGCGGCTCCTTTTCGCTGTCTAAGATGTTGTTTTAATTGACCGTAAAGTCCCAACATCAACCACCGCTGTCCGTAGGGCTTCGGCAGTTACCCCTCCAATGCCAAAAACTTGATAAAAATCCCACTTCAGGCGGTTTTAAGCGCGGCGCGCAGTGCCAACACCTAGTGTTCGTAGGTGGCCGATTGATTGCCTTGCTAATGCCTTCAAATGCCAAACCTGTCATGCCATCGAACAGCATATCTCCTGTATTGGCAACGATCCGACAATACAGCGCCGTTTGCCAGACGTACATCAATTCGAAGGCGGAAATGAACTAAAAAGGTAGAACGATCAAGGTTATACCTAAGCCCAAGCCTAAGCCTAACAAGTCTTGCAAGCCATCCCTCACCTCTTCCAAACTGCTCCAGGGAATTTCTTTGCCATCCGCATACCTTAGCAGGGCTTCGTAGTAAAATTTGAGGTAGAAGTCGCGGCTAAAATAACAGAAGGTTTTGGTGCCGACAATTTAAATGCCGACAATTGCTTCGTGAAACGTACCTGCTGCTAAAATCATGAGAGAAAAACTGTTTAAAAACCATGGTCCGGCGTCCTAAGTTAATGTTGCCACCCACCGGCTCGTGTAGTCCTCGGGCTGGATTGTTAAAGATATCCATTTAAATACGTCTTCCAGCGGGTTCCCGAGGTGGACAAGCTAAAATTAGCCATATTAATTGGGCGAAGCTATCTATGAACGGAAAAATTATATAATTAGCATGTAAAGCTTGGGCTACCTGCCAATCCAAAATCCCCATCAAGTCAGCCTCGTTGCCCTCCTTTTTCCACATCACGTTTGGGGGCCCAGAGATCTCCTTGGCACAACATGTCGATCGGGCCTAAACTCCAAATTACAACAAATAACGTAGCTCAGCGCTTTTCAGCTTTTCTCTCTCTCTCTCTCTCTCTCTCTCTCTCTCTCTCTCTCCCTCTCTCTCAAAAATTCTCACTATCTCTCGCCAAAAATAACCTACAATTCTTTTTCCGCTTCTCAATATGATATTTCGGGTCCTCAAAAACCTCTGCAACCGGCAAAAGCTTGGCGAGTTCGGCCCGTTTTTCCGGAAAAACTTCCATTAGTCGCAGGATTCCGGCCGCTGTTTTCTAAACAACGTCGATTTCCCGGTGTTATCGTACCCTCACCTCTTTGGTGTTGAAATCCTCGACCAGTTGGTCATAGAATCCTGCATCTATGCATTTTGCTATCGTCTCCACGTGTGAGAGAGCTAAGCTTCCTTATGGATTTCGCTGGAAATTGGCTTACATTTTCCATTCACCATCGCGCATTGGTCGAGCACGGCTAGAATCTGCGCCTCGGAGCTCATGTCGTAGATATGGCAAATGGAGGCCTTTTCGAGGAGCTCCATGGCCAGAAAGCCTAGATTAAAGTGATTTGCTGAGGTGGAAATTGATTGCTTTTCTGGAATAGGTAAAAGCAGGAGAGAGAGAAGAGATATAGAGAGTGAAAGAAGAGAGAGAGATAGATAGAGAGAAAGAGAGAGCGAGAGAGAGTGAGAGAAAGAGAGAGTGATAGGCAAAAAACTTCCTTCGACTTACTGGTCTTCCCATCAAATTTCCGCCCACAATAAAAACGTGGAGTCCGAACCCTCTCGAGCCCAAACTCCCCAATTTTCGAGTAGAAGAACAACTCGTTATCGGCCATCTAAGGTGACGAATTATACTTTAAATCCTTATAAACTGACGGATCTAGCGTAATATTCCTTCAAATGCTTCTTATCGCTGCTGCCAATAATCTCGAAGAGATCCTCCACCACGCCGAGCGAAGAGACTTTTAGAGCACAAGTTTTTGGCGGGGTTTTGCCACCATCTTCTGATCCTTGCCAGTCCAAATCAATGCGATAAATAGTGGAGAGAAAGCCCTGAAAAGGAATAGAAAGAATTCAAAAAGCCTACATTTCCTTCCCCAATACGCTTGACGGATCGTCGGGGTCCTATTCGGGTTTTCACGGAAAATGCCGAATTCATGGCAGCTTCCAATTCTTCCCACGATATCGAGGATTCGGCGATCATTCTTAATGTCTAGAACATCCTAGATATTTTTTTAATCACTACAACATCAAAAAGAGAATAGTTTTTAAAAACTATATAAGCTAGATTTCAAAATTTTTATTTATTGCCTAATTCTTAAGTGAATGATTTACAAAGTTTTTAGTTTTTTTATTTGAAAATGGCGTCAAATAGGCGAGATAGCATTTCAAAATCCAGCAAACGATCAAAAAGTCTTTGATACCAAGTTTGGGAGGGAATGAAAACGTGCTAATTGAGATACGATAGAGAAATTGTGTGTGAGAGAGAGCGAGAGAGAGAGAGAGAGAGAGAATGACAGAGAGAGAGAGACCGGGTTGTTTATCTAGGAGTGCTTGCCGGTCCCTCACTGGCATTCGTTCGCTGACCTGTTGTTGTTTTTTCGGCTGGTCCACCAAAAAAGCGAGAGCTGTGGCTTCAAAATGCTCCCAATTTGCTCCCACTGCGTTATATGGCCGATCTAACTAAAAACCAAGTTTTCCGAATTGTTATAAGCTCGCCGTTTCAAGGGCTTTCGAATAGTACGCGCAGCTTCTAAGTCGAGTTAGAAGGGGAGTTTTTATTGTGACCTCCCGTATTCTGGCGCTGCACGTAGTCTCTAGAAAAACTTTTTTATATAGTGTAACTTTGAGCTGTAATGAAATCCTTTAATATAGTTTTGGATTCTCATTAGAATGGCGGGGCAGGAATCCAGACGAACTAGCGGAAATGTCGAAAAATTTTGCGACCATCGGGCTCGGGGGGTAAAGAAAAGTCTAGCGCTGTTTGAATTCGCTAATTTTCAGACAAATACGCGACGTTCTGGTTTACACTTATCGATGGAACTCATCTAAAATTCGATCAGCTTCTTGTTGCACCCAATCGAAACACACGCGAAAATTTCCCCAAATCACACCTTATCATTGCATAAATACGCGCCGGATGGAGGAAAACAGCTAAAAAATTTGCTGAGAACCTTCTCTTCCATAGCATGCGGTTGGCTACCTGAAGTGGGGGCCGCGGGGCCGAAGGAATAATCGGATTTCGAGCTGCGGCTAAGCACCGACACCAATTCGTGATAACAGGCGGGGCGACACTCAAAAACGGTGGGCTTTCGGCGGTGCAGTGCCGGGTTAATCCCGGGCGGCCTCGTTTTGCTACTGGAATTAACCGGCTTGGCGCTGGCTTTGTTGGCTTTAAGCGGTATAGCCCATGCTTGTCCTGCTTTATTTTAATCATTTTGATTTCTACAAAGTTTTTCTTTTAATACCGACTTTGGGATGCTGCTTTGAGAACTCTTGATTCCCGGATGGACTCGTAAAATCATGTGGCGTGAAACGGCCTACGCTTAGGCTCAGGCTTAGGCATGGCTTAGGCTTAGACTTAGACTGAGGCTTAGGCTTAGGCTTAATTTGGGCTTGTTCTCAAGCTTGAGCTTAGGCTTGGGCTTAGACTTCGGCTTAGGCTTAAACATAGGACCAAGGGCCATAGGGCAGACATGGCCTTCGGCATAGGTCTGGTTTTGTTCCTTTAAATGTTGCTTCATAGCTTCCCACGATTCCTTTTTTTGCAGTAGCCGTAGCCCTCAATATCTACTACAGAAACCCTAGTTTCTGCCGTTTCTTATCCCCCTAAACATTCTTCAAGAGCAGTCCGCTCAAAGCGGAAACCAAATTTGAGTCACCCCGCCAAAGATAGTAGCCAGCGATTACCACGCCCAGCCTAGCGCCAAAAATATTGCCGGCTTCACGTTTGTTAACCTAAAGCTATAGTCAGCCCTTTATCATTTTAATGGAAATTAAAAAGTACTAAAGACAAGGCGGAATTAGTCATGCATGGACTTGGCGAGTCCTATTTATTATTTTGAGCAAGGCTATTTGGCTTGAAAATAAACTTAAGCCTAAGCCTACACCTAAACCTAAGACTAAGCAAACTCTAAGCCTAAGCCTAAGCCTAACCTAAGTCAAAGCCTAAGTCCATGCCTAAGCCCAAGCCTAAAAGCCTAAACCTAAGTCTAAGCCTATGCCTGAGCCTAGATCCAAGGTTCCGTTTTGTTCATACCGACCCTGTTTCTTCGCCTAATTTCTAATGTCTCACGCCCATCAGATAAATGAACCCATTAAAATATGAAGAGCCCAAGAAATTGAGGGAATTTTTGAGGGGGCGAGGCGCGCCATCCGGGGCCCTCCGACGATCCCATAAAATTTCCCATAACTTTTCCGGCGACCTTATCTTTATTTGCCGGGGCGGGATGAAGGATTGATCCCGCGACGCTATTTTTAACGTGGCTCTTACGTCTCATATTTTGAAAACATAGCGCAACGATCCCTCGATTGATTTTTGCTGTTTTTGAAAATTATTCAAGAGTCGTGAAGCTTCTGATATTCAGGCCTCCAGACTCCAATCACCCGAATTTTCTCCAAATGGAATGGGCACGGTGACAAGATTCTGGTTACGGTAGGCAAAATCGTTCCTTGAGAGGGCCCTTTTGCAGCTCTTTCCTTCTTCTAATATCCTCTTCATTTTTTTGCGCTGCTCATGAGCTTCACGACGACGAGCCAGGTAATTTTTACTAAAGCAAGCAGAGTTGAAAACAGCATTAAAGTTTTATTGTTGACTACGCGTTTCCATTTTTACGCCTATATTTTCATGATGACTTTTCGTTTTGGACGTTCGGCTTTTGTTACCCACTTTCCGGTTACCATGAATGTCGGCCTAATTTTAAGTTGTGTCTGCGTTTAATCCTAATCCTAAGCCTAAGCGTAAGCTTAAACCTAAACCTAACCTAAGCCGAAGCCTAATCCTAAGCCTAAGCCTAGTCTAAGCCAAGAATAAGCGTAAGCCTAAACCTAAGCTCAAGATTAACCTAAGCCTGACTAGTCAGTAAGTACGTAAAGTAAGTAAGCCAAGCCATCATTCACTCCAGGCATAGCTGCCGATACTTCTATATTTTTACCACGTCCTGGTCCCTTTAAACTAGTTTTCCAGGCGGCCTCAAAGTCTACAGCATTGCCCTACGCAGGGAATTCTTCCTGGAGACAATATACGCCAACCTGAGCGTCGATTTGCAGCAAAATACCTTCAAATTGAGCACGACATTTGACTTGGGAAATTGTTTGTGGAAGGAAACACATCCAATGTAGGTGGACGAGAACTCGCAGAACAGTGCTTTTTAGCGATTTCATTGGTTTTTCTTGGAAATTAATCCTACTCAATTTGTAGAAAAATCTGAATGCCGATATTCAATTTGTCAAAAAATGGTTTTTTTTCGAAACGATGCTTTGTCCAAATTCGTCTATCGCAACATAAAAAGAATTGAATTGCAACGTGTGGAAATATCGAGAAAATACAAACGGATTTAGACATGCTAACAAATCAAATTCAGGCTTTTTAGATGCTGCCACCCGCAATGCACCGGGCCGCTTCCGGAAACCTTTTATCTGAATCAAATCTGGCGTGGCGAGGCGTTTCTGGTGTCGGCCGATGAAGGAAATGTTCGCTTTAAGATTGATGTGAGTGCATTCGCAAAGAAAAAACTCAAAGCTAAACATATAAAGAAGTAAAAAGAGGAAAAAAGGTACAAACTGTAACTTGTAACATAGCGGGTAGAGACATCAGGCTCGAAATTCTGTACGCTGTAGCAGAATTTTTTTTAACCTTACGGCGGCCCTTAAGGAGGGGTAAAAGCAGTTTTTTGTTAGGTGCTTTTCGAATTTTGCGATGTAGCACAGCTCATTCGATAGAACTTAACAACTTGTAAAAACTCCCCCTCTCAAAATTTGCTAATCGATAACGGCCTTAGAAAAAAAACAGCAAAAACAGACCGTAGTCGTACAGAATTTTTTTGAAAATTTGAAGCCCTAACCAACTGGTTAAGTAAAAAAATTGCAAAAACCGCGATAGCTGTGTCTTTTTGTCAGCTGTGTCATAGCCAAGAGTAGCATTGACGATAAAAACAGGCTTAAAAGAGAGCTTTTTAATAGGCTTTAGAAAAATCCTTCCAGGGCTGTTCGCAAACGATCGGAGTGGATGAAGCCGTAGTCGTCGCTCTCCATAACTATTGGCCCGAATGGATCGTTTGCATCGCCGGTCCAAATCTCGTAGCCTCCGTTGATATCTGTGAAAAGGCACGCTCGTCAGAGGAAGCTTGGTAGGATGTTGGCTCGAAGCGTTATACTAAACAAAGGCGAGATAGCACTCCCTAACTGTAACCGTTTTTTGTTGACCGTGGGATTTCGATACGTGAGATAGCACATTTTGTGCAGAATTTTTCGCTGATTTCGAATCCGTGTTCAAAAGTTGCGGAACCCCTCTAGATAAAAAGTTACAGCCGGTTTTCTACCCCAAATGACCGAAAATTACAAACTTTAAATCCTTATAAAAACTCGTGGAACATTTTGTGGGATAATATACAGCACTCCTAGGGGTAAAAAAAACGTGCTCTTTCGAATGGGCTACCTCACGAACCCGTAGCTCAAAATTCACAAAATTTCAAAAATTGGCCGTCCAGGGCATTGGCCCACCGAAAAACTTTTTTTCATGAATTTTGAGCTACGGGTTCGTGAGGTAGCCCATTCGAAAGAGCACGTTTTTTTTACCCCTACGAGTGCTGTATTTTATCCCACAAAATGTTCCACGAGTTTTTTATAAGGATTTAAAGTTTGTAATTTTCGGTCATTTGGGGTAGAAAACCGGCTGTAACTTTTTATCTAGAGGGGTTCCGCAACTTTTGAACACGGATTCGGAATCAGCGAAAAATTCTGCACAAAATGTGCTATCTCACGTATCGAAATCCCACGGTCAACAAAAAACGGTTACAGTAAGGGACCTCAGAAAACGCCAGCACCTAGTCGATCAAAGGGATCGATTCTAGCACCTACCAGCCCCTTAATTTTTAGTGGCGTGCCAGCGGTGACCTCTCCCGAGACGCCGGTGACAACCTATGAGATGTGCCTCGATTCGGACACGCACGTCGAGGCCATCCTGGAATTCAAGGAGCTCGTCGAAATGCAGTTCTTCATCAGTCCCAACTATTTCGGCGGCCCCGATTCGTTGTTGCTCAACGGCACCACGTGAGTTGAGCTTTAACCAAGAGCTCAAGCTTGAGCCTGAGCCGAAGCCTAAGCCTAAGCCCACATGTTCAGTTGCTCCGGAGAGAGGGGCTGTGGCGGAACCTTGGGCCGGTACACGGTGGCAGGGTTGATCTACGACACCGAGCAGTACGAGCAACCGTTGATGGACTTTCGGCTTAATCTGGACAATTTGTTGGAGGTGCTCTTCGCGCTGAATGTCGCGCAGCCGGAGGTGGGCATGAATTTTGCACTTTGCTCTAGAGCGACTGCATAGCAGTGTGGACCGGGCCGCTTACCCAACACGTAATGCTCATGATCATCGAGTATAGGAAAAATGCATATTTTTGCTACAGTACGTCGCAATCAAAGAGGACTGCTCGATGGCGCTTGTATGCGAGGATCGGAAGCCGGCCCTGCTATTTATCCTGTGCCCCGAAAATCCCGATCCGACCTCGCGGCCCGCGTGCAACATGTTATGTTTTGCGGACGCTTGGTAATTTAAAAAAGTCCCTCGTCAAGCAATTTTTAGCCTCAACACGGGCCCTCGAAGTTTGATGCTGGTAAGTCTCATTGCTTTTTGGAATATCGTAGCCATTTCTAGCTGCCCAGCAACCTCGAATTCAATGGTGAATGCCGGACCCCGCCTCCGTAAGTCGGGAAGGGGAGAAGGGACAAATTTGAAAATACCAAATACCAAAATTCCGAGAGCCATACCCCGACGTTCAAAATTCAGGCAGCAAAAATTCTGACGAGCGGAAATCAACATGCGAAAATCGCGAGATTCAAAATGCCGGAAACCAAAACTCACAATATCGATATCCAAATCCCGACTTGGATTCGGCCTTGAATAGCGAAGAGACTAAATCTCGGCATTGCAAAATGCCGACATGACGTGAACGAAAAAAATGAAAACATGAAAAAAATTTCTACATGTCGGTTTGCGTGCGCGCCTTGCGTGTCTGTGCCTAGCTCGCTTCGACATTACAAAGATAGCGCAAAGTAGTGTTTTCTTTAGTGCGCTCTCGACGGCGGCAACCGTTACGGTCACCGGAACTGTCGGAACGCCATCGACCACAATCGGAGCTGCTAACATCACAACAACGACAACCACAGCAACAACGCTCAAGCCGACAACGACCCCGTGTGACTGGTGCTTCCCCAACGGGACCGTGCTGCCGCTGCCCGAGCTGGCGAATGTAAGTGATTGAAACAGCGTGTTGAAACGTTTACTCCAAGCAAACCATCAACTCCAGTAACGTGGACGCCATCCTCGAGGCGACTTTAAGCTACGCGGGTACGAAAAATACCTAACGTAGTAGAACGCTAAAATTCAGACCTCGGAACCGACCTCAAGGGCTCGCAACTCATTTTTCTTGCCGACATTTTGGTGAAAAGTGCCAGCCTGCCGAATTTGAAGCCGCAGGTGGGTTTTGGGGCTGAGGTTAGAGCCTTCTCTCTCTCGCGATCTTTCTCTCGCTCTTTCTCTCTCTCTCTCTCTCTCTCTCTCTCTCTCTCTCCCTAAATTCGGATTCTAGACAACCTCGCTGATCTTGAAAAACATCGATGGCATTCTGTCCGCCTCGGAGACGGCATTTGACAAGGAAACGGACGAAGCGGCGGTTAGGTAGGTAGAAACTACGCTTAATATTAAGTCTAAGCGTAAGCCTAAGCCTACGCCGAAACCTAAGCCTAGCTCTAAGCCCTAGCCCAAGCCTGAAACGATTTTCAGAATTCTAAACGCCACCCATCTGGCCAGCGTCAACGCCGACCATGACATCAGCTTCCTGGATGGCTCCAACATCGGATTCGCCAGTGCACGGCTGCGCGAAGCTTTGAATTGTAGCTCTCAGGCGCTGGTTGACAAAGGTATCGCCATCCAGCGTTTTAAATCCCCAAAGTTTAGGCGATTTCTTTGAGCACGCCGTGGACCCGATAGGTGGTGGCGGGAATTCCGATGCGATTCAAATGCCCCAGAAATTTTTGTGTAGCGGAGAGGGTGAGCAAAGGTTTTTGGCCTGCCCGATTTTGGACCGCACCTGCTTAGCTTGGCTAAACTTTCAAATAAACTTTATGTTGGCTTTTCGAAGCCCCTTTAAAAGTCGTTTTCAGCCACCCACTCCACTCTAACGATCATCCGAAGTCGCAAAGCGTTCGTCGGCCAAGAGTACAACGTCATAAAGCGGAAGATTAATCCGATCGCTGCTATGGCTCGGCTGAGAAATGTAGGAAAAGCTCCTTCGAAGCCAGAATATCCAGAATTTAGTTCGAATCCGATGGTCCAGGCTCGGTGCGACCCGCTCCGGATCCATGCGATCGCCAGCAGTACATGCAGGGTACGTCGACTTAGGCTTAACTTAGGCTAGCTTAGGCTCGGCTTAGACTTAGCTTAGGCTTAGCGTAGGCTTAGGGAATCAAAGCTTTTTCAGATGAAGGCAGCGTCTTCAGCGCAAGCGCCATCGATGCTTCGGATCCACAACGACTACGCTACATTACGCGCACCACGATAGATGGCGAAGCGCAGACGCACGCCAATATCAGGATCAATATTTCTGGGGTCGGCACTTGTTTATCTCGGTAGCTCTCTCTCTCTCTCTCTCTCTCTCTCTCTCTCTGTCTCTCGCCTAAAAAACCAAATGCTTTCCAGAACCTCCGCCCTCTCCATGGCAAGTACAAAGTGACGTGGTGGAACTATAACTCCAAGGAGTGGTCGGGCGACGAAGACTGTAAAATCACCACCAATTCCGATGGGAAACTGATTGCACAGTGCACACATTTGACCGACTTTACCTTGTTGGTGGTAAGTTTAAGAGAACGAGAAGAGAGAGTAAGAGAGAGAGAGAGAGACAGAGAGAGAGAGAGAGAGAGTGAGATAGAAGGATATAGAGAGAGAGACCGTAGCCAAAGTGCCAAAATCCCTAAAAATTTCAGGATGGCCTCGTGAAAGACCCGTGTCTTTGCGACAAGCCGTTGATGATTATTGGCTACATCATTTCATCGCTTTCAATAGTTTGCCTATTTATTCTCGTTGCCGTCTCTGCAGTTGCATAGTGAGTCCCTAATATGGGGCAAAATATCAATTAAAGGGATTAGGGAAGCTTTTTGACTAGGTGTTTCCAAGCCTTGACGCTAAAAAGGGACTTCATCCATCATTTCGAGTCGCGCTCAAGAGCTAAAAAGTGCAAAACTACAGGCAAAGAAATTTGATTCTCGAAGTCCTGAAAGCTCAAAATCGAAAAGTAAATTCTTCAGTTTCCACTCCCTCCGCCGTTTCTACCTGTTCCGGAAGGTCGCCGGTTCCACACTAAATCGACGGAACAACCTGACACTCCTCTACAATTTCACCCTCTTCCTTTTCTACCTCTTCTTTACCCTGTTCTCTGACCAAAAGGTTTCCGGCGAGGCTTGTGATGTTTTTGGGGCGCTGACATACGTCTTGCTTATGAGGTACGTCACTGAAGCAGAAGCTAGAAGGGCTAAGCCTAAGTCCGAGCCAAAGCCCACGCCTAGGCTTAAGCCTAAGCCTAAAATAGGTCATCAACAATGCAATTTAGCTGCATCTTCCTCACTATCTTTCAAGCCCTGAAGACCGTCAGCCTCTTCTATTCGGATCGCGAGATTCTCGGCAAAATTTTGGCCCTGACAAGAAGTCCGGCCGTCACAGTCATTGTCAGCTACGGTATGACTGAATTTCCTGAAAAAAAGAACGTTTCAGGAGCCCCAACCGTTCTTACAATATTCCTCTTCATGATGACCAACTTTTTCCAGCGTCAGGATCAGTTGTGAGTGGCTTAGGAAAGCGGATTAAAATTTAAGAAAATCATGACACGTGTCGTTTTTGCTCCATTTTAATACGCCATACTGACAGTTGCTGGATCCGGAGCGACTACATCATCTACGGGATGGTGATACCGCTCACAATCCTGATTTTGAACGCCCTGTTCTGTTCGTTTATGGTTGCCAAGCGGCTGTTTGCGCGCGGCGAGAGCTCGAGGGTAAGCGATCACGTCAACTCATGCCTAAGCCCAGCCTAAGCTAAGCCAAGCCTATGCCAAGGCTAAGCCTAAGCCCAAACCAAAGCCTAAGCCGAAGCTCAACTTCTCATTCCAGATCATGCTATCCAAGCACCATTTCCGTCAGCGTGTCTTCACGATTCTTTTGATGCAATTGACCCTCGGGACTCCTTGGGTTGGTAATTAAAGTGTTTCAACTTTTTTTTTGCTTGAAAACGTAGCACTGAAAAATTAGGTGCTTCAATACCTCGCCATATTCGCGCCCGAGACGACGGCGTGGCACTACCTGTTCACGATCATCAACGGCAGCCAGGGCGTGCTGATCTTTCTGCTGTGGCTGTACCGGAGGTGGCGGCAGCAGAAAACAGGTGGGGGAAAAAACTTTCTCTATATCTTTCCCCTTTCTTTCTCTCTCTCTCTCTCTCTCTCTCTCTCTCTCTCTCTCTTTCTCTCTCTCTTTCTCTTTCTCTTTCTCTCTCACCGTAGCGGTACAAATCCCTTTAAAATCTCCAAACCGCAAAAACCATCTTAAAAATAAAATTTCAGCCACCCCCGTTGTCTCACAAACGACTCCCCTCGGCAGCAACGATTCTCAGGGTCGACACAGGGCAGGGACTTACTATTAGTGCTTTTGTTGTGATTAGGAACCGCAAATATCCCACATTTTGTGTTGCTCCCGATGAAGCTGTGATCTCATGCTGTTTTCTGTAATTTTCGATTGAATTTTTCTTAAGTAATAAATTGTCTTCACTGGCCGTCAGTAGCAACAGCCGGGAAAACCGTTCAATTAGGGTATCCAGGCAAAGTTTCGCGTCTCCCGGAAGCGGCCACGCGTTACCAGTAGCAATCCGAGGACAAGGGAAATTTGGAAGACTGGAAAATTGGAATTTTTGCTTAGGAATTTGGCCTAGAAACGCTTGCCATAAAATTCCTCAGTTTCAACGCGTTTTAGCGCCAAAATGAAGCTATTTTTGCTGTTCTTACCCCTAGTCACTTGGCGGGCTGCGGCTCTAGAATGTGGGTGGCTTTGCGTAGGCTTGCGGGTAGACTCGGGCTTAGGTTTAGGCTTAAGCTTGGGCTAAGCCTTAAGCTTAGGCTTGGAAACAAAATTAGGCTTAGGCTTAGGCTTGGGCCTAGGCTTAGGGTCAAGCTTGGGCTTACTAGTTAGTTAGGCCTAGGCTTAGGCTTTTCCTTACTTATTTATTTTTTTTGCAGCGGCCTGCATCATCGAAATCAACAGCTCGACCAAGACGACAATTCCAACCACAACTCTCGGTAGTTATGCTTCGGCCACTTCCGGTTCTAATAGTGCGGCCGCACCGCCCGGCTCGACGCCAGGTACGAGTACAACTACGACGACGACCACTACCACGACATCGGCAAGTGCGACGACGACAACGGGGATGACGACTACAAGCAAGGTGAAAACCTGGAGTCCTCTGTCAACGGCAACCGGCTTTTGCCTAAACCTAGTCGAGGAAAGAGCTAAAATAGGAATAAGTCTCTTGAGGAGAGGAATTGATTTAAATCGATTTTCAGATACCGGCCACCACGACAACCACCCCGGAAATATGTTCTACCGCTACTGACCGTATTTTATTCTTACTTAGGGCTATTAATACGTCGTTTAGCTGATTTCTACTGCTGCCTATCGTGCATCGATGAAGCGGATATCGATAAGCTGCCGGATAATGCTTGCTACCCAATTTTTAGCACGACTTCGGCGGTTTCTGAGGTCGGGTTGACTAACTCTCTCTCTCTCTCTCTCTCTCTCTCTCTCTCTCTCTCTCTTTCTCCTAACTCTCTCCCCTCTCTTTTTCTCGCTCCCTTTAAAGGGCTGCCGACGGCATGTGTCGATCCCCCCCCCCCATCAACAAATTGGCAAGTAGCCAACAGGGCAGAGCGCGCGCCCTGGGGAGAGGCACAGAGACATTTTCTTTCCAGCGCGTAACCGATTGACTATGCCGTCGGCATCCCTTTAAGAGTCACCGAAAGGAATGTTCAGACTACGTCGATGGCGACTACCCCATCTGGAATTACACCTTCTACAGGCATGACGACCACGACGGGCATGGCGACAAGTACATATACCACCACCTCCACGACTTCGACGGTAAAAGTGTACAAAAATATTCTGGAGGTATTTAGGTAAGCATCAGCTCCACGACAAGAACAACGACGACAAGTACGGCGAGTTCAACGAGTACGACGAGTCCAACGAGTACGACGAGTCCAACGAGTACGATGAGTACGACGCGTCCAACGAGTACGATGAGTTCAACGAGTACGAAGAGTTCAACGAGTACTACTACAACTACCACCACGAAAACGACAGCGAGTAGCCCGACCTCTACGAAATCCACCACAGGGACCACGACGACGACGCCGAGCAGCTCGTCGTCATCTACAGCTAAACCAACCCCAGCGACAAGTACGACAACTGCAAGTACAACAACGAAAACGAGTTCGATATCTAGCACGGTACGAAACTTGGTGAAAATATTTAGCCTCTCGCTTTTTAGACGACAGCCACGACGAAGCTTAGTTCGACCCCTACCTCCACAACGACTTCCGGCTCTTCGTCTAGCCCAACGACGAGCACAACAAGTTCAGCGACGTGGGCATTTATCTTTTGGTGTTTTGTTGTTTTTCCAAGTTTTTAAGGTTGCGTAGGGTACGAATTCAAGCGAGCTATTCCAGCACCACCTCGACGGGAAGCAGTGTGTCATCAACTCCCGGAAGTAGCAGTTCAAGCAGTACAAGCTCTACGTCGATTTCAACGAATGCGCAAGGCTCCTCGGTATACCTAAATTTGGAACGTCATTTAAACGACCAGGCAACGATCGTGGAATTGCCGTCAACTGATTCAACGCTAAGCTCAAGCCTTACGGCCAGCACTTCTGGAGCGACGACAGCAAGTAGTGAAGCTGCCACAAAAACTTCGGAGAGTCCAACAACCTCAGAGACGCTACCAACAAGTTCGGGAAGCTCAACTGCGAGTGCGACGCAAGGTATCAGACTCTAATTCTAAAATTCTTACCAAATTTGTTCAGGATCGAGTCATACCTCGGCTACCATGGCTTCCACGACTGCAACGTCGTCTGAATCGACGGGGTAGGGATCGCATTTCCGGTAGCTTAAGGCTCTCCTAGGAGCTCCACTTCTGGATCGACGTCCAAAGCTTCTAGCAGCACAGCTGGATCAAGCTCAGGTGAGGAGAGCGAGAGCGAGAGAGAAAAAAGAGTGAGAAAGAGAGAGAGAGAGAGAGAGAGAGAGAGAGATGAGAGAGAGAGAGAGCTAGAGGAAGCGATAAGATTTAGAAATTTCAGTTTCGCAAACCGCGCCCCCTATTGACACTACAACAACCGGCGACGCTCGTAGTGAAGCATCGCCTTCTTCTGATACCTACAGTACAAAGGCTACGTCATCTGGAAGCAGTACACTACCGGAAACAACGACGGCAGATGAAGTTACTACGATGGAAAAAGATACCAGCGGCAGCTCCAAGCTAAGCTCGACTTCGCAATCGATTTCAACGAAACCAGATTCCACCGTAACTGTAGCGCCAAGCCCGACTCGAAGCTCGTCAACCACGACGGGGGGTTCTACGGCTACCGCTACTACACCTTCCGTCCAATCCACGTCGGAGTCAATATCTGATTCGTCCACTATCGAATTCTCGACGCCAGCAACTTCTGGATCCTCGACGATCCAGCCAAGTAGCAGTGGCAAAACCAGTAGTGCCTCTTCGGTGTCCTCTTCCACTTCCGCCTCAGCATCGTCCCAAACTAGGGCGAGCTTCCCCTGGTCCTCGAAAATGACCACTCTTATCGATGGATCTACATTGATGATGGAAAATACAGAGACCGAGACCGGTGAGAGTACGACGGTGATGGATGCGGAATTTAATACGACCTCTGGGACCACTGATGTGGCTGACGTTGCTACAACGGATGAGACTACGACATCTGAGCCTTGGAGTACAACCACCGAGGACGTGACGACGGTAAGGATGTTCTGGATTTTCTTCTTGCGGTTTGTTTGGGTTACCTAAAGATGAAGCCAGATAGAGAGCGAGAGAGAGAGAGAGAGAGCGAGAGAGAGCGCAAAATGACTTCAGCCATCGATGGGTACCACCGGAAGCGGTACGTCAAGATCCGGGTGGTCGAGGTCTACGGATGCAGAGCTCTCGTCGTCGTCTTCCGATGTTGGAACGACTGGGAGAGAAAATGCCGAATCTGAGGTGGGACGGAGAGATAGGGGAGACAGAGGAGAAGAGGGAGAGAGGGCGAGAGAGCGAGAGAGATAGGCTAAGCGTGAGGGTGAGATAGAGGGAACCATGTTTTCAGGCCACCTCCATGTCTATTGATGCTAGTACAACGGAGTATTCTGGACAGCCCACCACATACGTTGAACCAACAACGGATTTTACGAGTGAGGGTACCACTCCAAAAATGGCGACAACGACCGGAGGGGTAGATTCGCTCAGTACGTATCGATTCATCAACTTAGCAACAATCTTCCGGCCCGTACCGGGCTTCAACTACCGCTCCATCCGAAAAGGCAAGCACGATAGTGGCGGAAACTGAGGCCTCCGGAACTACTATAACTTTAGCGACAATCTCGAAAAGTAGGTAGCGAGCGAGAGAGAGAGAGCGCGAGAGAGTCAGAGAGTGAGCGAGTGAGAGAGAGAGAGCGGGAGCGATAGGGGGAGCACATTTCCAGCCTCATCATCCTCCACAGATGCCGCGTCCACCACTGATTCTCGACAGTATTCTGGGGGATCCACTTCGCTTGACACGACAACTGAAGGTTTGGAGACTACGGTATCCCGCCCGATTCTCGGCCACCTGAAGCTTCACCTCTTAGGGTTCGACGTCAGCTCTCCCATCGACAGGAGCAACCTTAACACTGGAGACAACGGTAAAATCAACGAGAAACCCCTCTCAAGGGGCACCGAAGCCATCGCCGCAGATGCAGACAACGACGATGGACATCTCCGAGTCGACGGCCACGCCAACTTCAGCTACTTCTGATGATAGCACCTCTACCGCAGTTCCCACTAAGATCGCTAATGCGCAATCTACAGCACCTACCACGATACCTACGACAGGCCGAACAAGTTCAACGGCAGGCACGGAGGCAAAGCCTTCGGTAAAGTTTAGATGGATTCAGTGGCTTGACAACGACTTGAAGGAGCTGACAAAGAGAGGGAAAGAGAGGCAGAGAGAGCGCCAGAGAGAGAGCGAGTGACAGGAGAGAGATGGGGAACAGAGAATTCTATCAAACGCCGTTATCCTTAGCCAAATTAAAGTTTTAGACATCCACCTCTATTACTAAAACGGCTTCTCCGAGCAGTTCGACAACGACGTCAACCAGTTCATCAGCTACTACACCGGCGATCCAAGTGTCAAGTACCATCCGAACAGCCGGTATCACCAAATAAACTTGTGAACTTGCGAAACTCAGGCACTTCGTCTGCAACCCCGCCCAGCTCCAGCATTTTTCCTAGCAGCAGCAGCTCAATTTTAACAATGTCTACGACAGAAAGCATCTTGACAAGCTCGGGGATGATATCGACCAGTATCTTCACGACCTCATCAGAATATTCACCAACCGGATCTAGCGTGTCACCGACGAACTATACGGTCACCGGGATTCCGGATTACGGTAGGGATGGAATACCCTAGGGAAAATATCTGATTTGCTAGATACTTCTACGATGCTCCCGATTGAGGTCACGACTACGCTACCGAATGGGACGACAGGTGAGAGGAGAAAGAGAGAGAGAGATAGAGATAGAGAGAGAGAGAGAGAGAGAGAGAGAGAGAGAGGACCCATCCCTTTAGTGAGCACCACCCGATTCGCCTACCAGAACATCGACACCCTGACAACGGCCGTGACCCCCGGTAGACCAAAAAAATCAGAATTGACGCCAAATTTCAGCACCCTCCTACTGCGATGAGCCTTGCCCACCGGGGTATTCCGAAGTGGCCACGGCGAACAACCACTGCTACAAGCTGATGAACTCCACGCAAACCGACACTTACTCGAGGGCCTTGGCTTTTTGTCAGGTAGGTAGGCTTGCGCTGAATTCCGATGACACTCCCGAAAATGGGAACCCCGAAAATTGGTTTCCCGAAACTCGGAGTCCCGAAAATCGGAGTCCCGAAAAATCTGAGTCCCGAAAATCTGAGTCCCGAAAAATCTGACTCCCGAAAATCGGAGTCCCGAAAACTCCGACTCCCGAAAATCTAAGTCCCGAAAATACCCGCAGTGATTTGGGCTTTTTTTGGGGCCGGAAGCCTAAAAACCAGTAGCCAAATTTTCGGGATTCAGATTTTCGGGAGTCAGATTTTTCGGGACTCAGATTTTCGGGACTCAGATTTTCGGGAGTCAGATTTTTCGGGACTCAGATTTTCGGGACTCAGATTTTCGGGAGTCAGATTGTTCGGGACTCAGATTTTTCGGGACACCGATTTTCGGGGCTCCGAGTTTCGGGAAACCAATTTTCGGGAATCGGATTTTCGGAAGTATAAGCAAACCCCGCTTGCGCTTAGGCTTAGGTTTTGGCTTAGGCTTGGGCATAGCCTCATGTTTGGGCTTCGGCTTAGACTTAAGACTTTGGCTTCGGCGTAAGCTTGGCTTAGGCTTAGGCTTAGGAGGACTTAGGCTGAAGCTGAAGCTTACTCTTGGGTGGACCTATGCCTAGGCTTTGCTCATACCTGTTCAGGCTGAATCAACAATCCGCGCCATGGCCAACGCCTACGACTTCCTGGACCCGACCGTTTTTGCGTTCTTCCAAAGCGCAACGTAGGTGCAGCTTGCCCAGCTCAAGCTCTTTAGCGTCGGCTTGCAAGCCCCTCGATACGCGTACGTGAACATGCTCGGCTCGGCGGAGTACCGGAGCACCCATCAGGTACGGTTTCAGGGTTGATTTTCACGTTTTCCAGTGCATTGCAAAGCTATGCCTGTATCATCTTTAGGTGAACATCGTCCCACTGGCCGACGCGACAATCTACAACCTGCGGATGAGCACCACGGGCACGTCGGCCGGCCAGTCGACCGGAACCTCCGCGTTTTGTACGGCGCCAAGTAAGCATTGTTTCAGAAGATCCACCGTAGCCCAAACTGAGGTCATGGAGGCAAAATTTAGAATACTGTGCCCCAAACAATTGCACCTTCCAATTGTTCTACGACCTGGGCAAAGATGCTGATTTTAAGCTACCACCCAATGGGACGGTGATCGAAGGTGGGCGGTTTATTGACAATTCAAAGTGGCCAAAAAGCCGGGAAATTCGATAATTTAGCCGGACAATACGTGTATTTGCCCTGCGTCCGGACCAACTCGACGGAAAGCTACAACATCAGCTGCACGTCGCGCGGGGAGTGGAGTCGACACCCGAGTCTGTTGACGTGCACCGATGGTACGGTTATGCGCTTACTTCGATTATATTGCTTCTAGAAATTAAAAATATTTTGGCTCAAATGCAAATGCGATTTTCAGGCTACCAAAACCAGGGCTCCAGCGACAGCCCCAACCAGTTCAACCCCGAGTACCAGGAGTCGTGCGAATCGTGAGTGGTTAAAATTCACTATCGAGAGAACTATTTTGAGCTCGGTGGGATAAAATTTACGTTAAAAATGCTATAACTTTTCAAGGAAAGCTCTTCGGCAAAAGCGTTAAAGCTCATATCTATTTTTGCGTCTCTATCGAATGGTCTGTCATTTGAGGCAAGACCTGGCCGAGCGCCAAATTCTACCATCGTTACGCTTAGGTTCAGGCTTAGGCTTAGGCCAAGGCTTCGGGCTCGTGAAACCGCTTATCGATGTGTTTGGCATCTAATCTCGGATTGTAATTGTGCAATGACACGTGGGTTTTTTTAGCTGCTACTGGGAGGGCACGGCGTCGTGCAGTTTCAACGAGACGGCAAATGGCTGGTCGTGCAACTGCAGGGCTGGATGGACGGTGGGGCTGCGAGGATGTCTTTCCGATCCCGTTAAACCGGATTATCACGGCAATTTTCAGAAGTTTACGTGTTGGCAAGCGCCGGATGACTGTGGCGACCTCACCTGCTTGCACGGGAGCTGCGTGTCGGTCGGGGAGGCTCCGTCGTAAGTTATGAACTTACAAGGAGACGTTTTTCAGAGTCCACGCAGTTTCGAAATGGGACCAAGCCTGTTTTGTGCAGAATTTTACGATGATTAAAATTTATTAAAATTAAAAATGATTAAAAGACCTCGTATTTAGAATCTGCGAAACGACTAAACTAAGAAAGTGACGACGCTTTAAAGGGCGCAAAACGCCAAAAGTTGCCCATTTTGGGCGCAAGTGCACGTTCACCGACGCGCATCAAAAACCCCGTCAAGACAACATAATGACAGGGCAAAAATCCGATACGACGAAATCTCGACAATTTTTGCGAAAAAACTGTGTCTTTTAGTCTGAAAACTCTCGTTCAGATGCGACTGCGACCCAGGCTTTATGGGAGACTATTGCGAGATGAATAAGTCGGCCTATTCGTTCTTTGGCGGCAATGGATCGGTACTAGCACAATACCGTAGCCAACAGCGCCAGTTCTAGCTCCCATTCGCCAGCCTGCCGACGTTGAACACGGCCATTCTCGCTGGGACAAACATTGGCTTGATGATGCTCAAGCTGCTCTCAAAGATCATCATCGCCGGGGAGTGCGAGGTTGGATTGGGTTTCGGCTTGGATTAGGCTTAGGCTTAGGCTTCGGCAAACTTGAACCGGTACTGAAATTTCGACTTTAGGACCCACAAGACACATTCCAAGACATGCGACACCATGTCCTGTCCGTTGGCAACCTGGCCGCCCTGTTCTTCACCCACCCCGACATGTTCGGGGTGAACGCCGTCGGGTGCCGCATTTTTTTCTGGTTCATCTCGTGTTGCTACGCGTTAGGTAGGGCCAGAACACTCTGCCTCTCTCTCCCTCTCTCTCTCTCTCTCTCTCTCTCTCTCTCTCTCTGTGTCTGTCTCTCTCCGACAAACAAAAATTTAGCGCTCTTCTTCTGGGCAAATGAGTCGCTGAACGCCTACACGACGCTGAGGGCGCTGAACCGAAATAGATGGAACCAGGACTTTGATGGGGCTGCGTACTGGTTGTATATGTTTATGGTAAGGTGATGCCGTCGGGCTCATGGTAATCCAAAAAATTTCAGCCTCGCGTCCAGATGCCGTTCTTCATCATGGCTGGGGTGATGTTTGTCGTGGTGGCGGTTGGCTGGAGCCAGGCAAGTTTTGTGGTACCTAAGCCGAAGCCTAGGCCCAAGCCTAAGTCCATGCCTAAGCTAAGCCTAAGCTTAAGCTAAGCCAACCCTACGCCCTAAGCCTGAGATAAGCCTAGGCCTAAGCTAAGACTAAGCCAAGCCTAAGCCTAAGCTAATCCGAAGCCTAAGCCTAAGTCTAAGGTAAACCTAAGCTAAGCCTAAGTCTAAGCCTTAACCTAAAACGATTCTTCCACCGAAGTCTAAGCCTAAGCCTAAGCCTAACCACACTTGCTCTTCAGGTGGCCACTTCCTGGACTTGCTTTGGCAGCTTCACCGAGGGCACCACGTCGATCTGGTTTCCGGTGATGGCGATCAATGCTGTGCTGGTCTTGGCCGGCTTCGTGTTCACCGAGGCGGCCAACAGGGTGTTACTGTATGCCCACTTCGGTTACGGTAGCCGCTTCCCGTTTTAGTTTCCGCCCCCATTGCCACGTTCGTCTTCATAATTGGTTCGCGGTGAACAAACCGTACCGTGATGGGGTGGTGACAAAGGTGGGCGGATTTAAAGGGAGCGTGACAACAAGGTTGAGCCTATAGGTGGAGCGCAACATTCCGTTTCTCTTCGTCGGCCCGCCGCTGCTATTTGCCGTCTGGTTCACGATCGCTTTGGCCTCAGATAAGAATACGTTCTTTTTGGAGTGGTGAGTTCTCGCTCTCCCACACTCTCTCTCTCTCCCTCTCTCTCTCTCGGTCACTCTCTCCCGCTCTCTCTCACTCTACCATTCCCTCGCTCGCTCTCACTGTCTTTCTCTCGTGCTCTCTTTCCCTCTCTCTTTTGCACGCTCTCCCTGTCTCTCTCGCGCTCTCTGTCCATCGCTTCGTTTTCCGCTCCGCTTGGCTTTCGCTCTCTCTCTCTCTCTCTCTCTCTCTCTCTCTCTCTCTCTCTCTCTCTCTCTCTCTCTCTCTCTCTCTCTCTCTCTCTCTCTCTCTCTCTCTCTCTCTCTCTCTCTCTCTCTCTCTCTCTCTCTCTCTCTCTCTCTCTCTCTCTCTCTCTCTCTCTCTCCCCTCTCTATCCTTCTCACTCTCAACACCCATTTTCTCAGCTTCTCATTCGCCATGACGATCCTCTACACCATCGTCAACACCCTCCAGATGTTCTTCACCACGGACGTCAGCGCAAAAACGTACATCACTGAAACATCTTTAGATGTACTGTAAGATCTACATCGTGATGGTGATGTTCTTGCCCAAAAAATTGACCCCGTCGCGCTGTCCGCTGACGAAATGGAGCCGAGACGAGGTCAGTGCGCCAGAAGTTATGTCGAAAAATTCCGATAACCCAGATGCTCGCCAAGCACAGAAAAAAGCGCTGGGACCAGGAGGTTGAGGCCAAGAAGCAGGCGGAAGAAGCGAAAGCGCAAAGAGAACGGGATGAAATTGAGCGCAAAAATCGTGAATTGTTGGAAAAGGTAGGGAAACGAAACCTTTCTGTTGACGTGCGGTGTCTAGTATCCGGATCTGCCTGTAACACTGCTGCAACACCTGCCGGAAACCGGGCCCGATGTCTGTAGACCGGAAGCGTATCCGATGGACGCGACGGATGAGCAGTAAGCTTGACGGCTTTACTTATTAGGTTTGAGCTTAGCGGCCTAATGGCTTAGGCATAAGCTGACGCATAGGTTTAGATTCGGCTTAGGTTTGGGCTTTAGGCTTGGGCTTGGGGCTGGGCTTACATTTCCGCCTGCGCTAAGCGTTAAGCTTTAGGATTAGGCTTAGTTTAGGCTTAGCTATGCTAGGGTTTAGACTTGGGCTTAGGCCGAAGTTTAGGCTCACAAAAAAACTTCCAGTTACATCTGCGAGTTCGACCGTACGCACTGGGCCCGACGGTGGACGCGAGGCTACCTACAGTTGAGGCATCGACTTAAAGCTAGTCCCGAGATTTGCGCAAACGTAAGTTTGACTTAGGCTTAAGCCTCTTAAGCTTAGACCTAAGCCACTCTCAAATTTTTCAGCGTCTCTGGAAGCGCGAATCGCAAAAAGGGCTCTTGTTCCAACACAAGACAATTGTCAAACAACTGACGTTTATTTGGAAGCAATGGTAAGTGAATATTTTTTTGAAGAACTGCTACTTTTCGGCTACCCATTTTTTATGAATTTTGTACGCAACGCCTGGCAGCCAAGCCGGATTCCATACACAACCCACGGCCTCCAACCAAAAACCGGTTGAAACTACCAGTCTAGGTACGGCTCCGTGCCGCTGCGAGATACAATTGAGCTGACCCCGCATCCGGATTGCCTGATCTTGGTATCAACCCCTATGTTTTTTGTATTTTAATTTTGGTTAGAAAGACCCGGTGAGCAGCCCGTTGATGAAGTTTGACGAGGCCGTCTCGAAGGTGCTGTCCATTGTGGACCCGCGAGAGCGGATGAGGAAGAAGGAAATGCTCGAGGATCCGGAAACGGTACAAGGCAAAGGGTCTCGCCTAGGCTTAGGTTTAGGCTTAGGCTTAGCCTTGGACTTAGGCTTGGGTCTAGGCTTGGGCTTGGGCTTGGGTTCGGCTTGGGCTTAGGATTTTGGTGAGGCTCAGGTCTGACTTAGGCTAAGGATTAAGCCTTGGGGAAGCAACGACTCTAAAACCAAACTTCCAGACGCCCTACACGAAAGCCCTCGAATTTCTCACCTACCAGCCTGGGCCAAAAATCAAGTAACCAACTTCGATTAATTTTTCTAATTTCTGGTCCTTCCCAGGACCGTTCGCTTCCCGGTCACAGACGCGTGCGGAATGCTAAAATTCAAGGAGTACGTCAAGAAACCAGATGTGCTGACGGAAGATCAGATTGAGGCTTTTGACCAAAAATACCGAGAGGCCGTCGGGAAGCTGAATGCGCCTTTCGATAAGGTAGGTTTAGGCTTAGGCTAGGCGTAAACCTGCAGCCGGTATCATTTTTATAGCGCAATTTCAGGTCTATGACGACGACAATTTTGTGCTCGCTCACAAAAGCACCGACATGGAAACGGCGATCAATGAGATTTTTGTGAGTCAAACATCCTCTAGCAGCTTAGCGCTCGAAACAAAAACAGAAATTAAACACTTTTTAGAATGTTCAACCCTCACAAATCAGCAAGAGGGAGGGCGAAGAAGAAGCTCAACAGGGCTCAGAGTTTGAAAATGCTCAAGACGTGGGGCATCCGACGCTCAATCCGAGAAGCCGACCGCTTGACTCGTTTTGGCTCGATGAACGGCGGCCAGAGTTTGTTATATCTTACGGAGCCTAAACGGCCCAAGCCTAAGCTTAATTCTAAACCTAAGCCTGAACCTAAGCTTGAGCCTAGTTCGACGAGTTCGATAGAGAATTCAATTCTGAACAAGACCCCGTTGTCTTTTTTGCGGAATGGCTATTCCTGATTTTATAAAATTTTAAAACGGCACCGAAAAGCGTCTCTTTCGATCGAAGGGTAAGAGACAACCACTAGTTTTTTAATTTTTAAAAATCAGGGATAGCCAGTCCGCAAAAAAAGCCAACGGGGTCTTGTTTAGAATCAAATTTTCTATTGAATGTGGTCTCGTAAGGTTTTGCCGATCACTCAAAAAAGCACTCTTTGTAAGCCTCAGCCGAAGCGAGGCCTACGTCTAAACCTCGCATAGGCATAGGTGTAGCCTCAGCCTAAGGTAAGCCTAAGATAAGCCTAAGCCTGAGTCTAAACCTAATCATACGCCTAAGCCTAAGTTTGCCTCTTTTTCCAGCTTTATCGGCCCGACCTCGGAGCGATCGGTGCCGCTGGGGCCCTATGCGGACTTCGCGAAAAAAGCCAGCTACTATCAGGCACGAATTTTGCATCTGATAACCGAATTCCGATATCTACCTCCAATTTTCAGCAACTGATCGACACGCAATGGCGCCAGATTGAGCACAACGCCTACTACCAGGAGAACTTGCAAAAGCTGCGTCGGGGGCAGCTGTAGAATGGGTTTGGGTCCGGAGATTATTTGATGGAATTTGATTGGAATTGGCAACTTGATGAAAACACCTTTCGGGGCCCCCGGTTATTAATGCTTGCATGGAAATAAATGGTTGTTGATGTTGTCTGTCACAGAAATCACAGTTTTTAAATTTCTTAATTTGGCAAGCGATTACACGTATTTTAAAAATTTTGCAAGGTGAGCCAATGGCGCTCACTCATTCAGATTCCCCCGGGATCCAAATTTTCGAGTTTTTCCGCCTCAAAAAAACACGGGGTGGCCGCTAATTGGGGGCCGGTATCGGCGTCAAGTTGTTGCTTGGGTTCTTCCAAATTTTTTCGGCGTTAATTTTTGTATTTTTCTCTCCATCTCTCTCCGTCTTTCTCTATCTTTCTCTCTTTCTCTCTCTCTCTCTCTCTCTCTCTCTCTCTCTCTCTCTCTTTCTCTCTCTCTCTCTCTTTTCTCTCTCGCTTTCTCACTCTGCCTCAGCATCGACAAATATTTCTCAAATGGCCATTATTTGTCCGCTTTACAGGCATTTATTTGTCAATTATCGAATTCCTGTTCGATGAATGCCAGCCAGATAACACGTCGCCCGCCCCAGATTCACCTAGACGGATTCGAGCTATTGTCCTCGTTTCTAACCGTCTTCACCCAGCTCGCCACTTGGGCCCTTTTCGTGCGGCTGGTGCGCTATTTTCGCAAATTTGGGACCACGACCCCGTTCAGTCGGTTGTACGCTTGGAGCGTGTTCTTGGTGAGCCATACGGCCACTTCAGATGGCGCTTTTCGATTAAACGTTCTAAAAACAAGCCAGCGACAATTCTTAGGACCTCCTCGGCTCGTTCTGCTACCTCTTGCTCATCCGGCTGCCCTCGTGGGGCCTTTTCGATTTTTATGTCGGCATTAGCGGGGGCTGGTGCACCTTTTTCTACTCCATGCTTTCCTATCTCCAGTCGGCTCACTATTTGAGCACAATGCTCATTGCTCTCAACAGGGCTACGATAGCCCTCGGGGGACTGGTGGCGAGGAGGGCGAGTTTTTGAGTTTATTTCCGGTACACGAGCACGTTGAAATCAGCCGGGGCCAGACTTAAGCTTAAAAACGGGCTTAGGCTTAGGCTTAGGCTTAGGCTTAGGCTTAGACCTAGGCTTAGGCTTATGCTTAGGCTTATGCTTAGGCTTAGGCTTAGGCTTAGGACTAGGATTGGGCTTAGGTTCGACATAGTTGCGGGCTTCTAGGTCTTTGATTACAGATTTTATTCCAGATCTGGAAAAGATTAATCGTCCATCTCTGCATTTTACTCTGCTACTTGGTCATCCCCCAATTCAGCGGAATTTGGAACATCGTACTCGTGGGCGCCAAATTTGTTGGGGAGCATGGGATGTACTACATGGACTCGAGTTTTCAGGTGTGAATCGAGTTATCTGTCTACAAATCTCTCCCTCACTCACTCACTCTCGCTCTCTCTCTCTATCTCTGCCATTCTCAAGGTCTTTTTCCAGGTCGATTGTCCTTACCAAACCTTCATTTATGCGAGTATTTGTGTAAATCTAACGCTGCTCGCCAATTTCTACACGAGCTATCGTCTCATACAACTCTGGCTCACCCGGAAACGCTTCGCTGCCGTCGACGTCCAATTTCTGCTCCTCAGCTGCTTGCTGATGGTGGGCGAGATGGCTTTTCTCGTTTTCTATGTGAGCTGTTTTTCCCCACGCAAATTTATCTCTTTGGCTGGCCGTCAGGGGCCTAATCCCGGTACCTTCGAGGTGGACATTTTGGATGGCCGAATGCTTACCGATCGCCAACGATCTTATGATGTTGGGTAGGCGCTGATTATGCCATTATCTTACTAGAAGGTGTTTAGCCCCACCCTGGTGCCTCATACTCCTCTCCAAGGACGGCAGGAGGGCGTGGATTTGGGAGATACCGGATAGGAAGCTGCCCGCAACCGCCCGACATGCGCCCTATTTTATGCCCGATGAGCGCACTACGATACCATCGCTGGAGGTAGCAAAGCCACGCTTCGGCAATTTTTGGCAACGGCATTTTTTTAAAAGGCATTTTTGCGCCATAAAACGGCTTCAGATGGATTCCGCGCAACTCTTCGAAAGCCTCGACTTTGAGGGAAAAATCTTGCGTCGACAAGAACTGCGAGAACGGGCTGCGCAGGCGAGGAGTATGGCAGAGACTGGATTTTGATTTTTTGGAGAATTCTATTAATATTCGAGGCCTAGTCTTAATTTGTCAAAATATCACTTTGTCGACATTTTTTGGCTTCGACATTTCAAAAAAAATTGTTTTCCTACCTCACAAAATTTTGATAAAATTATTTCCGACCTAATAAAATTTTGACATATTGATAGCAACCTTGTATTTGATCTATTGAAACTAATGATTTTATTAAAAACTACATTTCAAGTGCTCTTTTTTCGCTTTTTGCACAAATCCACAATTTGACAAGATTTTCCATATCAAAAAATGGCAAACGACTAAAACAGTTAGTATGCAAATTATGGCGATTATGGCGATGTCGAGCAATAAATATCGGCTGGCGGCTAAGCCGATTAAGTTGCGTTTTTTTTGAAAGAAACGTATAATTTTGGCATGAAAAATGCCGAGATTCGAGCAAAAATTCCGGAATTTCTAAACAGTCATAAATAGAATAAGTAAATCTGGCGTTCGTATCCTCATGCCAGCCTAATCCTTGGTTATTTTTTGAGAAAGTGCGGCCAACTTCAGGGAAAACATCGTCCCCTATGCAAGTTCTAATCAGGGCCAATGATTTTATCCACCGAGAGACAGGGAAAATCTCGATTAACAGGGCACAAGTGGGCGTACCTTGGGAAGCGAAGACCGTTCAAAACGCGAGCGGTGGTAAAATTCCGGGAAGTTGATTGACTCAGACATAGTTTTGCTCAACCTTTTGCTGAATCGGATGTTGATTTTTGATTTATTAACTCATCTGATAAATTTTCAGGCGTTATTCTGTCACACTCTCTCTCTCTCTCTTTCTCTTTCTCGTTCACTCTCTCTCTCTCTCTCGTCCCTAGAATCAAAGTTAGCACAAAAACAATTCCCAGTAGATGTGTACCCAATTTCCAAAAATCTCTACCTGCACGGCTCCGGCAAATTTGATTCACCCACGCCTGTATTCAATTCTGAATGCACGTAGGGCTCAGCTTTGGTCTAATTTGGGTTCAAAAAGTGGCTAGAAAGCTCGTTCCTCTCCCTCTCTCTCTCTCTCTCTCTCTCTCTCTCTCTCTCTCTCTCTCTCTCTCTCTCCCTCTCTGCCAGTCGCATTCAGGTCCAAGTGTTTATGGGTTTCCCGAAATTAGGTGCCCATGTCTCACTTTTACGTCGTGTCTGATTTACGAACTTTCACCGTATTAATTATACACTAACACCCAAATGGCGCTTTTCCGTCTTGACGCTGTTTTTGGCTTTTTAGTTCAAGTTGTCAAGATGGCGCCATTTCGCGTACTAGAATCCGCGTCAAACTCCCGTCAGCCAAAATTTCAACAGGCTAAAAATACCGACATTAGTATCCCGGGACGTCGCGTTCCAGAAGCTGGCCTGGGATTCAGCGAGTGGTGATGCTGATTTTGGCGTTTCGGCATTTTATCTTTCGATATTTTTCGAATTCGGTGTTTGCATATGCTTTTTAAATGTCGGTATTTCGGCTTTCGGTTTTTTATGGATTTTTACTAGCTTGGTCAGGGCTGTCGGGATTTTAACTGTCGCAATTTTGTTTTGTCGGGATTTGTACTTTTGGGACTCTGGAAGTCGGCATTTTGGAAGTGGGATTGATTGGGTTGTCGGTATTTTGGCACTCATGACTTTAGCTGTCGGGAGTTAAATTTTCGGGATTTAGATCCGGAGATTAGGGCTGTCGAGATGTTGGCATCGTGAATCCAGCTCCCCAGGTTCTGGATCTCGGGCTTCGAGATATCTGCATTTTTTCCCTTGGTTCCTCCGCCTACTACCCCTCGTAGTTTTCCTATAAAGAAATGTAAAACCCCTGAAAAAGGCAAAATTTGTACCAGAATTTGTACAGCCCCGGAATTTCTCGGGGCGGGTCGTTGAATAGCGAACAGGCAAATTTCCGGCCGCTTTTTAGAAAACCTACTTATTAGGGGCCCCTCGAATTGTTATTTTGACGGCTGGCGGACGGGGAGCTGGCGCGTGGGGGCTCCGAAATCTTCTGGGAAATAACCCTACGAAACGCGCCGCGTTGGCGCGTTCAAAAGCCAAAAGTTCGCCGCGATTCCGCGTAGAATGGCTTGTGAAATGCGATGAGGTTGAATGGCGGATTTCCAGTGAATTATTCCGGCTCAACCATGGATGAGGGCAGCTTGGAGGTGGACACCGGGCAAGTGGCGGCCGCCGTTTTTGTTGTGTTGGTAGGGATCTTTTTGCGAATTTTTCTTGGCTTTTAGGTTTGTGCTCTTGGCATCACGATAAATGTTTTTGCATTTATGCGGCTGAAGTTTCAGCTGAAAAAGGCGCCCCACTTCACCGTATTTTGCAGGTTTGTAGTGCGTTATCTTTGACGAAATTATATTTAGGCGGATAGGGCTTAGGCTTAGGTTTAGGCTTAGGCGTAATTTTAGACTTAGGCTTAGGCTAAGGCTTCGGCTTGAACCTGACCTTGCACCTTTCAAACAACCGCTATGCTAACCATCTGTTTTCTAGAACCCACATCGTGGCCGACACCCTTATTCTGACCTCCTTTCTCTGCCAGCTCCCCTGGCAGCTGGTCTTTCCGGAAATATGGTAAGAAAAATAGATGTTAAAATTCCTATACTCCTTTACTCATCTATGCAATTAGACAAGCAGCAATAGAAAATAACTCCAGACTCTAGCTAGAAGCTGCACATTCTTACGAAGATCGCTTCCCCAGGTTTTTCAGGCAAGGCGACCTGATCGGGCAGCTCTTCGGGTTCTTCAACCTGGCGATGGAGTACTGCAGCTTCAGCACAAGCATGTTTTTGACCGTCAACCGAGCCGCTGTGCTGCTCCGCGCCACCAGCACCTCGATCTTCGCGCGTGTACCAGCACTTGTTATGCTGCTCCCGTCGTTCGTGGTGCTATGGATCGCGAGCGGCACGTATTTGTGGCGTAAGTTGTTGCCGGGTGTACGGATCGCGTACCCCGCGAATTATACAGGTTACCACAAGTCGGAAGCGGTTCGGTTAATTTTGAGTTCTCGAAAACAAAACTTTGGAAGGAGGAGCTTTAGGCGGGTTAAGCCCAAAGTAGGCCGTAGTATGCTAAATACTGAACTTAAAAATCGGCCTATGCCCCAGCGAAGCTTAAGTCTAAGCTTTAACACAAGCCTAAGTGTTAGCTTAATTCTAAGCCTAAGCCTAAGCCTAAGCCTAGGCATACGCCTAAGCCGAAGCCTAAGCTCAGCCTAAGCCTCGCGATAACCAAATCCTATTTGCAGCGGGTTGCCACTTCACGTTCGACCGTATTTCGATGGAATGGGAATTCTCCGATACCGATTGCGGGCGCTTCATTTCCTTCTATATCGACCTAATTGCTCAATGTTCATTTTTCGCCGTCGAAATCGGGGTCGACGTTTGCGTATTACTGATTTTTCGGAGAAGGGCAAAGGTGACGCTTCGGGAGCTACCAGATGAGCAAAATGCCCATCGCCATTTTTTTCATTTGAAAAACATCGGAATTTTTTGAACAACTGAATTTGTTCGGTTTTTCAAGCTCTTTAAAAAGTGCCATTTCACCTACAAAACTTAAATACGACCGTCTGTAAACGACGCTTTTTCAGAAATGGAACGTCGCGCTCGGGCAGCAGTCGCTGCGACGCCGCAACGAGTTGCGAATGTTTGCCCAAGTAAGTGGGGGTTCTGACGGGTAGTTTAAAATCAATTCAGTCTTCAATAGCCTCGCTCGGCTTTGTCTATATGCTTGTGGCTTTTCACTTTATCTCCGGGCTCGTCGACCACCGATTCTGGCGCTTCTTCCATACGACGTTGACGTGGCAATTCTCGCATTCGGTGCAGGGGTGAGCCAGGCTTAGGTTTTGGCTTAAGCTTAGGCTTAGGTGGGAAGGTTTACAATCGTTAGACTTATGCTTGGCTTGCACTTCCGCTTAAGTTTAGCTACGCTGGTGTATAGGTTTAGATGTAAGCACAGGCTTAGCTTGACTTTTGGCTTGGTTTTCGGCTTGGCTTAGGCATGCTTACTGTAAAGTGTTTTTACTCAAGTTGGAGTTTCGATTCGGGACCAAGTGTATCTTGTGCAGAATTTTTCGCTGATTCCGAATCCGCTTTCCAAATTTGCTGCGGACTTTTATTTTGAAAGTTATACAGCAGTTATTGTAGTGTTTTTCACCAAAATCAAGGAACCGTTATCGTTTTCGATTCCTGATCAATTTCAATTTCAAAATTGGCTAGAGATTGGCTAGAGAAGCATCTTAAAAGTCAAAACAAGCTTTTTTATAAAAAAAAAATTAAATTTTTTATGCAAAAAGCAAAAGAAAGGTGCAGGGCGGGGATCCGAACCGCCGGCTTGCGCTTGGCAAGCGAGTACTTTGCCAATGCACCATGGTGCCAACCGGGAAGGAGAGAGCAACAGAGTACTTCAGGGCCCCTGGGCCAGGCAGAACCATGGAGGGAATAGTGGACCAGGATCCGAATTTTTGGCTTTTTCAAGCTTGATTTGCACCAAAAATGACTTTTTAAATAAAAGTCCGCAGCAAATTTGGAAAACGGATTCGGTATCAGCAAAAAATTCTGCACAAGATGCACTTGGTCCCGAATCGAAACTCCAACTTGAGTAAAAACACTTTACAGTTAGACTTGGGTTTAGGTAGGCTTAGTCCTAGACCTCAGCTTAGGCTTAGGATGGGCTTAGCTTGCCTTTTGGCTTGGCTTTGGTTTGGCTTCAGCTCGGGCTTAAGCTTGCCTCCCTCTCCTAACACCCGTACTTGATGCTGAACTTATTGTCTCACCTCCAAAATCAACAAATATTCACTCCATGCTTTCGCACGCCAATTGATCTCGCTTGCGCTGAAGCCCATGTTTTGGAAGGGGGGAGGAGGCGAAAAAGCAGCTCCCCCCATTCGGTGATGAGGGCCAAGAACACCTGGCCACCACTGCCGAATGGGTCAGTGATCTGGATCGGGGTTGGGTGGAGATTGGGTGATGTTTGGAAATGACCAGGCTGGTGGTACAGCACTCAAAAGGGCTTGGAAAAAATTGATACATCAGTGTAGAAATGGCGTTCTCATGGCCATTCATTGAAGAAAGCAGCCGGCTTCGAGCGGTATAATTCTCACGGAATTGTGCTTATATGTTGGCATAAACGTAGCCTAATAGCTCGTGAAAGCGAAGACTTTGGGGGGTGCGCAGGCCAAGCGTGGGCTTTGACTTGGCCTTAGGCTTAATCTGAGGCTTAGGCTTAAGCTTGGGCTTGGGCTTCGGTTAGGCTTAGGTCTAGGCTTTGGTTTAGTTTAGGCTTGGACTTAGCCTTAGACTTAGGCCTAGCTCTGGACTTAAACAAAGGCTTAGGCTTTCAGCCCGTTTTTCCAACAATCCTTTTCAGCCTCATAATCCTGGTGCTTCGGCTGGATAAGCGGAAGCCCGTGATGCCCGCCCAACGCTCAGCCCATACCTCCACTATTGGCATTTCCTAATTGATTTCCACTTACACAAATACATTATAATATTGAAATCAATTTCGATATTTATTCCTTCCTAATTTGTGACGCCAATCGTGATTTTCATGGGCCGCACCCGTCGTTGTGCCCCTGTCACCGTAACTGTAGTGCCGACGGTCGAGACGAACAGGCTGGGCCTGGAAAACACGTAAGAACCTACAATCGATAACTTTAATTGATTTTATACTGCATTTTATTTTCTATGCTGTAAGTTTTTAGTAAAATCCGAAAATTCTGCCTTAATACGTACGCTCTGGTCATTTGCGATTGCTCGGCGAGCATCGGCATCGAATTCTCCGCAAATTCACGTCCGGTGACCATGCTGAGGAATCGGAAGAGGAGGTAGCGGAAACCTTTTCTGAAGCATTGAGACCAAGATTCGAATTATAAATTTTTCTGGCTTCTACGCTGCTTCCAAAGGGCCCAGGAGGCGAAACAGCTGGTTCAACTTTTTCGTTATTTTTGCACTTTTTAGGCTTTTTTGCTTAGGCGTGGGCTTCGGCTTAGGCTTAGGTTTCGGCTACGTCTAGACTTAGGCTTCGGCTTAGGCTTAGGCTTAGGCTTAGGCTAGGCTAAGGTTTCGGCTTAGGCTTCGTCTGGACTTAGGCTTCGGCTTAGGATCCGGCTTAGGCCTTAAGCTATACCTGTAAGGAGCCGCCAACACGATCACGAGAATAGACATGGTAATGCCGCTCTGCATGGCGATCATCACGTTGATCCAGTTGAAGACTGGAAAGGTATGGGACGGTGGATTAAAGGTGTTAAAAATAGGGGAAGCGTAAATTTATAGAAGTATGGCATAAATTCACGAAGTAAAGAAACTCACCATTCATATAAGTATTCAGCCAGCCGCCTTCTAGCATTAATGTGTGGGCAAAGATTACCCAAGACATGAGCACCACCGGGATCCCGGCTACGGCGAGGAGGAAGATGGTCTAATTTGTAGGAATTTTTGTTATATTTGAAAGCATGGTCCCAAAGAAAAAATTTGGGCTCCCGGCTAATACAACAGAACCCTATCTAATGCTGGCTAGCCCTCACCTTAATAACAATCTGGAAAAATAGCACAAAATGCATCTTCCGCGTCCGTTGTGACATGATCTTGCGGACTCGCATTAGAGTATATAAGGTTCGGAGAATTATATAGCCCACGGCCGTGCAGTAGCTACTAAAAAAACGTGTTTTTATCACCCCGTGTATAAAAGTTCTAAAATTTTTACGTCCGTAAATTTGTACGTTTTAGAACTCACAATAAATACACAGAGATTGCCCAGACGAGCAGGTTCTGTTTCTCCTCCGATTGAAACGTAACGATCGTGCGGTCGACGTGTGAAAATTTCACGGCAATCCCTTCCGCTGCCTGCAAACGAGATCTCTGCTTTAGGGGCAAAAATACAGGAGAAAAAAACAGGTAATTGGCAAGCGTCATTGTAATTTTTCTGCAAAAAAAGACGCTTAAGACGATGGAGAAGTTAGGCTTGATCTTGGGCTTAGGCTTAAATTTAGGCTCAGGCTTAGGCATAGGCTTAGGATGAGGCTTAAGCTTAGGCTTTGGCTTAGGTATAGGTTTCGGCTTGAGCTTAGGTTTGCGTCTAGGCTTAACTTAGGCTTGGCTTAGGCTTAGGTATAGGTTTCGGCTCCGCTTAAGCTTAGACTTAGGCTTAGGCTTAGGCTTGATGAGACTTGGACCGCTACAATTTTTTCATCACTAATATCTTACTTCATGTTTCCAAATACATTTACAAACCTTGAAATGGACTTACCAATCGGTCCTGAAGGCCATCCTGGCCCGTGATCGACATGTAGACCAAGATGACTATCACGACATTTGATAGTATCATGGATGAGACATCATACGTTGTAAAAATGTATTTATGAATTTTCTAAATGCCATATATCTTCTGAAAGCAGAGGTTCTTCACCTTTTCCCAGGGGTTCAAAAGCACATACATGCGGTGGTAATAACAACGATAGTTTGCCCGTAACGGGAAGCTAATCCCGAACATGCCGATGAACTGCAAAAGCTTCCCCATAAAGTAAATCGTACTATCGTAAACCGATAGCCATTCCATACCGGAAAGTATAGATACGAGATCTGGTCGCTGATCCACGCGCAAATCGATATCGACCCGACGAATGGTACATTCTCCGCGTACGCAAAGTAGGGACAGTAGACGACGACGAGGACGAGCTCGAGCAGGCAGTGGGCTAGCTGCAGAGTGGGGATTTTGGGGCGTGAAACCGCCTGGCTTACGACATGCTCGATGAGGTAGAGACGATAAGTGCTGAGGGTGGAGGGTGTGAACACCCGGAGGATGTAGGCGGACAGCAGCGCGCTGGCTACTGAAACAGACAAGAATCAGTGCCGTTCTTAGGCTTATGCGTAGGCGCGGGATTAAGCTTGTGCTTGGCTTCGGAAAACTTATGAACGGGCTTAGACTTACATAGGCTTAGGCTTAGGCTTAGGCTTAGGCTTATGTTTATGCTTAGGCTTAGGCTTAGGGATAAGCGTAGGTTTAGGCTTAGCTTAGCGTAGGTATAGGATTAGGTTGAGGCATAGACTTAGCTTAGCGTCGGCTTCGGCTCAGGCTTGCCTTAGGAACATTTATAGACAGGCTTAGACCTAGGCATAGGCTTAAGCTTAGACTTAGGCGTGGGCTTATGCTTAGGCTCAGGCTTAGGCATAAGCATGGGCTTAGCTTTCGCAAAGCTTAGACTTAGCAATCGGCTTCCAATCCAAGAAACCCACTCTGAATAATTGTAGCCGGAATCAGCAGCGGTGCCACGGTTTGCCGAACGGTCGTCAGCGAAAAGACCAAAGTATCCCCAACTTGCTCCAGTTTATGCGGATTAGGAACGCGGGAATTGGGTGGGCATTTATTATAAAGTGTAAGAAAAACACAGCAACCCCACTAATATGAGAGACGCGTAGAAACTATCGGGCGCTGCTTGAAACCTATATCAGAAATCACCTGCCCGCCGGGGAGCACGGGCCGTGTATATAATCATCAGCAAAAAAAGATGGTATTCCACCTGCCGGTTGTATGGACGCCCACCAAGTTGATGGGGGCGGTTGGTAATGAGTACTTCAAAATAAAGAGACACGGCTTAGCAGTTTTAATGAAACTTTTTGATGAAGCAAAAAGACAAGTCGCAGCTTGGGCTGGCCAGGGAACGGCAGGAAGTGAACCAAATGGGGTAACCAAATTATCTGATGCACAATCTGGTCACGAAAATGTGTTTAGATTTTCCGAAATAGTCTTATCCTACCTTATATAATTTTGGCGCGTATGTGTGTGTGTGTCTGTGTGGATGTCACTTTCGAGACCCGATTTGAGGCCCTTCCCGTGCATAAAATGCCATAATTCTCCGTCACCCGGGGGAATCGACCCTTCTGTTTCCGATGGAGTTGTCAGAATTGCGATAGAATACAAGTTTACAAAGTTAAAGCTGGTTTTATTCATATTTGGGGTCCCTGAGGGCTAATTTGCATAATGCGGAAAAATACAAATTTTCTCAGTCTTGCCAGTTGCACTCGCATGTGTGGCCGGTGGGGGAAAGGGGTCCGAAGGACCCGAGCTATCGGGAAGTCAAATTTTTCATGCAAAAGCCGCATGCCAGCGCCCAAGGCCCGCGAAGCGGGTTTTGGGCGCTGGTTTACGAATAAAAATACAGTTTTAGACGCCAGTTTCAAGTAATGTAGATGTCTCAGAACTTCCTGAAAGTTTGAAAAATCTCGCCTCTAAAGTTGGAATTTTGGTAAGTTTGTGTGAAAGACGCATTCTAGCTTCGTAAATTTGGCCGTTTCGGAACATCTGAGAACGGAGTCGTGCTCGGCTCAAAATTCCGCACCAGATGTGTTTAATTCGGGCACAAATTTAGGCGTGGGCTTGGGCTTAGGATTCGGCTTCGCTTCGGCTTGGGATCAGGTCCAACGACTCACTTGATTTATCTCCACCTCGTTCTTGCTACAATTCGAAACCCTTTTTCTGAGCCCAAACTCTCGCTTTCCAAGAAACCAAAATCACAGAAATTTTCTAGAGCAACAAAACCAAATCTCTTGCAACAAGTCAGTTTCTCCGCGTTGTTTGCGCACATCCGTTATCTTACCCCCCCCCCCCCCCAAAACTTTCCACATACCTGCTTTTAGTTTCTGTTGCGCAAAACGTTTTTTTTTCCTGCACAGCCTCTCGGGTTTTATCGGCGATAGACGGCGCCATTTCGGGCACTGGTTGGTGAAACGGCCGGGCAACAATCGGTTTACCGGCTCGTAGTAACCGGCCGGTTATTCTTTTGGATTAATGGAATCCTACCTTATATAATTTTGGCGCGTATGTGTGTGTGTGTGTGTGTGTGTGGATGTCACTTTCGAGGCCCGATTTGAGGGCCTTCCCGTGCATAAAATGCCCTAATTCTCCGTCACCCGGGGGAATTGACCCTTCTGTTTCCGATGGCGTTCTCAAAATCTCGATAAAATACAAGTTTACAAAGTTAAAGCCGGTTTTATTCATTTTTGGGGGTCCCTGAGGGCTAATTTGCATAATGCGGAAAAATACAAATTTCCTCATTCTTGCCAGTTGCACTCGCCTGGGTGGCCGGTGGGGGGAAGGGGTCCGAAGGACCCGAGTTATCGGGAAGTCAAATTTTTCATGCAAAGGCGCATTCCAGCGCCCAAGGCCCGCGAAGCGGGTTTTGGGCGCTGGTTTCTTATAACTTTGACAGTTTGCCAAGTTTCGGAAATTCTAATCTAAACCGCATTAATTCTAGTCCTCCTTACTTTCTAAAGTTCTACTTTCTCCCCGCATCCTACCTAGTAACGAAGAGTCATTCTGCTGCTTAACATTTCTAAAAAAATTCTAAAAACGTTTGAATGGAGTTTTTTTTTGCTACGTAAATGTACACATCTGAAGCGGATACGCTGAATTTGCGGCGTTTCGGAATGCTGCAATTTGGTCTTGGGGTTCTTTCGCATTATCGGGGGGAGTAACTTTTTCTTAGGATCCAATTTTTCGAATACAAATAGTGACAGCATTTCTAAATGGGTTTTTGCCATTCATAAACGTGAAAATTTTACAAAATTGTATTTTAAAATGTTAAGATTCTCGATTTTTCAACCGAAATGGCCGATTTTGGGCGTTTTAGATAATTTTTCCAAGTTGAAATTACGTGATTTTTCTACTAACAACCCTTCCTATTAAGTTACTAAACATTTCTTGACATTCACAAAAACGTTTGATCCAAAAAAAGTATAAAATTTTTAATCCCCCACCAAGATTTCAGCTTTTTCGCCACCACATTTTTATCGATCTTTTATATACCTATTTTATCTGCCTTTTCGAGCCTTTTTATGTTTTGTTCTGACTCTACAGAACAGTACGAACATTTTGGTATAGTTTACGGGTCGGTAGAACAACGACAAGTCGAGATACAAAAAATTACATCGGCGGCTTACCTCTGCTGTCGACAAAGTTTGATCTACAAGGCTATGGAAAAATTTAACTCTCGGGAAGTTTCCCGATTTTACTGATACCATGAAAAATTTGGAAAAATGACTTGCGAAAAGTTCACTGTTTTCCGGCTCGCACGTTGCACGCTCGTCGACATTGTTTATCCAATGGTTTAATGACGCCACAATTCCTGACTTATTTCATTACCATTCACCCCCCTTATATTTTGCCCCCATGATTCTTCTTCCGCGACGATTCACCATCGCGGCCAGCTGCCCCTTTTTCGCTGAAAACGCGCGCTAACGGCCGGCATACGATTTTCTGCCATTTTCGCTAGTATTCAATCCAATTCTCTACAGTTTTTGAAAATTCGTGCTTTTGACAAGTAAGACTATTTCTGGAGATATGCCAATTGGAGCCAAACGTAGGGTTTTCGCCAGGTTTCTGAATATTCCGTCGATGCTTATTGCTTTCCCCAAAATCCTTTTTTCTACCATTTTCATTATAACGTCTTACCTGGCCGATTCTGAGAATTTTTTTCTGGCCCTTGGGTACACGCGCTACATTTTTTTTTCAACGTCAATTGTAGCGCAACGTCAATTGGAGCGAAATTTCCCTGAACTTTCAATTTTCCGCTGTACTTTTGATCCTCAAGAATAAAAAAAATGTTTTATTCATTGCGAATAGAAAATAGCGACTGATTTAACGTTTCGTACTCTGCATCTGGGCCATTGTAGTATTGTTTTCGACATCGAATACATAAATAAACGTTTTGTCCAGTTTTCGGGGGCGCGTTTCGATCAGATGCGGTCAGGAAAATGTGCTCAAAAATGAAATCGAACATGGCAAATCAGCTACGCTAAATTTGAGCTGTTTTTTTTTGTTCAAAAAATGTTCAAATCACCATTTTCGTGCAACAAGCTTAAAGGGATGCCGACGGCATAGTCAATCGGTTACGCGCTGGAAAGAAAATGTCTCTGCGCCTCTCCCCAGGGCGCGCTCTCTGCCCTGTTGGCTACTTGCCAATTTGTTGATGGGGGGGGATCGACACATGCCGTCCGCAGCCCTTTAATTTTCAAGCCCGATTTCCGGATGTTCTCGCAAACGCTCCATGCTTCCAGAGCACACCGCTAAAGAGTGGCCGGCGTGCAGTAGCCGGCCCTGCGTCTCACGCTTTTCCCCATTCCCTGTACTCTGCCCCACGTGATTCGATCGACATAGGGCCTCTCCCCCTGCCCCATCGCGAGATACACACACAGCACCCGGGCACATACACAAACCGAAACCTACACAGCATCAGAAGCTCTCGCTTTATTCCACCTGCGGAACCGTTTCCGGACCCGCATCTCTCTCATTCGTATTCCCATTTATATTCCGCCTACTCTCCTACATCACTTTATTCAGCCGCCCCGACGCAGCCATGATTGAGGGAATCTTCTTCTACCCAACACTCGGCTACAACCTCCTCCGCAACCTGTTGCAGCAAGAGAACTGGAGCTGGTGAGGATTTTGATACTTTTGGTCGTGTTTTTTGATTGCTAACGTCCGCTTCGGGGTCTTACCTTTTTCACGTTTAAGTTTTGCCCTTGTCGATCGAAAACGACCTTTCAATGATCCGGCCGGGATTCTCCGAAATTTTCATTTTTTAAAAATCTGGGTTTTTGGGGACAATTTCTAGCGGAGTTTCCCAAATTTCTAGTTCGATTTAGGGTTAATTTTTAGCATTTCTTTATTTCCTAAATTTCTACTACGAATTCCCGTTTCGCTGAACCTTATTTGCTACGAATCGGTTTTGCAAAATTTTTTTGCCCTGATTTTTCTCACTCTCCTCGTGCAAGTTCCCACCATATAGTAACCGAAACACCTGTCCTCCTGCTCCCCCGGCTCCCAACCAATAACCTTGAGCTGTCCGCCGTTCGGGTGATCGATGCTTATGGCATTAATCCGTTCCCGGAGTATTTTCCCGGGGCTGTGTTCACTTTTTTGAGTAGGACTTGGGGGTGAAAATGAATTTTTAGGCCCGTGTATCTAGGTTACTTGAAAAAAATTATTTTTTACCCTTTCGAACCGTTCTTTTTCAGGTACAGTCAAGTCGACGAGGGGCTGATCCTGGGCGCCATGCCGTTCAAGTCAATGAAGGAAGAGCTCATTGAGGTAACTTTCAAGGTTTCAGCGCTCGCTGGCCTGGCTTTTGAAACTATTCCCGCTCGGATTTTTGTTGTATCCCGGATTCTCGATTTGGAAAACCGGACCGTCTCTACCCAAAAACCCGCCCATTTTTGCACGTCATCCAGACATTTTTGAGGCTCTTTGCCCCGATCGTCGCCGAATCAGCTGATTGTAGGCATGCGTGCGTGCTTTTCCGGGGTCTCGCCACATGTGGCGCGGGCGTTTTTGTCCAAAAGTGCATTTTGTGCTTACGCAATTTGGGCTCGGTTTCCGGCGCCCGATCCACCCGGCCGGTGGGAACTGATAACGGAAAATAGAGAAATTTGGCTTGGCGTGTCGCGGACAATTTCCCCATCGCCAAATGGTGGCTTCGGCGGCTTCGATTCAGCAGAATGGCCGGCTGGCAGAATTTTTTGCTGATTAGAAATGGCCCCGGTCTAGTTACTGTTGTTTTAACTTGTTGCCACTTATCGGCAATTCCGTTCTTTACACTTTTAGTGCGTGCGTTCAAAAAGTCGTAAGCAATAAACACTGTGCCGCGTCCCGCACATCGCAGGAATTTGTACTCGGAATGCACTGCCCCTCTTTTTCGCCGACACGTTGTCATTTCCTTGCAGACCCGGAGGGCGCCTAACAGAGAGAACGGCGGGAAACAGCATGTGTGTCAACATGTTGTTTTTTTGATTGCCCCCTCTCCCCTTTCATCGAATTCTTTGTCGTCTGGGAAAATGCTAATCGAAGGGGGCGAACCATAGAAATGGTCCGGGAAGTGGGCATCGATTTTTTTTCCATTGCCTGAATTGTTTTCCAGAATTATATTTCCTTTTCCAGAAAGGCGTCGGCGGTGTCGTCTGCTGCACCGAGTCGTACGAGCTAGTGGCGGCATGGAGCGGGATGACGGAGGAGGACTGGAAGGCCGTCGGCGTCGAATTCTACCACATCCCCATGACTGACTTCGTCGGAGCCGCCGACCCTGCCGAGATGCAAAAGGTGAATATTTGGTCTTTGGTCGGATTATCCAACGTTGTGCGTTAGAAGGAATTCCGGACATTACGTCGAAACTTATATTTGGCCGATAATTCATTACCCTAATCCTCAAAACGTCGACAAATGCTGATGTGGTTTGGTCGTCACTAGGTGCTTTCGCTTTATCGGGAGGGGGCTAGACCAATTTTTCTTTAGGAATGAATTTTGGTAATCGGTATAGGCAGGGCCGTAACAAACCCAGATTTCGGGGGGGCGACCCCAAAATTTTTTCACTAATATGACTAAAACTACAGCGCCACAGGCAAAATTTTTGAAAACATAGGGTTTATAACACTACAACTAGTGTTAAAAATAGACAAAAACAGCGCCGCAGGCAAAAAATTGTTTGGAAAAATTAAATCATAAGGGTCTCCCCTTATGTACTTTTCGGCCTTCAGCCGATTTCGGGGGGGCTCGCCCTCGCCCCCTCTTACGGGCCTGGGTATAGGAGATGATGTTTGTTGACTTTTTGCAATTCCGGAACGTGAAAACTGCCATTTTTGTTTGTTTTTCCACAAAAATTCCAACTTTTACAAAATTTGCGGCGTTTGCACGTGAAATCTAGTCAAATTCGCTTAAAACGTAATAAAATACTGCATATGACGTTACTGGGCCTTTCTGGACTTTAGAAAAAACTCGGGAAATTATGATTACCTGGTCGCTAATAGTACCGGAGCGTATTGTCGATCCAATGATTGTAGCGCATGTGTATCGCCCAAATAGGCTTCGGCGTAAGGATCGGATACCTTTTCCAGCTCTGCAACGCTTTGTCAACCGAAATCTATTATTTTCTTTCTAGGCCGTTGCCTTCATCAACAAGATCAACAAGGAGGGCAAGTCCGTCTACGTGCATTGCAAGGCCGGCCGCACCCGCTCGGCTACCGTCACGACGTGTCACCTCATGCAGAAGATGGACCTTGGCCCCAACGAGGCCTTCGAGTTCTTGAAGAAGCAGCGGAGACAGGTATTAAGCATTTTTTGGTGCTGCCTCTCTGTGACCCCTGACGAAAGTGCGTGCCGGGGCGCGCTTTAGCAGTGACAGGATTCCGGACGCGCCACATTGCGCATTTACGCAATGTGTATAGCGCGGATTACTTTTTCTTTCATTTCAGTTTTAAAAGACAATCGATAATGTTAAAAGATGTATAGCGCGTTCGAACCGGTGATTGTCAATTTCATTCGTTGTTTGGGTTTATAGAGCTGAAAATCATTGGCTTTCGCTGAGTGGAAGTCTTCTTCTTTCTGGTATTAGTAGGTTGTATTAGTTAGTATTCGATTCTATGCACACTACGAAAATGCGTTATGTGGTGCGCGCGGAACGTTGCAACTGCGGAAGCGTGCTCCGGCCAACATTTAAGTCAGAGGGTCAAAAGCCATCCCATCCGACTTCCCCATTGTCAGCGCTTTAAAATTGAAAATGCCAGGTTCTTGAAGATGCAAATTCCAAATTGCAGGCCGTTTTGTCATGATTAAGATGTGTGGTTCTGCCCCTTTCAGTGCTTCCAAAACAGCTTATCTTGCAAAAATCGCAATCTTAGTTTGAGCTATCAAAAATCTTTTTTATGTCTATTCGATGTGACGGGCAATTACAAATTTTTTGTTAGATTTTGGATCCTTCTAAAAAGTCTACTTTTCCCTTTGCATGCCTCCCGCTTCTCATTTTCAGGTTTAGCAAGAAAATCTGAAATTTTCCGGTTTCAGCTTTTCTTTTATAGGTCTTTTCCTATTCCCGATTCTAGTGCTTCTTAATCCTGAAATTGGGGGGTATTTTTTGGAAATTCGGCCGTTTCTGTTCTCTGATCCTATGCTATTCGCTCTTCCCCATTTTGAGGGCTCATCATTCTCATTCTGACATTCATTCTGACAATTTGGAGCGTGTTCTAGGAGATCAGCTTTTCCTACTTTATCTATCAAACCTTTTGCAGGTCTCGCTCGGCAGCTGGCAATGGCAGACGGTGGAGGAGTACAGGCGGTACCTCGACGCGAATCGCCATCTCATCACCACCGCCGAGTCCTAATCGATCGGCCATCCACCCCACCCCACCCAGGTTCCCTGTTTTCTAAAAAAGGTCCCCGTTCCGCTGGTTCCTTATTTTCAAACTGGTCGAGCCACCCCATCACCACCCCCTTTTTGCTTCTTCTTGAGCTGCCCGCGTTGCGCGCGGCGCTCTAATCAGGCAAATAACAACCAAAAATCGGGTCCATAACTGTACGGCGTGTCGACTGAGCGGGAGTGGCGAATTCGCGCGCGCGTTTTGGGTTGTGCCTTGTACTCTTTCCGGGATTTTTTCAGCGCCTTTCGCTCAGCGTCTTCCGCAAAACAAGCAATTTCTTCCCAAAAAAACGTTAGGGTCCAAAAACTATGTGCCGTCAGTCTTTCCACTCGCCGTGCATATCCACCCGATTTTTCCACACCCGATACACACGGCCCCCTGCTTCAACGAGGTGTTTTTCGTTTATATATCTGTCTAGCTTATATCTTTGTATTTTGATACGATGCTAGCTATCGGCCCGGATAGAGTACTGTGTTCATCCCCCCCCCTGAAAACGTGTTAGTGCCTCGGCGTCTCCCCCTTAAAACCCTCTGTGCCCATTCGATTGTAAAATTCGTAGTTTTTTAGGCTAACAGCCTCCCCCATTAACCCTTATTTACTGTACTGCCGCGTGGAAAGCTCCCCCACCAGTCTCTTGAGTTGTTTTTTTTATAAAGATGATGCCTAGTTGTGATGTGAAAAGCCGGTGAATAGGATTTCTTCTAGCAACTGCCTTTACAGTTTTTATATACCGTGTTTTTGCCTTCTAAAAGCCGCCTGAGTAGTGCGTAAATTTTTTAAGCCAGGCTTAACCGTTTTGGATCATCAACAAATTTTGAAACGCAACTTTGAGCGCTGCGTGCAGCTGGCTGGCCCAGCGCACCTGCCATTGAAAAGTTGAAAACCTGAGAAAGGTAGAAGCACAAGGCCCTAGGAAAATTTATCGATCCAGGCGCCCGCCCGCCACAATCAGTCAGCCAGCTCATCCACCGGCGTTTTGCTCACAACAACACATTCCTTTTAACACTCTATGCTCCTCCTCATCCTCCCCTCCAAACCCTCCACACACACTTTTATTGTTCCTCCTCCTCCTTTTCCCCCCGACGGCTGACCGATTGCTCTCCTTCACTTTTGCGGGAATCGTTTTTCTTTTGGCTCCTGGCCCATGCTGCTTTTTCTGTTGACGGGACAGTGTATGGCTATGGATAAAATGAAGTCGATCTTTTGAAATTATAGCATTTAAAGCAGAGTTTAGGGGAAATTCAAAGCAACCTTTCAGGGGACGATGCGAGATGAGGTCCTGAGTTGTCACGAGCTTTTGACGCTTATTGGTACAATATGCGTACTGATGGGATGTCGCAGAAAGCAGGAAATCTGTAAAAGAGACGCGAATTTGGACATTCGGCTTCTCGTTGCGAAAAAAAAATGAGCTGGGCGTTTGAATGCTCTGCGTTAGCTTCTGAGTTATCAGGGCTTTTTGACGCAGCTGTTACTGTTTCTAGAGACAAGTCGACCTGGGATTGAGAACATACGCTAGCTGCAAAAAGAAAGGAGAACTTTGGCATTTGAAGTTTCGTTGCGACAAAAAACCAAGCGTAAATTTTGTCAACTTTGCGCTTAACGTGACGTTGCATCAATGTCTGCAGCTGACTAGCGTTATTCTAAAATCCACAACATTCTGCAGCCCTTTTTGACCACACCAACCTTTGCCCCGGTGCACAAACCTCAAAAAGCCGCGGCCCGTGAAATATCACGACAGTAGCGAAACGAAAACAAATAATTACAGCCTTTGTGGGGACCTATTTTCGGCGCCAGCTACTTGTTTTGGCCCCGTGAGTGGCTACGGTGCCTTGAAAGGTTGCCAAACCGAGCCGGGGATCCGTACAAAGTTGCGGTGCGGTTGGAATGTCTAGAATTCGGGGAATTTTAGAGCTAGTAATTGCTCAAATTTATGATTTATGAATTTGAATATTCTGCAAGTTTTCGATATTTGCGATTAGCTCTGTAAGATCGTCAATTTTCGACCTTAAGCGGTTTTCACGCTGAAATTGTGTAAGTTTTTGACTATCTGAGTTCTTATCACCGTCTTGAATAGTTTAAAAAAATCAGAGATGCACGCCGGGATTGGCGGTCAGTTAGCGGCAAATAATCTTTTATTAACAGATTTGACAACCTTCATTAGCGTTTTATGAGATTTTTAACGTAAACGGGAGCTACCGATTATTGGAAAATATGGAAGAAAAGTAGAGTTTGAGTTTTTTAGATAAAATCTTAATCTTTGGTGCGCGCCTCGGATTGGTTGGAATCGGCGTAGCGGGATTGCGGATTTTTCGCCGTCGTGATCGCGGTCGTCGAGCCAATCTAAAATTTTCGTATATTTTCTGACCTGGATACAACTTAGATTCACAGGATACTTAACGTCGGCGACGTATGTAAAAGTTAGAGATCAAAAAGATTATCCAATTGCCCGGCCAAAGGCTCACTTGCACCTGGTTCTTGAACAGCTTGTGAAGGACGCGCCGTTGAATGGTCTTGTTCATAAATAGGTAGATGAACGCCGGAGTTCCTATAAGTTTTTATTCGTATGTATTTTATATATGACTTGTGCATTGTTATAGGAACCAATTTTTGAATATAAATAGCGGAAGTGTTTCTAAGCGCATTTTTTACTATTCCTAAACGTAAAAACGACAAGTTTTGTCTTTAAAAATACGAAAAATAACGATTTTTGTGGTAAAAAGGGCCCTTTTTGACCAATTTCGACTTTGAAAAATTGTTCAACGGTTTGAGATAGTTTTTCTAGCTCAAAACTTGATAGCTCACCGTGCATCAGTTGCCACGACAGGTGGCCGATGTGCATGATGAACTTGGTGGGCGGGATGACGACGAGCGACGCCCAGATGGTCGTCGTCGTGAAAGTGAACAGGCAGACGAGCACCGATTGGATTAACAGCTAAATCGGGTGTTTTAACGCTAAATATCGTTAATTTTGCCAATTATAAGGTCTAAAAACCGGACCTGACGTTGAAAAGCGGCACTTTCCACCTTGGCCGAGCGCATTTTGGCGCGGTACAGGAAGTAGATGGCGGTGTAGAGGAGGCACACGCCCAAACAGATGCACGTATTGTTCAGAGTTTGGTAGATGGAGGCAAACTAGGAGATTTGGATCTGCCTTTTATAATATCAACTCCCCTCAGACTCTTAGCGTCAAGCCATTACGGTTATCTAACTAGCAACGTAATAGCAGCTATTTCCCTCAAACACTAACCGGATAGTCGTTGCCGGGGATTAGCGGGTTGTAGATCCAGGTTCCGTAGTCCCAGTGGAACAGGATTGGCGGTGTCCACAGGTACAGTAACCCGTAGCCGAACCCAAGCGCGATGATGCCCCACGTTCGATTTCCCTGGAGGTCAAGAAGCACTGTTATTTTAGGGAAGGTTGAGTACAAATTAGCGCCTCGAATTGGGCTGTTTTCGTGAAAGCAAAGCCGGAGAGCAATGCACAAAGAGTTCTTCCGTCTCCCTCACTCTCTCTCCCACTCTCTCACTCTCCCTCCTCTACGTGGGATATTCCTAGGGGATGGCGCTCGAAATAGAATTTTTGAGAGGTATATTGAGTGCAAACCAAGGTTCTAACTCTTAAACTCCAGGTTTCTGAATGGACTACTTCATACAAATGCTTTGGGTAATCAACGTTCCCGATCGAAAACAATCTTTTTTTTTGATGCCAAGATGCCAAAAGGAAAATTTATTTTTCCCCAGGCCCACGGTTCAATTTTCATACATTTTTTGGAAAACAAGATTGACAAAACCTAGTTTTCCAAATAAAAATTTAAAAAATTAACCTCGAATTTTATAGTGATTTTCCAAATCCCAATCGTCGGAAAAATGAGTGCCACCAAATTTCTTTTTGTAAAAATAGTCCCCGCAAAGCATTTTCAGCCTCACCTTAAAAAACATTTCCCCAATGTGCGGCTTCCAAAAGTCGAGGAATCTGTTCAGCACCAGCATCAAGCAGAGGAAGCAGCACGCGTTGAAGATGACTGAAATGAGACAGCGCCTTGACGAATCAAAGGAAGAAGCGACAGGGTGTTCCAATAAAAAGACAACCCCTCTAACACGACGCAGAAGTATCGGATCGTGATGGTGGTTATACAATCGAAAGCCCTTCAAACGTCTTTCTTGAAAAAAGAAGAAATTTCTAGCGTCAGTCACGCCTTGATAAAGCCACCACCCACCATCAATCCAGACCCCTCCCAAATAGATGGCATTCGGGTACATGCAGTACCATGCGCCGATCGCCAGCAAATAGCCTAAAAACTGTGATTATTTATTTGAATTTTTCACCGACCAGTATATTCACAGCTGATGATGACGCACAACGAGTCGAGGATTCCTAAAAAATTGACAAGTTTGGAGCGCGAAAATGGAGCAACAAAAGCAATTCCAACGCACCCAGCGCGAACATCAACTTGTAGCACGACATGCTCAGAAATTCCTTTTCCTTGATCACCGAGAGGGCGAGCATGTAGCCGAGCTGAAAACCAGGTCAAAAGGTACGTAGCTTTACGTAATCTAGCGTGGCTTATAGCTTTCGAAAAGCATCGTCACGGCATGACTACGATACACATCACCATACACATCAAACTGTCGAAATACACAATGATGAAATTCGAAAATGTCGAAGATCAGCATGTCAAAATTCATAACGTCGAAATCCAGGATGTCGAAATTTACATAGATGAATTCCCCGGACAAACCCCGAGTCCTAAGCAGAGAAGTTTCGACTTATTGATTGTGGACATTCTGAAATTTCGACATTATGAATTCGACATTACGATAGCAAGTCATCCGAAAAGTACTACGATGTTGTTTTGGGCGCCACATAACGAGCTGAAGATTTCGCGTAATCTTCCGTGGTCTATCGTAGCCTATGGTAGTTTAACATCGCAAAAATGTCTGAACATCTTCGATATTCGAATTTTCGATTTTTATTATCCCAAAAAACGGCGTTAGAGGATGACTGCTAGCACTGCTGGCAGTGATCCACTACTGAACTACCGTACCTGCGACATCATCCCATAGGCCGCATAGAAAAAGCCCGAGATCACCGCCGGCTCGCCCTGATATTTTCGAGGGTCGGTGATGTTTCTAAAGGAATAAATTATTCTAAAATTATCTACCATTTCATCGAATCGAATGGCCGCTCACCCACCGGCAGTTATACAGCGGATCCGCGTCCAGGCTTCCGTAGGTGATATAGCGCTGCATCGTAGCGTGGTCCCGTCTGGAATCTCTTGGAGCCCCCTTGATTTCCTTCGCTTTCTCACGTCCACCCTGACGCCGATTCAAATTAAAAAACGGGACAACAGCAAGGTCGTGTCCTCCCGCCCAGAAATCACACGCGGACGGCGGATAACAAGCGGAAATTTTGCAATATTGCATGCCGGAGAAGGACGAAGCGGAACAACACCAAATTTGGTAAAAGATGGAGCTAAAATCCATGCAGAAGGCATTGATAAGCGCGGATTTGTCATAGGACGTCCTTTTCAGAAATTCAAGCGAAACCGAAGCTACGCATGAGTCAAAGCCTTACCTAAGCCTAAGCCTAAGCCTAAACCTAAACTTTAAGCCTAAACCTATGCACGGCCTTAGCCGAAGTCGAAGCTTAGCCCTAAGCCTAAGCCCTAGCCTAAGCATGGGCCTAAGCCTAAACCCAAGCCGAATTCGGAGCCTTAGCCTAGGATGAAGCTTAGTAAGCCCCGCGGCCTACGCCTAATCCTAAGCGAAAACCCGGCTTCTAAGCCGAAGTCAAAAACTCACGATACCAACAAAGCCAAATCCATGGTAGAGTGCTAGCTTCTGATAAAACGCTACGTTTTTCTATAGCACGCTAAGCCTATGGCTCCTTCTTTATGGGTGCCCCTATTAAGAAGATCATTAAGCGTAAACTTGAGCCGAAGCCTGAGCCTAAGTTTATCTACCGTGACCCAAAAACCGGCAAAGTTTAGGCTCAACTTTTTCATGAGAGTTCAACGAGCGTTGAACCGAGAGTCTCCATTTTATCCGGCTTTTATACCATTTCTGACCTCCGTGAAAACGGCCTATTGGCGACAATTGTTCACGGAAGCGCCAAAGCCTTGAACAATGGCCCATTTTACATCACACACCTATCGGCATTAGATTAACAAATATTGGGGAGGGTACTTTATAGGGACGCCAGGGCCAAATAGATGGCGGCATTGTTCGAAAAAGTAATTTGGCGCGGATTACCGGAAACGGGAAGGAGGACTCGCTCACGGGATACAACGTGTGAACGATCAGGAAAAATTGGGCGGATCTGGGCGTTTGAGGGTCTTTGAGGAGTGTTTGAGGCTTGTGGTCCGAGGGGAGTTTATTGACAAAGTTTTGATAATTTGGGCTGCGGCTTGGGCTTAGGCTTGGGCTTAGACACAGGCTTAGACTCAGACATAGGCTTAGGCTCAAGATCAGAATTAGGCCAGGGCTTGGGCTGGGGTCGGGCTTGTGCTAAAGCTTGAGCTTAGGCCACGGCGTAGGCTTAGGACGCTTAGGCTCGGAATCAGCGAAAAATTCTGCACAAAATGTGCTATCTCACGTATCGAAATCCCACGGTCAACAAAAAACGGTTACTGTTAGGCGTAGACCTAAGCTCATCCAAAGCTTGGCAAAATCTAGCTTGATCCAAATAAATGATTTATGTTCATGTTTTGGGTATTTGCGAGTACTTTCCATTGAACGACTGCCCCGCCTCGACGCCATCCCCTGAGAATACTAATTCCAGAATCGCCACCTCTCGAAAAAGCGCCTAATTCGTCTAATCGGACTCCGTGTTGGTCCCGGGCGCGTCAATGGCCAGTTTTTGTTTTTGGCTATTTGTCATTCAGAGGCTAACGGTATTTGGAAGTGCTGGATGCTAGAGGCTAGGCGAAAGTCGACACCTGAGCCTAACTTGAATCCTAAGCTAACTAGGGAAGTCCAAGATACCCGCAACACGAATCGGGCTGAAAATTTGCACAGTTATGGAACCGACCATGCTGATCATCGCCTCGTTTTCCGAATTTGCTACAGAGCTTAAATAATTAAGATATTAAACTTTTAAAATGCGCCAAAAACCCGCCGCCCTGACCCTGGCTTACTAGAGCGGGTGGGGTTCAAGAGGTCTTTGGGAAGCCCCCTTTTCAGAGCCTCGGTAGTCAACTGGTAAGCGCCTCGCTTCCCAGGTGGAGGGTCCGGGTTCGGACCCGGCCCGCGCATTTTTCTTTTGCTGTTTGCTAATTTGGCGCCGCACATGTGGCGCGTGTCCAGATTGTGTTATGCACACGCATTTACGTACACCCTAGAAATGAAATTCAACGAAATCATAAATTTATGAAAAAAGTTGATAGAAAACACTAGTAAAAAAATTGTTAAAAACCGGTATTCCGTAAGTCTACGGCAGCAACCGGCTCATCTGCGTGTAGCAAAAAACACAATCTGGACACGCGCCACATGTCCGGCGCCAAATTAGCAAAAAGCAAAAGAAAAATGCGCGGACCGGGTCCGAACCCGGACCCTCCACCTGGGAAGCGAGGCGCTTACCAGTTGACTACCGAGGCTCTGAAAAGGGGGCTTCCCAAAGACCTCTTGAACCCCACCCGCTCTAGTAAGCCAGGGTCAGGGCGGCGGGTTTTTGGCGCATTTTAAAAGTTTAATATCTTAATTATTTAAGCTCTGTAGCAAATTCGGAAAATGAGGCGATGATCAGCATGGTCGGTTCCATAACTGTGCAAATTTTCAGCCCGATTCGTGTTGCGGGTATCTTGGACTTCCCTAGTAAGACTTACGAGCGGGCCGCCGGCGAAGGCAAGTCAGGCCAATTTTTTTGCATAAATTGTTTGGTTGTAGAAATAAATTTATTGTCTAGTTCAAAAATATAGCATATGAAGTTTTGTGGACCCGTGCTGAAGCTTGTTCAAGGTACTAGATAGTGAGCCAGAAAGAGTGAGAGAGAAAGTGAGAGAGCGAGGGAGAGCAAGAGAGAGAGAGAGAGAGACAGAAAGAGACGGAGAGAGAGAGTGAGAGAAAGCAAGAGAGAGAGAAGAGAGAGAGAAAGAGAGAGAAAGAGAGAGAGAGTGAGAGAGAAAAACAGAGAGCGAAAGAGCAAGAGAGAGAGAGAGAGCGAGGGGGCGAGAGAGAGCAAGACATTGAGAGAGACAGTGAAAGCATTGACGATTAGCCAGGGCTTAAAAGCCGAAAAGCTTCGAGAATACCGGCGAAAGGAGAGGCCGAAGAAACTAAGGGAGCAGCCGTCACGATCTTCCTCCCCCCATGGCCATTTTTATATGGAGCCGTCGGGATCGGGAAGTCCAATTGGATATAATCCTGGTAGTAAGTGGATACTAGGTATTTCAACGTCTTGCAGTTATCAAAAATCTCTTCTCGAATGGCTTCTTTCACGTCTTTGTCGGTATTGCCGTTCACATGCTGGCGTAGTATACGGGATTGTGCCTGAAAAAGGAAAGCAGTCATCAAATTGATGTAATAAAAATGTATATTATCTGAAACAAATCATCATGGTAAGTTGGATACCTTTTTGATCAGCCGCTGCGGGATGTTGGCCCTCTTGAAGACTTCCGTCAGCTTGGACGCCAGTTGAGTGCGGTTTGAGGTGTATTTAAAGTGAGGTAGTGTGGCGGGACAGAACCTGAAAAAAAATAGATTTTCGCGAAGAGCAGGAGAGAGAGTGAGAGATATAGGGAGAGAGAGAGAGAGAATTTCGGGAAAGATGGAGAACTATTAACAGCAGGAGTTGAACATCGAGCAAATGACATAGAAAGCGAGCGAAAGAGTGAGAGAGCGAGAGTAAGTGAGTAAGAGAGTGAGTGAGTGAGAGAGAGCGCAGGAGTGAGAGAGGGAGAGATAGAGTGAGAATCTCTTACCTGGTCTGCGGCTCAAAGTGATGATAAACATATCGACTTCCCGGCCCCTTCCATCCTTTCTTCCCGACGTCACGGTACGTATGATAGGCTATCTTGGCCATTTGCCCCACCGTCTTCCCCGAGCACTCGTTGCGCCCTCTAAAAAAAAATTCTGAGAAACAAGAAATTTGGGATCTTGACTTCAAAAACCAACTACTAGAAAATCAGTTATGCGCCATTCTGTTAAAAGTCGATACCTCGTCAATTTTTGCCGATTTTTATGGTTGCCTAGGTTGCCAAAAAAGGTTGAAATAATGGTTTTGGGGCAATTTGGTTATGGATCAAGTGTTGTCTGTAGTTTTCTGTGTCATAAAATGAATCTCACATGCACAGGCTGAGATAAGTCGACAGGAATCGATCGATCGGGTCGCGCGAGATGAAGAATTTGTGGGGCGGGAATTTTCCGGCCCACTTCTTCGGCTGAGCCCTCCAGTGTTGGCGCAGCTTGGGGGCACGGTGGCAGACGCTGAAAGATCATGGCTTAGAATTGGAAAGAAAACGCAACTGATCTCATTTTAAAGGCGCAGTAAAGTTCCTTCAGGCCTCGTCTAGATAAAATCGAATGAACGCCAATTGATTACGAAATGAAAAACGAACCTTATCGCCCCACTTCCAGCCGTCCCATTTGACCCGTGCTGCGCCAGGAAGAAGTCGCACATGATGATGGCCATTTGAGTGGAGAGGTTCTTTGGGATCGTGCACATCGAGAACCCGATCCCACCATCGTTGATGTCGCGCTGAAAAGCTGGGAGCGCTTTCTTGGCTAGGCGACGGGGCCGCGTTTCTTGCTGCTATTTTGAGGAATTAGCCTAAAATAAATCTCTTATTTCATCAGTCACCCGGTCGTGCCGCCTAAGCTTAAGCCCCCTAAGCCTAAGCCTAAGCCTAACCTAAGCCTAAGCCTAAGCCTAAGCCTAAGCCTAAAAAAACATCATGCACGGATGTTCGAACTGTGAACTAAACTGTTAGTCGATACGCAACCATAAGAGACGTCGATTTTTACCCTTCCGAGACCCTTTAAAACGCACAAATCTTGTGTCCTCCCTGGGCGGATGCGTGGGTGCAAATCGGGCATCAGCGTCGAGCTTCTCAACAAGTTGGCTGAGGTCGCATTTTCCGGCGCATACTGCGAAAAGTAGACAGCAAATAAAAGTAGAAACTAGGAGCAGCAGTCGCATTTTTCCGTCCTCACCTCGAAGGTCAGCAAGAACTGACCCCCTGTCTGTGCCTCGGCTTTTCCTGAGATTCCTCCTCCACTGGGCGGAGGCGGCGGAGTTCGGGGAGAAGGAGGGGAATAAGAAAGAACAAAATAGAAGGTGAATAGCATAATTCGGGGCGGGAGAATTTCGCTTTTTCTTCCCATCTCGGGTTTTATAATATGATGTCTGTGACGCGGGCCATCTTCGGGCGCATGGCCTTGAACCGGAAATCTGGCAATTGATGCTGATCTACAGGGTGGCCAGAAAAAAAAGTGCCTGGTTTGCGTCAAAATATCTCGCTGGGGGAAACGAATTGATCCATCGTTACCTTGTCAGAATGCTTAAATATGCTGGGTATGAAGAATAAACACAAGTTGTTTTTATGATTTTTGACGACCCCCTACTCGTTAAAATGTTTTGAACATTTTCAAAAAAGTAGAAAACTTAGAAGCGAAAAAGCATGGAACTTTTGATGATTTAGTGGGACTTCAAGGGTATCAAGATGAAGCTCTTGCAAAGCGCTATCAGAATAGTGGTAAAGCATTTCAGTCGGTTTAACTAGCCGTCAATAGGAGCGTTCGGAAAAACGGCACTTTTTGAAGGAATAATTCCAGATAAAATTTCTTTACCATTCGGTCTTTCTGATATTTTGCATTTAGCAATAGATAGATCGCTACTAAATTTTCACATTAAGATTTTCAAAATCCCGATCAAAAAATTTTTTGGCACTTTGCCAAGTCGACGACCATTGTAACTTCTACGCTCCTATACTTAAAATTATAGCATGGTTATCTTTGGCAAGCAGGATTGCATATAACGAATACAAAAAGTAGTGGCGACAATGTGCTTTTATGGTCAATGCGGAATCGCCCCTGCTCGAAAAATTCCATTTTCCGAACGCTCCTATTGACGGCTAGTTAAACCGACTGAAATTCTTTGCCACTAGTCTGGTAGCGCTTTGCAAGAGCTTCATTTTGGTACCCTTGAAGTCCCACTAACTCATCAAAAGTTCCATGCTTTTTCTCTTCTAAGTTTTCTACTTTTTTGAAAATGTTCAAAACATTTTAATGAGTAGGGGGTCGTCAAAAATCATAAAAAACAAATTGTGTTTATTCTTCATACCCAGCATATTTAAGCATTCTGACAAGGTAACGATGGATCAATTCGTTTCCCCCAACGAGATATTTTGACGCAAACCAGGCACTTTTTTTTTCTGGCCACCCTGTATAGCTTGGCAAGACGGACTAAAAGTTCCGATTCTGCTTGATCCTTTGAGCTGGAAAATGAGTACGAGCTGAAAAACGAGCCCCAATTGTCTTTCGAAGCTATGACAGTGGCTTGCGGGAAATTTGCAAAGTTTTTTATCGCAGATTTCAGTTACCCGTTTCGGCATTTTGCCAGTCGATATTTTAGTTGTCGGCATTTGGCATATTGGAATTGCCGTTGTGGCGTCTTCATTGTCGGTATTCCTTGTCCGCAATTCAGCTGGTGGTTCGGCTCAGCTTAACTTTTCAATATTTGGTTTGTCGATAGGTGTCGGAATTTTCCGATGTGTCAATATTTAAGTTGTCGGCATTTTATTTGTAGCTTTCCAGCAACTTCGACTGTCAGTATCCGGCTTTGGAATATCGTCCGTCGACATTCCCGTTGCCAGGCGCTTTGGCTGTCGCTAAATAATTTGTCGGTATTTCGGCTGTCGGTATTTTCGTGGAAATCCCTTCCGGAGGCAAAGCACAACTTTCGGGGATTAGTTTTTTTTCACAGTAAGAAGGTTTCATCCACTCTTTCCGCTAACCCAAACCAGACCTATAAACTACGGCCTCTCGTTGTGGCTAAACGGTCAGCCGGCAGCGATCTGCGCTCTCTAGGGCTCGTCCTAGGGGATGAAAGGACCGCGCTGGGGCACTTTTTAGTAATGAGAGGAGTACCGTAGTGTAATTGCTTCGCTTGCATTTTTAGAAGTCTTCCCCAGCCGTTACGGCTCACTTTGACCTTCGGCTGGAACCATCAAAATTGTACTAAAAAAGGCCAAAAAAGTTCGGGATTTTTAATAAGTTTTATACCTTGCTAGCGATCAAAAACGGCGTAAAAAATTAGTTAAAAGACGCCGGTAACGGTTCAAAAGGCAACAAAATTATGCCGAAAATTGTATGGTTGTTCTTTGGAGTAGTGGGAAGAAGCGCTTGAAAACTGTTCATGCAAAATTCACAGCTTTTGATGATCAACAATTTATTTGCATGAAATCCCACAAAAATCAACAAAAGCATAAAAAGCTCTTTTTTTGCCTAATTAGACTTCTTTTGCCATTTCTTAACCCTGAAATTTTTCTTCCTCAAATTTCGTCTCCGCCAAGCTCGAATTTTTGGTTTCCGTGTCCAATGTCGCAGTTGCCGTTTCTTTTATGCTTTCCAAAAATTCCCATGCGCTTCGAATGCATTTTTGCCTTTCCTCCCCATCTTTGCAGCGATTTTTTGCTTTTAGAAAGCTTCACCGGCTCGCCCAAAAGTTTTGGTGTCTGTGATTTCCTCGAAATTCGCTTCTCGACAATTCCATCTTTCAAATCGATCACGACGCGCTTAAGCTGCGCCTTTTTCGGAAGTCCGGTCGGTATCCGGTACTTCAACTTGATATAGTCTTCATAGTACAGTCCAACAATCTTTTGCAGCGTCTCGCAGTGCCCGAATATTTCGGCGCGAAGACCGCGGCGACGCGCCTCCGTCGAGTTGCTGGTGTTGATTGGCTGGTTGCGGATGCGGCGTAGGATCTGAAAAAAAATATTTTAAAGGGACTGAGAAGCGGTAGAATCGACGACTCCAGTTGACCACCCATCCCATGGAAAAGTCCTACGCCTTCGAAAATTTTCGAGATTTTCCCAGTTTTTCGGGACTTTCTCGACGCCATTTGATCGGGTGTAGAAATATACATTAGGAATTTTAATTATAGCCAAGATTATTGTAATAAAAAAAAGTTATTGCAAAAACAAAAACAGCGTTAAATTTACAATATTACGATATTTTTGCTTTTTTGGTAATTTGCAAAATACTATTCGGTAGAGCTTGAAAAATATGCCAAGCGAATTAATTACGCCCAAATGTGAAAAAGATATGAAAAAGTGTCAATCACCTTTTTCTGATGCCGCCTCGGCACCCTAGCTTCATCCATAATTTTCCGGAATTCCGAGGCCATCTTTCCGGGGCTAGGGTTGTACTTGAAGCGAACTTTTTCCGGCGAGCAATACCTTAATTTCATGAGGGCTGAAATATGAAAAATATAAAGCAGAATTGTTTGGAAACTCAGAAGCAAAAATAAATCGGACTTACCATGTCTGTGGGGCAAAGTGGTGCAGGACGCGGATGCTCTGTTCAGGATTTTGCCACCGGGGCGGCTTTTGTTCAAAGGCTTTGTAGATGGCCTTGGTGAAGTTGTGAATGTCGAGCCCGTCGCAGGACTCCGGCTCTCTAGAAAAAAGTTTCAAGTCTAACCGAAAGCCCGGGCCTAACTTAAGCCTAAACCGAAAGCTAAGCCTAATCCTAAGCCTAAGCCTAAGCTGAGCCCAAGTCTAAACCTAAGCCTAAGCCCATGAGTAAGCCAAAGCCCAAGCCTAAGCCTAAGTTTGTGCTTAACCAAGCCTAAGCCCAGCAAAATTGACATTGAGCAATCGAGCAAAAACGATTTAACATTAACCTACGCGCAAATATGCATATAACCGCTGACGAAGCGGTCGATCGGCTCGCGGACCACGGCGAAATGGACGGGCTTCTTGGCTGGTTTCCAGACACCTCGACGCTTCTTGATCATGCGGGTAACGTGGGGGTGCTCTCGGCAGTTACTGTAAGACAATATATTATTGCAGGTTCAGGCCATAAAGGGTACAACGTGTCCGAAAAACAGCCCCTGTAACTCGACGGAGAAGTACCGGTTCGGAACGATATATACCATTCGAAAGGCCTTAAAACGGCGACTTTGCAACAATCTTCAGAACGATGTTTTTATTTAAATGCGGTATTTTATAACGACTTTTAGACGTTAAGGCACTGCTTCTGCATCTAATTAACGGCAACCACGGTCATTTTGCTTGGAGAAATTTTTACAAATTAGCTCGTATGCATCTCCGAAAAACCATTCTCATCCGGATCCGATACTTCAGCGTCGAGTTAGAGTGGTGTTTTCTTATTGGCACATCCCTGTATAGCCAATCGTAAAGTAAAGTTTAGCCGATACAAACCACAAACCCCCTCCTCGAATTCCCGGCGTCCCCCTTGGATCCGTGATATGCATGGAAGAGGTCGCACATCACATGACTGACCATCGACGACATCACCTTCGGCACGCTGCACGTCTTGATCCCGAACTGGCCGTCGTTGATTTGTCGCTAAAAATTGGGGCCTCTAACATTGTGATGTGCACGTTTTTTAATTAGTCATTGAGGCTTCATTTCACAAACTGATTACGTATTAAAATATCGAAAATCAGAATCCCGAATTTCAGAATTTCCGAAAATATAATCTCGAACCCATAGAACATCGAATTTCAGAAACTCAAAATTTGCATAAACTGGATGCATGACGTAAGTGTGCGATTCCTTTACAACGCTATGAAAATGCCGACACCCGTGTCTTCGACGCAAAGCCATCAGAAACCCCAACTTACCACTCTTGCATTATGGTTCCAACCCCTCGGCGGGTCGCGTTTTGCAGCATTGCGTAGACGGAAGGTCTTGGGTTTCCGGGCGGCAAAGCAGTGATCAGCGGCGGAAACTTGGAGCCACAAATAAAAGGCGAGACTCAAGAATACGATAAAAATCAGGCTGTGCATTTCTGATAGCCAGAAGTGAGGCCGTGGCGTGAAAAGGTATCACTGGGCGGCCACTTTTTTTGGAACGGCAAGCTTGTGCCGATCCTCAGGACAATCATCAGAACACGCTGCTTTCGGTTGTCCCTCATTTCTCAGTGCGCGGCTTTCGGCCTGGGGATGGCAGA